ACTTCGGATAACAGCATTAGTTCTATAAAAAATATATCTATTGATGTACTCATTTCGAATTTATATTTGTCTATAGCTGGAGGATCTAATTTTATAGTTAGTTATCAAAAATAATTTGATTTGGTATCAGAGTTTAGAGATTATGAAGTTCAAGATCAAACTTCCCTTTTAGGTGTCACTTTTACCTGGTAGTGCAAGAGTTTATCAACTGACGATCACATTTGCTATGATTACAATCATGAAAAAGTATAAATAAAGCAAGGGATAAGTTCAATCTCTTTCCCTGAAAGAAATTTCCAGCCCTATACCATAATAGTATTAATGATAGACGGATAAAAAGAAAAAAGGTCAGCTAATTTTTCAGCCACTTGTATTTTTACAGAATTAGATATTCCTCCATTAACTGTTTTATCTCCATCACAACAGTAAAATCAGAAAATAAATCTGAATTAAGAGCTTAATTTTATTATTCAATATGATTCAAACATTTCTTCAGATATATTATCGTATGCTGGAGCTTTGTTGTATAAAAATAAAATAGTTGGAGCCATAAAATTTGATTACTTCTAAGTAAAATTTAGGATATGGAACTACTTTTAAAATATCGATCCTTCTGTTCCAACAGTTTAAGTGCGTTTTTCTGTTTACAATCCATCTTATGTCATGCCAAGTTTAGCAACAATTAGCCTTTTAATTAACACACCTCCTAAAAATTGCATTCTTTCAATAACTCCAAACCAAGGAGTAGCTCTCTAAACAATTTTTTCTATCAAATTCTCAGATTGTGTTGATGAAGACTCTCCATTAACTTACTAATTCTTTTACTATAATAGCCAAGCTGATTATGAATAAGAACTAGATTCGCCTTGGAATATTTCAAGAAGATAAATAAAAGATTAAGCAACTAGCTATGTGATGAACACTACTCTACCTTAAGGAAGCTTAGTTATAATGAGTCAAGTAATGGATTCTTAACTTGGAATTACTAATAGCACTTAAATTGTTCAAGTCAGTGGGCAAAATGAAACAGAAGATAATTATTTTTAACTTGTGGACTAACTTTTAAAGTCAGCTTTGTAAAATTCTCAATCATACAATGATTAAATAGTTTCTTTGAGTATCATTGGAGAAGATTTAAGCAAGAACAAACAATTTTAGACATCCTAGAAAATCAATGATCTGAAAGCTTAACTCATATCGAATTTGTAGGAAAAATCATTTTAATTACCCTAATTTTCTCTTCTATCAACTTATGCAAATAAAGTAATTGCATAATTACAATAAACTCTCACAGATTCAAAAGAGGATTAGAAAAGCTCAATTTATAACCAACTACAGAAAATCATAAAAAACACATAATTAAGTATAACAAATAATAATTCAAGCTCACTTTAGCAAAATAATGATATTCATACGCAAAATCTGATTGATTCTTTTAAAATTTTAAATTCTACAGTCAATTAAGGTAGCTCAATGCTAGATTTTGAACATTATAATAATATATCATTCTAGATAGGAAATATGCTTTCTAACAGCACACTTCCTAATCAAGGGTCACTCATATTAGAAGGTAATCTATCTTCTATACTGTCTGACACAATAACTCAAAAAAATATATATAGATATGCACTACCATTTAATGACTCAGATTCTTAAAATTCGACAAATTAATTTAATATCGTTAGAAATACATATTAATAAAATATTTATGAAAACACAACAAATTTTCAAGAATACGTGAAGCAATATTAGAATATTAGTTCGAATTTTTAGTATTCAAAGAACAAAGTAATAACTACTACAATAAACAGTACAGGCTCTAAAAGTTTAATTAATAATTCGAGAGTGGCATTTTAATTTAATAATGCAGTTTCTAGCAAAAAATATAACATGACTTGTTTGTAATAAAATGATGTCAAATGGTCTAAGAAAGATTGCAGTATCTTGAAATCAGATGATAATAACTTCTTGTGCTTGTGTATATCATAGTCTCCTACAACTATTATTGAAGATATAGATGATATGTTTTTATAGAATAAAAACTTAGATACAGTACTGGGAGAATAAGGAATATTAAATATACTGAAATTTAAACAATTCTACTTGTATGCATCCTTTTGGGTACTCTCAACTTTTACTGCACTTGAAATTTTTTTGCTTATTTTAGGAAAATACTTAGATCGCAAAACAAGAAAAAAAATAATGTCATAAGTTTGTCCAGAGGAGTAAATTAATTAACATTCAAAAGATTAAGAATCCTAAGAATAAGCTCATATATAAGCTCTCCCAAAAATATAATTAGTAAACGAAGACTAACAACCTAAGGTATCACCACCTACTCCACCTTAAGCCAATTAACCTATACTAGGATTATATTAATAGAATGGTGAATTTTCAAAATCTCCAAAAGAAATATAATCTACATAATCTAGTTAAAGAACTTAATAAGTGCTTTATGCAAGACGTAAAAGAGCTAAATTTTAGCAATTATAAGTTTAAGAAAAATAGCCACAGGGCAGTTTAAATAGCTTATCTTAAAACCGAATATTTGATAATTAACTTTAAATTTTTAAATAGCCAAGTACCTTAGATTAAGATGAAAATCATTTACACTCTATCTAAATAATCTCATAAAATGAAATAAAAGAAGTTTAAGACCCCCATATAAAAGGAAAGTAATAAAATGCTTTTGAAAAAATTTCTTGCTTTAAAAGGATAGCAATGTTTCATCAATTCTTGAGTATTTTTTATCTTTATGATGAAAAAATTTCAAGACCTACTCGGTTCACTCTGTTTTATATAAAGAATATTCATACTTTATCAATTTCCTTACTGTTCTCCTAATATAAACATATTGTTTAGCTAATAATAATTGCTTTAATAAACAGTTTAGTTTTAGGTGTTAGTACTTTATTTATTTAATTCACATATAAAAGAGGCAGGTTTGGAAAATTTATATCTGTCGTTTTTTAAATTGGACTATGTTTGATTTATCTTTACATAATATTGGCAATATCTAGTGGAAAATCTGTAGGTGAGTCAAATGAATTCATGATGATTTTTATCTTATCAATATCAGTAGATTTGATATTTACTTAGGTAATCATATCTTCTTTCATGAGTCTCTTAGTCAAGAACCATTTTAAAAATATATTATAAAATAACTTTTTTGAAAAATTATTTAATTTTTTGTAACTAAAATAAATAATTGAAATGATAGATATTTGATTGAATTTAAAATTGAATATTATAAATTTAACTCTTCATTAAAACTTGTAATGTTTATTTATATTTGTTATGAGTTTAAAATTAACTTTAATTTCTATTTTGAATTTTAAATATTTAAAACTATTTATTTTTTGAATTAAAAACATAAATATTTTTAATACAAAAATGTTTAAATTTGATATAAAATCTAAAATAATTTATTTTAAATTTTTGTATTTAAATCAAAATACTTTTATAATATAAAATTTAAAAGTTTCTACCTTTTAGATTGATTTGGTATATAAAAGAAAATAAAAATGAGGACTACCTAACTTTCAATATAAATACGATTGCATTAGTTAATTATATATCAATAAAATAAAATGTAATGAATTTTATATTGTAAAATGACTCTTTTTTTAAGTAATTTAATTATTTCATTATATTTTATTTGGTATTCTTATAGATAAATTTCTAACATATTTTGGTTATTTAAGGTTTTAAAAATATTAAACATATTATTTTAAGAAAATAAAAATAAATTTACTATAAATTTGAAATAAATATACTATTTTAAAGAAGGCAAATTCCATTTTTAAACTTAATAAATAAAAGCTATTAAAAAAAAGCTTAATATTATAATTATGAAATATCATTCTTTCGGTATATTATTGATTAATTATATTTGAAATGTTAATTTTTCTAGATAAATAAATTAATAGTTTAAATTTAGTTTGTAAATGTAGCTAAAAATAGTTATTATTAAATTCATTAGCTTCCAGCTGTTTAATATATTAATAAAAAACTAAATTAACAATAGCCAATTAAATGTAATACTTTTAATAATAACTCAAGCTAGAACTATTATAATTACTGAATATCATTTAAAAATTGTAAATAACGCCAATATTAATTAAAATTAAATGCGCAGCAACTCCATTCTTCATTTTTAAATTAAGATAATAAGATTTAATCATAAAAATGTATGAAATAATTACTATCCATCCATAAATAAGTAAGAAGTATATTTAAAATAATAAAAACGAACACAATAATATAAATTACAGAACTAATTTAATTTTTGTTTTACGGACACATTTTTTAAATATCTCAAGATAAATATATAAATTTATATTTTTATCTTAAAATTAATTTAACTTTATGTCAATAAACTTTTATTTAACCCAATGCTCAATGCTTTTTTGCCTATTTGGCTATTATACACAATAGTCATAAAAAAATATAGAAATATTTTAATACTCTCTTGATATTTTAAAAAGAATAATAAATTTCAAAGGTTAGGGTATTTTTTATTTATAAAATTTTAAAAAAGTAACACAAAATTGAGGGATTTACTTCTCGCTTGCCTTAAAATTATCAAAATTAATACTTTACCCTAATAAAATACGATAGAAAGGAAATAAACATAATTTTTATTTTACTGAAATCATAATAATCAAAAATATTTTGGTTTTTTTTTGATTAATAACTAGTTAAAAACAGTAAATTTAATCATAGAAAGAAAATAATTAAACTGTGTAGAGATAGTTTTTTCCACCAATCAAATTACACCTCAATTACTTAATTTTATGAGCCAATTTATTTTCTTCATGATTCATGCTTAAAAAACATTAGACATACAAGTATATTTATAGATTCTAAAATAATTAAGAGATAAATAAAGAAATAAACAAAGTCAATAATTTAAATAGCTAAAGTTAGTAAAAACAAAAATTGATATAAAAACAATAAATAAACAAATTTACATAATTTTATAATCTCAAATTAAGAATATGGCAAAAGATAAATTCACATTTTTCATTCTTTTTCTTCTCATAAAATGTAAACTTTAAGATAAAAATATTTCAATTTAAAAGAAACATATTATATAAAAATAGTATTAAGCTATGTTAGAACTGGTACTCTAACAGATTGCAATTAACTTTTGACCAATAAGGCATTTGATATAAGCAGTAAAACTTAATTATTTTAGATCTCATGTTTAAAATACATTTTTTTGATGCAGGAAGTGAATGCATAATAAATTAAGGTGCTCCAAGCAGTCAAACAAATAATGAAGATGAATTTAACCAGAATTTATCTGGTCTTTAAAGAAATGATTGCATAGGCGCAAAATAAATTCTATGCAGCTCTCAAACTATGACAGTACTTTCAACTAATAGTTGCAAATCAAATACTCTTTTTACGATACAACCGAATTTGTAATCAGTTTGTTAAAAATAAATTAAAACAATAAAATGAAATTTTGATTTCAAAATTATATTAAAACTTCCATAATATCAATTGAAAAAATAAATTACCTTTTTATATAAAAAAAGTCTCATTTTTCTAAATTTTGTTTGAGAATAAATATCTATCTTACTTTATTTAGGATTATATGATTTTATTTATTTTAAAAATAAAAGGAGTAGAGTTGTATAAAAGATTTATCTATAAGCTACTTTTGTGATAGAATCTAAATATCCTGCTGATGCCACCAGTACTTATATAGTCAATGATTAACCATTCTCACCTAGTGGCGCCTTTTAATTATATTGTAGTCCTAATTATTTTTCCCATATGAGAGAAATAAATGCAAATATAAATTCTAGTTCTCTTACCATTTCATTTGTACCTTATACAGGTGCTATTTATAATGCTTTTGTTAGTGGCATTCTCCTTGCAGTTTAATATGTAATAATAATCATTTAAAAAACCACCAAATTATTTTATTTAATGTTTTGAATTAATCTAATAGAGGGAATCATACGCAAAATAGTTAACTTATTATAAATTATTTAATTTTTAATTAAATAAATATTTATGAAAATAATCTTTAAAAATTTATTCACCATCTTAATAAATTCATCATATTCAAGAGCAACTTAAAAAACAGTGCTGAAGTATATATAGTCTTTTTATTTAATTTATCTAGTTTTAAATATAAATTTGTTTTATCTTTTAACAATATTTATTTTTTTAAACTTAATATTTAAATTAAAAATAATTTTTTAAATTTAAACATATTATAAAAATTAAATTATTATACTAATATTCAATCTAAAATATTTCATAAAACAATTATTCCTTTCCCATCCTCATCTATTAAATCAATTAAAGAATAAATAAGCATGTTTAAAATAAATTTATTTAAATTATTGTTTATGATTTTGCTTATTATAACATTTTAAACATCATTTTTTAATTAAAAAAATATTTTTTGAGATAAAGAAGTTTTTGATTATTTTAACTTTATTTTATTATATTTTAAAGTGTCCTAATTTTTGTTTATCATGTGATAATAGTGGATGTCTAAAATGCTCACCAGGATATAATTTGTATAATGGTATTTGTAATACCTGCGATAGTACTTGTTTAACTTGCTCAGGATCTGGAAATAATTAATGTACTACATGCAAAGATAATAATTATTATTTATCTGATAAATATAATTATTGTGTTTCATCCTGTGATTCAGATTAATATATTGATTTGACTTCTTCATAAAAATATTGTAGGTCTTGCATGAGTAAATGTTAGACTTGCACCAACTCAAATGGCTGTTAAAAATGCTTAACTGGCTACTATTATACTGGTAATTCATGTGCTCCTTGTGATAATACTTGTAATAGCTGCTCAGGTCCTGGAAAAGACTAATGCACTATATGCTAAAGTAATTAATATATTTCTGAAAATTTAAATAATTACTGTGACCCAAATTGCGACTTAACTTAAGGCTAATTTATAGATTAGTCTAACCCTGATCAAAAATACTGTAAAAAGTGTGTTAGTAATTGTAAAACTTGCAGTAATTATACTAATTGTACGACATGTATGGATTATTATTATGTTTCTGGTAATACTTGTTCTCCTTGTGACAATTCTTGTAAGTAATGTTCAGGACCTGGAGTTAATTAATGCACTGTTTGTAGATAATCTGCATATTTTATTTAACCTGATAATAATAATATATGTGTTTAATCTTGTGATCAAAATAATGGCTATTATGTTGATAAAAAAACTAGTCGTGTGCAATGGTACTGTAGAAAGTGTATCTAATCATGTAAAATTTGCTCAGATGGAAATAGTTGTAGTACATGCTTTGATTAAAACTTTTTAGATTCTTCGAACTTATGTCAACCTTGTGATTCAACATGCCAAACTTGTAATGGCACAAAAAATACAAATTGTATAATTTGTAGATCTGGTTTACACATGTAACTCAGCACAAATTTATGTGTCTAAAATTGTGATTCAAATGAATTTTTGAATTCACTATCATAATGCTAAAAATGTGATAACTCTTGTAAAACTTGTGATGGCTCTTCATCAAACAATTGCAAAAGCTGCTATTCGAATTTTTACCTTTTTAATTAAAGTTGTGTCCCTCTTTGCCCAAATGGTTATTCTCTAAATACTAACACTTTTGCTTGTGAACCTTGCTAAGATAAATTAAGCTGTAATAACTGCTATAACACTTGCTAATTATGTACTCTAGGATAAATTTAATCTCAATAATGCAATACTTGTTATATCGAAACAATGAAATTAGATTCAAATAAAAAGTGTGTTTGCCTAAATCCAAAAGACAATAGAAATTTATTTTACTAATGCAGTTATTAAAACATAGCTGTCTTAAATGCCAGCTTAAGTGAAAGCATTCCTTAATTAATTATTGATTTTGGCTCACCAATAAAGCAGATAGTAAGTACTCCAAATTAATTATGCAAGTAGGTATTTGAGGATTAAACTTTTGCTTTGCTAGGATCTGATTGTACATGTACAATTACCGATAGTTAATTTATAGTGTCTTTGAGTAATTATATTATTCTTTAAAAAAAATTAATTTTTAATGTTTTTATTTATTTTAAAATATATAGCCAACTCTTCGAGTATTATTGAGAATAATCTTATAAATTTCAAACCTGGAATCTTGCAGTTTTAGGATTATAATGTTTTTATAGACACATTTTATAGAAATGTAGTTTACTAAAATAAGACTGATAATCCTATCCTATAATTTCAAAATAATTTCATAGAAAACACATGTAATCCTGTAATTATCTCTCTAATTGAGTTAAAGAATGACGCAGGCAGAGGTTTTTTTAATTTAACATGGTCATTAGAGGAAATGACTGGAATTATAAGAGATGATTAGATCTAAAGCATTAATCAAATAATGAGAACAGCAAGCTTAAATTTAAATAGGATTTTAATTTTAGACCCCTCAAACCTACCTCCTAATCAAAATATTAGAATAAAATTTAGCTATTTACTAAAAGTCAACAAAGCTGGTTAACAAATGTTTAAAATATTTTACAAAAAACAAAAGATAATTAGGATAAATTATTAGCAATCAATTTATCCACCAATCTATAGGTATATATTTAGTTTTAATAAAATGTTAATGTTATTTTTATAAATTAGGTACAAGAGCTTGAGTTTCTACTTTTAGTTTTACATTGAAGCATGTGAATTTGGAAACAATACATATTTTAATGAGCCAACTGATTTATAAATAGTTTCTCCTTAGCTAACTTAAATAGAGCAAAATATTAAAAGCTATAATTAATCTAGTTTTTAATTGGACATACCTCCTTACTCATTACCATCAAATAAAACTTTTAATATGAGCGTAATCTATTTTATATTTTCAAATAAATTAAAAAGAGTTTTGATCTGCTAAATTAAATTTATTTTAGAATTTGTATTCGAAATCCCAAATCATTTTTATTTTTAATTACTCTTATTCTAAAATATTTTTAATATTGTAGTTTCTTTTTTATTAACACCAAAAATTATTTTGGAAAATAATTTAAACAAACTCACTATTATTGCAAAAAAATTTGAAAAATAGATAACTTAAATTTATAAGAATGAACATTTTATAAATTATATTTTAAATTTGATATCCTTTTTATGATTAATTTAAATGTTAAATTTTTTTCAAAAAAATAAAAATAATTTTATCTTTTAATTAGATTTCTCTTAGAATTAAAATATTTACTATTCTTAAAAAAATTTAGCTGATTTTAAATCTTACATCTGATAACAGCATAAGCTCTACAAAAAATATATCGATTGATGTACTCATTTCGAATTTATATTTGTCTATAGTTGGAGGATCTAATTTTATAGTTAGTTATCAAAAATAATTTGATTTGGTATCAGATTTTAGAGATTATGAAGTTCAAGATCAAACTTCCCTTTTAGGTGTCACTTTTACATGGCAGTGCAAGAGTTTATCAACTGATGATCACATTTGCTATGATTACAATCATGAAAAAGTTTAAATAAATCAAGGAATAAGTTCAATCTCTTTCCCTGAAAGAAATTTCTAGCCCTATAGCATCATAGTGTTAACGATAGACGGATAAAAAAAATAAAGGTCAGCTAATTTTTCAGCCACTTGTATTTTTACAGAATTAGATATTCCTCCATTAACTGTTTTATCTCCACCACAGCAGTAAAATCAGAAAATAAATCTGAATCAAGATCTTAACTTTGTTATTCAATACGACTCCACCATCTCTTCAGATATTTTATCATATGCTGGAGCTTTGTTGTATAAAAATAAAATTGTTGGAGCCATAAAATTTGATTACTATTAGGTAAAATTTAGAATATGGAACTACTTTTAAAATATAGATCCTTCTGTTCCAACTGTTTAAGTACGTTTTTCTGTTTACAACCCATCTTATGTTATGCCAAGCTTATCAACAATTAGTCTTTTAATTAATCTTCCTCCTAAAAATTGCATTCTTTCTATAAGTCCAAACCAAGGAGTAGCTCTCTAGACAATTTTTTCTATTTAATTCTCAAATTGTGTTGATGAAGATTCTCCATTAACTTACTAGTTCTTTTACTATAATAGTCAAGCTGATTTTGAACAAGAAAGAGATTCACCTTGGAATATTTCAAGAAGATAAATAAAAGATTAAACAACTAGCTATGTGATGAACACTACTCTACCTCAAGGAAGTTTAGTTATAATGAGCCAAGTAATGGATTCTTAACTTGGAATTACTAATAGCACTTAAATTATTCAAGTTAGTGGACTAAATGAAACAGAAGATAATTATTATTAACTTGTGGACTAACTTATAAAGTAAGCTTTATAAAATTCTCAATCATACAATGACTAAATAGTTTCTTTGAGTATTATTGGAGAAGATTTAAGCAAAAACATACAATTTTAGGATTCTTAGAAAATCAATGATCTTAAAGCATAATTAATTTAGAATTTGTAGGAAAAATCATTTTAATTACCCTAATTTTCTCTTCTATCAACTTATGCAAATAAAGTAATTGCATAATTACAGTAAACACTCATGACTTCAAAAGAAAATTAGAAAAGCTCAATTTATAATCAACTACAAAGAATCATAAAAAACACATAATCAAGTATATAAAATAACAACGCAAGCTCACTTTAACAAAATAATGACATCCATATGCAAAATCTGATAGATTCTTTTAAAATTTTAAATTCCACAGTCAATTAAGGTAGCTCTATGTTAGATTTTGAACATTATAACAATATATCTTTCCAAATAGGAAATATGCTTTCTAACAGCACACTTCCGAATTAAGGGTAACTTATATTAGAAGGTAATCTATCTACAATACTTTCTGACACAATAACTCAAAAAAATATAGATAGATATGCACTACCATATAATGACTCAGATTCTTAAAATTAGACAAATCAATTTAATATAGTTAGAAACACATATTAATAAAATATTTATGAAAACACAACAAATTTTCAAGAATATGTGAAGCAATATGAGAATATTAGTTCGAATTTTTAGTATTCAAAGAATAAAGTAATAACTACTACAATAAATAGTACAGGCTCTAAAAGCTTAATGAATTATTCCAGAGTGACATACTTATTTAATAATGCAGTTTCTAACAAAAAATATAATATGACTTGCTTATAATAAAATGATGTAAAATGGTCTAAAAAAGATTGCAGTATCTTAAAATTAGATGATAATAACTTCATGTGCTTGTGTAAATCATAGTCTCCTACAACTATTATTGAAGATATAGATGACATGTTTTAATAGAATAAAAACTTAGATACAGTATTAGGAGAATAAGGAGTATTAAACATACTAAAATTTAAAGAGTTCTACTTGTATGCATCCTTTTGGATTCTCTTAACTTTTACTGCGCTTGAAATTTTTTTGCTTATTTTAGGAAAATACTTAGATCGCAAAACAAGAAAAAAAATTATGTCATAAATTTATCCAGAAGAGTAAATTAATTAACAATAAAAAGATTAAGAACACTAAGAATAAGCTCTCCCAAAAATAGAATTAGAGAACGAAGATTAATAACCTAAGGTATCACCATCTACTCCACCTTAAGAAAATTAGCGTATTCCAAGTTTATTTTTACAAATTGAAGAGCTTTCAAAATCTCCAAAAGAAATATAGTCTTGCTAATCAAGTTAAAAAACTTAAAAAGCGCTTTTTGTTAGACGTTAAAAGGCTAAGTTTTAGCAATTATAAGTTTAAGAAAAATAGCCACAGGGTAGTTTAAATAGCTTATCTTAAAACCAAATTGTTGATAATTAACTTTAAATTTTTAAATAGCCAAGTACATTTGATTAAGATGAAAATCATTAACACTCTATCTAAAAAATATCATAAAATGAAATAAAAGAAATTTAAGATCACCACTTAAAAGCAAAGCAATAAATCGTTTTTGAAAAAGTTTCTTTCTTCAATAGGATAGTAATTTTTCATCAATTCTTGAGTATTTTTTATCTTTATGATGAAAAAATTTCAAGATCTACTAGGTTCACTCTGTTTTATATAAAGAATATTCATACTTTATCAATTTCCTTACTGTTCTCCTAATATAAACATATTGCTTAGCTAATCATAATTGCCTTAATTAACAGTTTAATTTTGGGCTTAAGTACTTTTTTTATTTAATTGACATACAAAAGAGGTAAGTTTGGAAAATATATATCTGTAGTTTTTTAAATTGGACTAAGTTTGATTTATCTTTACATAATATTGGCAATATCGAGCGGAAAATCTGTAAGCGAGTCAAATGAATTCATGATGATATTCATCTTATCAATATCAGTAGATTTAATATTTACTTAGGTAATTATATCTTCTTTCATGAGTCTCTTAGTAATGAAACATTTTAAAAATATACAAAAAAATAATTTTTTTGAAAAACTATTTAATCTTTTTCAACTAAATTAAGTAATTGAAATGATAGATATTTGAATGAATTTAAAATTTAATATTATAAATTTAATTCTTCATTAAAACTTGTAATATTCGTTTATATTCGATATCAATTTAAAATTAACTATAATTTCTATTTTAAATTTAAAATATTTAAAATCATTTATGTTGTAAATTAAGTACATTAATTTATTTTAATAATAAAAATGTTTAAATTTGATTTTAATGTTAAATAATTAAAATTTTTAATATAAAAATTTTTTAAAAAAAACTCAAATAATTAAAAAACCACATAATATAATAAATTTAAAAATATTTTATTATGTGATAAATAAGTTGAATTTAATATTTTTTCAATCAATGTTCACAATAATCAAAAGATTAGGCTTCTGTCTGCTTGTTTTTAGATCTTTCATACATATCTTTCATTCTGTATTCTTTTATAACTTCAATTGGCTTTGTGAATTCGACATCGTTAACAGTAAAAGGTTAATCTTCATGATTAACTATGAAAAAGGCTATTATCTTTCTTTTGAGAGGCTAGTCAGTCATGTTTTTGATCCCCTTTACTTTGTGGATATTTTAGTTAGGGAAAATAATCATTAAATTTTCCTTTATTTCAAGAGAACCTAATGGAATAAGTTTATAAGGATCGCATAAATATTCATAGTGAGGACAATACTAATGAGCACCTTATTCTTGTGAATTAGTAGGAGTTGGAAAATCATCTGAGCGAGGAGTTCTTTTAAATTTAAGCTTTCCTTTAGTTAAATTTTCATCTTATTCAATGACATAAAGGCAAGTGTAAAGAATGTTATCAGATGAATACCCTTCAACATGCCATTGACCTGAATAAGTGCTGTTAGGAGCTATTTCCATTTCGCTTATCTTGACTATAGCATGAATCTTTTAAGAGAAATCAACTTTAGACTTAATATCATAAATTTCCGAAAACTAAGATTCAGAGTAATCATGCATGAGATTATAATGTAAAGTTTTGAAATAGTTATGAGTTTCTTGTAGAGGTTTTGAGAAATAAGTCAATAAATGGCCTAATTCTTCTTTTAATTTGACCACATCAGCACATTATTCAAGAGGATGAAATAATTTGCCTTGAACTTCATACATATTATTCTTTTCAGAGTATGAGAAGACTGCAGGTAACCACAAAAAATTAGAGAATGAAGTTTTAGATTCTTTTCCCCATTGGTCATATCCATTATTTTTTCTCATTCTCTTAAAATAAGCCTCGATTTCACTACTTTTAGGAGAACTTGTGTAGTCTTTGTGGTATGGCTATAGAGATTGATGAATAATATTCCTAATTTTAACTATATCAGCTGTATTATATTATTTTTCTATTTTTTGTTTGTATTAGTACCATTTTTTTTTTTCCTAAGCTTTTATTTCTTTGTCAACAATATCTTTAATTTCACCACTAATACTATTGACATTAGGGTGATAATCAACAATGTTATTCTTAACTTGATAATCCATAATTTAATCGATAATACTTTGGAGTTATTCTCTTCTTTCATAAGCAATATAATTCTACTGCTAAGTTAATGCTTTGTTTTCACTATCAGAATGTTCTTCAAATATATAAACATCATGTGCTTTCAGCTATTTAAGATTTTGATAGATAGATTTACAATATTTCTTTGCTTCATTTTCACATTTGTAATCTATTCTATCCCACTTATTGTAATTTTTAGAATCCCCAAACTCAATGCTGTCTAAATTTCTTTCTTTATTTATTTCATTTCCATATCTATAAAGATCTAAAGATTTATTATAAATCTTATAAATATAGTCGTTTTTGTCAATGTTAAGCATTTTATTTTAAAAAGATATTTCTTAATATTTTATGAAAATTAATAATACCAATTTTTCTGATTATTAAAAATTAAATTTCTGATAATTAATTAAGATTTTCTGATTGGAGGGAAATTTATTTGGTCAACTTTATTATCAATAAATTTTATGTATTATTTATATATCTATAAAAGCTCAATAGCAATTAACTCTACTTTCTATTGAATTCATAATTTTATTTTAGCACTTTAAGGATATGCTCACAAATTATTTCTAAATTGTTAAAATTTATTTTTGCTTTTCGTTTATTATAAACTTAGTTTTTATATGCAGTAAATATCAGAAATAGAATCTTATCTAAATATTAATACAAAAGGTACCATAAGTCATAATCAAAGAACAGAGATTAAACTATAAGAGTAAAATTCAAAAAATTGATTTAATTTCAACCAAAGTAATCAATAAAGTTATGGATCTTAAAAATAGATACACCAAAAATAAAAATAATAAAATTTAAATAAATTTCAGTTAAGAGAAAAATATTTTAGTTATGGCTAATAAAATTAAAAATTTTTCATCAAAGTTAAACTTTCTCACCATTTTTTTTAACAGTTGGTTTAATTAGATGTATCCTTAACTATTAAATGAATACATAAATTTTTCTTACAATAAAAATATAAATTAATTTATCAGATTTAATTATTAATATTTAATTAAGATATATCAATGTTCACAATAATTGAAAGATTGAGCCTCTGTTTGCTTGTTTTTAGATCTTTCATACATATCCCTCAATCTGTAGTCTTTAATAACTTCAATTGACTTTATGAATTCAACATCATTAACAGTAAAAGGTTAATCTTCATGATTAACTACAAAGAATGCAATAATTTTTCTCTTGAGAGGTTTGTCGGTAACATTCTTGATACCCTTTACTTTGTGTATGTTTTAGTTAGGGAAAATTATCATCAAGTTTTCTTTAATATCAAGAGAGCCTAAAGGAATAACTTTATCAGGATCACACAAATATTCATAGTTAGGACAATACTAGTGAGCACATTATTCCTGTTCATAAGGATCTCCAGGAACATCGTCTGAGCGGGGAGTTCTTTTAAATTTAAGCTTTCCATCAACAAGATTTTCATCATGTTCAATTACATAAAGACAAGTGTAAAGAATGTTATCTGAAGAAAAGCCTTCAACATGCCATTAACCAGAGTAAGTGCTATTAGGTGCAATTTCCATTTCGCTTATTTTGACAATAGCATGAATCTTTTGAGAAAAATCAACTTTAGATTTTACATCTTAAATTGAATTACCATCATCAAAATCAGAGTAGTCATGCATAAGTTTATAGTGCAATTATTTGAAATGATCGTGAGTTTCTTGTAGAGGTTTTGAGAAATAAGTCAATAAATATCCTAATTCTTGCTTAAGTTCAGCTAAATCAGGGCACTATTCAAGAGGATGGAACAGCTTGCCTTGAACTTCATACATTTAATTCTTTTCAGAGAATTCAAAAACAGCGGGTAGCCATAAAAACTCAGAAAACGAAGTTTTAGAATCTTTACCCCATTGATCATATCCGTTGTTTTGTCTCATTCTCTTGAAATAAGCCTGAATTTCACCCTGCTTAGGAGAATTTGTGTAGTCCTTGTGGTATGGTTAAAGAGATTGATGGATTATGTTTCTAACCTTCACAATATCAGCAGTATTTTACTATTTTTCTTCTTTTTGCTTGTGACCCCACCATTTATTTTTTTATTAAGCTGTCATTTCTTTGTCAACAAGTTCTTTGATTTCGCCGCTTATAGTATTAATATTAGGATGATAATCAACCAAATTATTCTTATCTTGATAAGCCATGATAGCATTAATAGCCTTTTGAAGCTTTTGTTTTCTTTCGTAGTCAATATATTTTTCATTATGAGTGAGTATTTTATTTTATAAATCAAAATTTTATTCAAATATGAAAACATCACATGCCTTCTGCGTTTTAAGATCTTGGTAGACAGACTTGCAGTATTATTTTGCCTCGTTCTGACATTTGTAGTTGAGTCTTTCCCAAATATCATCTTCGTTTGCTTCTTCTTGGTTATCTGCATCTTAGTTATTTTTATTTCTACTGTGATAGCTTTCATCTTTGAATTAGTGAAGATCAATAGATTTACTATAAATCTTACTTATGTAATTGTTGTTATCAATATTAAGCATTGGTTTCTGATATCAAATTTTTGAGTTTTATGTTTTTGAATTTATTTATAAGAAGAAATCTTATTTTTATTTGCATTATATAAATATGGATATTCTGATAAATGATATCGATTTCATAAATTGGAGGGAAAAACAAATTCATGCATCAATCTAAATTTAATTACATTGTATGGATAAGATTTATATAAATGTAATATAATAAATATTTAAATATAGCTTTTATTTTTCCATTAAAAAAATTAAAAATAGATTGTTAGCACATTAAATAAAAAGTGATTGAACTTCTTTTTTTCAAAAAGATACAACAAATTTTTATGTTATTTCTTTCTTTTTTTAATTAGGAAAATAAAGTTAGCAAAAGTAATAGAAGAAACAATAAATTTAATATCTTACTTTTATATTAAATAAATATGTTTTTTATCAAACTTAATTTTGTAATATTTTTTGAAATTAATTCTTCAAAAAAAAAAACTAAAGTTCATAAAAATTATTTTCCAGCAAATATTTTTTATTTAGTTTAAAAAAGTTTTTAAATAATAAAAAAAATAGTATATATATATATAAAAACACATTTAAAAAATTATTGAAATGTTTATTAAAGGCAAGGTTCAATGTTCGCAATAGTTGAATGATTAAGCCTCAGTTTACTTATTTAGAGATCTCTCATACATATCTCTAAGTCTATATTCCTTTATGAACTATAAAGGTTTTGTGAACTCTACGTCATTAATTGTGAAAGGCTAGTCTTCATGATTAACCACAAAAAATACAACAATTTTTCTTTTAAGTGGTTTATCTGTTACATTCTTGATTCCCTTTACTTTGTGGATATTTTGGTTTGGGAAAATAATCATCAAATTTTCTTTGATGTCAAGTGAACCTAAAGGAATTAATTTATGAGGATCACATAAATACTCATAGCTAGGACAATATTAATGAGCAGACTAACTTTATTCTCCTCCACAAGGATCATCATCTGAGTGAGGAGTTCTTTTGAATTTCAGTTTTCCATCAACTAGATTTTCATCATGCTCTATTACATATAGACATGTATAGAGGATGTTATCTGATGAAAAACCTTCTACATGCCATTAACCAGAGTAAGTACTGTTAGGAGCTATTTCAATTTCACTTATTTTAACAATAGCGTGTACTTTTTCAGAGAAATTAACCTCGCTTTTATTATCTAATATCTTGATTCTTTTGTAATTGTATTAATTTGAAATCTTGTAATCTATCTCTTAAAAATGATCATGTGTCTATTGAAGAGGTGTAGAGAAATAAGTCATTAAATGATTTAATTCTAATTTGAGTTCATTAAGATCAGGGCATTTCTCTAAAGGGTCAAATAATTTACCTTCAATTTCATACATTTTTTTTTATTAAGAGTATTTGAAAACAGCAGGAAGCCATAGAAACTCGGACAAAGAAGCTTTATATTATTTTCCCCATTGATCAATTCCTTGATACTCTTTAATTTCTTTAAAATAGTCTTCAATTTATTTACTCTTATCAGATTTAATAAAATCCTTATGGTAAGGCTATAGGGATTGGTGAATAATGTTTCTAATCTTGACAATATCTGCAGTGTTTTATTATTTTTTTTCTTTTTTATATGGATAGTAATTGTTTTTCTAATTTTTCATTTCATTATCCACTAACTCTTTGATTTATCCACTTAGAGAATTTATATTTGGATGGTAGTCAATTAGATTATTTTGCTCTTAGAAAAGCATTATCTTGTTTATAGCTTTTAAAAGATTGTCTTTTCTTTCATATATGATATAATTTTCTTTATGAGTCAACAATTTATTAGTTATTTAAGGATTTTATTCAAAAATATATACATCATTAGCTTTTTATAATTTTATTTCCTTGTAAACAGATTTACAATATTATTTAGATTCATTTTAGAATTTATAGTGTCTTCTTTAGCATTTGTCATCCTCTTATTCTTCATTTGATTCTTCTTAGCTGTCCTAACTATCGGATTCACCTTCTTCAAGTAATTCAGTGAGATCAGCTGATTTTCCATAAATTTTGTTAATATAGTTATTATTATCGATGTTAAGCATTTTAGGATTATAATTTATTTTTTATTTATTTAATTATTGTATTAAAAAAAATTCTTAATTTATTATTTAATATTTAAACTTTTGCTAAAATCTGATTAATTTGACAAATTTTTTTTAGAGGGAAAAAAATCACTAATGAATTTTTAATCATTTATTTGTAATTTAATAATAAATTGAAAAAATATTATGAGAAATCAAAATAATTTACAATAAATTGCAAAAATCAATTAAAAGCTTATATGATCTCAAATTTAATCAATAATGGTATATCTATCTCTCTTATTATTTATTACATATTCTTTTTAATAATTGTATACTTTAAGTAATTTAAGATCAAATAAGGTAATTTTTAATAAATTCATTTTTACTGATAAATTCTAAATGAAATTTAAGCGGGACAAATAAAATAAGTATTTATAAAAATTTAGATCAAATCAGCAAACAATTAATTTTTAAATAAAGATATTTTCATGCTTTTTTGATTATAATACTTCAGAATATATAAGATATACATACTATGATTTATTTATATTTTGCTGCAAAAAAATAAATTTTGAGCCCTGGTTTTTAGATATTTGTATAAATATTTTTAAAAATTACTATTTTAATTTAGATTCACAATAGTCGGAGTAAATGCATTATTTCTTTAATTTAAGAAATAAAGATTTATACATATTCCACATTTTACTTCAATTAAATTTAAACCCAGAATGTTTAGTGTATTAATAAATATATATTTGTTATAGCGTAAACGAATATTGTAAAAGCAAGTTTCCGTTTTTAGGTCTTGGATAGAGGATATCTTAAAGATAATTCTGAATAAACTCTTCGAAATCTGAATCATCACTCGTTTATTCAAGGCTATTCCTTTTTGATTAAGCTGTAAAAGGCTTAAAATTATCTATAAAATACATTAATCTTTGTTGATAGCTTTAAACACTTAAATCATGACAAAATGCTTATAAAGTCTAGAAAACTTTAGTTTAGCTATTATCTACTAATTATTTTTCATAAATATAATAATCACATACTTATTTTTAAGAAAATATATTAAATGTATTTCCTTCAGATAACCTTAAGTTGCTTCTATATTCTATAAATAAAGTTTACTCTTAAGCTACTTTGGTTAGATCTTAAAATTATTTTACATACCTCAATAGATAGTTTCTCATCATTCAATAATTCAATATAATACTTCCTTCACCAATCAGAATCTCTTAAAATGTTTATATTCTTTTATATTTCTTAATCTCGAATATCAGTTTAACTTTGTTGTTAGTTCTATATTAAAAGATTTTTACATACTTCAGTCTAAATTTAACTACATTTTATTTATGGAAAAACAAATTCATGCATCATTCTAAATTTAATTTCATTTTATGGCTAAGATTTATATAATGCAGCTTAACAAAAATTTAAATATTTTTTAAATTTATTTAAAAGAAGAAATCTTATTTTTATTTGCATTATTTAAATATGGATAATCTGATAAATTATATTTCATAAATAGGTGGGAAAAACAAATTCATACGTTAGTCTAAATTTAATTACATTTAATGGCTAAATTTTATAAATGTGGCTTAACAAAAATTATAGACATCTTGTTGGCGCATAAAATAAAAACTGAATGAATTTATTTTTTTTCAAAAAGAAACAAACAAATTTGTCAAATTTATTGAAATAAATTCATCATAAAAAAAAACTAGAGTTCTTAAAAATAGTTTTAAAGTGAATACATTTTTATTTAATTTTATAAGAAAAATTAAAAGCTATAAAAAGCAAGAATAAACATACATTAAAAAATATTATTGAAAGGTTTATTAAAGGTAAGGTTCAATGCTCACAATAATCGAATGACTGAGCCTCAGTTTACTTATTTAGAGATCTTTCATACATATCTCTAAGTCTATATTCCTTTATAAACTCTAGAGGCTTTGTGAACTCTACGTCGTTAATTGTGTAAGGCTAATCTTTATGATTAACCACAAAAAATACAACAATTTTTCTTTTAAGTGGTTTATCTGTTACATTCTTGATTCCCTTTACTTTGTGGATATTTTGGTTTGGGAAAATAATCATCAAATTTTCTTTGATATCGAGAGAACCTAAAGGAATTAATTTATGAGGATCACATAAATGGTTATAGCTAGGACAGTATTAATGGGCACTTTACATTTAACTTCCTCCACAAGGATCATCATCTGAGCGAGGAGTTCTTTTAAATTTAAGTTTTCCATCTACTAGGTTTTCATCATGCTCTATTACATATAAACATGTATAGAGGATGTTATCTGATGAAAAACCTTCTACATGCCATTTACCTGAGTAAGTGCTTTTAGGAGCTATTTCAATTTCACTTATTTTAACGATAGCATGAATTTATTGAGAGAAATTGACTTTACTTTTATTATCTAATATCTTTATTCTATCGTAATTGAATTCGTTTGAAATCTTGTATTCCAATTTTTTAAAATAGTCATGTGTCTATTGAAGAGGTGTTGAGAAATAAGTCATTAAATGATTTAATTCTAATTTGAGTTCATCAATATCAGGGCATTTCTCTAAAAGATTAAATAATTTTCCTTCAATTTCGTACATTTTTTTTTTTTTAGAGTATTTGAAAACAGCAGGGAGCCATAGAAATTCGGATTAAGAAGTCTTATATTATTTTCCCCACTGATCAATTCCTTGATACTCTTTAATTTCTTTAAAATAGGCTTCAATTTATTTGCTCTGATCAGATTTAATGTAATCCTTATGGTAAGGCTAAAGGGATTGGTGAATAATGTTTCTAACCTTCACAATATCTGCAGTGTTTTATTATTATTATTCTTTTTCTTCATCTTCTTCTTATGGATAGTAATTGGTTTTCCTATTTTTCATTTTTTCTTATACAAGCTCTTTGATTTATCCACTTATAGAATTTATATTTGGATGGTAATCAATTAGGTTATTTTGCTCTTAGAAAAGCATAATTTTGTTTATAGCTTTTAAAAGATTATCTTTTCTTTCATATATGATGTAATTTTCTTTATGAGTCAGCAATTTATGATTTATTTTTTAAGGATTTTATTCAAAAATGTATACATCGTTAGCTTTTTATAATTTTATATCTTCATATACAGATTTACAATATTATTTAGATTCATTTTAGAATTTATAGTGTCTTCTTTCCCATTTGTCATCCTCTTATTCTTCATTTGATTCTTCTTAACTGTTCTAATTATCTGATTATTTGTCCTGATAACCATATTCTTGTTAATAAGTAAGATCAGCTGATTTGCGATAAATTTTGTCAATATAACGATTCTTATCGAGGTTAAGCATTTTAGAATTACAAATTATCTTTTGTTTATTTAATTATTATATAAAAGGAAAATACATAATTTATGATCTAATATTTAAATCATTCCCAGAATCTGATCAATTTTGACAAAAATTTTTAGAGGGAAACAAGTCACTAATGAATTTATAATTATTTATTTGTAATTTAGTAATAAAATAAAAATATTATGAGCAATCAAAGTGAATTACAATAAATTGCAAGAATAAACTGATTTTTTTTTGCATTACTTATTCTTACCATTGACAAATAAATTTGAAAAATGTTAAATTTAATAATTTATTTAAGTATCTTAATAATTTCCGATTAATTATTAACCAAAATCTTATAAAATGAAAAGTATATGTTAACGAACCGAACTTAGCTCAGTTGGAAGAGCATCGGACTGTAAAGTTTGTAGTCATCCGGTGGTCCCCGGTTCGAACCCGGGAGTTCGGATTTTTTTTTAAAAATTTATATAATGACAATTTTTTTATTTTTTGAATTTATAAATTATTAAAATATCCAATTATTAAATAAAATCGAAATAATATGTAATGGTTTAATTTTTAAATGAATGTCTAGTTTTGATGAATAGACTAATTAAATATAACTTATTTCTAATTCATAGAAAAAGTTTGATATATTTAATTTGTTTTAATTGTAATAGTAAGAAAATTTAATTTTATATGATAAGTACTAAAATATTATATACAAAATACACAAAAAACAACTACATATTCAATCGTCCAATTTATCTATTTTAGGTTATATTTTTAGTTTTTTTACTGTATATTTAACAGCATCTTTAAGGGAATCGTTGTCTTTTTCTTTGCTTGTTAAAATAGATTTCCAATAGTAATTTTTTAAAAATTCTTTAAATCCTTCTACGAAAACGAAATTTTCTTCTCTAGCTATTGCTTTGTTAATTTATATGTCTAAATCTTCTTGAGATATCCTATTAATATTTTATTTAATATAAACTAAAAATAAGAAAAAAAGAATTACTTTTTGAAGAAATTGCCTAAGAATATCTTGAGGAAGATTATTGTTTACTCAGAGAGGTTTTCTAAATCAAAGAATTTGAGAGCAGTAATTCCTAAGCTCTTGGAAGAGCATAAAAGAGCTGCGTATTTAGCTAAATTGTTGATTTTTCTTATTTCAGCTCTTTCTATTGTTTTAAATTAATCCCACAAGGCATATTAAAAGCTGAATTTTATTTTTGGGTTGATTTCAATTAATTTTTGAGTTAAATGAGAGTAGAAAGGATTGAATTTCTTTTCTTAGGCACAGCATTAAATAACAACAACAGCAACTTCTTAGCTTGATTTCTTAACTACTTTTAGCTTCAATATTCTTTAAGCTGCATCGACATAATCTTCAGAGCTCATTACTAGCATGAAAATTCTTTTACGGGTATCTGTGGTCATTCTACACTTAATTGCCAATTATTCAAGTTTTCTTTTAGTTTCTTCTGTTAGATGACTAAATTCACTATCTCTATTTTCAAAATCCTCATTTCCATCCTCACCTTTGTCGTTCAAATCTTGTCTGTAAGCTCCAGTTTCAAAATAGGAATACCATCTAGGAGTATCTCTCTTTGAGTTGAAAGCAAATTTAAAATCAACAGGGAATGTTCTCTTAGTTAATTTCATTCTTTATTTTATTTGTAGTAATTTTTTTAAAAATTGAAAGTTAAAATAAATTTAATTTAGTTAATTAGTTGATGATAATTTCTGAATTACTTTTGAATGATGTTCTTCTTTAACCAGTTAATAAAGAAATTTAATCTTTGCACAGGATCAGTTTTAAGTTTTTTATTGAGACGAATATCATTTAAAGTAAGCATAACAAATTCAATTTTTTTAGGAACTTGTTTGCCTTGAGCTTTCAATTGATTTGAATATTCATCGACTTTAGCTTTAGTATTGTCAATAATATTCTTGAGAATTTGTGGATTATCTTGTCTTATTTTAGCTCCAACATGTTAAACAAGGATTAAAAGAGCCTCAATAGTTCTTTAATTAATATTCTAAAGTAAGTGCTCCAAGTAACCAGAAATGAAATCAATACTAACATCATCAAATATATAAAAGTAAGAGAAAACAATAGTAATATTTCTTAATTTATTAAAGAGAGAATCTTCATGAATTGAATCTTCTTCCAATTCAGATTGTAAGGCATCTTTATTTTAGATAATTTCTTAGTAAAGATTTAAGAGAGATTTCATAATAGGTCCAAAGCCTTCATTATCATAGATTTAGTGAATAGCACTAACAACTACAGTGTTACTGGCCATTATGTGTTGCATAACCTTAACAGGTTCGATAGTGGTTTTCATAAAAATATCAGCTAAAATAGGTGTGACTAAATTCTTGGCATTTGATTAGAAATTATCTAGCTATAAATTAACAAAAAATTATTATTAAAAGAACAACGAATTTTTATAGTAATAAATAATATTTGTTGAGTTATCTATTGTAAAAAAATATTCTAAAATATTTAAAAATGATAGTTACAATTTCTTTAAAGATAATATCAATGTTAGTTTCTGAAAGTCTATTGTAGCCCTGGATGATTGATTTTCTGATTAAGTTCTTTTTCTCAAAATCTTTTTTTTCCATTTCCACTAAAATTCTTTGTCTTTCCTTTTCTTCTTCAGTCATTCCTTATTCTTTCTTTTATTACTTCTCTAATTTCCACTTTTCTATTTCAGAGAGCTCCTTCTTTTCCTCCTTAGTATTTTTATTCTAATCTTTTTGATTTCCTTTTTAAGATTATTCTTTTTCTTTGCTTGCAACAGAATTTGCACTGCTTCCTTTTAAAATAGATTTGATTTCCTTTTTTTCAGGTTTTAATTCTTCATTTTTTTCTTCAACATATTCATATTCGTCTTCATCTTCATCTTCAATATCATCATAATAACTTTCTTCTTCTTCATCATCATCTTCTAAATCATCACCATTTTCATCTTCCATATTTTCATCATCATCTTCTTCTTCGACATCTTATTCTTCATCATCATCTTCGACATCCTATTCTTCATCCTCTTCCTCTTCTTCCATTTCATCTTCTTCTAAATCACTCAACTCTTCATCTTCTTCTTCAATATCATTATTACTTTCTTCAGTGAATCCTTCTTGATCAGGGTTATCATCATCATCCTCTGGTAAAGATTTATTAGGACCATTTACTAATGAAATTGGAGCATTACTTTCCTCAACTAACTCTTTAACTTCAGCATCCTCAAGAATACCTTCTTCTTAAAAGAAAGGCTTGTATTATTTAACATCAGTTTTAATTGTAGTTGAAATATTATCTAAAAAGCTAAATAAATCATCTTCCCAACCATCAAGTTTTAACTCTTTGCTAAACCTTTTTTCTCCAGTTTTACCCTTTTTTTTACCCAATAATTTTTCAAAATATTTAATTTCCTCATCATCCATCTTGATTTTCTCTTCTAGTTATCTCTTCTCTCTTTCTTATCTTTACTTTTCAATTTGTTCGAGTTTCTTTCTCTTTAATTCTTCCTTTTCCTCTTGAGTTTACTATTATGATTTAAAATCCTTCTTATTCAATTCTTAGATCCTCTTTATTTGTTGCTCTTCTTATTCTTTTTATATCTTATCCATCATTATCTACTTCTTCTAATCTTTAGTTGAAGAGAAGAAAGTTTACTTTTTTTACTTCTTCTCCATTTTTTTTATTTTCCTATTTTATTTTCTATTAAAAACTGAAAATTTCTGGTCTACTCCTTTTAACATATCAGCATGATGAGTATCTTCGATTTCCCTAATTTTTATACATATTTAAACTTTTTAGTTTGTTGATGAAAGTTGTAATCAATAAAGCTTTACTCAGTCTCTTTGTTTTAAACTTATTATTTTTTTCCTTGTTTAGCGTTTTTATTAAATTTCATTTCTGATAAGTTGTTTTGATTGCAAAATATCTACTTTGTTTATTTATTAAAATTAATGATTAAACTCAATACACAAATAAATATATTTTTTACTTCTATTTACTAATAATTTGTAATTATTATTTCAATGCTTATTTTTATCCGAAACTACATTTAACAATTAAATATATATAAGGAATCTATATAAACCAAAGATAGCAAAAGATATTTTAAAAGATCTACTAAAAACTAACAATACAAGAAATTTATTGATATCTTTTTTAAACAAACAATAAAATTTTGGTTTTATTTAGAATTAATATAAATTAAAAGATAAAATAGAAATAGTTTTAATGCCTTAATAATTTAAATAAGTAATGCAAAATGTTTAGCTGATATTTGAAAAAATCAAAAAAGAAAGTTAGAATTAATAGTAAATTTTATAAATAATAGACTCTTTCCTATTAGGCATGAGTTCTAAATTAATTATCAATACATTTTTTTAGTTGCTTGTGGTAATCGAAAAGAATAATGAAGAAGGTATTCAAATTTGTAATATCCTCTAATTCACTTCAAATTTAAGTAAGAAAGTAATAGAAGTATTTGAAAATAAATACTTAGACCAACTTGATTTAGATGAATTAGATAAATTAGAATTGTTGAACACGCTTAAAATTATAACTCAAAATAAAATATAGATTAATGATTAAAATAAAGTGATAGATATTATTATTAAGATAATTTCGCATCTAGCAGCTATTCTTAAAAACATTACAAATATGATTCTCAAGTTAGAAATTGAAGCTAAATATTTAGAATTGCTATTTTCCCTCATTTTTAAAAATAATTTAAGTCAATAAAAATTTAATGTAGAATAACTAAATGTAATCTAAAATATTATAATTTAGAATATTAGATTTTTGAAATCAAAGACAATATAAATAATTGGTTAGAATTAATAGATTTTTTTAGATGATAATAACTAATTTATAATTAATAAATATCAAAATACAATTTATTGTTATTCTTTATTGATAATAATTTAGCTCTTTTTGATAGGAAATATATAATAAACGGATTTATAATTAAAACATGATGTCACCTAATTTTGGAAATATATCATATTACATTTTTTTTAAAAGAAGTAAGAGAAATAAATTCCATTTATATTTAAGAGATTATGCTAATTTATAATTATGCAAAACGATAGCTTATTTAACATTATACTAACTATGATTATTTAAAATAATGATATTCTTCAAAAAAATATGCTAGGTTGGGACTTAGAATTTATATTATCTATATTTGAAGAAGAAACATTAATCGATCTTATAATGAACGACTAATCCTTGCTTGATATTTTTAAAAAAATTAACCTTTAACCAAATTAATTACCAAAATTAAGCAAAATTTTACATTAATGAGCTTAAATTATTTCATTTATATATTGTTATTTAATTTAATCATATAATTAATACTTTTATTTAAAATTTCATAAATATACACAGTAAAATCTATCTATCTATGTTAGTCACCTTCCAAGCTAAGAATCTTGCCCAACATAAAATTTAAAAATATTTTTAAAATCTTTAAGAAAATACCTTAATAAATTAAGTAGAAAATATGCTATTTGAATTATGATAAATTATTCTTTTTTATTCTTCAATAAAACGCATATGGGAATTTAGTTTTTTTTTTTGGGTGTTAGAAACTTGGTTATATTTCCTAAATAGGTTATTTGATTTTTTATACTTATTAAATTGAATTTTAAGCAGATATCATTATGTTAATCCTAGTTTATTCAAGCTTTTGATTCAAATCTTTTTCTAAATCTTAGTCAATTATTAAATTCTTATTTTGTTTAAGAGCTTAATCTACCTATTTTTTGATAATTATATAATTTTCTTTAGCTTTTTAATAATTTTCGAGAAGCCTCTATTTTTAATCTATTGTTATGCTACAATCCTAGCTTAACTATTAAATTTATTCTTCAAGATATTTGATTGTAATTTCGTCAGTGTAACTCATAGAGGCTTCTTAAATTCTATTATGAAGGATAGCAATTAGTTTTAACTCTTTTTACAAATTTTAATCTAAGATTTCTATTTATTATTATAGAGCTTGCATATCTTTTTAATGATTTTCTTTTTCCTATTAGAGAGTTTTTTTTCTTCTTATAGTATCATAATCTTTTACATCTACATATACTACGTAAGGTTCTTCATCATCATATTTTTCAGTTTACTCTTCTGTGATTTCCGTTGTATGCCCATGATAATCAACCGTGTGTTTGCACTCTCTACAATTGGTATTTCCACCAAATGCAGTGCAGTTTTACAGTTCGATACTACCTCTCTAGTATAAACTCTCTAGTTCACATGGGTTATGGCAAAGTTTTTAACAATTGTAGCAGAAAGTGACTTTTTTGTCAAGAGTTTTCTATACAGTTTTTTATCTAGTTCTTTATTTTGTTTTATAGCGCATTCTAGGTACTGAGTTTGATTCAGGTCCGAGTTGACTAATCAAATTTTACACACTATTGATAGAGTTTTATTTTTGTTAAATATTTACTCTTTCTTACTCTATATATTTTATTTAAAACTATTTTTCACAAGCAATTTTAATCATAGATTCTTTCTTAACTAGTAATTCAAGAAGATCTTAGGTCTTCTGAGGCTGCATCTTTAAAGCAGTTTCAATCATTTCTTAGAATTGTTCAGCATTAGTTTACCAAAAATTATTACTTTATCTTTAAAGATTTTGGATTTTTTTGGAGTCTTAATTACAAAAATAGGACATTGGAATCAAGCAATCATTCTCGAAATAATAGTTGTAATCTAGAGGAATGTTCATGTCTTTCAACACTTGCAATGCATCTATTTTCATAGGATTAATCACATTAGTAAAACAAACAATAAAATTCTTTTTGCATTCTTTAGTAAGCATACTCATAGCTTAGTTTATAAAATATTAAACTAAAAGATCTTTCTTATTGTCTTGAGCCTTGTGAATATACAAAATAGCATTTATTTCCGTGAGTTGCTGTACGCGAGCTATTATATTTTTTATATGCTTTTAGTCTGCTTCAGCTCCCTCAGTATCTCCAAGTCCAGGAGTATCAACTAAAGTTAATATACACTTATCTCCTTCAACAGTATACATATTACATTCTTTAGTTTAGCTTTTAGAGGACGAAATTCCAATATCAGATTATTTATTACTAAATTAATCCACATTACATTGAAGAATAAATTTTTGATCATTAAAAGAAAAATGTTAAGTAATCCCAACTACACGCTCATCTTGAAAGCTGTTACCTATAGCTAGATTTAAAAACATGTTAATAGCAGTAGATTTTCCTGCACCTGTTTTCCCAATCATCAACAATTTTAAATGAGGTTTTTAAAATTATTCCATTCTTTTTTTTCTTTTTTTTATTTTGTTAGCAAATCTTTTTTTTGTTTTTATATTATTATTAAAAGAAACAAGAATTTCAATTAGCATTTCAAACATTTATTAAACTCAAGGATTAGAATATTTAAGAGCTTTTAAGGCAATTTAATATCTTTTAGTAATAAAGTAGAAAAAGAAATATTAAAAGATGATAGATTGTAAGATAAAAATTAATATAAATATAATATATATTTGAAATAGATTATAAGACATCTCAATATAATTTAACATACTGTAAAGTTTCATATATTAGGGTAACACTAAATCCTGCTTTTAACCCCTCCATAAGCGCTTATTTAAGAAATTTTAAGAAAAATTTATGCCTTAATTTTAAGGTAAAATTACAAACCTTTTAAGGTGAATATTCTAAAATGCTTAACCCAAATATTCTAGTTAAAAATAAATATTTTATATTTCTAATCTATATATTCTATTTAAAAACAAAAATTCTAATTTTTATAACTTAAATACTCTAAATTATTTATTTAAATATTCTAACTTAAATATTCTAAATTGCTTTATTTAAAAAAAAAAGTTTTTATGAGTACTGAAAACTGCGATTAAATAATGAGGATAAGTATTCTAGCCATAAAGTTGCCATTCATTAAACGAATTAAGCTAATATGATAATGTATCAATATTTCTCTAATTTCATTCTACAAAAAATATGCTAATTCAATAAATATAAGATTAAAATTTAAACTAAAATTGGGGTTACGATGATAATTTATCATGATGTCTAGATATAGAATGAAGTGTCTGTGTATACATCTCTAATATGGTATTTCTAAGATTGAGCAAGGAAACAAATTTAACCTATCAGCTTATCAGCTGAAGGTATTATTGAAATTAATATTGGTTTACAAAAGTAAATTTATCAATACTTAACTGTCAAAATATCATCAAAATTTAGTAAAAGTATTTTTTAACTCAACATAAAGTTTGAAATTATACTATCCCCTCATTTACTCTTTCTTGCATATTTTTTAGCGAAATCATATGTCTATAAAAATTTTAATAAATAAAATAAATAACTAGCCCTTTATAATTTTGATTATATTTATTTTTTTTTTTAAATATTAAGCATATTCAATATTATTTATTAAGAGTATTAAAGAAGTTGAAAGGAATTTAAATAAAATTCAGACTCTTTTGGTTTCCCTTATACAATTAGTATTAGATTTAGTATTAATATAAAAATTTATAGATAATTTAGTTGAAGACATTATGTAAATAATCAGATATCAGTTTTAAATTTTGCTTGTAAAATAAATTTCATTGTTAGTTTTCAAATTAAGTTATTAAAAATGTATGAATGAATAATAAAATATTATTTTTGGATATTAATTTAAAATTTTTACAATTTTTTAAAAGTAATTCTAATTCCATGGATTTTGCATTTAGTTTTATGAATAAAGAGTTATAAATATTAAATTATTATTTAATCTTTTGATTTGAGCAATATTTTAGGTATTGGTTTTCAACAATTAAAATCGAAGTTAATTTTTTTTTTTGCAAATTGTGATATAAATTGATATCATTTATTTAAATTATCCAATGAAATTTGTAAAATTTAAGCAAAAAAAATAGAAGGTAATAAAAATAGGATGAAATATGTTCAATACATAAATACATATTTTCTTTTTAAAAATAAAATATTTTTAATCAATGCAATATTTATAATATAATTAGATGTAATAAAGTATAAAGTAACATGTAAGTATTTTATTGAAAAAAAATAGTAAAAATTGAAACATTTTTTAAAATAAGAAAATTTAATCATTTAATTTTTTACTTCTGAATTTGAATTTGTGTGTAATCTTTATAGAGATTAATATCAAAAATATTAAAATATCAATAAAAAATAATTATTTTTCTGGCTTTATTAAAATTTATTAATATTTTATAATTTTATGCTTTACTCGCTCTACAAAAAAAGTAAGTCCCTTTTATTTATTAAAAAATAGTAAATTTGATTTTTAAATATTTAGTAAAAATGATACTTACAAATTATTGAAAATGTATGTAAGTAAGCATGAATGAGTTTATTAAAAACTACTAAAATATTAACAAATATAAATACTTGAATTAGTTGAATTGCTAAATAATTAATTAATATGTAGGAGTAAATTGCGTCAATAGAAATAAATTTTGTTTTATTTATTATTTGCTACTAATAAATAATAGTTGGAGAGTAATCAAATTTAAAAGTAAATAAAAATTAAGCAGGAAAAACTCCATAAAATATGATAGAATCTTATTTACATTTGAGTTTTAAATAATTTTTATCATGAAAAAATGAGTAATTCATTTATTTATTGATTAGTCTTTCTGTTTAATTCAAAAAAAATTTACATTTATATCAAAGAAGAAAAAACAGTGTAATTCGATAAATTAAAAGAAAATTTACATCTGAATGCTAAAATTTTGATTCGAAAAATTAAAAAAAAAACAAAAATCAACATTTAAAATAGTATGATTTATTTTACATTAGTAATGAAGCAAACATTAAATATTTGAAATACATTTAAATTTATCTATATAAAGAGAATAATAAAAGTGTAATCGATGCTTGAAATTAGTGTATTGAAATTGCAATTTAGAGGTTTACATTGGGGATATATAGAGCAAATTTAATATAGTATTTTATTGATATTTAGAAAGATAGATATATAGATATGAGATTATTTAAGAAGATTGATTGAGTTAATAGAATTTAATGAGTTTATTAATTAGTTAATATATTAGTGGGAAGATTTTATATAACAAAGTAAGAATATTTTTAATAAATTAGGTGAGTTAGTTAGTCATTCATTTAGTCGTTTTATAATAAATAAATTTTTATTGCACAATAATCAATAAAATAGAACTCTTTGTTAGATTTACTAGATGTTCTACTTTTAGCTGTATTGTTATTATAACTTGTTAGATTGTATTTGGTAGAGTCTTTGTCTTAAATTTGATTGAACAGGGTTTAATTTTCTCTCAGGTTTTACATAGATACTTCCTTCGGGTGTGTATTATTCTTGGTTTTATCTTTCGCTGTAGAATAAACAACCATAGTAAAATTCTTCGATATTTTTGGAGGCAGCGTGGCTCTTGAAGATTCTTGTGAAGTAGTAAAATTTGTTGCTGAACAATCTTGCAGCTTGCTTTCTGATTTCAGATAAAATTTACAATTATTCTTGATTGAAATTGAGCTTTTACTCAAATTCTTAGACGACAGTGGTCTTTTTTTACATATTGCTAATTTCTTGCAAGTGAGGGAATAAAAGGAGGAAATGCTTTTGATTGCAGCTGATTGGGAATGCCATTTTGATAAATTCAACGACATCGTCTCTGTTTTATTGTTTGTATACTTTTTTTAAGTTTTCGATCAATGGTTTCAAGAGAGTTTTGTAGAAATTTTTAAGTTTGTTGGAGTTGTTGTCAAATAAATACTTCTTAGATTAGCTTGTTTTGTGTATGTTTTATTGGGTGGTTGATGGCTTTTCTTAACTGTTTTATTCGCTTTCTTATTCATCATCAGAGTTTTCTAGCTTTGTTTCGAAGATGGCGTTATTAATTGGCTACTTAGGTTGGTTTGGGTAGACATTGAAGGTGTTTTATTCAATGATTTTATTTTAATGTTAGTCTTACTATTAATATTGGTGTATATTTTATGCTTATTCTTATTATTATTAATATTGCTAAGTTTATTAATACTAAGGTATTTGCTAATCGCATTGAGTTTATTAATTTTATAAATTTGATTATTGTGAGATAGGCAAGTTCAAGAATTGATTTTCTTAATAGATGAAGCTGGGGTTTTCAAATTTAGGTTGAGGACAGTCACTTAAAAAGAAATTATCATTTTGGAAGTTAAACTGAGATACTTGAATCTAAAAGTTGTTGCCGATAAAGTTGTTGTCTTGATTATTTTAGAATGTAGTTATCAATTAATTCTATTAATTGGTATTGAAAAAATTATTTTAGAACACGCTCTAGTTAAATCCAATAACGTTTGACTCATTTTTCCATTCTTATTCGTATGGCTTTTCTTCAATTTTAGGTTAAATTTAATCCAAGATTTATTGAGTTTTATCAGGAATGCTTTTGACATTTATTTTACCTGAGAAGAGCTATTCATTGACATAGTCTTCGAACAAATTAAGTTGTTACTCGAAGACATTAGTAGACTCACTGAGGTATTCTTCTTAGAAACCAAAATGTTGTTATTTTTATTAGTCTTGATATTGTTATAGTTCTTCAGTGGAGTCGTTGTTGACTGCACAGTTGGCAAATAAGTATTAGCAGTTGGTGGCGTATTGCATTTATTAATAAATAGTTATATTCAAGGTTAAAGTTAAATAAGTATAAAGATTATTTGTTTTGTTTGAATATTTTGTTAATTTTGTTTTAATCAATTAATTATAATCTTTCTCTGTCCTACTTTTTTACAAATAAATGAAATTAATTGATAGAGGACTGACTGTACTGTATGATTTTTAATTTATTAATGTTAAGGTTTCTTTCTTAGGTAGATTCGAAGCTTTGAAGGCTAATTAAGCGATTGTCATTATTTATTAAATGAACGAATGAATAATAATATTCCTAAGGTATTAATTTGTTGTGAGATAATAAATTCTTAATTTAATTAAAAAAATAGGTAGTGGGTAGAAGAGATGATTTTTGTTATTTAATTTATTATTCAAATTCATTATAGTGTAATCACAAGTCAATTGGTTTTAATTTTTTATACAAGAGCATTCAAATTACTCCACCGGATGGGTGATTTGATTTAGTTAGGTTTTCTTCGTCGGATTAAAATAAATATTTAGTAGATTCATATTTTATTGATAATCAATCACAAAAATTATCAAGATATATTTTAAAAGACTAAAGTTACAAATACAAGACATTGGGTGAGTTAATATTTTTTTTATATTTAATAATGAGAAGGAGATTATGGCTTCATTACACATTTATTTTTTATGTAAATGAAAGAAAGATGTTGGTAATAGTTGATTATTTGTTTGATCATATTTCTCTTTATGTAATGAAGAATTTCTAGTAATTACAATTTATTATAGACTATGAATGACATTGGAAATCGAAACGGAGCAACTATTTCTTACAAGAAAAAAATGTACAATCTACAAATCTGATGCAATAGATAAAGAATAAACACAAATATTAATTAATTCTACCTCTTAATAAATAACACCATAATAAATATTGCATTTTTAGTAAGAATATTTTTATTGAGAGAGGGGTAGGAAAATAAATAAATAAGTAGGCTGGTATTGTTTTAATTTTGCAAATGAAAAATTAAATTAAATTTATAAAATTGATAAATTAGGAGATAGAGACACTACTCTAAACAAAGTTTGCGTTTAAATGTAATTAGTTGAATATAATACTTACAAAATACTCAAAGAATTATGAAGATTTTCAAAATTTAAGTAGAAATGTTATTCATTTTTTTAAAATTTTACTTGAAATTAAATATCTCTTTTCATTTATATTGGAGATTACATGTGATAAATAAAAGAAATATCTATAGTTCATGTAAGCCTTAGCGCAGCTATTATTAATTTTACATATAGCTCGAAAAATATCTTTGAGTTTTACCACTTTCTACTCTAATTCATAGCAATATTAATGAATGAGAAGTTGTTAAATTAATCTAATTAAGAAACAAATTTTTAATCACACATCAAATATTTTCTTTTTGATATCAAGTAACTAAGATTTATCACTCTTAATCTAATTAATTCTTATCTGAAAGCATTTAAATTTTTTACCTTTGCCAGTCAATATCAGATGATACATGCAAGTTAACTTACAAATACTTTCTAATTCTACTATTACTCTAAAGTATGTACTCGCTTATTCTTTTAAAAGTTAAAACTAATTCTCTACATCATTTTTATTTTAACTAGCTTTGATTTAAAATATTTAGATTTTATAATTTCTAAGTTTAAAACTTCTTAAAAAGTATTTAAGGAAAAGGGAGTCCAAAATTAGAAGTAATTGTGAAGCCCACTAACCAATAATTTATTTATTTAATAAACTGATTTGTATTTGGCATAATATAGTTCAAAATTCTAATTTTATTCTTATAATTTAACAAATCTTAATTCGCACTCTATTTCATTTTAATGATTTATTATGAATTTATTATTTGACACTATCATGCAAGAATTCCACTAAAAAAACCTATTTCACAAAGTAAATCTAGTAAAATCATTCAATTTATGATTTATTGAAGTTAATATCAAACTAATAAAATTAAATGGAAATTTTTATATAAAATTTCAGATTTTGATAAATTGAACTAGTAATGTTCCTAAAAATTAAGTAAAAAAAATTTTTAACACATTTTCGAATTCGATTTGAAAATTTTTCTTAATATTTTTTTTTAGATTCCTCTTTTAAAATAATTAATTTGATTATTCACTTTCTCCCACTTAGTTTTACAGGATATATTATTTTTCTAAACCTAAATCTATTAATATTTTAAAGCTTTTTTTCTCTTAAATTTAAAGATTTAACTGTTGGTAATACTTTGTTATTTACATGTGAATGAATGTAAGTAAGTTAAAAAATCATGAAAAATAATTAAAAAGGACCAATTTTATTTTAAGATTTTAAGATACTGAACACAAACTCTAAATTAGCTGGTGGAAAATTTTTTCAAATTTTTCATTGCAATATTGATTGAAAAATTTATGGGAAACATTACTAAATATAAAATATTTGGAATATAAATTAAATTATGTGCAAAGAAAATTATGTAAAACATAATTTTTATTTCAACGAAAGACTTTCTTTGATTTCAGAAAATTAATAATATAGACAGATATATTTTTAATCAAATAGATGAGATATTAGTAAAGATACAACTAAAAAATTTGATATCTTATTAATGACAAAAATAATTTAAATCGTGGTATGGTCGGAAATTATAAGCAAAAATAATTAATATAATCCACTTTATAATACTCACTTACATATAATTTCTAAATAAGTATTTTCCAAACATAATCAAACTTCATATAAATTACATCTTACTCCTTGATTAATTGTTAGAGAAAATTACTACTCTAAGGTACATATCTTACTTTTATTTCACATAATTGTTATTTTTCTTATTGAAAGTGTTTTGTTTGATTGTTAAAATTTCTCAAAATTAATTCAAAAAAGAATAGATAATAAATGTATTTAAACAATAAAAGTGGTTTTGTAGCCCTTTTCTAATAAAAATTAATAGATTTGCTGGGAATCTTATCAAAAAAGACATAAATCCTTCCCAAACTGTTTAATTTTGAATTTATCTTGAATATTTTATTATTTATGTTACTTTAAACAATAATCTTTTTGAATTTGAATGCACGAAGTAGTTTTTTATTTACTTTTTTTGCAAACGTTATGATGAAATAAAATTTAAATTTTGCTCTATAAAAAACTGTAAAAAGAAGTTTTATTTGAATAAAATTGAAACAGAATTTTACAATATTTGTAAGCAGAATTGGGGGAGGGATGAATGGATCATTTAAATAAATTTTTTAAATTTTAGTAAGGAATAAAAAATAATTTAAAATGCAGAAAAATAATATTTGCGCTTATTAATTTTTGAAATATACATTAAAAGCATCAAAAATGAATGGATGGATATTATTAAAATGTAAAAAGATGATTTCTTTCCTTTACTTCCCTTACTTAGCTTTAAGAATAGTTTGATTTTTTTATGTAACAAACATAATTAATAAATAAATATTTTGAGAAGTGAATCCTTATTTTAGTAATGAATTTTATTTTTGTTTAATTAATAAGTACCAATAAAATACGATTTAAATTTTTTTGAATCTTGAGTTTAAATTAACTCTCTAAGGTTTATCATAATTGAAAGTATTTAAACGCTAAATGTAACTGAATAAAAATCTTAATAATAAAAAATTGAAACTAGTTTATAAAATAAATTTACTTTTCATTAAAGCTTGTTCTATTGAGTTTGTAAATTATTTACAATTCTCAAAGTAAAAGACATGATTAATTTGCAATTTGAAAGAGTCCTAAATGCATGTATTTTAAATAGTAAAATTGTTTGGCGCTTAATAAAATAATGTTTTTGCGTCATGAAATAGAAAATGCCTTGGGAAAGCAATAAAATGAGTTTTGAATGTTTTTTTATTTGATAGATTATAATTTCATCTTGTAGATAAGCAGTTATTAGTATTATAACAAACACGCAAACAAGTAATAATCCATCGGTTTCAAATGTAAATAGGGAGATTTAGAGTTTTACACAAATATTAGCAATTAAGAATTTTTGATAATTCGGGTTTTTGATTGTCTATATCAATTTTGATATGAATCAGAATAAAAAAAATAATGTAATTTATTAAAGATAATAGAAATTTTATTTCTTCTGATAATTTATTATAAATCGAATTTTGATTTTGTAAAATAAAATTTGTATGCAATCAATAAATATGAATTAAAGTAAATAAGAAAATTAAATAAAACATTCAAATTAATTAGACATGCAGCAATTAATTATATCTGAAATTAATTTTTTTTTCATTTCATTCTTTTTTATATTTTTATTAACTTTTTAATACTCTCCTTATAATTTTTTTAACTAATTTCATTTTTCTTGCAATATTGGGTAGAAAATTGTTTGGAGTAACTTTATCAAAACCATAGCCATTTTCTAAGCATCTCCATCAAAATGAAAGTTATAATTGTCTTATAACTGCTCGATTATCTTTTAAACTACATTTTTTAGCTTTTCGTTTTTTGGCTATTTTCCTTCTAGCTATTTTTATAAATTTTATTATTGATCGATTTATTTTTTTTCTTCCTCGGATTCATCATCGTTATCATCATCATCTTTGTCTGAAGGAAACTTCCCTGATTTTACGATTGCATAATTGTACTGCTGTTCTAATGTTTTAATGTAATTTTGCAGCTAAAAGAAAAAGTCTTCTAAAGCCTAAGTTTTTTCAAGCAAGCTGTTATAGTCTCCTACGTTGATGAATTTTAATAAATTTCCATTTGTCTTATAGAAAACCTTAGCCCATCTCATCTAAAAGAAAATAAAAAAGAATAAATTTTAAAAATAGCGAATAACAAATTAAACTTAAATAAATAAATAAAATTTAGTTCATTTACATCTTTCATGAGGGACATAAACTCGTCAGAAGGAACTGACATATTTTTAATAACTTGATTGATTGCACTCATACTGCAATCCATGCTGTTTCTAACTATTTGATGGTATTTCTAGACTATTTCTTCCTTGATTTTATTATAAAATATCAATACATGGCATGTTCTTTAGATGTTAATTAAATTATCTGTCACATAATTTTGTTTTAATTTGTTCAAGTATTTATTCAAAAGGTCTCTAATTTTATTTTTTAAATCTGCTTGAAAAATTGAGTTCGACATTATGTCTATTATAATATTGCTAATTCTTTAGTAAGAGGTAACAATTGGCGTTATCACATTCAAGAAGTTACTATCAAGCAGCACCACATTATTGTTATATTTTTTAGTATATTCTTCATATTATGATAGAATTACTTTGTGGCATTCCATCATATCTCCAAAGTTTTTTTGAAAAAATTATTCAAGTTCTATTCTCGCCCTTGATAACATCAGTAACTAAGAGCTCACTTTCTATTAGTACTCTGAGATAAACTCTTCAACATCTTTTTTATGGGCTGGCAAATCTTTGAGCATCGAATCAAGAACCTTAAATTCCGGTTCGTTATCCATAAATTCATAGACAGTATTTACTATCAGCTGGGAATTAAAGTATGATCTGCTTTCTATTATGATTCCAAGCGCCTCTAAATTAGTAAGCTGGATGGACAGTGATTATCCCATTTTTTTTAATTCAGAGCTTAATTCATACGAAATAATCAAGCTTTCATCTTGTAAATTAATCTCTATTTGAGCTTGATTCTTTTTCAATCTCATAAGTAGTTTTAGTATATTCGTACCAATATCATCCAATAAATACTTATTATCAGTCCTTGTCAATAATTTAGCCTTTAAATATAAAAACAAAATTTATTTCAAATTTTTCCAACTTTAGAAAAAATCAAGAAAAATTTCAATAAATAGAAATCAAACTAAAAACATTAAATTTTACAAAAATCAACAACATAAAAATTTTTATTTTTATTTTTTAATTTTATATTTAAAATCATTTTCAAGCTATTTTTATGGTTATTTTATATTTTAATGCCCAATAAATTTGAAATGGTTTTTATTATTGTCAGAAAATCAAAAAAAAAAGCTTTGAATTGTTAATAATTTTCATAAAGTTTGAATTTTCTTTCAAAAAAATACTTAACAGAAAAAATGGAAAATTTTATTTTGTTATAAAATATTTTTAATAATTTTCATAATCAAAATGTTTTATAGAAATGAAACATAAAAGAAGAATTTAAATTACATCAATCGAATCTAGGAAAACAAATATGTCTTTAAGCAATGAATCAGTTTCGTCTCTAATTTACTCACAATCTACTCTCAAAATCTTAGACTCCTAGCTGAGCATTTCAATAATAGCATCCTAAATTTGATACAGTAATTCTCTTGTGTTCTTAAGTTAGATGTACTTTTTTTCAAATAGATGTTCGAATATGCTTACATAACTTACATTATAGTATTGCTCGAATTTAATTATGTACTATTAGAGTTATACTATTTAGTCTTCGCTTTACAGATATATTTTTTTTGCTTCGTTCCTAATTTTATTAATTTCTTCGTTTTAATGAGGTAATTTACTTCTTGTTTTATTCTATTGTATTTTTTCAAATCTAGTTTTTGTTTCCTCAATTAACTTCATAAAATTTTAAGAATCTTTCATATTTTTATCCAAGGGCTCCTCACTATCAATAATCTCTCTAATGAATTTAAGAGTTTACTAAAATAATCTAATGTCATTTTTTAATTATTTAATTTCCTTCTTTCTCCTCATTTTCTTATGTTCAAAAAACACTGTAAAACATTCGGCTGTATATAAATTATATGTTTCTTTACAGCTTCTCAACTCATCAAGCAATCTGTTGCTTTCATTTTCTATACTTTTAACCAAATTTTCATTATCTTTGCTTCTCAGGGGTTCCTTAACTCCCACTTTAATTCTATTAACCAATCCTTAAAACCTTTTTATAAATTATTAAAATAAATATTAAATCCTAAAATATCCTTAGCTATTTTTTAAAAGAAAACTAACTAAATTTTTAATTATATTTCTCTTTCTTTTTTATCATTTTAGCTTTTTATATGAAAAAATATATTACAAAGCTATGTTTTTTATCAACTTTAAAATACACAGTGAAAAAATACTTATTCTATCTAATTCTGAAATTCAAATTCTCTTGGATAAAAATGAATTAATATAATTTAAATAAAATAGATTTTTACTCATCCTTTATCTTTTCTGTTTCTCTTTTCTTAATAAAATGGAGATATAAAATTTCACATATGTTTTTGTTGATTTTAGCTAAATAAGGCTCTAATTTTTTGAGCTCTTCTCTTGTATATTTAATCATTCTCTGAAACTCAAGATATATATATGCACATAATTAATGATATAAGGAATTAGTAACCTAAAAATACTCTTTTCCTTCACTAAAAGTCTATTCCATCTACAAAGCTAAAAAAGCAGATTTAGAAGCTTCTTATTCTTCAGTTGCCTCTTTACATTTTTAATAGCAATCTTCTAAAACATCAATTACATGATCTAAAAAGTCTATCATTTCAATAGCATTTTCATCATAGCCAAAAGCAATCAATAATTTAGAGTTTTATTCATCGCTAAATAGTCCAATATAATGAGTCAAATCAATTGAAGTTTAAATTTCTATTTATAGCAATGACTAGTAAATAAGCTAAGCTTCTCCAATGATAAGATTTATTTGCTTTATGTTGTTAAATAGATTATCAATAAAATCTGCTTTCTTATCCAAGTTTAAATTCTTCTCTATATTTTGAGTGATTTCCTTCACTTTCAAAAATATCCTCTTCAAATCTCTTTGTGCCTCAATTTAGACCTATCTTAATTTCTAATTGTATTCCATTATTTCTCTCTCTTATTTTAGATTATTAATTAACCTCAAAGCTAGTTGCTTCAATTCTTAGCTTGAAGTAAATTCCTTATTGATAACTGCATTCAATTCTTTTTCCATTGCTTTGTAGAAGGTAAGGGTTGGAAGAGTTTTTACATGATTTATCCTAAGCTGGGCATTGTATGTTTTTGGATCTATAATTGGAAATGAAATAAACCTAAAGCTAGGATCAATTTAATTCAAGTAATTAATTACAATATAATATTTTTCTTTTTACTTTATATCAGACATGTTTTATATATTTATAATTATACAAATATTTGATAGCTAATAATACACAAAGGACTAGTAAATTAATTAATTAATCAATTCAATCAAAAAAAATCTTAAATTTTCAATTTTACTAAAAAATTTCAAATTTCTTATTAATATTATGCTTTTTTTAGATATTTGTTAATTAACATCTTTTTTTAATGGTGAGTACAAATATTTTAAAATTTATATGCTCTTCTTTATGCAATCATAAATTAAGTTTTATAAGTTATCCTTAATTTTCATAATTTAGTTAAATAGTTTATTAAATATAAATTGATATCATCTGTAAAATCTTTATTAATTATAAAAAATAATTATTTACTTTTTTTAATGCTTTGATTAAAATATTAAATATTTTTAATTAAAATAATAAATTTAATTATTAATTTTATTATAATTTTTCTAATTTAATTATTTTATTAAAAAATTACTTTAAATTAAAGCTTAAAAACTGAGTTATTATAAAAAATTATTTTATTTAGTTAGATTTTACTCTAAAACTATATGTCCATGCATCAGCTTTATTTATTTTGAAATAATTAATTTATTTAATATAAATATATAAAGAGCCAATCATATTTGAATGTTTATTAATCATTAAATATTATTTTGTCTAATAGCTCTTTGTTAAGTTTTAATTTTCCTATTTTATTTATTTTAGATAAAATAATGGCGAGGTCCATATCTATCATCATAGTCTATATCTGGATTATTTGCATTTTCTAAAAAATAAAGAGATGAATAGTGACTTTATTCAATTTCAACCCACTAAAAATTATCCACTCTCAATTATTTAATCTCTTCTTTATTTTCAAATTAATTTTTGTTTTTTTAGCATTCCTTGATAAAGAATTCTATAAAATATCTACAAACATTCAAAGAAAGTTCATCTCTATTTGCATCAACCTAAAAATTAATTTAGTAAGAATATTAAATAAAATACAGAGGTGATTTATAAGATGGTGGGGGAGGATAAATCGGGGGTGGGCTATCCTTCAAGTATTTTTAATGATTTACAGTATATACCATAAAAATAAAATCCTTAACAAATTGTATGATTAAAAAAATTTTCATTTCCTCTCCCCCTGCCTCTAAAAAACACCCCTGTTAATAAATTTTCTTTTATGGTTAATTTCTACTTTTGGCTCAAATAAGTTTTTCTCAGGATGGAATTAAACTGCATAAATAGGATAATCTTAAAACTCTATACTAGCTATAAACTCCTCTCCATCATCAGTTTTGCTTAGAGATGTGAAGACAACATTTTCTGATAGGTTTTCGTTCTCATCTGCTTTACTTTTAACAATCCCATCTTCATGACTAAAAAAAGCTTTAAAAAGATAATTTATTTTGATACGTTTTAACAAAAATTCTATTTAAAAACTCGTTTTGTAAATAAATAAAAAGAATATTATGAATTATTTCAAAGCTAAATTGGTTTATTTTTTGAAGGATTTTAATTTTTGGAAATATTTTACCTGGAGATCCCTCTTAAAGCCAATTAATAAGGTCTTTAGGCATATTTTTAAATAATCTTGATTCTACATCAATATCATAAAGATTATGATTTGCAGTATCTCCTAATTTTCTAATCATAATACTTAAATCATTGCCAGCTGTAACATAATTTATCACTTAAAAACCTAAGCAAGTACCCCAAATCGGAAAATAATTATCCTCATCATTGAAAGATTTTGATTTTTCTATGATATAAGTGACTGTTTTTAAGTAGTACTATTCAACACTATTTTCTTCCATAAATTATACTCTATTAATTACAACATACTTAAATTTTAATCCAAATTAATATTAAGAAATGAAAATTTTAATTTATTACCCTCCACCTGTAAAGAATACACCATTTACTTTTGAAAGAATATCATCCAATTCCTCTTCAGTGCTATCCCAATTAATAGGGACAGCTATTGCTTTTCCTGAATCTTAAATATTTTATACATAGGCCCTCACAATTTAAGAGTATTTTTAATAAGGATAATCAGAATAAGATGATGGCAAAGTGAGAATACCAATCACAACCTTATCACTGGATCCCATCCTTTTGCATTCATATGATGCAATAAGCATCAAACAAACCACTAAAAATATTTAAAAAGTATCTTATCTCATTTATTTTCAAAAATTTAAGTAAGTTATTTGTTAGCTTAAAGAGACTATTTCTAATATAGATATAGTCTATACAATTTCAAGTGATTCTTATTAGTTTGATTTATCAGTAGTATTTCTTAATTATTTATTAATTATTAAAAAAATTAAATTAAATAGTTTTCATTCATTTTCTGTATTTTAGCATTCAACAAATTTTTTGATAATAGGTATTGCTAAAACTAAATAATTATTCAATTTTAAGCTGATAATAAATGTAAGTAAAAAACTTTTGAAATATTTAAAAAAAAAAAATTTATTTCTAATTTAAAATTTGTTGATATAGCTTATCACATGCTATAAATATTAACAAATAATCTTTAAAAAATCAAGCAATTTATGAAAATAAAATAAACACTCTAAAATTTATATCAAAGTTAACGATTTTAAATTTGAAATTAATAATCTTGATGATAAAATCAAATTGTAAAATTAATTTTAAAAATTAAAATAAAGCAATTAATAAATTAATTTTTATGGTTTTATTAAATTTGATATACTAAAAATTAAAAAAATAACATAAATTATTAAAATAATCCAAGTGATTAAAAACGAAAAACTTAGATTACAAATCATTTAATCAGACATGTAAATTTACTGCTAAGCTGAAAATATCTATTATCTGATTAACTATTTAATCTTTTGATAACTAATTCATAATTGCTATTTGGATAATAATACTAGAATGTATTGATCTTATCAAAATCAAAAATGACAAAATAAGTTTAAAGAGCAATATTTTGCACTTGTTTGATATTCATTTCAATATTTTATAAGTTTAAATTATTATCCAAAGTAGACATATGTTGACTCGCTATTTAAATAGATGTTGAAAATGGTTGGCAACTTAGACTTGTTTATCTTGAGTCTGGCTTTATTTGAAAATAAGATCCTTTTTTATTTGCCTCATTTTATGGTGAAGAAAGATTTTTATCAGATTTTTTTAATTTCATTGCTTTATAAATTATATTTAAGCAAAAATTACAATTTATTTTTGTACACTAGCTTGGTTGGTGGTCAAAGTTAAACCTATCAAATTTAGTTTAATAAAAAATTAATTAATTAAAATATATTAAGAACAGAATTGATGATTTATACTTCATAATTTATTCTACTTCCCTGATAAAGTTAGAATGCTATTTCTTTATGCATTAACTTGAATTATGCTAAGAAAATTAAGAAGGTGCTACCCTTTCATTTGTGTTTCTCCTCACTTATTTTGCTTTTAAATAATTAAAAATATAAGTTCTTATATTTTATTTAAATTTATTAAACTAAGCTAGGAATTTTCTTAAATATTATCTTTTATTTATTTTTAAATTAAAAATTTTTTAAATCATTAACCTTTTTCTTAGATTTTCTGATTGAAATTAATCAAAATTATAATATATTTAAAATGTAAAAAATATGTTTAATCTTAAAAAGAATGTTGAGTTTACTGAAAGCTATCTTAGCCAAATAATTTAGATAAACTTGAAAAAGTAAAAAAATTAATTTATTACTTTTTGGTTAATCAACATCACTATGGCTTGATAGTTATCTAGAACTCATGTTCACTTAACTCCCATGTGCCTCACTGTTTTCTAGGAAAGATGTTTTTTTAGTTTTTTTGTGCTAAAACACACTAAATTGCTATTATTCATCTGAGAAAGTTTTTTATTCTTACATCAATAGTTCTTCATCTAAAATTGAGCACTTATATGCTTCAGCATTTTCTTTTTCTTTATTTTGATTTGCTTCTTGATCCGATAATTTTCCTGTATTAATGTTTTTTAATTCTTATTCTTCTAATAATTCTTCTTCTAACTCATTTTTATGGTATGAAGTGTCAAAGTATTGATCTGCTTAAGCATACTGATCATTATTATTATCTTAAAGGCTAAAGGTAAAGCTAAACTCCTCTTAAATATCACTAATTTGCTCAACAAGTAGAAGTGCTTATGCTTTAACATAAGCATGTGATACACGAGCATTAAAAGGATTTTTTTGTTATTTTCTTTTGTAGTGTTTTATTTACTCGTTGATTTACTTAAAATAATTCCTAATAATTTATTCTTTTTTTCCTTCGTAGAATAAAAAAGGACAATTCTTTAAAATATGATTTCTTTAAAAGCAAGAAGTACAACATTAATTAATGATTCCATATTATTTGTTAAATTTAATTTGATCTACTAAAAAGGAGTATTTCTCAAAAGCAACGTTATCCTTTTTTATCACCGAAATGAAATCTGATTAGCTAACTTGTAAAACGTATGAAATTCCTACACTTTTGTAATTCATATCAGAGTGTCCATTTCCGATAATAAAATTTAATAATCCAAAATACTGATTTTCTCTAAAAGACTTTTTGAAAAAATTTAAAATAATTTTAAATACAGTTGAATTTAGCAACTTACTTCAATTTTTTTTTATTAAGAGTTGCAATCATATTAAATAAATTATTAGATCAACCCTGAATGAACAAAATACAGCTATGGTTCCTTTACTTCTTTTGAATCTACAATAATTTAATCTGGTGAGTAAATATGTTCTTTCATTTTCAATACCAACTCTTACTTTACTTCTTCAGAAAGAATATCATTAAAAACCTTTACTTGCTAGAGCCTCTTCACATAAACATCTCTTTTAATTTCATTTTACATGTACTCTGATAGACTAGATAGAGATTTTATAGAGCAAGCGCTATTCTTTTTCTCATCAATATACAAATACTATATGTATTTCCTTGCTCTTCCTTGTAAAACGAGATCAACATTGTACTAATTGAAATATTAATTTATTTTAGCTAATTCTTGCAAATAGACATCTCTTTTCTTTTTGAAATCAAGTAAAATATTGCCTAAATTTAATATTATTATAAAATAAATCATAAAATAAAACCAAAAATATTTGCTACCATTGATTGGTACTCAAATTCAAGAATGTTTAATTTAAAATTTTTTTTCTAAAAGAAAACAAAATTTATCAAAAGTTTTTTTTAATTCTTTTTTTTAAGAAATATTTTAAGATAAAACAAAATTAAAAATGCTATTTATTGTTATTTATCAATAAAATTATAGAAAGATAGTTACCAAAAAAAGAATCCAATTTCTAATAAATTTTTGGAATTTATATTTATCCTTTTCAATCACTTTTATTTTTTTTGTTTTTTTATTTGTTCTTTCTTAGTTTATAATTAGTTTAAATGTACTTTAATTTTAACTATTAATTTGAATCAAATTTAAGAATATTAAGGTAATAATATTTTAGATAATTTTATTCTTAAATAAAAATGTTCATCAATTAAAAATATTCTTATCCATGAGTACCAAAGGTAATTATATCAAATTATTTATTTAAATATCTGAAGTTGAGATTTAACTTTGTAAGCTCTTATAAATAAAAACGAATGTTGATAACTAAAATTTTATTTAAAAATATGTAAAGTAATCTAATAAATTTAAAATTCATGATTTATTTTTAGATAGAAATTTGTTTATAGCTTTTGTAATATAATTTAGAACCTATGAGTAGTGATAAAAAATTTTGAATAAAATTTAAAAATACCAAAAGAATTAATAGAGTATCCAAATATGCCACAAGATATGAATGTCATAAATATCATAACAAATCTTTCAAGATCTGATGTAGCTGTTATGTCGCCATAGCCTATAGTTGTCATTGTTACCATTGAGTAATAAAATGAGAGGAGATATCTAGAATAAATGGGTGCATTTAATTTATCATAATATAATAGCCAACCTTAATTATAGCTAGATTATTCTATGCCTATTGCATTCCAAAGGCAAGAAAATAAATGAGCAAAGTAAAGGAGCTGCAGTATAAGATACAAAAGAGAGATTAGTCCTGTTATAAGTTAAAAATAAGTAGAATTTTTGAGAAGAATAACTTATAATTTAATATTTACCAAAAAGTTTAACATTTAACAAGAATTATTCTCTTATATACTCAGTTATTCTAAATTATTAAGTTAGTTTTAAAAAAAATAGAAAATAGGCAGCTTAAAAACCAAAAATTTAATCATATAAACCTAAGATACTAATTAAATCTATTAAAAAAGGAGATTTTATATAGTTTTTGAAAATCTCAAAGTGTTATTCTATAAAATCACCTGATTCTGATGATTTAGTGTTTGCTTTTATAAATATGTCTACTGAAAAAACTGCAGGTGTAAATATTTAAATGTAGTTTTTAAGGAATTATGGTCTATGTAAAGAGAAACCATATTCAAATGGGAGATAAATAAATAAAACAGAGGAACACAGAAAAATGAATGATTCCCAAATGATGTATAAGGTTGATAGATTGTGAAACAACGGAATATGCTTAAATACTTTAGCCATTATTTTTTCTAGAAGTTTTTTGATTTTTAACAAGCAATTAAAATAGCATCCACAGTATTTCACAGCTATTTTCATAAATTTTATATAAGTCTTGAATGTTATAAATCCTTTGAGTTTTTTATATGTAATTTATCTCCCAAAGTAGTAGTTAGCGAATTAAAATTTGTTTATTGAGTTCTACTAATTGCTTGATTTATCGTCAATTAGATTCACTTAGAATTTTCTTAGTAGATTGGGTCTAAAAAATATTGCTGATTAACGCGCAAAACTTCTCATTTTTGAGACCAAAAAGCAAATTCTTATCCAGTTTTTCCTCCAAATTAAACTTTTATGCTTGGTTTGTAAAATACTTTTTTTCATTTGCTATGGACTGACATAACCCCATAAATTGTTATTAGCACCTATTTGATAGCAATCAGGAGAAAGCTATTATTTCTATGTCTACGAATTTAATCTATTATTAGGGGTTTTTTTGAGATACTTACTTGTTTGAGAGCTAAAATATTGGACCTTAGTATTAATTGAAAGATTATCTAATCCTTTTTTGGTTATTTGTTTATCTAAATTAAAGGCTTTGTGGTTTTCTACAATGCTATTAGAATGAAGAATTTCTTTTCCTACTTTAGAGCTGCTTAAATTAAATGCTTCTGTGACGTTGAGTGTCTAATTTGTCTATTGAATCTGTGTTTCATAGTTTTATTATTCAAGCTAATCTTGCTAATGGTGATTTACTTCTACTTATAAAAATGAAAGAATAAAATATATTATTTAATTATATTTTTTAATATTTGCTAATTTAAATAGTTAACCTCTTTCTTAGAAGTCAAATACCTCGCTTTTATCAAAATAAGGCATAAATGTGTTATTTCTAATGTCATTATTATTAGGAGAATTTAGTGAAGAGGGAGCTTACAAAGAATGAGTATTCTCACCTTCCATCTATCCTAAACCTTACTTAAATTCTAATTTGAGGTATGGGGCAAGGATTTTATCGTTTTTTTCTTTATTTTCATTCAAACTTTGTACACATAAAGAAGTTTCCACGAAATCATTTTGAGATTTTAAAAAAACACTTTGAGATTATTCATATTTTTTTTGTTAATTGATACTCATCAAGTTAGTTTTCAATCTAATAAAATTTCTGAAAAAGCTTTTATCCTTTTGTTTAATTCAAAGAGTTAACCAATTAATGATTATACTTACAATATTTTTTTAATTTTTAATAAAATTTATAAACGAAGATAGCCTTATTGATGAAGCAATCTATCTATATACCTATCTATTTATTCTTGTTCTCATTCATGAATTGATTTATCAATATGCATTCGATTCGTTTTAACTAATTTATTTTAAACAATTAATTTTCAATAAACTTCATTAAAATAAGAAGAAATCTAAGAGATGTGATTTGATTCAAGAAAACTATTTAACTAAAGCTATTCTAGAATGATTATACTGTCAGTAAGCAATACATACATAGTAGAACAATATATATTTTAAAATATAAATTGAAAAATTTAGATATAGTCATCAAAAAACTAAATATTTGATTAAAGATTTTTATTTTTATCTTCTATCAGATTAGAAACCTGTTTCAAAAGCTTTTTTTATTTCTTATTAAATTTTCTTTTAATTTATAAAAAATATTAATTATTCTACTAACTATTTATTTCCTATTAACCTTCTAGCAAAATATTTATTTGAGAATAGCTTTTTTATTTTCTTTTAATTTTATTTATTAAAATAAGTTAATTTTTAAAAGTATGATTTTTTGGCCCTTAATATTATTAGCTCTTAATTAATGAGAGTATATAATATAAAAATATTATTTATAAATAATAGACTTCCTTAAAATAATGATGACATACTACAAGATTTTAGAAAGGCATTAGGCTATAATTAAAAAAATTTACAAAAAAGTTGTTGATTGTTTCATAAAAATTTTATAAACTTTAAATTTAGGGAATAGATATAATAATAATTAACATATTTTTTTAGTTTAAAGGCATAATTAATTAGAAATAAGCAATTAATATCAAAAAAGTTTTGAAAAAGTAAATTTTAATTTTATTAAAAAAAACATTTAAAAAATACTCAAAACAAATATTTTGGATCTTATTTAAATACTTAGAATAAATTGAGTAAATTTAGTTTAAATTTTCACATTTTTTATATGTATTATAGATCTCTAAGAAGAGCATCAAATTATCTTTCTGGCATAGAGTTAACAAATGATAAAGGTATGCTTCCTTTAGGATCTAATAACTGATACATCTCTAAGTGTGTTGTATTTTCGTTTATTTTTTTTAAGAAAATAACACCAAATTTAGATTCAACCTTAATTGCATCAGTTTTAGGAGCGTTTTAGTGGTCATCAATTTGATCCCTTGCGATCATTATTTCATTATTACTTAATCTTTTCCTATGTAAAACACACAATGAATAGCGTGAACTCACCACAAGCCTGCTCTTAGTTTAGAAAAAAATAACAAAAGCATCTTAATCGATAGTTTCTAGTTTAACTAATTAATCACAACTTTCTCTATTTTGCTTCTAAGCATCTAAGTTATCAAAAAAGTATTATGAAGCCTTCTCGAAGTTTACAGAGGCATTTCCTTCAAATTTAGTGAGTTTTACTTCGTAGTTCTGATAAACAGTTGAATACATAGTTATATTATCAACTTGCTTAATTTATTACCAATTTGTTTTGATGTCTCTCAAAGCAAGATTTTCATTAAGTTTACTATTTATAATATTGCTATATCTATTTCCTATCATTTTTATTTAATTTAATTTTATTTATTTATTTTTTATTAATTTATTATTTACTTTTAGATCTATTGAATTTCTGCAGTATTTAAATAGCAAATATTGTTAAAAATTAAATCCTTATATTATTATTTTCAAATATGGAAATATTCTTATTTAATTAATCAATTCTATTTAAAATTGTATCTGTAATTTATTTTTCAAGAATATATTATAATGATAATCAACTAAAAATTGAATAATTCTTACAATAAAAGAAATCTATCAGTTTCAAGTTTAAAATATAATTGGATTTTGTTGGTAAAATATCCCTACTTAATGTACAATTGTTGAGCTTTGCTAATATAATAAATTACTTAAAACACTCAAAAAGAAATTTCAAAATGATAGATAAATTATTCGAATATTCTAGCAAAGAATTATAGAAATTAAAATTTACCAGATTTAATTTTCGAAATATTAGTAACTAGGATAAATGAGTTTACAGATAATATAAATTCTTTTTAAGTCTGGCAATCAAACATTAATATCAAACAAATAAATGATACACTCAAAATTATTTAATAACAAAAAATTTAAGGTTATTATGAATTCTTTAAATGTTAAAAATAGAGTAATTTACTAAATTCTTTTTAAATCTGACATTTAAATATTTAAATAAATGATATACTCAAAATTATTTAAAAATTAAAAATGTATCATTATTATGATTTATTTAAATGTTACAAATAGAGTAATTTACTAAATTCTTTTTAAGTCTGATAATTAAAAATTTATATTTAACAAATAAATGATACACTCAAAAATATTTAAAAATAAAAAATTTATGTCACTTATTTATTTGAATAAAATTTTTAATTGTTAGCCTTCAAAAGAATTTAGTAAATTACTCTATTTGTAACATTTAAAGAATCATAAATCTTTATTTTTAATTAATTTTTAATTTATCATTATTTATTTGATATTAATCATAAGATGTAATCAAAATTAATTAAAAACAAAAATTTTATAATGATGTTACAAATTGAGTAATTAACTAAATTCTTATTAAATCTGACAATTAATTAAAAACATATCAAAATAATTAATAATAAAATATTGCAAACAACATAGGAAGAAAATATAATGGCTATTGTCTTTTTTTGATAACCAATTAGTGTTCATATCTTAAAATTTAATATATAAATGAAAACAATTAATAAAAAATAATTATTTATTAAAAAAGATAGTTTATTGTACTTATTAAACAAAAATATATCAATATTTAAAATTTTGAAAATAAAAAAATTATTTAGAAATAAATATTAATATTGTTTAATATAATTATGAAAGAAATTTTCTTAATAGAGTATAATTATTTTGTTTTGATTGATTATTATTTAAAAAAATAATATTTTAATGAAAGAGTTATAAAAAATTGAATTTAAGCTCAAAATTTCAATTAAATAATTTAAAATAATAAGAGTCCAAATTAATAGTTTTATAATTTTAATTTAAACCGAATTTTTGTTAAAAATATTCAAAGTTATTTTTTTTAATTCCCTGAACATTTTCTCTTTATTAATATTTTAATAAATTATTCATTATTTTTAATTACATATTATAATAGTATTTGTTAAATTTATTTCATTTTTAGCAAATTTATTAATTAGTAGCTAAAAAAAATATTTGGATTTCTCCTTACTTAAAAATTGTTATTTTTAAATTAAATTTTAATTAATTCTCTATAAGTTTAATCTAATTATAATTTAGTGTGGGAGGGTTGATTATTAGAGTTTTTCTGATGGGGTAAATTTTCATTATTTTTTAAATTAAATATTTTCATTTCTTAGTTAGTTTTTTGGTTTTAAGCAGTTTTTGTTTTAAAGCATGAAATAGTTTATTTTAATTTAGTTATAAATTCAAAAATATTATTATTCCAGATTTTTTGAACCAGACAGTAAAATTTATTATAAGTTAAGTATATGGTTTTTGAATTTCTATGTATAATTATTTTAAAATTAATACATATATAAATTAATTATAAAATTGATAACTAATCTATAAATAAATAAAAATTAACATGCTAATTAAATTATTTTTGCTCTTTGTAATATTTACATATTTTTGAAATTAAGTTAAAATAGCAATTTATAATATAATTACAACTATTTATTTTCATATTCTAAAAATATCTGTTTTTATATTAAAGTTTAATAAAAATTAAATTTCATTCACATCATCCATAAAATGTTCTTATTCTGATAAATGTTGGAATACTACTCAATTATACTTTAGGCATTTCCTTCAGGAAAATAGTATTCAAAAGTTTTTAATTTATCAAAATCGTAATAAAACAATTAATCTGAGAAATTAATTATTTGTCTAGAAAAAATTTTGCTTTAATTGTTTGTAAGGTTTCTATTAAAAGAAGAGCATTGTCTTCTATTTAGATTTGGGTTTAGACTATTGTTTTACTGTAACTATATATTAGATCCTGTTTTTTCTCTAATGCAAAACAAAGAACTCTTCTTTTTAGGTTCTAAAAAACTTGAAGCTCTAATACTGGGATATAATTTTTAATTTTCAGTGTTAGCAATTTTTTTTAAAGCACTGATTATCATAAATTTTAATTTAGTACAAGTCTAGCAGTTTGGAATTTGACAGTTTGAAACTGTATGATTTGACTGCCTTAATATTAAAAATTTTATTAATTTAAAATAAAAAAAACTTGACTAAAAAAATCTATTTGTAAAAGCAAATAAATTTGGAGAATTTTAAATATTTACTAGATGATTTATTCTATGTTTCTAATAACCTAGAGGCTTTAAAGCTTATTATTGCTTGATATTTAAGAGACTTCCATTTAGCGATCTTATTTACCATAAGTATGCATTTTTGTTAAACCTATTTTATATATTTAAATAGAATTAATTAATTAATAATAATATAAATTACAATTTACTTTATTAATTATAAATCATTTCTTAATCTAAATTTATAGAAAAATTAATATTAGAGTCGAAAGTTTTAATTTTTTTAGAGCTATAATTCTTTTTTTTTAAATTTGCAGGATTATATTAACTATCTTCAATCGTGATACTATCATCATCTTAAGTCTACCGACTTAGTAGGTTGCTCATCAAAAAAACTTTTTATGCACTTAAATTATTTTCATACTAATCTTGTAAGCTTTATGAATCTTTTAAACTTTAATTTTATTGATCGTCAGGAGATTAATCTTTATAGATACTTTCACTATTTTAAACATTAATTCCATTGAAATCCCTATCTTATTATGCAGTTTATTTTACTAAGAAATCTTCCTCTTCATCTTCCTCCTCCTCATAATCAGATTCTTGACTCAAATCCCAAAGTGAGAAATATTCAATATTTTAAATATAGTATTAGTCAGCTTGATGAGAAATTATGTTTTAGTTTAAAATAGCATTCATACTTTTTTCTGTTTAATTTCTTTTAAAATTTTTGAGTTTAAATTCAATTTCCTTCAAATATTTTCTCAGAATCAAGTTTTTTTTACCTTCATAAAACAAGTAAGGGCATTCTTCGATCTTATGATTTTTTTACTTACAAGAATAGCAACAAGAACTAACTTTTTGTAATTTATTTTGATATTTAACTTCATCTTTAATATAGCAAAATTTCTCATATTGTAAATCATATTTTCTTAAGATATTTGCAAAATCAGTAAAGTTAAGCTGTAAAATTGAAGAAACTCCAACACTTTTATACTTTACATTGCAATTGTTATCCCCTTATAAAAATCTTAGCAAACCAAAGTATTAACCGTACTTAAATTACTGATTTTTAAAATTATTTAAGTGTAAGCATAAAAATTTAATTCATTAAAATACCATAATTCCTCATAAATTTATATACTAAGACTAATTTAAACAATATTTAAAAAATTAAAATACTTTAAACATATTTTTTGATTAATTTTTGAAATTATGGTAAGGATTAATGATTATTTACAGTAATTAATTAATTACTAATCATAAAAAATATGAATAAATAAATAAATACCTAAACTTCTTTTACTTCAGTAGTTTAATCATATTAAAAGTATTCTAATACAATCCCATTATTAACAAAGTAAATACAGTCTTCAACATCTTCCTCTAATAAAATTATCTATTAATCATGACAATATATTTTTTCTTTCATTTACATAGCTAAATCAATAAATATCTCTTCTGTTAAAATATCCTTGAATAGAGGAACTTTTTTTAATATTTTTATATATACATCTGTTTATATTTCTTTCTACAAGTATTCTGAAAGTGCTGAAAGAGATTTAATAGAACACAAGTTATCACTATTTTGATCGCTATACAAGTATTAAACATACTTTTTTGCCCTACACTATAAACCAAGCTCTACATTATTCTACTTAAAGTATTTGTTAATTTTCGCTAATTCTTAAAGATAAAGATCTTTTCTTTACTTGAAATCCTATAAAATATTACCTATTTTTTTTAAGAAAATTAATAAGTGGATTTTAGATAATTTTAAAGTAGATTGATTGATTACCTATAGAATTAATTGTATAACCAAATATACCACATGAAAAGAAAGCAATAAATATCATTAAAAATTTTTCTAATTTAGTTTATGCTGTAAAATCACCATATCCTATCGTTGTCATTGTTACTATTGCATAATAGAAAATTTAAATATATCTACTTCCAACTGTTTCATTTTAATAGCTATATGTAACCATCCAGCCTTCATTTTAGTCTAGTTCTTTAATACCCACATAATTCCAAAGGCAAGTAAATAAATGAGCAAAATATATCACTGAGCCTAATAAATAAATCAAAGATATTATACCTTTAATAAATTAAACTAAAATAAAATTTCGATAAAATAATTTTATAATTTACCAAAGATTTTTGTTTTTAGTAGAAATTGCTCTCTTATTGTTTCTAAGATTCTAAATGCTTAAAAAATCTTTAAAAAGAACAAGAATTATATCCCATTAAAACTAAAAGAAAAGCAACACAGACTCAGAATAGCAATAAGGTCAATTAAGAAAGATGAGCTAACATAGCTTGAGAAAATTTAGATATGCTATTCTATAAATGTGCCTTACTAAGTTGAAAGAGTATTAAACTTGATAAAAATATCAATACTGAAAATTATAGAGCAAATATATTAAATATAATAGCTAAAGATAGCTTCTCTCTATAAATTGAAACAATACTCTAAAGGGAGATATACAAAGAGTATTGAAGAATTAATAAAAATGATGACTTCCCAAAGTATGTAAAGAGATGATAAGTTATGAAAAAGAGGAAGATACTTCAAAATAAATATTCCAAATGTATTTATTTAATTTTTAATGTAGCTTTATAATTTAAAAAGACATCCAAAATATTTTATGATGAATTTTAAAATTTTTCTATATCTCCTGAAAGACAACACTCCTTTAAAATTTGTATAAGTAAAAAGTCTACCTAAGCTGTAATTGTTAAATTTATGCAGATTTACTGAATTAGTTTAATCACTTGATATATCATTAATCAGTCTTACTTGAATCTCTCTTAGCTAACTTGGTCTAAAAAATAAAGAACTCTACTAAGCGATATACTTCACCTTTGAGACTAAAGCTAAAATTTGAATCCATTTTCTTTTCCATATATCTTTCTATGCATAAAGATCTAGAATCAGCAAATTATTTCTTTTTTTATATCCCCTTTAATAATACCCAATCTTGTTTGGATCCTTCTTCTCTATTATACTTTGGCAATCATTCCCTAGGATCTAATTATTTTTTTTCCTAAATTGAGTGGAGACCGATTAAGAGCGAGCTTTCTACTTATCTTAATTTAACAATTAATTTCCATTTCTCTTTCTTGAAGTCATTTTTTATGATTCAGCATCAACTTTTGGAATTTCTTGAAAAATAGTGTTATTTTCACTTATATTCTTTGGACATTAATCTGAAAATCTATAAAGAGTTTCTTCTAAGTTAACAGCTACAAAGCTATTGTCTGTCTGATTGTCTATAATATAAATATATTTTTACTTAATCAATTAATGTAAATATAATAATTTTGATATTCCATTGACATTTTTATAGAAGTTGATTTGATATAATGATCATCTCAGTCTGGGCACTGAAAATTGCAATAAGATATAAGAATAAATAATTTAAGTGATAGATCATCATCTTGCTATAATGTTAAAGAAAAGAAATTTAAAAGACATTCAATACCTTTTTATGAAATACAATTTTCCCTTTTATCCTCCTCAGTAATTAAATCTTGCTCATTTCGTGTTTAGTTGAGAAATTTTTAAGAAGGTAAAAATTATTATGAATTAGATTGGTCTCCTAAACTTTAGTTCTACTATTATAACTTACTAATTTTAAACTAATAAAATGAGTAGGTATTATTATCCTATCCTAACTAGTAGGAGCTTGATTATTGAGGATTTATATCATTTTAGTTTATGCTTTCAACTCTCATAATCAAACCAAATTTATAAATAATCTATTCTCTCCCAATTTTATTATTCTAATATATTTTTTAGTTTCTCTATTAGGCTACTCTTTATTTTGCTTTCTTAATATTAAAAATTTTTTTTGATAAGTACGTAATCTAATTCCTAAGTAGTTTAATCAAAAATGTGTTAAACGAATAATTTTATTAAAAGAATTATTGCTAAGAATTATTTTTGAAAAAGAATTATTATTTTAGATATAATTATACTTGGATTATTAATCTAGATGTAATTCGTTTATTAATTAATATTAGTTTCTTTTTTATTAATATATCACAAAAAAAAACAACATTAGCTACAAAATACCTGATCATATTACTAAATATTTCCTATATCCTTAAAAATACAACATATTTTTTTAGTAAACTTCGTGTTTAAGACATAGTTATGTATTAAATAACTTTTAATTGATTAAAAAGAATGATTATCAAAATATTAACTAATATTTGTTGTAATATTCATACATAAAATTAATAATTGGTTTTCTTTATCTTACATAATTTAGATTTCATTAGACAGTAAATTAATTGGTAAAGAATTTGTAATTAGATAGATTATTTTTTTTAAATACGCATATTAACATTTTTGAAATAGTTTGTAGGAGATATAATAAATACAAGATAATTTTGTTATTACCAATAAATTATTTTATATCTTAAAGCCTAAAGATCTTTAATCAATCCTTTAAAATGTAAATTCGATAGTATTTCATTATTATTTGATGTTATTTATAAATAATAGGAATATAAATTACAATAAATCATTTGATAATGATCTTTAAAACCTATCAAAATCTTTTGATTTTTCGTTTGATGTGATAAATTCTTAAAAAATCTAAGAAAATAAGACATGTAGTACCAATCAAACAGTTTATTCTAACTATTTCCCTAATCAAACAAAGAAAAATTTCAGGAACTTTTCATAAAAAAAGCTACCTTTGGATAAATCAATTTCTCCCTCAAAGAAATTTATGATGAACTCTTAGAGTCAATAACAAGTAGATGAATATTAATGTTTAAATAAAAGATTGCTTGAAGGATTCTTAAAATTAAGAAAGTAAATTTTCCAAACTGAAAATCAAACTTATCAATAAAAGGATTTAAGTAATTGTAATGCTAAATAAAGTGCAAAGTAATACTTTTGTGTGTTACTTTACTAAAAACAAATATTAACAAAAATATAAAGCAATTAAATATACCTTATCATAAGATATTATTTTAAACAAAATAACATTAAATTTTAGAATAAATATTGTTATAACCCTTTAATATAGAATTGATTGAATATTTAATTATGTTTCAAATTATTACATGCAACACATAAAAAATACGGCTTTAGTCACATACTATATTAAATATTTAAAAGTGAAATAGCAATAAAAAAATGAATTTTTAAAAAATATTTGATAAGTAGTTTTAATAATTTTTAATAATAAAAATTAAATAATTTAATTTATTTTAAAGCAAACATAAAAAAATTTTTTAAAAAATTTATTTTAATATCAAGTTAAAAATATGTTAAAATTTATTGAATAATATTTATTAATAATCATTAAAATATTTTTTATTATTTAACCTAAATTATTTAATACAATATTTATATTAATGATAATATTTTATTATAATATAGTTTTGAGGGATCTAATTTGTCAACTTTAAATTCATATGAACCTCTTGCTAATATAAAATTAAAATTGTTTAAAAGAAACCTAAAAAAGAATCAAATTTAAAACTACCAGAAAAATATAAATGAAAATATACTAAGCATGGACCAATAATCAAAGTACTCGTTATTTGATAATACTGTATCAAAGTGTAGTTACAAAGCAATAGATTTAACAAATTAGTTTAATTTAAATAAAAACTAAGAAGATCATTCGAAATTCAACAATCAGACAAAATAAAACTCTGAACAAAAATAAAATAAGCAATATCTTTTAAAAACTTAATAAAATATCTGTAAAAAGAATAATTTTAAAACATAAGATTTGAAGCAATGTTAAATATAGAATAAATCAAAGATAAAAAATGATAAAAGTAAAAATGAAAATACTTTTTATAATTTTTAATCAAATGATTTATCCACAAGAGTAAGTTTTTACAATATTAACAAAAGTGATTCAAAAAATGACAGGATAATAAATTCTTAGCATAATTTTTTTTATGATTGTAATTTAAGTTTGGAGGAAACTCAAAATATGAATTCAAGTAGAAGTCAGTCTCCTTAATCAGAAACCTCCCTTATATTTAATCCACCAAAAGAAATACATTAAGAATTAAGCTTTATAAAACCTGAAGTAAACTTAAATTCAAAATTTCAAAAAATTAAGTTAAACTTGTGTAGGCCTAAGAGCTAAGATTCTTATAATAAACTTAAGCCTTTTCCTTCCAACAAAAATTAAAGAAAATAATCTTAATTTGTTTAATCATTTTAGAATGATCAAAAATCAATAAATAGCTTAATTCATGAAATTAAAAATTCAGATTAAATTTAGCCATCAAAAAAAAGTGAGTTATAAAATGCTTTTTCAATCAAAATAGAAAATTAAATAGAAGAAATCAGTCATGGCTATGATGATAAAGTCTTAAATAATCAGGATAAAAAAATCTAAATAAACTGTGATGAATAATAAGAGAGAAATTAACAATTAAATAGCAAATTGAATAGAGAAATCATCGGAATTGAATCAAAAGAATAAATTAATAGATAAGAATCAAAAGAATTAATCTAAAAATAAGAATCAAAAGAATTTATATAAAAATAAGAATCAAGAGAGTCGATTTAAGACTTTAAACTCTTCTAGATTGAGATTGATTAAGAAATCGAATAAAAATAATTTGAAGTTTTTAATTAATATCTATCATAAAACACCTATTTTATGGGGAAAAAACTTAAAAATTCAAAAATGCTAAACTCTAAAGATAGTACTTCGAAAATTGTTTGCAGAAAATCAACAAGCTTTTATAGGCTTAGAAATTAGCAAAATTAATCTTAAAACAAATTTTTTAATGAATTAATGGTAGATTAATTTTTGCACACAAAAAAACCTTTTGAAATCAATATTTAAGACACTTGTTGTAAATAGGAATAAAAAAATAGAGGCTAGAACAAATAATAATAAAAACACTTTAACATTTCATAAAGAAAATATTCCTATGATAGTTCTTAATAAAATAAAAATACAAGATTTTTTGAAATTCAAATGATGAGCTACAAACCAATAGGCTTATAAACTAGTAATAATTAGATTGACATGTAAACACAAAATTACTTTAACAAATAGTTGATTACAAACAGCATAGATAAAAGCTTAAAAATTAATTGTGAATAAATCTGAGAGTATGTCAAAATACTATTTTTAATGAAAATATTAATTTAAATGATAAAAAAGATGTAGCACAAATATGAATTAAATTTAAAAGTGAGTAGAAAAATAAATTAAAATAATTTTGTTTTATTTATTTAATTAACAAAAAGTAAAAAATTTTGAATTTGAATATCACAAGCAAAATATATTTTTATGTTAATTCTATGATTAGATTTTTTCAATTATTTTTTAATAATTTCCATTTGGAAAATAGAACTAATAGTTTCTGAGTCTATCAAAATCATAAATAAATAACTAATCAAAAATAATTACTAATTATTTAGAGCTTCCTTTACTAATTTATTAGTAAATACTCCCATTTTTGTTTAGAGACATTTGTATTTTATTTTAATTTATAGTCTAGTTACCTTCAGGCTTAAATCTAATTGATTAACAAACTTTTTTAACATTTAATTCTGAAGTTAATGATGTCATACAATCTGAGTTATTAGATTTACTTTTATCTAGTACAGACATCTATTTTAGTAAATTCTATGTCATGGTTTCGATTTTACTACAATTTGAGCAACTTATAATACTACAGTAAGCATAATTATGATTAGATTACCTATTATTAAAAAAATAGTATTACTTTTTTAATTTTGAAATAAATATTTAAAAATATACTATAAATATGATTAAATATTTTTCAGTACTAGTAGGCACTACTACTTAAAAGCATTTTTATTTGACTATGTACCTAATGTTTAAAGCTTATCCAATTTTTTTTGTGTTGAGATTATATTTTAGCCTATCAATTAAATATTTTAAAAAAGTTAAAATTTATGAACAAATAAATAAATAATAAAATAAGCAATCTTTACTATTTATATGCTTGATTAACTATTCTTAGTCTTAAGTATTTATGATTTTAAAACTTTGATCTTTAGTTTTCAGCTTCTTTTAACTTTTATTTCTTTTGATTTTACTTGTTTAATTAAAATGATTATCTTCTTAGGTTACGCTTTCTTCATCTTAAAATTATTTGCTTGATAATCCACTGAAAATAACACTTAATTTATTTGCAGAATTAGAAGCATTATTATCTGTTTATTCAGATAGACTTTAATTCTCTAATTAATGTATTTAAAGGCTTATTTTTCTGTCATTCTATATTCTTTGCTAATCATCATATAATAATCTTTTTTGAAATTCTCCTTACTTTTGCTCATTCTAGAGTTTTAATTCATTAATTTATTACTTAATTTCTTCTACTTCACTTTGGGAGTCAGATTGGGTTTAATTTTATTTATCTTTGTTTTCTTCCTCTTCTTCATCATCATAATCAGTTTCAGATTGAGATAGTAAACTTAAATCCCAAAGAGAAAATAGTTCAATATTTTTTAAATAGTAATTATCTGCTACCTTTTGAACTTTATCCAAATTTAAAATTGCATTTTAACTCTTTTCTCTTTACCTTCTCTTAAAATTTCTAATGGTTTCATTACATTCCTTTAAGTATTATCTTAGAATTATTTCCTTCTTTCCTTCATAAAATAAATAAGGACACTACTCTAAAGTATGATTTTTTTATTGACAAGATTAGCAGTATATGTGAATTTTTGACAAATTACTTTGATGTATAACTTAATCTTTTAAAAAGCAAAATTTTTAATATTCTATATCAAATTTGCTAAGAGTTTCTTTAAAATTAGAGTAAGAAATTTATAATATTGAAGAAACCCCAACACTTTTATATTTAAGCTTGCTATTAGTTTCCACATTCATAAACCTAAGCAATCCAAAGTATTATCCGTACCTAAATCTCTTTTTTATTTACAGAATAAATAAATTAAATTTATAAATGAGTAAAAAAATTCGTTTTTTATAATAAAGTGACAATAAAATAAAATATTAAAAAATATTTATAAAAATTAATAAATTAAAAATATATTTTATAAATAAATAAATAAGCACTTTAGTTTCTCAACAAAAATTGTAAACTAACTAATTTACACCTAAAATTTTTAATGCCAATTAAACCTTGTATGATATTAATATTTACTATATAAAAAGCTCAATACTGAGGAAAATGGTAATATGGTAGATAAAATATGATTTTGATAAATAGGCTACAAAATTTTAAAATGATTTACCTATATTTCTTTAAGTTCAGTTTTTTGATCATATTAGCAATATTCTAAAATAGTACCATCATTAATAAAATAAAGGATACTTTCATTTTCTTCTTCTTGATCATCATCATTTATAATTTATTAATCATGGCAATAAATTTTTTCTTTGACTTGAAGAGCTAACTCACTAAATATCTGCTCTGTAAAAATTTCTCTAAAAATAGGAACTTTTTTAAGCATTCTGATATATACATCTTGTTGTATTTCTTTCTATAGATAATCAGAAAGTGAAGAAAGAGACTTAATTGAGCATGATTAATCACAATATTAATCACTGTATAAGTATTAAATATATTTTTTTGCTCTGCATTACAAACCAAATTCGACATTGTTTTGTTTAAAATATTTATTTACTTTTGCTAATTCTTAAAGGTAGAGGTCTTACTTTTATTTGAAATCATATAAAATATTACCTACCATAGTTTATTATAATTGTTTAATTTTAATTAACTTTTAAGTATTTGAATTTAAATGTTTATTTACCAATTGAATTAATAGTGTAGCCAAAAATACCACATGAAAAGAAAGCTACAAAAATCATAAGTAATTTTTCTAACTAGCTTTATGCTGTAAAATCCCCATAGCCTATTGTTGTCATAGTAACAATAGCATAATAAAATATCTAAATATACCTGTTTGTTACAGATTCTGTTTAAAAGTTATAATTTACCATCCATCCTTAGCCTTATTATAGCTAATACAGTCCAACATAATTCCAGAGACAGGTAAATAAATGAGCAAAATATATCACTTAAACTAATAGATACAGCAAAGATAAAACTCCTAAATTATAAGATAATAAAGATATATGAATAAAAAGAATATTAACTGCTTAATCATACCATAAATCGATGTTTTTAAAAGAAATTATTCTCTAAATACTTCAAGTATTTTAAAAGGTTATAAAATCCTTAAAAAGAACAAGAATTAGAGTCCATTCACATCTAATATCTGAGAGTTAAGAGATATCATACTAATGAGATCTAACAAGAAATAGGAACTTATGTAATTAGAAAAAATCTGTAGGTGTTACTCTATAAAAGTGCCTTGCTCAGTTGACAAAGTGTTAAATTTGATAAAAATGTCTATGCTAAGTGCTATGGTGGAGATGTATTAAATAAAATAGATAAAAAATATATCTCTTTACAAATTAAAGCAAAATTCAAAAGGTATATAAAGAAAGAGAGTAGATGATATAACAAAGATTATAGCTTCCCATATGATATAAAGTGATGACTAACTTTGAAATAAAGGAAATTTCTTTAAAAAAAAAATTCCTATATTTTTAGAGGTGAGTTTGAATTTATTAAATGACTTAATTATGCACCCAAAATATTTTAAGATGAATTTTATTAGTTTCCTATAATTTTTGAAAGACAAAATACCCTTTAAATTACCATAAGTCATAAACTTTCCTAACTTATATCTATTAAATTAGGATATTTGATTTGAATGTGTTTAATTGCTGGACAAATCATTAATTAATCTAATTTAAATTTCTTTTAGCTAATTTGGTCTAAAAAATAATTTGTTTTGTTTCGCAATCGTTTACATTTTTGATACCAATGCCAATATTTCCATCCACTTTTTTTTCCAAATATCTTTTGTATTTTTATTTTCAATGTTTAGCAAGTTCTTTCTCTTTTTGAAGGCTTTTTAATTTACAGATATTAAGTTTGCTACTTATTTTAAGGATAATGTTTATTATTCCTTTAAATTAATCTATTGACTTTTTTGATGATTATGAGAAAGATGGATTGTTTCAATAAGAGATAATTTATTATCATCAGTTATAAATTTAGATATATTTTAATCTTTGGTGTTAACCTAAGAAATTTCATTCTCAATTTTTTAAAACTTGTTATGTGCATCATCGCACTCATTAAATAACATTTAATTTTATTCGCTAAACTTGTGCTAAGTGTCTTCGTTGCAGTTTCCATAACTTTAATCTATAGAATCTTTAGATAATTTAGAATTAAAATTAAAAAATGAAGAAATACACAATTTAAATCTATTAGAGCAAATTAAGGTAAAATGACTTAAATTGCCATCAATCAATTCGTAGAATGATAAATAAAATAAAGATGTAAATATCTTATTATTTTCTCAATAAAAAGTTAATTTAAATGCAAAAGAAATACTTTCATTTTGAATTTACAGCTGTTGATTTCTAAACTCGCTTACTACATCTTTGTATATTCTACTTTTATTTATTTTCCCTGCTGCTGTTAAGAGCTATGAAGGAAATTATTATAAAGAGTATGACTGGTCTCCTAAATTTTAGTTCTACTATTCTAATTTAGGCTATTTAAATTTGGTGAATATTCCTGATTCCTTACAATCTAATTGAGAAGAAGTGTTTAAAAAAGAGCTAATCTAATTAAGATTCATCTTATAATATAGCTAGAATTTTTATTTAAATTGATAATGATTTTAAAAATCTATTTTACTTTTCCTATTATATATTATTATATAGCCTTTATATATGTTTATTATATTTTTAATTATTCTTATTAAATAGCTATTTTTAATTAAAAGAATTATTGCTTTCTCAAAATTTTTTTCATAAACTCTCCACTACTTTTAATTATACTAAACTCTTTACAAATAGATAGAAACATCTTAGAAACAAATTTAAAAAAATAATCTCTACTTATAAAAACTTTATCTGTTTTTATTAAATGAATTGAATAAGAATAAAATTTTGAATAAAATTATAAATCCAACTAATTCTTACCTTGATATTTATTGCTATTTGTATAGAAATTTATGCTAATTTAATAAAATATGAATATTAATCTCATATTTTAACAATTTTCAGTGAATTTAATCTATTTTTTATTTGTTTGTTTGTAAAAAAATAAAAATTAGATTTTTCTGTATTTTCATCCATTTCTATTATAATTCTATGGAAGCAGAGAATAATATAGAAATTTTCTTTTTTATAAAAAATATATTTAATTTTATAGTAAATAGATAGATCAAATAAGTGATTGTTTAGTAAATAAGTAAATTAGGTTAATAAAGCATAAATGGATAGCTCAAATTAGGATGGAAGTTTTATAAAATTTGTATGTATATCAGATACTCATACAAAAGCAGGTTTACTAAATTTACCTAAGGGTGATGTTCTTATTCATGCTGGAGACTTCACATATACAGGAAAACCAGAAGAAGTTTATGAATTTAATGATTTTCTAAAAAACAGTGATTTCGAAGCTAAAGTAGTAATTGCAGGTAATCATGATCTGACATTCGATATATAAAACTATGCCAAAGATTACGCGTAAAGATTTCATTAAGATGAAAAGATTCCTATCGATGCTGTAGCTACTAAAGCCATGCTAAAAGATTGTATTTATCTGGAAGACTCTTCTGTAAATCTCAAAGGATATTCAATTTATGGATCACCATACACTCCTACTTTTTTTGATTGGGCATTTAATCTAGATATAGGAAAGCCTTTACAAAAAAAGTGGGAACAAATTCCTAATAACACTGACATATTAATTACACATGGTCCTCCTCATAAAATTCTTGACAGGTAAATAACTTAAAAGCCTTTTTATTCTTGAATCTTATAAATTTTTAATATTTAGATGCTATGATGGCTTTTAAGCTGGATGTCCAGATCTCAGAAAAGCAGTACTAGAAAGAGTAAAGCCTTTATATCACATATTTGGTCACATTCATGAAGACTTTGGGCAATTAAAAATTGATAATACAACCTTCATAAATGCTTCTTCTGTTGACTTCAAATATAAAACTAGAAGTAGTCCTGCCATTACATTTTCTTTGCCTATTAAAGATTGAATTTCTATCCTCTATTACTAGAAATTCTGATTAAATATGATTCAATTTTAGAATGCTTATAAAAATAAAAATACCAAATTTTTTTATAAAATATTCTTGAAATCTAACTTCATCTTTTTCAATATTTCATAATTCGAATTAGTTTAAAATTTATAAAAACAAAACTATTTTATTTAAAAAGGCAAAATGTTTGCTTTGGTAATAATTAATTTTAAAAAAATTGATTAATGCTTTTTGTAATCATAAAATCTTTAAATTAAATTTTAGAAGCATATTAAATAATTTATTTTTGTATTAAAATTAAATCGATAATTTATTTGAATGAAAAAATTAATCTTCTACTTGCTATTGATAATAAATATTCTATAATTCAATTTTAAATATATAATAGTATGTTGCTTTTTTTTAATTGTTAAACATACAAAAATACTTTATTTTTTCACAAAATGAATAAGTTACTTGAAAAATAAGAAAAGACATCTTATAGCTATTTAAATAGATAAAATATATTATTAATTGTATATATTTATTTATTTTTCTTTGAATAATGATTTGAATAAATATAAAATAAATTGATAATTAACATTTTATATCTATTTTCATTTTTGATTTAGATATTTAAATACTTATTATATAATTTTTTATTTTAAAAAAATTAATTTAATAAATATACTAAATAATCTATTATAAGTTTAAAATATTTTAATATTTTGCATATAATAAATAATATATTTATTTTTTTCAAGCAACATTCTTATTATTTAAACCTTTTCTTGGTATTTCTAATAAGGATTTATTACTGAGCTATTTTAAACGTATAAGTTATTTTTTTATTTTAAATATATTTTTAAAAATTAAATATTTGTTTATATAAAAAAATTAAATTTACAATATTTTTAATGTGTCACAAATCAGACACACTTTTTAAAACAATTAAATTTAAATATTCATTTTATGTATTAGAAATAAAAATTTAAAACTTAAATAATTATCAAATAATTTAGAGCAAAATTTATCAATATTTCCATAAATAAATTGCAATTTTTATTAAATAAAATAATTTTTTTAATCTAAATATTATCACTCCAAATCATTTTTAATATCATTTTTTTTAAATTTAAGAACTTTTCAAAACCCCTTCCCTCATATCCTACTCTTGTATTTTAATTTTTATAAAATGATAAGTTTTTGTAAAATTAGCTAATAATTATGGTTAGAATAAAATAGTTTTGTTTATTTTTTAGAGAATCGTATTACTAATTTTAACAAGAAATGAAAATAAAACAAATTTTTAATATATGTTAAAATAATAAAAGTTTTAAAAGGTAAAAGAAAAATAAAAAAATACATAATTTACATACTTCAAGTATCTATACTTGATATCATTTCTTTAATTTTTAAACTTTTAAATAATTTACTATAAATACTATTTTCATCATTGCATAAAAAATATTTTTTAACCAAAATATTTATCACCAATGAAAGAATAAGTTCTGTGAATACCATTTCTATTATAAAGGACACTAAAAATAAGATAATGAAATCATTTGATTCGCTTGGAGTTTTACCACTTGAAATAGCTAATATAATGTAAAAATATAACAACGAAATCAATAATTAGAAAATGACAGAAATAAATTTCCAAAATGAACCTTTTTTGAAAGTTTAAACAATAATAAATGAAGAGACTTTTAAAATTAAACTGTTAAGCAAAGCTATGAATATCTACTGAATGAGCATAGTGTAACCTGCAAACAATATTGAAATTGCAAGAGTGTGAATTAGTTTTATATAAAGTAGGGTGAATCTTGTTGGTCTTGAAATTTATTTATCATAAAGATAAAAAATACTAAATAATTAGTGAAATATTGCCAGTTTTTTAAAATTTGAAATTTTCTAATAAACAGATTATTATTTAGATTTTTCATTTTAGTTTTATAATTCTAGTGTTTAGCTTTAAGGACTTACTTAAGTATTTAGTATTTCTTCATTTTATTCACTGCAATTTATGTTTATAGTATATTGTCTTTTGATGAATAATTAATTAGATCTATTATTCAAATTATTTTCATTAAATTAATTTAAGCTACTTTAAGTTTAATAAATTGTTTTATTAACAAATTTTGTTGTTTTTTTTCTAATTAGGGTTAGGGGAATATCTGTAACTTAATTATCAGATAATGGAATAAATTATTCACTTTATGTTTACAATTTTTGTATATTCTCGTTGCTGTTATTATTTATTTTATCATTATTATTAATTTGATTATTGTTATTACTATTTAAAGCAATAGGAGAAATTTAAATTTCATTTTAATCTCCTACCTCTGGAATTTCCTGTAAATCAAGTTACTAGTTATATTGTTGTTACTCCAAGTTTTGTTAATTATAATCTTATCTTTCTGAGTGAACTTATTGATTCATTTTTTTAAATGAGCTTTTGTCTAGATATATCCCAATTATAAATAATGCAATTTAAATCAAGGTAAATGTAAATAATACCCAAAAAGCTAAATACTGATAAAAATAGTTAAAGTTTTCAATATTTTTAAAACCTTATTCACCAAATACAGTCTATAAATTTTTATTTTTGGTAAAAATATCTTCTAAGTCTTCAATTATTGTTGTAGGTTGTTATGTTTTGCAAAAACACATGAATTTATTATTATTTTTATTGAAAATACTACAATCGTTTTTATTCCATTTCACATCATTTTATTATAGACAAGTCATGCTGTACTTTTCGCTCTTAATCGCATTATCGAACTAATAAATTGTCAATGAATCATTCATGGGGATTTATGTATTTGAGCCATTTTAAAGTCCTTAACGACTCGAGCTATAAATTTAAGTAGATATTAACTGGTTCTTTGAATAAGTAAAATTTTAACTGACATTTTTATATTACTAAGTATACGCTTCAAATCCTGTTGTATTTTCATAAATATTTACTTTATAATTATTTCTTGTAATACTAAATATATTTGTTGAATTTTCAGTGTTGGATTCATCAAATGGTAGTGCGTATTAAAAGATATTTTTTTGAGTTATTTTATCCGATAAAAGCGAGGATAAATTACCACTTATAATTATGTGTCCTTGATTTGGTAAGGTCATATTTGTTAGAAGAAATCCTATATAATTAGATACATTACTGTAGTTTTAAAAATCATCAAATGAGTTACTGGAGTTTTGGGTAATACTAGAATTTAAAATTTTAAAAGAATCAATGACATTTTGCATATGAAGATCATTATTTTGCTGAAGAGGACTTTGATTATTGTTTTATATGCTTATAAAGGTGTTCTACATTGTTGTTTATAATTATTTAAAAATATCTTTTTTCTATGAAGAATAATTTTATTATGAATTAAATAATAACTACGAAAGCTATGCAATCACTTTATTAGCGAAAGTAAACAAAAGGGAAAATTCAGGCAATTTTAGTGATATTTGTTGCATATTTGTAATAATTAAAGTTAGTAAATTTGCCATTTGCTATGATAATTATTATTAAGAGTTTTTACTTATATCTTCACCAATTAAACTTAACGCAACTAGTTGATCAGTGTATTAACTTGAGCTTTAAATTTAAAGCGTTTTATTAACAAGATTATTTACAGTTTGATAATATTCGTCAGGGGATTTATTCTAAGCTAAAACTACTATTGTTATTGTGCTATTAGATATTCCAAGTTAAGAATCCATAGCCTATCCCATTATCACAAGATTACCTTAAGGGAGTACTGTCTAAATTTAATTGTTTATAGTCTAGTCTTGTATTTATCTTCTCACTATATTCCAAGGAGCAATTAATTCTTACTAAATATCTTCTATGTTATTGTAATAAAAGAATTAGTATGTCAATGGAAGGTCCTCATCATCGCAATTTTAATATTGAATAGAAAAAACAGTTTACAAAGCTACTCCTTATTATGGATCTACTCTCAAAGTACAACCTTATGGTGGGATATTAACTATAAAACTAAGAGTGGATAGACTTGGCATGAAAAATGATGGATTGTACACAGAAAAACGTATTTAAATTGTAGGCTTTGAAGGTTTTACATTTTAGAAGAAATTCCATACTCTGAATTTAACCTAATAATAGTCAAACTTTATAGCTCCAACCAAATTATTTTCGTATAACAAAGCTCCTGCATAGGACAAAATGTCTGAAGAAAAGTTTCCTCCATAAACGATGACAAAGTTTAATTCCTCATTCAAATTAATTTTTTGAGTTAGATGTGTAGAATTAAATTTTACTAAAAGCGATGGAATATCTAATTCAGTAAAAATGCAAGTTGCAGTGGAGTTAGTTTGCCTAGAACCTTTTTATCCTGTGATTTATAATACAATTATAGAGTATGGTGTAAAAGTTTTTGCAGGAAAAGAAATATAGCTCACTCCTTGTTACAATTAAACTTATTTGTCTGCATAATCATAACATACTCGATCATTAGAAGTTAGACCAACGCATGTCCATGTAAAATCAATGCTTTGAGGAGAGTTAGGGTCTTCTATTTCGTAATCTCTGAACACAGTATTCAAGACTAGTTTATTTTAAAATCCAACTATAAAACTAGAGCCTCCTTCAATTTGCAGATATAAATTTGTAATTAAAATGTCAACTGATACATTTTTGGCAGAAATAATTTTATTCTCTTAGCTTAGACTTACGGTTAGCTGTTAGTTAAAATTAAGGGATTAAAATTATAAATATATTTTTAAGTATTTAATTAATAGCATTTAAAAATTACTGAATTTTATAAAGTTAAAAATCAAATTAAGTTTAATTAGAAAAACTTACACTTATGTTGAGTGTCTTATTAGATATCAAAGTATAAGGTAGAATATCGTATTTAAAATTAGATTGATTATACTAGCTCAAACTTATCTACTAAAACTGGTTAGAAACTAATTGCAAATCAAACGGTTCTTAGAAATAAACAGTTTATCCTAGTTCACAACTTTCTACATAGAATTAAAAGTAGAAACTCAGGCTCATGTATCTAATATTAAAATATATAATTAGTAAGTTATTGATGAAAAAAAAAAAAAAAAAATATATATATATATATACCTGTAGATTGGCGGATATGTAGATTGCTAATAGCTGATTCTGATAATTTTTTATTTTTTGTAAAATATTGTAAATTGTTGTTAGCCTATTTTGTTAACTTTTAGCAAATAGTTGAATTGCAAAGTAATATTTTAATTTGGAGGAATATATTTAGGATCAATTGTCAAAGCAGTATTCTTGTTTTAGCTTGCATTTTGTAAAACCCTAATTAAATTCTATTACTATTCGTTGGAACCTATAAATTGCAATATAGACCAATTTAAACTTGCGAATTTTCTTCCTGCCTCATTTTAAATGTTAGAGAGTGTTATATTCACAGAATTACAGCTATTTTCTATGTAATTATAATTAAATTAAAGCTATGGAATTCCTGAAGGACTCTAATAGACTAAATTTCTGTAAAAAACATTTATGAAATCACTGCTATAGTCTTGAAACTATAACCTATTAGGCAATAAAATGATTGAATCATTCTCCATGATTGTCGAAGAATCGGCTGTTTAGAAAAATAAAATATAATTTTTGTATTGATTAAATAAGAATTCAAATATATATTCAATAAAAATGATCAATTTTATTTGTCAATTTTTTCTAAATTACCTAAATTAATTTAAATTAATTTTCCATTTATTTAGCATGAAGAATCTTAGCCAATAATATCCATAGTAGGCTGATCAAAGATATACTAGCATAGTGATTGCGGGGAATAGATATTATTAGGTGTGTCTTTCAATGGAGATCCGAAATCGATTGTTAATAAGGGAGTTGTTCCGCTTAGCCAGGAGTCAAGAACTGCAACATTTCTGTAGCTACACTGGTAAAAAAGGTCTCTTTGGTCATTTGGATTTTAGCATAGACATTTTTTATTGGTAGTATCAAATTTTCTTGTTTCTGTGTAGCAACTATTACATTAACCATTTTGAACCTAAGATAAATCGCATAATTCACAACTAGCGAAGCAAGGATTACACTTATTTAGATTCAAATAATTTGAGCAAGAATCACAAACGAGAGTAGTAAAATTACTTTAATAACCATTGGGGCATAAACTTACACACATTTTGTTATAAAAGAAAGTATTATTGTAACATGATAGACAGTTATTGGACCCAGGCCCATCACAACTTCCACATTTCTTATCACACTCTTAGCATTCATTATTTGTATTGATAAATTCATTAATTTTGCAATGGTCAACACATAAGTTAGTACTTAGCTATTTTAATAACCCAGTTTTACATACTTAACAATTTGTGTTAAGAGGGCCACTGCAAGATTGGCATGTGCTATCACAAGGAGAACATTTATTATTTGAATTCAAGTAATAACCATCTATGCAGCTATCACAACTGCTATCATCTCTGCAAGTCCTACATTATATTTAGCACTTCTTACAATACTTTTATTATTCATTAGAGGTGTCTATATAGTAGCCATTTGCAATATTGCATTCAGATACACAAATGTTATTTTAAGAAGTGGAGATGTATTAACTAGAATCTAAACAGATGATGCAGTTATTTTAAGTTGGTCCAGAACACTATAAACAACTTTAATGGCAAGGAGAACAAATATTTCCATTTAAATAGTATTTTTGAAAACATTTAGTACAATTTGTAGAATTATTACAGTTTTAGCAAAAGTTTGGGCAAAGTCTACAATACTTTTATAATGAATTGGAAGTGTCTACAAACTAACCATTATCTAAATCGCAATTAGAAACGCAAATATTATTTTAAGAAGTAGAGATGTATTAACTAGAATTTAAACAGATGATGCAATTATTTTAAGTCTGTCCAGAACACTACAAGCAACTTTAATGACAAGGAGAACAAATATTTCCATTTAAATAGTATTTTTGAAAACATTTAGTACAATTTGTAGAATTATTACAATTTTAGCAAAAGTTTGAGCAAGGTTTACAATACTTTTATAATGAATTGGAAGTGTCTACATACTAACCATTATCGATATTGCAATCAGAAACACAAATATTATTTTATGAAGTGGATATGTATTAACTAGAATCTAAACAGACGATGCAATTATTTTAAGTCGATCCAGAACACTACAAACAACTTTGATGGCAAGGAGAACAAATATTTCCATTTAAATAGTACTTTTGAAAATATTTAGTACAATTTGTAGAATTATTACAATTTTAGCAAAAGTTTGAGCAAAGTCTGCAATACTTATATAATGAATTGGAAGTGTTAACATACTAACCATTATCTAGATTGCAATCAGAAACACAGATGTTATTTTGTTTAATTGAGATATAAAAAGTTGAATCTAAGCAGACTACACAATCATTTTGAGTAGGACCAGAACACTATAAGCAGCTCTCATGGCAAGCAATGCAAGAATTTTGACTTAAATAGTACTTTTGAAAACATTTTGAGCATTTACTATTACCATCACAATCACTGCAATATTAAGGACACTTAAAAATAAATTAAAATAGATTAAACTCATATTTATAAATATTAAAAAAAGTAGTTTAAATATACAAAAAAAACTTTTGTTGATATGATAGACAGTTATTTTTAAATTTGATAAAAATAAAGGAAAAATCTTAAATAGCTTTATTTAATTAATTTATTTACATATTATACACCCAGAAAAAGTCCATAAAGATAAGTTTTATAATTTTACTAACCAAGTGATTAAAAGGTAATTGCTAGATCATAGGAGTTAAGTTCGAATGTTTTTATAAATTAGTAGCAGTATGAATCGGAGCAACATTTGAAGTATGGAGTTGAATAGCCATTTTTTATTTTAACTCCATTGGCTATTAAAGGCAACTGATTTGAACTATTAATTACATCTTTATCCGTGAATAGAAGAACACGAATAAATACATAAACAAATTTAATTAATTTATTCCTATTTAAAAAAAAATAAATTATCTAAAATAAGAAAGAAAGTCTAAGTTAAAATTAAAATAAAATTAATTATATTATATTTAATATTAAAAAATATTTTTTTGTATGAGTTCTTTTTTTGAAATTTAAAATCTATCATAATTTTTTAAACTAAATAAAATATTACTTGTCCTAAGGACTATAGTTTATTTAGAATTTTGTTTAGGAATCGCATGTAGGCCCAGATAAGTAATTGGTATCACTGCATTGTTTTTAAGTAAACTATGTGCATTCAGAAGTATTTAAATATTATAAATTAACAGATAAATCATCTGACTATGAATAATAGCCTTAATTGAGTAAACATTCACTATCTAAGATTATTGTAGGTAAAATAGCTAAAATTAAGTAAATTTTAATAAAAATACATAAAATATTTAGACCTCCTTCTTTCGAAGTTTATGTACAATCACCGAAAGTAGATTAGTAAGTTAAGCTCAATACTATTTAATTATAAAATTTAAATATTTTAAATCTTTATAAACTAAAAAATTCATTTACTTTTTAAAAATACTAAGAGGAAAAATCTGAATCTATCACTTCTCATAATCAATTTTGTTTTTTAAGTTTCCTCTATTTATTATTAATTAATTATTATATAGTAAGTCAACTCAATTTACCAAATTTAAACCAAAAATTTGAGAAACACTATTTTCAAAATTTAATCAAATTTTTTTTCTTATTTTAGACTAAATAGTTGTAAAAATTTCATTTAAGTGAATTTAAATAGTTGAGTATATCAAAAATTAAAAAGGAATTTTACTTTAAAGGACAGATAGGTAAATGCCTCACCATTAAAGATACTATGTTCATTAAGAAATTAAGATTTATTTTAACTTAAGAATCATTAAAACTTAAAGGTTTATTTTAATAAAAATTAAATTAGCATGAAGTTAGATTAAATAGAAATAATTGTTATTGTTTAATTAGTGGAAATAAATAGTTCTAGAACTGTATACTTCAGTTTATTACCAAACTCAATTTAGAATGTATATTTAAATTATCTCTAAAAAATGACTAACTAAATAATTAAGATTTAATTATTTTTATTAATGATAAATTCTTAATTAAAGATTTGTTCCTTTAAAACTTTTGGTATCAAAAATATTCTTAAACTATTAACACAACTTACATCAAACTAAATTCAGTATATATTATCATCTTCAAAGTTATCAAAAAATATTATTGAAAACTTATTAAAATTGAAAGCAGCTTAAATTCTCACAAAACTATCTAAGTTAAAAAATAAAAATGAGTTATATATTGTTAAAATTCAATATTTTATATTTTCTACCTTAATAATAAGAAAGAAAATATTTAAAATTCTAAGTTTTTGTAATTGTTAAACATCATTTTGTATATAATATTTAAATTTGTTTAATTTTAGCTATAACTTATCCAACTTTTATTTTTTTCCCACATATTCCTTTTTTTTAAGTTTAAAATATTAGGCTTACAATTATAATTTTATAATATTAAAAATTTTTAATTTAAAAAAGAAATGATAAAGGATTTTAAGGTAATAATAAATTTTATATTTGAATTTAGTAGAATAATATTGATTCAAATATTAATTTTCCTTATTAAAAAAATACTCCAAATACCTAATTAAAGATTGATCAAAATTGAAAAATATTAACTGAAGAAAAAAGTAGCTATGAGATAGATATTAAATTAAATAGGAATTGTCATAGCCACTTTTATTGATGAAATAAGTTTTTAACAAACAAAGAATTATAGGTAGAAATTTACTCACTTCTAAATGGAAAGTGAATTAGTTATTTTAAAATTCAAAAAGCAATTTCTTTAAAAGAAAAATCTTATGATTAATAATTTTGCTAATAAATTTAAATGAAACAATGCAGGTCAAGAATACTAAATCAATATTATTTTACTTTATATTTCATCTTTATTAAGTTTAAGATTATGGCTAAACAATTAATGTTAAAATATCAATAAATATAACTTAAAAATGGAATGAAAAGGGAATTTAAAATAATTATAAATTCAATATTGGAATTTAGTAAAGTACAATTTTCTTAAAAATTATATATCTTTATTTTTTAAAATTGCTCCTTCTTTATAACTCAAGATTGCTCATAATTATTACAGGATATGAATAAACTTAAGAAAAGTGGCTAAGAGATTGAGATTAAATTAAATTTGAAATAGCCAAGTTTATTGATTTAATGAAGATTTAAAAAAGTAAGAATTAAAGATGAATATTTTCTCATTTCTTAATTGGAGAGAATTTAGCGATTTCAAACATTTGAAAACCTATTTTTTTAAAGAAAAAATCTAATGATAAAAGTAATATTATTAATTATTTTATTTTTATAAATATAAAACAAAACTACTTAAAATAATTCCAAATCAAAATTTTATTTTGTTTCAATTCAACTGAATTTATTGTACAAATTAATCATGAGCCTTATTATGAAATTTTTATTTGTAACTATATTTAGGTGCACCAATAAGCTAAATTGTTAATTTTAATTTTAAATTTTTTTCTCATATACACACCTCAATTATTAATAAAGTTAAATCTAATATATAAAATTTTATTTCTTAAATAAAAAATTAAATGGTATTATGTTAGAACAAGCAAATTTATTTATTCTTTAATTTAAATTAATACGAATTTTGATATTTAAATAAAAAATTTTTATTTAAGAAAAGAAAAGATAAAAATAAAATTAAAATATTAAAAATATATTACAAATTTATTTCTAAATGAATACAAAATACAAAAAAAATGCTTCAACTATTTATACTTGATATAATTTATTTTAAATATAAACTGCTAAATAACATTATTGTAAATGGTTTTATCATCTTCATATAAAAATTATTGTCTCAATAAAACATTTATTGCTAACACAATATGTAATAAAACTTTTAAAAGTATTTCTGTGGTGCTAATTAATGAGGGTTTATAATATTTATTATGTTTATTTGAAGTAAGATATAAAACTAATTGCACCAAATAATGAATGTAGGTTAAATAAAGCATTGTTTATTTAAGGTTTGAACAAAATAATAAAATAAATATCAACTTTTATTTACAAATAAGATATTCTCAATAATTAATATCATTTACTAATTCTAAACAAATTTATCCATATAATTCCCTACAAGATAATTAACTAACTCTTTACATCAGTAAAGCAAGAGTCCATCCTGGACTAACTGAATTAATTTTTTATGGTACAAATATTTATCTATCAATTTCGATATTGTAACCAAATTTTAATAAATTCTCTACATAAGTAATCAAAAATAGAATATTTCCTAAATCTTCTTCGTCTTGAAATTAGAGAGAAGCATCTTTCCATGATAATGAATAAAGCTACTCAGTTTTTTATGAAAAATCTCTTAAAATAAATTAATTATTAAACCCTAGTAAATGGGCAGCTTTTTAAATTCCACTTGATGCATATATAACCATATGAGCAGGTAAGAGATATTAATATTGGTTTTACATAGCGCATTGCTTTACATCTTAAAAAAGACAATTATTTTTGTTGACATCTAAATAATTTAATATTGATTAACGACATTCTGAGTATATTCCAAGTCCTTTTATTTTATATAAAACATCATTTATCTTTTAAATGCCTTCATAACCATTAAAAAAGCATGGAGAGTGTATAATAAACGAGCTTGTTGGGTTTTGAGAAAGAAGAATATTTTTTCTTGCCTTTAATTTACCATAACCCAGATAAGAATAAGTATAAATATGCCAATCATTGAAGCCATTTATTACCATATCAAAATCGTACGACTGATTATTCTCTATTAAAAATTAAAATTTTTGTTAATATATTTATTAAGAAAAATAATTAATTGCATTTAATAATATAATCAAATTATTTCAATATGAAAGATTTCTATTGAAATTTTAAGAATTCCATTTACCAATACGCTTTGTTTTCGGTAGAAATGCAATTTAAGTTGAGGCTCCTCCAAGTTCGATAGTAGCTACAGTTAAAGTAACTTGATTCTAGTTGAAAGTGAGCATATTCAGTAAATAATTAACAGATACCCAAAGATAGGCTCCTTCTTACTAGCCAGTTAATATAGAACACCATTCGTTTTATTTAGATTAAGGAAAATAATATCCCTATTGGCTAAGTAATGCTTTCGACTCATTAATAATTTCACTCTGTATTTATTAGTCTAGTAGTCTCATACCAGCAGTAGCGCCTAAAATTATTGGGGTTTATTGTCTCATAATAAATGGAACTTTTTCGTTAATATAGCTAAAAATATCATCAAAATAAGCTTTTAATTTATGAGTCTAGCCTTAAAAATGTGCAAGTGGTTCATGAAATTTTTTAGATTATGTAGCATTCAAATTAAAATGTGGCACTTAAGAAGAGCGCAAGCAAGGCCATTGATAAATTTATACTTTGGTACCTGAAGATCCAGCATCAAGAACGATACCATAGCAAGTTTCTGCTGCGTTTGTTAAATAAACTATGTAAGAAAATAAGATAATTAAAACAGTAGAAATAAGTATAATTTATTTTTTCTATAAAAAATTGAATAGCCCATTTAAAAAAACCATTTTAAAAATTAAAATTAGACTAACAATTTGTTAATTATTTGATTTAATTTGTATTGTTTTTAGCTATTCTTTACTTTTAATAATATAATTTTTATCTCTTTAATAATATTTGCAAAAATTTAACGTATCAAATCAATCAGTATAATACAATTTATTTTTGTAAAATAAAAATATTCAATAAATTATTTTTTAATTGAAGTAAATATTTTTAGATATTTCTTATTGTTGTTAAATTTTTTAAAATTAAATTATTGATTTTAATTTGAAAAAATATTACTACAATCAAATTTCATGTCTAAATCAAAATAAATATAATTTAATAAGGAATATTCTAATAACATAAAGCAAATTAATTATTTTATATTCAAATTATAGTTAATCCTGACTGGCACTATCTTAGTATTTGAATAATACAACAGAAATATTGGTTTTTATTATCATTTTTAGTGAAATAATCTTTGATACATTATATCTTTCTTTTGTTGTAGTGAAAATTTCTTACATCTTGTTTAGCTGTTTTATGTGGTTTTTATTTGATTGATTTTGAAGCTTTCTTTTTTTCTTTTGAATTTTATGTTTACATAATAAATAAAATACATGTATTAATATCTAAATAAAATAAATAACTAAATGAAGAAGTAAGTAAGTAAATAAATAAATTGATTTTAAATTAAAAAGTATTTGTAATTAAAGAGAGTGTTTATTAAACAATGTAATCTGTTTAAGTAAATTATAAGCTTTAAAAAAAATTAATTAAAAAGTGAAAGATAAAATGAATAATCAAATCTGGATAAATCTTATTTATATTTTGATATAAACAAAATAGATATTTAAGAATATACCCTTCATCATTTTTTATCAGAAATATTAATCAAATTAAAAAAGATAAGATTTTAAAATAAAACATACGCTTACAGGAAATAGTTATTATTTATAAACTACATAATGTATTTATTAAGGTAAATACGATACAAAGAATATTATTATTTCTGATTACAAAATTTTTGATTGATAGAGCTAACTATCTATCCATTTTATATTTGGTTTATTCAATTGATTTCCTTTTTTTTAACTATTTTTCATTCCCACTTAGAGATCTTTTGATCAACTGTCTTGAAAGGTCCCCAAGTGCAAACTCTAAGTCTTCTTTTGATGAATTCCTTCTTTTCTTCGAAAGATAAATCCTAATTTAAGACCATTTTTTATGCTAAAACATCATAGTTTGCACTTGCTACTAAAACAAACATTTCAAAGACTTGAGTATCCTTAAACATAGCTGCTTGCTTACCCTTTTTGTACTCTTCCTTGTGCTTCAAGTAGAGGTCGTAATTCTTTGTCCAGTGTACTCCAGGATATTAGTGGTGGACGACGTGGTAATCTTCGTTCAAAACATTGAATACACCATCAACGATTGTGACACTGTTAATATATTCGTTTTCAGGATCTTGATCATCAATGAAAGCGTGCCATGCCCAGTTGATAGCAGAGAGAATGAAGAAATTCTCAAAGAAAGGATAGATAACATACCAAAAAGTGAATGAGGTGTTAGTTAACTTTAATACTAAGAAGACAAAAGAGAACCAATAGAGAGATCCAAGGAACATCTTGAGACAAATGCCATACTTTCTTTCCTTATAGAATTGAATGATAGTAGAAATATTCAAGGAATATAAAGCAAATCTAGGAATATATCTAATCCAGTTGAGCCAGGAGTCTCTTGGTCTATCAGAGGTACTGACAACATCTTCTTCTCTGTTATCATACTTGTGGTGGTTGATTGAATGTCCATAGACGAAGCTTGCTGGTAAGACACCGTAGAACAAACCAATCCACCAGTTAAATATCTTACTTAAGAAAGTATAAGGTTCCTTGTAAAGGCCAGCTCCCATATGTCCTTCTTTGTGGGAAAGGGCATAGCACCAGGTGAAGTTAATTAAATAAGGACCAAGTCTGAAAAGATTGTAGAGAACACAAAGGGTCCAACTGAATCCATTATTCATGTGGTCATTCAAGCAGTAGAGGAATGCAATTGGAAGAACTACAGCTAATAAAATGATAACATTGATAGTGTAGGCATCTTCCTTGTAAGCAACAAACTTTTAATTAAACTTCTCAGTTTTAGAATTGATCCATCTAGAGATAATAAAAATAATACCAGTACCGTTTGTACCTCTAAAACCTCTGTCGATCAAATCCCATAAAGTACTTAGAATAACCAAGAAAATGACAGGGGAAGAAATTATAGTACAGAAAATACCAGCTACCAGCCAGATAGTTTCACGAACTACTGCTTTTTATGTTTGCTGGGTTGGTACTGTCTAGTCTGAACTCTTGGGTTAGGATGTTTCTTTTTTAGAAGATTCTACCTTTTTTGAATCTGTTTTCATGCTCATCACTTTGAGTCTTCTTTGCTTTTTTCCTTAATTTTGTTTTTATATATGAAATATAAAAAGTTATTTATAATTTAAAATATTCGTAAATACTAATCAGATTAATTCGTTTTTAAACTGAGAGAATAACTTTTTAAATAGAACTTTTAATCGATCAATCAATTTATAGATATTTTTTATAAATTTTATTAAAGAGAGAAATCAAATTTTCACAATATCTTTCTAAAAGCAAAATGTAATATTTTGAGAGAGAAATATTCTTACTGAATTAATCGCATATTCAAAGTATCCTTATCTTTTTTAAATTTTTTTTGCTTAAGAGTTAAACTAGATCACCAACCAATTTTTCGTAAGCAATTTGTATGTAAAAGTAAGCTTTTTCTTGATTCAAAAAATATCAACAGACTTTATTCAGTAAATATGTTTTTTTTAATGGCTAATAAAATGATTTACAAATGTGATGATTTAATTAATTTCCATAAAATAAATAAATGGGAGAGAATAAAGTTACATACATACAACAGGTAGATAAAGCAAATATAATTTTTTTTGAATTTTATTCTTATATAGTATGGGTGGATCTTTTTGCAATTATCGAACAGAAGTTATTAGATCAATTATATAATATTTTTAAAAAAATATTGATGCGAAAGAAAATTAATGTTAGAATCTTCTGACATCACCTACAAATAAATATTATCCTCTCAATAAGATGTAATTAAAAAAAGGAAAAATGTATTGAAAATTTTCAAATTCTAATGATTTATCTAGCCTCCCAGTCAAGAAATAAAAGATATCAGCTACAAATAATTACTTTTAAAAAGCTTTTTGTTCTATGCAATTAAATTTAATAATTCAGATTTCTCTGAAAATACTTCGATAATATCTATATATTTTGTCAAAAATGTCTGATAGCCAAACAATACATATATATTTTTACTTGATTAATCTCTCCTGTCTAATATTTAGGCATAATTATATATTTAAATACTTTTTCTTTGGGTAACTCCTCAGAATAAATTTTAATCTTGTAACAATCAATAAATATTCAAATAGATTCACGTAATTACATAAATTAAATCCCACACTTAATATTTAATACTTTTTTTAATTACATTCAACTCTTTAATAATAGCCAAAAAGTCAATAGTAATCTAAAAATGCTTGATATAATAATATTAAATTTTTTTAAATAATATTAATTCAATCTTCTAAGGTATTAAAAATTAAGTGCAACAAAAAACAAATTTTGAATTCATCTATAATATAAATACAATTCAGTCATTTTTTAATAAAGAACAAAATTTTTTTAGACCTCCTCAGATTTTTTCGCATAAAAGAATATATTGTTTTTATTTTCTAATCTGCTTCATTAAATACATTTATTCATTTAAGCATTTTCATAAACTGAATTATAGAAAGGCTTTTATTTTTTCTTTGAAATTGTATAGAGAATAATAAAATCAGCAAAATAATTTAATTTTTCTTTTTTTTAATTGTACCGCCCGCCTAGCTCAGTCGGTAGAGCGCAAGACTCTTAATCTTGTGGTCGTGGGTTCGAGCCCCACGGCGGGCTAAATTTTTTATTTGATTTTTTTAAATTAAATTCAAAATAAATGAAGAAATAAATTAAAATATATTTTCTCTTTTCTCTGAAAATTAAAAAAGTGAAAGAAGCTTAAAATTATAAAAATAAGATATTTTTTTTTATCATAAAAATATTAAGTAAAATTAATAGTGTTACAATTAGTTGATAGTAATTTTTTTTCAAATGATATCAATAAAATAAGGTGATATCATCTTAAATAGAAAGAAGCTTAAAATAATGAAAATAAGATATATATTTTTATCATAAAAGTATTAAGTAAAATTAATAGTGTTACATTAGTTGATAGCAATTTGTTTTCAAATGATATAAATAAAATAAGGTGATATCATCTTAAATAAATAATTAGCTAATAATATTATTATTACGTATTTTGGTTGTGGTAAAATCAAAGTTAAAAAATCATTCAATCAATATAAATTTATTGACAAAAATCTAAAAATAGTTAGTTTATTTAACACTTGATTATTTTATAATCAAATGAATAAGCTTTAATAAATATAATTCAAGTTTGATGACAGAGGATTGATGATGCTTAATTAGGTGAGCATATTTGTAGTTACCTTTGTGAGTTTAGGCTATGGATTAATTGTTTACTTCCACTTTCTAGCATGTAATTGCCTTAATATTCAAATTCCTGGCTTATAAGAAAAGATTGAATAAAAGATTTAGCAATATGGTTTAGCTGCTATTGCATAAATGGTTTTTGATTTGATTACTATTCCCTTAATTTTATACAATCTATCTCGCTTGCTCTATCGCAAGTAGATTCACATTTTTTTTGAAATCATTTTTGTCATAGCTCTTTTTATGAGGATACTAGCAGGTTCATTAATTTATTACTTCAATCTATAAAAAGATGAACTTTCTTACATTTCTTTTATTACTTTCTAAGATTATTGCAGTAGCTTCTTAAACATTACTCAAGATCTTTGCAATGTTTTAGAATCAATAAATTCATATTCAAATTCTAACCTCTCATTGGTTTCTCTTTCTACTCTGAATTTGCTATTCTTTTTGATTTTTTACCATATTAATTATAAAGAAACTAAAGCAAAGCATAAGGATTTAGAGTTAGAAATGTAAGAAGAAAAAAATAGTTGATAAAAAAAATTACAAATTAATTATCCTTAAACTAAAAAAATATTTTAAAATGTAAATATTATTAATATCTTTATAAATTATTATAAATAATTTAATAACAAATTCTTTGTTGAATTAATTATTCAAATATAGTTCCATTAAAAACTAAATAGATAAATACTCAAAAAATTAATAAAATTTGCTTTGTTTGATTCAATTTACCACTTAAAATTATTCTTAAAATCACATATAATTTAGTAATAACTTCCTAAAATATTTCTAAATTAATGACTGCCTATTATAAAAGTTGAATGCTCATTAAATTGCCTTTCAAGTAAAAAATAAATAACCAACTGTACCAAATATATATCTCAATAAAAAATTAATAGTAAGTAGGTCTTAATAATTTGTGGAAGTTTTTTATTTGTTAAAATAAAGTTAATTATTAAATTATTTGTTAAATTTTAAAAACTCTATACAGCTTAATAGTAGTTGAGTAAGAAAAATAAGTAATAATAAAATATCAAATTGTTTATTTATTGTATGAAAAATTGTTTTTATATTTTAAAAAAATATTTTTAATCATTTGTAAATTACAATTTGTTTTCATTTTAAACTTAAAACCCACATTTCTTTAAATAACTTTATAAAATAAGTCATTTTTTTAATTTAAATAATGAATTAAATAACTTGATTAATATTTAATTCAATTTAAAGAAGACAAAATTTTTTTATCTATTTCACTCATATTGCGCTCATTCTAGCATTTTGAAATAAACTGTTTGATACACTAATATTATAAATCTTCTGACTACAAAACTGTAAATTATTCTTCAAAGTGAGTCATTTTTTTTTCATTATCTTTGTTTTGTTAATTAAAAATTGATTAATTATTGATGTTATTTCAAATATAAATTTTACATAGCTAAGTGACTACACTTTCTGTATTGTCATTTACTTTGTCGAAGAAATTCTATGAACAACCTACAAATTTTATGGCTGCCAGTTAATCTTTGTCTAGGATAATCATAATAGCCTTTTTTAAGAATAGAAGGTCTTAGTATATTTGATAGATATCTAACTCTTTATTCAACTATTTTTCTATGATTTTTCTTTCATACTTACAGATTTTTACATTCTAATGACTCTCCTGTTTCTTCTTAAACCAACTTTTGTATAAATATCTTTATGTTAGAGTAATTCGATAAAATAAATATTAGGTTTACCTTTTAGAAAACAGTATTTTAGAGACTTTCTATAAATAACTTTGATCATATATTGCTTTAAGCGCCTAGATATTTTTATTTGTATCTAGCCTTTATTTAGATTTGATAGACTATTCACTTAAAATGGATGACTCATTTAATTTAGGACTCTTAATAGTTAAGAACACATTTGAATTTTTTAAGTTGGTATTAAATTAGCTGACGTCAATCGATCTTTTACTCTTTGTTGCTTAAGATTGGTAGCGCTTAAATTAAATTTTTTCAGTTTTTTCTTAAAATTAGGTTGATTAAATGTTATTTTTTAATAAGTCATGATTTGTTTATTCTTATAAAGGCTCTTAATCAGGGTTTTTCTTAAAATCAACCAATCTGTTATTTTAAAGTAATTACATATATTTACCCTAATAAAGGTTTTATAGAATTAACATAAAGAAGTCTCTTCTGATGGAATTAGCAGAAATTGACCTCCCAATAACTCCTAAAAACATTAAAAGAGCTAAAATACTATTTCCTAGAGCTAAAATTTCTGGTATGGTTGGGTATTATATTTTGATTTCTTGCACTATCTCATCCATAAGAATTTAGACAAAATTATATCCTGTGAGTCCAATATATTATTAGCTATAATTCCTATCATAGGATTGTTAGATTACATCATACTAAATAGGAGAAGAAAAGTTTGTCTCTTATAATATTAATAATCCCTACTTAACAGAAGTATTTTGCTTTTATGTTTTGATTGTAGTTTAAATTAATTAGCTAGCAATAGTATAGATAAACACATTTCTATAATTGACTTAATTTTGCTTGGTCATAATATTAAATTAAGATGTGAACATTCTTAGTCTTAATCCAGAATTTTAGCCATTCATTATTTTGTCAATTTCATCTTAACTTGCACAATTATTTGGAGTATCTGTTTTGAAAAAATCAACATCTAAGCATCCATAAACTTTAATGCCTATAAATGACTAAATATTATCTCTATTACTAAGAATCAATGTTTAATTGCTAATTTACGAGAAGTCAAGGCAATAAAAATCTTGAAGTTCTTTATCAGAGCACTTAATTACATTTAATGGAATAGTTAATTCATTAGTTTTATTAGCATCAGCATAATAGTAAAAGCCCATCAATACTACATAAGTCTTGTTATTTTATGCTTGAAACTAATCAATATTGATATTAGTATCATACTCATATCGAAATCCTACTAATTTAGAATTTAAATCTATTTCTATCTTATCTTAAGTGATTATATTCTGAGATCTATAAGTTGGCTCTATTTCATTATTGACATAAATGTATAACAAATAAGAATAATAGCTAGCTGCAATGATTGTAATAGCTAATGTCAAGATAGCTCCTGATATAGTTCCTTTTTTTATCTATTGCTAACCAACATTGAAATTGAAGTGCTGCGAAAATAAATCAATTTTAGAAAAATTCATTTGCTTTTTAATTGTTAAAGAATTTCTTTTTTTATGATTTTTTTTAATTAAATTAATTAAATAAGCTCAAAAAAAAACAGAAATGCAATTAATTGTGATAACTATTGAGTTATTTTTGTTGTATTGCTTAATTTTAAATTTTTACTGAATTATATTTGGATCCATAAAAACTGCAAATGTAGTATTATTATTTGTATTTTTTAAGCTAAATTTTTTACCAATCAATGAATTAAATGAAAGTCGGCTCTTTGTTGCATAATGTTTAAAATAATAAACCTTCTAGAAGTAATAATTAATATTTATAAACTTATGCGTTGGGTGATAATATTAAAGATTATTCTGAGACAAAAATATAATTTTGAATAAGTAAAAGTAACTTAAAAAATATAAAATATTTTTTTTAAATAAAAAAGCAAGTATCCTATCATTTATAAATTTGATTAAATTTTAAACAAGTTTTAAGTTTTCTCAAAAAAGAAATTAATTTTCTTCAAAATTAAGGAGCTATTTTCTTAGCTATTTTTAACTTTATTTATTTATTTAGTTATTTATTTTTTCAAATCAAATTGAATCAATGTACCTGCTTTTTAAAGCAAAATAAAAGTTTCTCGTATTAAATAAACAATATACTTTAAATTCTAATAAATGATACTCATAAATTTTTCAATAAGTATATTCAATTTAAAATTTTAAAAATTATTATTAAATAAATAATCGATCTGGAGGTTAGTTTAAAGAAATTTGATTTTGCATTATTTAATATTTAGGAATATTAATTTAAATTCGAGCATTGATGATTAAATAAAAATAATAAAAATTAATTTATTTTTATTTTTACCTCTTTATTTTTTAAATAGAACTTATATTTTAGAAGAAATAACAATCGTAGATTAGTCCATAAAAATATAATATCAAAAAATTCTATAAAATAGCTTTAATTATTAAATAAAATCAAAATTAAAAGGAAATGACATAAAAAATCTTGAAAAGACAAAAATTATTATTTGAAATAAAATATATTGAGCTGCCCGCCTAGCTCAGTCGGTAGAGCGCAAGACTCTTAATCTTGTGGTCGTGGGTTCGAGCCCCACGGCGGGCTAATCTTTTTTATTTTAAAACATAATTAAAATAAAATTGTAAATATGAATCTAAATTAAAATTTCTAACAATAAAAATGAATACTAAAAATTGTCATTAATAAAGAAAAATTACAAATTTATTCAATAAGAACTTATTTTTATATGGACTGATTATATTATTATAAAATTTTTAATTATAGTTAACTCTATTGATATTTTATAATTGATAGAATATTGCTTTATTATTTTATTTTTTCAATTCATTTGATATAAAAAATTGTTTGTTTTTTATTTTGATTAAAAATTTGTAAAATGATTACTATGTTTTTTAGAATAAAAATTTTATTTGTTTTTACATTAAAATTAATTAGGAAATTTTCAAAATAAAATTTTACATGAAAATTATTTTCAAAAATTAATTAAAATATTAAGCTTCAAAAATTATTTTAGTTTGAATAAATTATTTTTTTTAACAAAAAATTAACAAAATAATTTTATAATTTTCTTTTTTTCTATACCGCCCGCCTAGCTCAGTCGGTAGAGCGCAAGACTCTTAATCTTGTGGTCGTGGGTTCGAGCCCCACGGCGGGCTAATCTTTTTTAAAAATAAATTTTTTTTACTCTAAAAAATTAGTATAAATTTAAAACATAAAATAAGTAAGTGTTTGTTTATCAAATAAAAATACCAAAAAACAAATAAATAAATAATTAATAAATAAATAAATATTAAATTTTTATAAGATTTCACTAGTACTAAAACATACTCATTAATGAGTTATTGAGAGAAACATTTTGGGAAACTTATCCAGTGTTTTATTTTTCTAAATTTGGTTTAGCATTATTGCGATTTTAACTCTGAAACTTTTGATTATCATCTTCATTTTAAGTGAAGTTTTCAGGTGAAATATCAATTTAATTTGGTTTTTCATGTTATTTATAAACTATTTTATTTGGAGGTATAAATTGGTCTGACAAAATCTCTACTTTTTCTTATTTTTCAATATTCTAAGTTGTTTCTTGCTGATTGTTAGATAATGTATTTGGATTATCAATTAATTGGTTGTTCTTATGGTTATTGGACTAAGGGGTTTAATTTTTTGGTGTAGCAGCTATTTCAGCGTTATTATTTAAAATCTGAATTTAAATTTATTTCATGTCTTTTACTTTAATTTCTTACTCTTTTTCATTTTCTTGTGGAAAGCCTGACATTGAAATTTCAATTTACTTCATTTCTTATAGATCAAATGTTTGATCATTCATTTCAAACAATCTTTGATTATTAGGGCTAAAAAGTGGGATGCTTATATCTTAATTATTGGCATTTGTGCAACTTAGTCTATCAGTTAAAGGGAAATTTTGATTAGATAGATTTTCTAAAGACTGATTATTAGGAGCAAACGCAGAAACTTTCTTTTAACGTATTTTAGAAGTATTAGTTTACTAATTTTATTGAGAGTTTAATGCTGATAGAATATTTTAAGGCTGTAAATCGCTTGTTTATTTATTTCGATTGTAGGATAAAACAATAGGTTTGCTAAGAGTTAAATTTTCAGTTTATTTTTAAAGTACCTAAATTTGGAAACTTCTTACAATGAATTTTGATTCATCTATGATTTTAACAATTATACTTCCAATATCTTTCTTTTCTGGGATACCACTAATAAGAATCGCTCCATTGATAAGGTCGATTGAATTAATCCAAGATGGTAGCTTTTCATTATCTGTTAGACCTTTTTCAATATAATGTATGTCGAGCAATTTGTGAATGCTGTAACAACATGGGATATCAGAGTTCCTTTCAAAAGCCTTCACAGAGTGAATGAGATGAGAAAAAGTATGGAGGCTTTCTCCTTGTGTAACTTGTAAAAGAGGAGGAGATTTGAGAGTAAAGCCAATAGCTCTTGCTTTAATAGCTTCTTAAAGTAAAGATTCAGAAAACTTTATCTTCTTAGGATTTTTTGTGACAGGATCATAGAAGTGTCTAGAAATAGATCTAAAAATTTCTACCAGAGCAGCCCTATACGTTTTTTCGTTAATTGTGACATGAGGATAAGGGTTTGAGTGGATTTCCTCAAATTAAGGGTTGATATTTACATAAGCCTTGTACCAATCTATATCCAAGTAGTATCTACAAGCCTTTTTTTGCAAAAATTCAAAAATATTTTTAGTAACTTTGTCCTAATGTATTAAAAAGTCAATTAAAAAGCAACAAATAGCTCTCGATAATATTGAGTTTGGATTCAAAAGAGATTAAAGTTATTTTTTGTTGACAACTCTTTATTTCTCATGCAAATTCTCCTATTGTTGTTTGATAAATTTCAAAATTTAAACAAAATTAATATTTCCATTTTCAAAAATTTTTATATTGTAATTTTTTTTATTTTTGCCTATATCATTGTCTAAATACTATAATCTTGATATTTTGTCATAAACTCCTAAATTGTGCTTAATGTTTTCTGCTGCTTTTTTTGACGTTATGTTTAAATACGCTGATTTTCTTTTCTTAAAAATGTTTGATTTGGTCTATAAGAATGGGTCTGCTCTGTTAGCTAAAGAAGAGGTATCATCATTGTTTGTCTTCTCTGGTTTTTTATCAGTCTACGTATCGTTCTTTATAGCCGATTAATTCAATTGCTATTTTTCATTAGTTTAAATTTATCCACTTTTTAACAGTTCATTAAGTTTTGATGAGCTTTCTATTATGATCTTTTTGAATTTTCTATCTACAATGCTCATATCTTCATCATTAATTCCAAAAGGATACATTTTCATGATTACTTCCTCCTCAAAGCTTTATTCTTGAGATTCCTAATTATCTTCTACGTCTTACTTTTACTTACTAGGCCCAAAATAATCATAGCTGGTTACTTAATTTAGCCTCATCAACTCTAAAGACAGCTAATGCAAAATCTCCCCATCCCCAATTTTTTTATGGAAAAAAGACCATAATCTTTCTGCTTAGTCTCTTACATCATCTGTGATTGTTATTTACTTTTTATATATTTCTCCTACGTATGCGACGTCTTTTGAATAAACGTATTATCTCTTAAAGGAGATATTATAAATAAAGTGTTTATATTTGTAGAATCCTAAAACACCAAAAATAGGACCAAAAATTTAAATCGCTAATTAGAAAGCGTAATTGAAAGGTATCCTATTTGGTACTATTACAAATTAGTCTAAGCTGAAAGAGTATCCATCAGTAGCGTTCACTTAAATAGTAATATGATCATTGTATTAAGATGCAGGAGCGGTTCCTGTGAAGACCCTATCGGTAGGAGAGAACTAAACCCAAGAATCCTTAGGAATATCCACAAATTTATTACCCTAATTTATCTAAGCAGTGTACTATAATGAAGTTGAATCCAATGAAGTAAAAACTTCACTGCTGATTTGATATTAAAAGCTATCTTCTATGAAGATTTCCCCTGATGGATATTTAGAATTTAAATCTTTCTGTAAATTTAAAACTTATGAGACAATGACTGGGGCTTACAGAGACAAGAATGTCATACTTTTGTAAGGAATCGTGTTTACATAATTGTAATTGACACCATCAGAAACAGTCATTTAAATTAATATGTTTTCAGGCTTAATAAGTTTTTCATCAATTGAATATTTTATTCCATTTTTTAAAATGCTATTTATATTATCGAGACTGCCTTCTAACTTTAATTAATCTTATGCAGCAGAAATAAGAATTAGTACACTTGAGTAAACTTTATTTACAAACTTAGCTTTATTTGTTGGTATCGTGGAACCATCGCTAAGAATTTCTAGAGATTAGAGTTCAATTGTGATATCATTTTATAGAGAGAATATAATTTGACTCTTATTTTAAAGATCAACTTAAATCGATTAAGTAATATAAAAACTAGTTGTGTAATTAATAATGTTCTGATTTAAAATATACTAGATGAACTCCTTTACAAGACTTAATTTAGGTCCTATCCACTTTGCTAGGTAAACATTTTCATTGACACCAAAGCTAATTTACTAGGAAGGAGTGTAAGAGGGTTGTACGAAACCTAGCTCATCTACATATCCAACAACTATGCATGCTTTCTTAATAGCAAAAGAATCCGTGGTATTTATTTAAAGATAATTATTAACGAAAGCTGAATCTAATATCGATTAGTATGTAGTAAATACTACTTACTAAATAGTATCCACATATTCACCTTTATTGTTTCTTTGAAGTGAATCCTTACTGATGCTAAGGCTCAGTATTTGGGCGGAAGGTTAAAATGTCATCCATGAAGGTAGAGACTAAAGGACATTTTAAAAGTAATACTAAGCCTAGCGAACTAAAATATTTTAACTTTGATAAATTGGAACTAAATGCATTTCTATATGCTAACCAATTTGCAGTGCTTGACCTTTAGGTAATACATTTCTAGTGTACTGATTCGAATTTTATTATTAAGTAAGCACATAAATTTAAGTATGCAATATAATTTGATTTTAAATTTAAAGTAGAAGTAGAGAGAAATTACTTGTTATAAACACTTCAGAATTGTCTTTTGTGACACACATACTATAATAGCCAAAAGCGCTTGGGTCTCCAATAGTTTAAACAACAACAGGATTTAAAATGTCAGTTATACTAACCAAACTGATAGAAGGATATTCATCAGTAGTTGCAAGTACATACTAATCATTTTAAATAATAATTATATTGAATAATGAACCTATAATTTTCACTTAAGAAACCTATGTTAAAGAATAATCGGGCTATATCGAAACTATTATAATGCCTTAATAGGCAGCAGCCAATATACCGTACTTTTCGTTTGAAGTTAATCTTTTAATTAAAAAATATTAAATATATTGATAATTAAAGAAAATAGAAATGGGGAAAAAAATAGATCAAAGTAAATTAAAATAAAATAATTCGGTGTATAATTTTTAAAAAAATAAATAATTAAACAAGTAAATAAGCTAACGATTTATTTTCAAAAAAAGTTGATTTTCAATTAAAGAAATTAAATTCTATTGAAACACTAAAAAGTTTTATATGAATTAATTTTTTTACTTATATTTTGTTTATTTAAAAAAAATAACATTCATTTTTAATATTTAAATAATTAATTAAACGTTAAAGTGATATTTGTTTCTAAAATTGTTTTTTGATGATGAATTTTAACTTAAAAAAATATTTTTTTAATCATAATTAAAATGAAGGAAATTTTATTTTTGATAAAATTCAAAAAAAATCAATTTACCTAAAATCATAGCAACCATCAGTAAATAGTTAAGAGGTAATTTAGGGTTTTAGTGGGTTAGTGATATCTCCAGTTAGAACTCCAAAAGAATATAAAATCATGAAGACATGATTTTCATCTTTGGTTAATGCAAATCTATAAAAGCTAGTATCTCCAAAAGTATATTTTAAAGTATCTATAACTCCAATGATAAATGGGTTCATAGGATCAGCTATTGATATTATGTAGCCATTTATGTAGTTAACTACCAAGCCCAATTAAAAATTTTTGAAAAACTAAATATAGTTGAAATTTACGTAAGGAGAATGTAAATTTATCTTTTCTTTTAAAATAGCTGGAGAGGTAGGATCAGCGAAGTTTACTATTGAAATTCCTAATCCTCCTCTTGTTAGATAAGCTGTGTTATCATCTGCAAGGAAAGCTATTTTGCTTACTGGAAAATAAGGATTTTATTACCTGTAAATAAATGAAGAGCTCTCTAAAATACCTTGCCCTGAATATTTAAAAACAGCTGCACCATAATCAGCTCTGGCTAAAAATAATTCCTGCTTGTTCTCTTTGAGAGTGCATTCAAAGTCCAAATTTCCAATTATGGGATCCTCTTTAAAAAAGGTATAATAGGTTAATTAATATGTGTTTAAAAGTAAATTTGGCACATCCCTATTAAAGTTTGGTACTGTTCTCTAAAATATTTATAATGTGAGGGAATTTGTATAAAAGAGAAGATCTTCTGAGCTGTTTAAAATAATGTCATTGCAATTTGAATCCACAAAAATATTTTAAAGAATTTAAAAACTCTTCTGTTTCATGTCATATAAACGAACTCCAACTGACCTAAACTAAGAAAACAAATACCTTCTGTCGTGAGTTAGGTACATATGTCCTCCTAATCCCTGGTTTGGAGTAGCATCAATAGGTTGAAAGATGGTAGGAGTGCAGACTTATCCTCCACCATCCAAAAAAGCCTTAGCACTAAATAGAAAAATACCTCTATAAAGCATCATGATTGCTATTGTATTTTCATCGATTAATTCGAAATAGCTAACATCAAAGAAAGTTGGTTTGAGATAGCATGCTAAAGTGAAAGTTATGTTATCAATATCTAAACCGTTGTTAATTATAAAATACTATACGCCTACATTAGCAGTAGTGACTAAAGCGAACGTGTACTATCTTATAAATTCTATTTGATATGTGTTTAATCCATTAACATTTACTTCTTACAGATACACCAAACCCTACGATGGGTTCCTGAAATCAAAAATCTAAAACATGGTGTAGCACATCAAAAAGAGTACATTGTTGTCTACAGGCCAAGGAATAATTTTGTTAACTGGTAAATTTCCTTTAGACATCCCTTATATCGTTATATTAAATGGTTAAATTGCAGTATTTATTCCAAAAAATAATCCTGTTTAATGTGCAATCCACAAATATTGTGTTGTATTGCTGTATGTTATGCCTAGCGTTTTACCTTTGGGGTAGAGAGTACTATTAAATGCTATTTTCGGATTAGCCATATCAGTAATATCGTAAATATACAGTCCACATATAGACATACTTAGAGCAACATAATTTTTTTTATTTTAAGAGAATGGAAAAACAGCTGATGATAAACCTCCTTCACAAAGCTAAGTTGTATCAATAGTTAAAGTAGGTACAGGTTAAAACACTGGAACTTACTATTCATCTCCTGAACTCAACTAAAAGCTTAATGCTTTTGAAATAAAACTTAACAAACATAAAATAAAGCTAATTTTCTTCATCTTCTTAGTTAAAGCTATTGCCTATTTTTTATTATTTTTCTTTTTTAAAACTTCTACTTTATGTATTGGTTTTTAAGAATAATTTTGAGTATGTTTAATTTATTAGTTGAAACTTTAGCCTACTCTTAAAAATTTAAAAGCTCTTAAATTGATTAATTTTTTATAATATTGCAGATTTATAAACAAACATTGGAGAAAATAAAAAATTTAATGACAACGAAACTCTGATACAGCAAGAACAATAAATAAATAAACAAACTACTTTTATATTATTAATTTCTAACAGAAAAAGTTAACAATGTAACAATATTAAAAAGAGCTTATTTTTTAATCCTTTTCCACATATCATTTTAAAAATTTTTTAAATCACTTCTTTTAAAGTAATTTCTTTAATAAATAAGCATGGTCATTGCTGCTACTAAGAATAAAAATTATTTCATTATGATCAAGAAATAAAATTCACTATTACTATAAAATGAGTTAATTATGATGAATATTCAATTAATATTTATTCAAATATTGATTAATGATTTACTTTGTAAAGATATCTATTTTTTTTTAATCATTCATAACGGATTGAATCTAGAACTGTTAATTTTTATTGTTTATAGAAAGATTGATAAGCTTGAATTTTACCAGCCATGAATAAAAAAAAATATAATTTTTTTTATTAAAAGTAAACTGGTATAAATATTGCGTTTAAGATGTCATCACTGATTATAATATTTGATATCAATCATTAATTTTTCAAATAGATGAATAAGCTCCCACAAATATTTTGATTAGTCAATTAACATAAATTATAATCATTAAAACTACTTAGACTACTTGAATCTTAATATAAATGATAATAATTAGGATAAAAATTAACCATTAAAATTTTAAATCGCTTATCATTTTTTAGTTCATATCAATATACTGTAAATAAATAATCAGAATTCTAAATAATAAATTACATTGGGATTTCTAAAAAACATTAATATATTGCTATACCTTGTTAAAATGCTAAAAATATGGGGATTTTAAATGAATTTTTATGTTAAATATAGTGAGAATCTTATAATATCACACAATAGTATTTGAAATTTAAAATAATATTCTAAATTTTATTCTAAGCATTAATTGCCTAATATTTGCTATTTCTACTTTAAAAGGGTATTTATTTTGTGTCGATATTTATCATAAATTAATTAATTTTTGACTTATTATGTATCTGATTGATTTTTCATTCAAATTACTATCCTACATTTATAGTTATTATCAAATAAGTGATAAGTCACAAAAATAGGTAGTTGATTGTAAAATTATTTCTTAATTTTCTTTCTACTTTAGAAAACTTGTAACTGACTTACTTTTATAAGACTTTGGCTACCTTTTTAATAAGTTTTTTCTTTATAAATCTTATTGAATATTTTTTAAATGAAGAAAAATAACATATTTAGGTTTATTAAGGGAACAATAAATTTGATTTAATACTTAATATTTGCAAATAATAATATATTAAAAAGAATTTTATTTGTATTACTCATATTTCAAAAGAAAAATTATGAAAAATTTTTTCATATATCTTATCATAAATAGTTTGCTTATTTATAAATTTATTGATCCATCAATTCTAATAAAAGAAAAAATTTTTTTTACAAAATTAAAATAAAAAAAGTTAATTAATTCTTTTCTTATTATTTACTAATTTGATTACATGCTAATCAATCAAAATTATAAAAAATTCAATTCATATATAAAATTTTTAATAAAATAAAAATACACTTTTCGAAGTTGCAACAAAAAATTATTTTTAAAAAATAAATAATTATACAAATGCCTAAAATTTATTATTAATTCGATGAAGAATAGGTAACGTATTTTAAATTAATTTTTAGATAACCTCAAATAAAAAATAATAATGAATTGGTTAAACTAGCTTTTGCTAAACTGTAAGTTTTAGATAAAATAAAAATCTTCAAATTTTTTATTATTTTGATATACTGGTGTTATTCAATAATTAATAAGCGGTTATTAGTAAAGCGATTTGAGATGTATATTGATTTTAAATATCAAATTAATTCAGAATAAGAGAAATGAAGAAGATATATATAATATATATAATATATATAATGAATAAATATGTAAACATAAATTAATAATAGATCTCTTAATATAAAATTAGAGTTTTTGCTAGCTAATTTACAAGTTTAAAATATTATAAATTTTATAAGAGCTTGTTTTTAAGATTATTCTTATGATTTACATTCAAAATTTCAAAATTTTTGAACTTTTATTTAAGTTGAATAGGAAATAAATACTCAATTTTAATAATTGAGAGTTTTATGACGATATTTTTATTTATTTTTGTCTACATGATTAGTGTTTTAGTACACTTGATTGTTTGCTAATCCTTGTAACTCAATATTCATACTCTTAGAACCAGGAGGTTAATGTCCGAATTAAGAAGGATTGTGTCCTTGTTATCCATATTTGTATCCATGCATTTGGTTTGGTTCTTCATGTATTATTTCAGGAAAATCATTAGAATATAAAGGACTATATTTCCTTTAAGTTTAATAATTATTCTATGGAGATTTTAGTTAGTTATAGAAAATATTATTGTCATATCCTTAGAAAGCACGGAAAGTACCAGTAGAGTTTGATGAATGTCTTCTATGATGTCCAAGTGACTGTTTGTCCTCATCATTTAGAAGTTCTTCTATGAATTTTAAATTTTCATCTAGCTCGTTGTGAGATTCCTCGTGTACTTAATTGTTTATTTCAGATGGTTGATTACCAGTTATATTGATTGAAAAGTTGGTAAAACTTTATGAAATTTAGGAGTTGTTATGGAAAAAAGAATCGTTTTTGAATTGAGGAGGAGATGAAAGGAAACTACTATTGCAACTATTGCTCATTAATTGCTTTTAACCCTGTTGGTATTACTGTTATGGTTCGTATTTAGTATGTGGTGATTACATTTATTTTCCAGCCGCATTTTTATCTCCTGCCTAAGATGATTGACCTTATTATTATTGTACTGATTATCCATAAGGATATGTCTACATACCATAGTTTTATTATGGTTACTAAGAAGAATTTTATTATTAAGTAGTTAAAGTTCCTTATACTGAAGCAGATTGTTAATGAATTTTAGGATGCATAGCACGCATTGTTAATGGGTTCAGCTGAGAATTTTTTGAATAGATAATAAAATTATTTTGCTTTACTAAAATATCTGCAAAAGATTCAGTGTATTAAGTTAAAAATTCATTAAAGTTTTTGCATCCAAATAAACTAAACTAAAATATTGCATTTAGCTTCTAGTTAAGAAGCTCATTAAGTTTGTAAGACATCAAGCCGTATTAATTATCATTTAGAATGCTTTATATTGTGCTAATTACTTTGCTTCTGTAATCATCTAAATTGGAAAAAGTTCTTCCATTTGTCAAATTTTAAGCTTTTTTGCCATAATTATCAGGCTTTAAAGTACAAAATTTTTTATTATAGGAGTGAGGACTTAAATCGCGCTAGTTGTTAACGGTTTAAGTATTTGAAATTGATGGAATATTGTTTCCGGAGTTATTTTAATTTGTATTATTGTTTTGGTTATTATTGGATTAAGGCTATGGTGCAGATTGATATTCTTTACTTAAATTTTATTGCTCTTCCTAATCTTAGACATTAATTGCAGGAGAATTACCAAAGAATTTAGGAGCATTATTTTAAGAAGATTTAGGAATTCCAGATGGAGTAATTTTATTTATTCTGTTTTATTAAATTTACTGCTAACCATTTATAGATCCATTACTCTCACTATTTTGCATCTATAACTAATTTATTGTCTACAAATTTCCACTCAAATTTTGCTATTTTATATAAATATAAATTTAAGTAAAATAAAATAAAAAATACACCTCCTTCTAAAATTAAATCTGTTTTTAAAATTATTTTTATATTATTTTTTAAACTAAGGGAGGTATTTGAAAAAATAAAGCTAAAGAAAATATTTACTTTTAAAACAGCTTATGCTTAAGTAGTGCCATCGTTTTCTATAATCACATCTGCAATAGTTTGTAAAAGAGATTTTAACTTAGGAAAACCTAGTTCATGCAAATCAAAAGTAAATTCTATTTTTTTTTGAATTAATTTTGGTAATCTAGCAAGACTAACTCCTCTTTTATTTTCAAGCAAGATTTCTAAAATTGTTGTTTTGATTAGTTATATTTTTTCTATTTATTCTTTTGATAATTTATCTTCGCTTACAGAAGGTTGCAAAACATGAGATACTGAGGCAGTAGCAGCAGCACCACTATTCTTGATAGATTTTTGTGAATCTGTCCTGTTTGTCATATCTCCTGCATTCACAAGAGAAGTTGTGTTATTTACTTCACTCTCTGCATGCTAATCTAAGACTGTAATATCCATGACTTCATCAAAATCAAAGTTAGTAGGTTTAATTAATAAAGTTTTGTAGTAAACTAATATTCCTCTAGTTATAGCTTCCTAAACAAATAAGGAGAGCTTTCCTAAACTACAACTTCTTAGAGGCAGAGGTCCGCAGCATTTAAGCAGCTAGGCGCAGCCATATCTATTTAAATTATTAAAAGTTAAGTTATTTATATTTAAAAAAGAAAGATTTATTTATTTATATATTTATTTACCTTCCTCCTGGAATAGCTTTATTAATAGATTTTGGTGGACGCACTATTGTTTTCTTAGTAGATTTAGTATGAACATTTTCAACAGAAGAGGTCCATTTGTGTTTTTGTTTTATATTTCCTGCAGAGCTGCTTGTATTTAACGCATTCGGCTCGCTTTCTTAGAAGAATTCTTTAATAAATTCAATGAATATTCTCCATAAATCTTTATCTTCATGCAAAATAGGACCATTATCTGAGTGAATCCATTCAATTGTATCTTTAACATACATAAGATAAGATTCTGTATTATTTAAAGGGTCTTTGAATTTTTTCAATTTCAAATTCAGAATGTTAGGCTTATTAAAGATAATGTCTCCATTAATATCAGCAAGAGATTTAATATATAGAATAACTCCATTCCAATATAACTGATTGATTTTCACTCCATAACATTCCTTGATTCTAGAAAGTACCATTTTTTCGTTTGGAGTCATTTCATCATTTCTAATGGAAATGATGATCCATATAACTACTTCAATCGATATTTAATTTAAATGGATGCTAATATATTGAATAGGATTTGAGTCTCCAAATTTTCTGATAGTGCTATGAATAACTTATTTTTATTCTAAGTTCTTTACTATTTTTTCTATGTTAACAAATTATCCTTTTCCTACTTCTTTTTGATAATCTTCCCTAAATTTTTTACATAAAAATTCAAATAAGTTTAAAAATTCAAAAAATAAATATCATCTTAAATTGTAATTATTCTGAGTTAAAAAATTATTTTAATTTCTTACTTAAATGTTTCTAATTTTACAAGAAGATCTCCTTACTTGGCATGCTCGATAAGTATCTTTTTAGTTATTTCTTACTGAATATCTTTACTATCAAAGTGACTAAAATCTTGATAGAGAGATATCTCTATAGGATTAACAGGGATGTTGTTTGCATTATTTTTTTAGCTCATGAATGAGGTATTTTCTTGCTCATCTCCAAAGCTAAATCCATGATCAACAGAAACATTAAAAGTCTTATTTTATCTAGAAGAGCTTATAATTTCAGAGAAATTTCGATTAACTGGATTTTAAGAAGGAGCCAGGTTAGGAGTTTAAAGCTAAGGATTACTTTCATCGTTATTCATTGTTGGGGTATTTCCATTATTTTCTGGATTGATTTTATACTAATTAAATGAATTATACATATTATATGATTGATTTTAGTCATAAGAATTATCTATCGAAGCACTTACATTTGTGTTATTCAAAAAGTTTCCAACAAAAAATTGTTATTGTTAACCTAAATTTTATCCGCTACTGCTGGCTTATTACAAATTTTATTAGTTTTACTATTAATTTTAATACTGCTGACCATAGTTTTAAGCCATATTTGCTGGTATCATAGGAATTTAGCAAGGACTACTTAGAGGTTACTGAGTTTGCTAAAAGCCTATTGGCTACTATTATTGACCTACTGGTTAGGTGTAAAACTACTAATACTATTGCTATTGTAAAACCTGCTAATTTAAATTTTATTACTATTAATTATTTGGTTGAGAGAAAAATTATGGCTACTAGTCTTGCAAACGAGGAGACTACATTTATTACTACATTTGCATTATCATATAAAGCATTTGTTATTGTTAATTGTCATCTAACTATTTATTACCTCCACTCATGAGCATTCCGCTTTATCCATCAGAAAATGTGAATGTGTCACCTATTTTCTAAGCCATCATATTTGAGTTTTGTCCTTACTACATGAAGTTTACTGATTTATTAGTTTATGAGCTTGGTGTGCCTTACCCAAAAGTCAAGCTTGATAGATTAGGATTTAGCCCATTTGGGGTAGAGGGAAGTTAAAATTGTTGCTATTGCTACTACTACTACTACTACTAATATTGCTATTGATAATTTCCTATCGTTTAATTACCCTATGCATTAACAATGGGTAGATTAAGGGGAGGATTTGCAAAGTTGTTCTACTGCTGTAATTGTTTTTTTGAAGGAGTTATATCTTGATTCTAATTTTGCATTTAAAAATACTATTGCTAATTTTGAACTGCTTGGCTATTGAAATATTGCTATTATTAAACTTGTTGAGTTTGCTAGGTCTAGCCCTTACTTTCCCCCTTTACTTAAATATTCTCCCTTTTATGCAAAAGTCTTTTTCCTCTATTATGAATTCTTAAGTCACACTACTTACAGAGTTTTTATCCACAATTGCGACAAAAAACTGCTGAAATATGTTCATCACATTCCTCACATTCATCATTTTCATTTTAATTATTACCTTAAACATCTTACATCATTAGCGAATTGTTATTACTAAATCCGCTTACATCATTTAAACTTTTATCGTTTCCTTCATTTTCATGCTAGTTATTTGGGTTGCCTTGCTGTATCAAATTAGGATTATCTGCTCATTAAAATAAGTCAAATTAAAAAGAGTTTATCCAAAATATTTATTTTACTTCCTCTGCTATTGTTCAACCTTCCGTTTGTAGAAGTTGGTGTCTCATTATAATCCGCATCACTTTAAGTTCCCACAATTTTGATTTGCTTATCTTGAAAACTCATAGACTGAAATATTTAATTTCACTTAGGATTTAGTTTTTTTCAAAAGTCAATGATATCACTTATCGTGTGATTAATCTGTATACTTGGTGTAAAAATTATGTCTAGACTATTTTTATAATAGCTTTGATCTATTTTTCTTGGTGTTTATTTAATATATTCTTTCTTCTTTCTTATTCACTTAATTTCTTTATTTGTTTGTTTTTAGTTAATAATCTTTACAAAATTTCTTTTCGCTTGTATAGCTACTTAAATAATTATAATAATAAATATTTTTTTGGTTTATAAGAATTATCAATTGAAAATATTATTTAATTGTCTCTTTATTTATTAACAATTAATAGAGCTTCTTTCTGATTCTTCTTAGTAGTCTTTACTAAATCAATTAAATCAAAACCTTTCGTTTCTTTGTTTGATTCTTTGCTAGTTTGCAAAATGAAAGTACTTTATTTGAAATATTTCTAAGATGCTTTTCATAAACAATTAATTATAAAGGCCTTTGACTGGATTTTCTTGAATTGCTATCAATTTCGAATCCAATCTGTCTGTTTCTTTATACAAATTTAAAATTCTTGCTTTTATTTGCTATCAAAGTAAAATTATATTTTTAAATTTAACACTTTTTGGAGATAGTATAGTTTGTGCTTTCTTTTAATAAAAGCAACAATATTGATCGATGATGCCTTTTATTATACAAAATTGCTACTCTTTGTTTGTATTTATTAACTATTAAAGAAAAAAATTGAATTCTTTAAAATTTTGCATATCTACTCTTCAAAATTTTTGATTAAAGTCACTCAGCAAATTAATTTTCTTAAGATTTTTATTAACTTATAAATAATGATTGGTTTCAATGTACTTTTGTCGTTCCTAAAAATAAAATTTACTTTTTTATTTATCAATTTTAATTAAGGATGTTTGTTATTTATCTATCTATTAATCAATCTATCTCAATTATTTTTTCGAATGGTTTTTTTACTTCTAAAAAATATTAAATTTTGTAAGTAAAATAATCATGTAATACATTTTAATTAAATAGTTCCATTTTAAAATGAATTACAACATTTGTTATAATAGTTTTTAAGTGAGAAAAGTTAAAAAAAGAAGGTTTCCATTGAAAAAATAAAAAGATCATCAGTGATGAATTTAAATTTTATCTATAATATTTATTTTATTAATTAATTTACCTTCTACTGGTAGTAAGATTTTTTCAATTTTCTTTTTCTATTACTTTGATATATTCAAAAATTATGTTTTAAATAATAACAATGATAGAAAATAAGTTAATAACGAATATATAATCTTAACTTTTTTATCTACGATGACTCACATTAAGCAAACTATTAAATGAATCATAATTAAAAAGGCATTTTAAGAATTACTTTTCTATATAAAATTTAGATTAAATTATAAAACTATCATAATATAAATAAATACAAACTTACATAATTTAGCAAAATAATAGAAAATAAGTTCTTTTTTAAATTTAAATGTTGAATAAACGTTGATAAATGATAAAATTGTAAATTCGCAATATTTTTTGTAATTAAATTCAATGAATACAATCAAAAAGCATAGAATAATTATTTGTCTAGCAGTGGAACTTTTGATTAATTAGGAAAAGAAAATCATTCAAAATAAATACTACTAAGTATAAAAACAACATTTTATTACAAAGTATTTTTTGCTTTTAATATTTAATCTTTTTATTAAATTGAATTGACTTTGATTGAAGATTAAAAATTTTCATAAATAATAATAAATATTAAAATTGCTTTTTAACACTTTTGATAATTAAACTTCTTTCAATAATTTTGAAAAAAATTAATAATAAAAAAATTGTTATATAAATAATTTTGATATATGAAATTTTACAAATCACAAACTGTTGAATTTCAAATTAAATCTAATCAAAGTTGAATTATGAAAATCAAAAATAAAAATAAATTGTGCAATATTGAAAATTATATTTCAAACAATTTAATTAAATATGTTGTTTAGTTTTTTTTGTTTTCTTCATTTTTTATTATTTATTATTTTTATTTTCTTCATTTTTATGATTTATTTATTTATTTATTTGTTTTTTTTATTTTTTATCTGCTTTTGTGTTTAAGTAATTAATGCTTATTAATTTTTCTCTAATCTGATTCTCTTATGTGGTAAGGTTTGTGCTTTTACAAATTTTATTTTTTTAACTTTTTATTTTATTTTTATTTTTATTTAAATTTTCTTTTTATTTATTTCTTCTTGGTAGTTTGTTAGGTACCTATTTTTTTTTTAAGGAAAGAGCGCACAACACCTCAAGAGCATTTCTTTCTCACTTTTTATGATTATAAAATCATTAAAGGAGTCCAAAATCAAAAGAGGGAATAGAAGAGGTGGAAGAGAAGTGGATGTTTTTTTTTTAGTATCCGGGAGCACCTAGAAAATTTAGCTTTTTTGAGTCCAAAGGAAATTTACATCGAAATCCTGGATTAAAAAACTTAATTTTTAGCCAATTCTCGAGGTCTTTAACCGGATACCCTTTTCCATTTAATGATCATTTGTTAACTATTTAAAAACTTGATGGGGAGTGGTCGCAAAAGTGAATGACAGACTCCGGGTATTAAAAATTTAAGGCGATCATTATAATGGAATTTTTGGATTCGGAAGAATCATCCTAATCTCCACGGTTATGTTGTGGTTTATTTGCTCACTACAAGTAAATGAATTTGGTTGTGTAGTGAGATCTATCTAATTTTTTATTTTTCTAATTATTTAGAAATTAATTAATTATTTGATTTTCCCCTTTTAATTTTTGTAAATATAATTAATTTTTTTTCCTTTAATTTAAATTTCCTTTTTTGGAGGCAATAATTAAAATTGTAGTTAAATAAATAAATATTTAGAAGATAAAAACTTAGGAGCTTATTGATATATACATAATATAGATTTTTTAAATAAAATAAAGAAACCTCATTCTGTATTTTTTTTTTTGATAACATGAACATTTTGAAAACTTGATTTGATTTAAAAAGTATTTTTAGTTGAAAAATATATCATTTTATAACAATAAATAATAATTCTAATTTTATGAACAAATGCTTAAGTTTAATTCAAGTTAATTTATGAATGCTTTACAATAAATTGAAATATAAAAAATAATCTCTTTAAAACATATATATTACATAGAGCAAATAAATTAATTACAAACAATAATTATTTATATCAATTTTTAAAGATATTTTAAAAATAATACTTTAAGTTAAAAATAAAAAAATATATTTACTTTGGTTAATATTTTGAATTTTACAAAAGATTATATTTAATTTAGAATTAAATATCACTAATTAAAAGAGATATCATCAATACTAGGAAGGAATAAAGAATTAATTTAATTATTAATAAACCAAAATATTAATTTTTTTTATATTAATAATGTAGAGTGAAATGCCTATTTAATTTACAAAAGGCGAAATGTAATATATCTTAATAAAATAAAAAGCTTAAAACAGCTTTATTTTTGAGTTTTAGAAAGCTTTAAATTCGTAAAATGTAAAATTTCTAATAATAGATACCATATATTCTCATAATATGTCATTTATTTTGAAAAAAATAAATTTTTAATTTTATTAAATGTAAAAAAACACGATATAAAACTATCTTTTTGTAAATTTGTATGGCAACTTACTCTATCTATCAATTTAATACTTATTTATTATCAAATGTTTGTTTTATAAAATAAGTTAATCTCTAGAATAAATAAATGATTGAATTGGCTATGAATTTTTTCATATAAACAAAACTATTAAATATAATGTCTTACATGTATGCATGAATGTGTTTATTTATTTGGTTATAATTAAGGTATTTAAACATTTTTTAATATAATTAAAATAATTAGCCTAAAGAAATTAAATATTTCTTAAACTAAATGATAAATTTATGTATAAAAAATCTTTTATTATTAATATTATTTTAAATTTTAAATTATTGTTTGTTTATCTTCTTAATGTTTAAATTAAAGAGAGATAATATAAAAATATTGTTAAACTGCACTATTCATTATTGCTTAGCCAGTTTTAGTTTGTTAGTGAGTAATTTTTTTTGTTTATTTAATTATTTACTTTCTTTCTTATATTTTTTATTTAAAATTTCTTTATGGATTTACTAGGATTTTATGATGATAAGAAATCAATTATTTCAAGCAAAAACCATTTTAAATTCATCTGAAATTGCAAATTACTTTAGATTAAGAGAGTTAAGGGTTTGTATTTTTCTAGAAGTTCTTTCTTGCAGAAGTTGTGCAGAAAGAAGGTTGCTACTGTTAGTGTTTTATAGTTATAAAGTAGGTACTTCCGATATTGCTGAGTTAGATCCGTTAGCAGGGTTATCTAAATTACTACTGCTAAAAAGATTTTACAATGTGCTGATTCTTTGATTGTTGAAACCGTTTGAATTAGATTAATTATAAATGTTAGAGTTGTTGCTTAGAGCTTTAGAAAATAATTAATTTGTACTGTAGGCTTTTAATGTAGAACTTTGCTGTTCAGAGCTATCTCTTCTTTTAGAATTAATTGACTCTTATATATTCGATTGTATTTCAGAGACTGAATTTATTTTAATACTGTTAAATGTGTTAGAGCCATATTTTGAATCAACATTCTTGTAGCTTTCTAACTCGCTGATAGAAAACCCTTTTAAGTCTTGAACTCCAAGGGATGAGTCTCTTTCTTTTACTTATCTTTAATTTAAATTTGTAAAATCAGGTTTATTTTCATTATTTGCATTAAAATCAGTCAATCTATAAGGCTGTATTTCAAATCCCTTAGACTCGCTACTAAAGTTAGGCACAAATTTCTTAGTTAAAGGAGATGTAACAGCACTTCCTGTGAATGAGGGTCCACCTTTAGAATTAACTATAGGTGTAATTTTAGGGGATTTTTATTTCAATAAATCTAAATCATTTTCAGACTTTAATTTATCTTTATTATAAAAAAAAAGTTTATATTTGACTTAAATTGAATTTTTTACTTAAAGGAATAGTAGTGTTCTCAGAATGAATTGAGGTGTCTAACCTAACTTAAGAGTGGTTCTAAATTCCAACAATATCAGAGTCTCTCTTAGTAAACTCAGTTGGTTGAGGAGATTTTATTCTATATTTAAAGGTTTCTTCTGATGTCTTTGACATAATATCTTGCTCTTTCTATTGATTTTTTTGATTCTATGTTGTATCATTCAATGAAATTTCTCTCTTCTAAACAATATAATTCTTTTAAGTCCTCTTATTTTGCTCAGTATTAAAATATTCATTCATTTGGTACTAAAAATATTTTTAAACAATATAAAATAAAATAAATTATTAAAATAAAATGTGAATTTTATTAAAAAAATAAAATAAAAATTATTAACAGGTAAATCAGAAACTAAATTTCATTAAAAATAGCATTCTTTAAATAAAATAAAATTTATTTTTTATAGAAAATTTAATAAAAAATTTATTTGAAATTATTAATTCTAAATTATTTTTTATTTTATTTTTTGAATTATTTGAAAAAAATAACTTTAAAATGAATTACATTATTTTTAGAGGAGTTTGAGTCGAAAACGGGTGGTGGAGAAAGGAATCTAATTTAGCTACTATTATTGCTAGCACCTTAGCTAGAAGATCTATCTAAAGTTGGAGAAAGGAGCTTTTTAAGATCATAATTATTTTAGCTGCTTGTTTCGCTATTGTTAATATTATGAGATAGCGTATTTGATGTAAGTGGAGGTTTAGAAGAGCTATTACTATTGCTGTTATTATTGTTGAGGTATTTTTGAGTAATTTATCTAATTTCGAAATCTTTCATAGGAGTATTCATAGCTGATGAATTGCTATCAAATTTATAGCTGCTTGAGTGCTAAAATGAATTTTAATTTTTAGCAGACATGCTGGCAGATTAAGGTTACAGATTTAAATTTATATATCCTTACTCTTAATTACGAGTTGTTGAAGAATTTATAAGTTTAGGAGAAGCGATCTATCTGATGCTTTCTTAAATTCTATTTGTTTTACTTTTGCTAAATTAATTAGAAAATCCCCCTAATGTTTCTTAACTTTGAATTCCCTAAGGAGTATTATCAATTAAATTATTTATATTTCCTATTTCGCTTCGATTTTAAACAGTGTAATTTTAGAACTTTTTAATCATGTCATCTTAATTATTCTACAATGTATTGCTTGAAGATCTCAAACTCATAGGAGTAGGGATATGACTATTTCTTTTAGGTGACACATTTCCCAAATCTTCTGAATTCTGTCTAGGTTTTTCTATTAAAAATGAATTAATTTAATTAAAACTCGTAAAGAGATATTGATAAAATTTATCTATTTTTTAAGCTTTTTCAAGAAAATTTAATAAAATCTCATTAACCATTTTGTTTTTTTAAAGAAAGATTAATTTATTATAAATAAAAGTATTTTATAAAGCAATTAGATAAATAGAGAGATAATTTAGCTTTTATTTTAAATCTAAACTTATATTTTTCAAATTTATGTTTCAATTAATAGGATTTTTTCTTTAAAAAATTACTTATTTTTTTAATCAAAATCTTTAAAGATTTTAAGTGTGCAATCAGTAATGATTATTATTTGGATTTTTATAATCAAAGATAGTTTTTTGTCAAAATGAAAAGTGAAATAACAAAGATATTTTTTGACAATATTCAATGATTTAAATCCTAAAATTATAAAAAAAGATTCACAATTTATTTAGACTAAAAAGCAGATTTTTTGATAGAATAAACAAAATCATTAAAAAAATCTGATTAAAAATTTTCATATTATATTTTAAAGTTATAGAAAGATCCTTACGAATATTGACTTAGTATTGAGAAATAGACAGAGTCTTTATTTTTTCTTCAATTATCTTTTTAACTGGAGACAGCTAAAATATTTTTTTGTTGTTCATAATTTTTTAAATATTTTAGAAGCTATCTAAGCTGAGTTCTATGTCTTTAAATAAATCAATAGTCTAATCTTCTGGATAATTAGTATTGCTGCCAATACTCATTACTATTTAATTTATTTGTAAATTTAGTTAAAATTTGTTTGTCAATAATAAATTTTAAATTACTCCAGTTTTGAAGAAGACCCTAAACAAGATGTTGTTTTTGGTATTCTGATTCATTTTATTTTAAAGGCTGAGCTAGATATGAAAGTATTAGGCTTTTAATATCACTTGGAGATAGTGCTGCCAAGCAATGGCTTGAGACTACTTAATCTAAGTAATGGTTTGAATAGTTCATTAAAGAAGAATAAATAACATCGTACTGCAAGTAAACTATAAACTCGATTTTGCTATTCGAGGCTACTGCTTGAGTATCAAGCTTGTTCATTTCATTTAAATTAAAAGTTTTCAATGCAATTGATTGCTTTTTGCCAATCACAAAATGATCAATGATAAAAGTAGATCTTTGTTTGATACCATTTATCTCTACTGAATAATAGAAGGTAATAATACTGTTTGGAAGGTTTAATACATTTTCTTAACTTTTTAAATTAATCAGCTTCATGTGTACATGTAGCTGTTAATCTTCTCTGATTGCAAATAGCTGTAAGTTGAATTACTTAAAATTAAAATGAGCTGTTTCCTTTTATGTTATTTGCTTTAGGTTTGAGAGCTTCCAGCTAATATTTGGGTGATTCTTAGCTAAAATTATTTTTAAAATAATTAATCTTTAATTTAATATGTTTATTTAAAAATTAGTATTTGGAAATTAGAAATTAATTTTTTTTGAAGGATCTAAAAAAGCATTGTTTTCCTTTTTTTGTTTTGGAATACAGATAAACGATTAAAAATTCAAATTAATTAGATAATAAGTAAGTAACCTTTCAAATTTTAAATAATAAGCTTATTTTACAATTAAAAATTTTTAGTTTGTTTTATTCTCTAATTAATGTGAAATATTATCTATTTTTAAAGTGTTTTAACCAATTTCCTGTAAATGTTTATTTAAAGTAAAGATCAAATATTAAGGTTTACCATTATAGCTTTTATGTATCAGATTTTTTTGGCGAATTTTTAGCAACTCTAGGTGATCCGACTTAATTTTGATGTTTAAAAAAACATCTATAATCTATTTAAGCTGTGAAACTTGGGTGTTTTACTAAATTTTTTGCTTGAAATACCTATCTATAATTTCATCCTATATCTTTTCATTTAACTATCTAATGTCTTGCTGATACTGGGAATAATATTTATCTAAGTTTAATGCTATAAAATTGATTATTTAAGTGAAGAATTAGTAGTAAATGTCATAGCTAGCAGTCTACTACTTAATCATAGAATTCTCACTTCCTTTCAGCTTTTTGTAACAATGCATTAGAAATTCTATGCTGTTTTAAGGTTTTAAGTTATTCTATAATATTCTTGTTATCACTGCATTTAAATAAATATCTGATTTCAAATAATCACAAAATTCTAAATGCTAAAGAACCTCCTTTTCTTTCAATTTGCTAAAATCAGATGCATCAAACGACTACAATTTAATATAAATTTCAAATATCGTTGCATTTACTCTTTCTATTTCATCTCCAAAGTTAATCTCCTAATGTATTTTAATATAAAAATATTAACTGTTGTCTTCCAGCTTTGTATTATCTAATGAAAAATTCTTATATTATCTTGCCATACTCAATAGATTTGAGATAAACTTTATTAACTCTCTTAAAATAGATTGCGACAAAGAAAGAAAAGAAAATATTAAGCATTTACCCGAGAAGGATGACTGGCAACTATCTACTAAAATATAGTTGCGTTCTGAAATTAAAACTGCTAAAATTCATACCTTTATCTCTTTATTATAAGATAAATACTATCTATTCATTTAAAAAGTAGTTTGATGAATGAATGAATACATATTTGCTAACTTAAATATAGAATCAATCTCAAAAAATAAATGAATAAATAAAATTAATTTACTGTGCAACATCTCAATTAAATTCCTAGTATTATCTATTTATCTATCTACTTTTTATATCAAAATCTTAACTTTATTACCCTTTAGAAAAATTATTTGAATGATATATTTTAGTAATCAATCCTATTTATTTATTATATTTATTTTAATGCCAGTTTCCTACTGAAATCTTTTCCTTTTTAATTAAATATACTGATTTTTATATATTGATATTCATTAAGATATTAAACAAATTATATATTTTTTATTCAACCAAATATCTAGTCTATCATTCATTCTATTTCTTTGATTTTTAATTTCTTCTTTTTTCGCAATCCTTTCAAAATTCAATTCAATTTCATTCATAATAATAAACTCCTTTATACATATACATGCTTGAAAATCTTAAAAACTTAATTTAAGATTTCTTTAATTCAGTGCAATCAATCAATTGATTAAGAAAAATGCATTTTATCTTTTTATTTGCTTAAGCAATTGCTGTATTCTATAGATCTTATGTATTTATTCACTTGCTCATTCTATCTTTCATTAATTAATCTGTTGATTGGTTGCTTTGTAAAAAACTTTTAATTCGAAACACATTTATTTTTACTTGTTTACCAATAATTTCACAACATAAAAGATAGTTAAAATAAATGAAATTATACTTTTGCAAACTTACTAATATTTTTAATAATTTAATTTCATAATATTTTCAACAAACAGTATTTATTAAATTATCAACCAACATCATACCACTTTTCATCACTAATTAATAAAAATTCCGACACTAATTTCAATTATAGAAATAAGAGCTAGATTAATTAAATAAAAAACATGGCAACCAAGGTGGGACTCGAACCCACAACCTTCAGATTAGAAGTCTGCTGCGCTACCATTGCGCCACTCGGCTTTTCACAATATAAAATATTTGAAATTATATTTTTTCTTTAAATTAACAAATTAATATTTATAAAAAATGGCAACCAAGGTGGGACTCGAACCCACAACCTTCAGATTAGAAGTCTGCTGCGCTACCATTGCGCCACTCGGCTTTAGACAACAAATTATTAAAATAACACAAATACTTTTGTCATTTTTGTTTAATTTATTTCTTTTATAATGTATTAATGAAATATAAATGATAATATAGAATTAAGGATTTTTTATTTTAATCCAAAATATTTTAAAACTACTTAAAATTTGCAATAAAAAATTCATTGCAATTATTTTTTTTTATGAGTTATTGTATTAAATAAAATTGTTATTCAAAAATTTATAAAAAATGGCAACCAAGGTGGGACTCGAACCCACAACCTTCAGATTAGAAGTCTGCTGCGCTACCATTGCGCCACTCGGCTTTTCACAATAAATTATTAAAATATCGCAAATACTTTTGTCATTTTTCTTAAATTTATTTAATATTTTGATTAAATAAGAATAAAAAATTATCGATTATTTTAAAGATCAATTAAAAATATAGATTTTAATTAAAATAAACTTATCATAAATTTTTAGGCATCAATTATTTGTTATTTTTTTGAAGTTGATTGGGTTAGATCTATTTCTTAATGAGAAATTATTATTATTTTAGTTTTTACAAAGTTGTCATTTTTTGGTTATTTTAAATTTAAAAATCATAAAAAATGGCAACCAAGGTGGGACTCGAACCCACAACCTTCAGATTAGAAGTCTGCTGCGCTACCATTGCGCCACTCGGCTTTAGACAGCAAATTATGAAAATATCACAAATACTTTTGTCATTTTTATTAAATTTAATTTGCTTAATCTTTTAATTAATGATAAAATATTAAAACTTTGAATTATTTCTTATATACCGTAGATTCTCCTTAATTAAGACACTTTTTAATTAAGACACTAAAATTCAAAAATTTTAAAAAGACACCATTTTTCAATCAAACATTTAAAAGTCGAGTGTCTTAATTAAGGAGAATTTACGGTATATATACTTATTAACTTAATAAGATTAATCGAATTTATAAAAATAACAAATTTAATGCTTTTTAAGTTAAAAAATATTTCACCTTAATTATTTAAAAAATTTACTTGTGTTATGAATATATAAAAGTTAATATAATATAATATATCAAGCTATTAAACTAGAGAATTGTTAATTAAATTTTGTTTAAATTATCTGTACTTAAATTTTTTAAATAATCTGATGATGGTAAAATTGAATTAAATTAAAAAATAAAAAAATGGCAACCAAGGTGGGACTCGAACCCACAACCTTCAGATTAGAAGTCTGCTGCGCTACCATTGCGCCACTCGGCTTTAGACAGAAAATTATGAAAATATCACAAATACTTTTGTCATTTTTGTTAAATTTAATTTGCTTAATCTTTTAATTAATGATAAAATATTAAAACTTTAAATTATTTCTTATATATATACTTAACTTATTAGATTAATCGAATTTATAAAAATAACAAATTTAATGCTTTTTAAGTTAAAAAATATTTCACCTTAATTTTTTAAAAAATTTACTTGTGTTATGAATATATAAAAGTTAATATAATATATCAAGCTATTAAACTAGAGAATAGTTAATTAAATTTTGTTTAAATTATCTGTACTTAAATTTTTTAAATAATCTGATGATGGTAATATTGAATTAAATTAAAAATAAAAAAATGGCAACCAAGGTGGGACTCGAACCCACAACCTTCAGATTAGAAGTCTGCTGCGCTACCATTGCGCCACTCGGCTTTTGACAGTTATTTGTGTAAAAAGCAGAAATACTTTTGTTGTTTTTCTTTAATGCATTTTAAATTAATTATTTTGATTTAGTATAAAATACTATTAGAATTATAACTCTTAATACATTCTAACCTGCTTAATTGATTAAAAGAAAAAGTTAAGAAGAATAATAAACAAAAGATTAGATATATTTAAAGTAAAACAATTTTTAATTTCATGGAAGATAATTTTCTTTATTAAAACATTATATATGAATAGCAGATATAACAAAGCAGATAGATATATAATGATGAATTCATGAATATAGACATTCTTTTTTAATTGAAAATAGAGTATTAAATACTTCTATTTCGATATTTATTTTAATAAAAATATTATCTAATAAATACTTTTAAACATATTAAAAATATTAAAAAATGGCAACCAAGGTGGGACTCGAACCCACAACCTTCAGATTAGAAGTCTGCTGCGCTACCATTGCGCCACTCGGCTTATTACATATAATTTTTGGATATTCAAAAATACTTTTGTTGTTTTTGTTTGACTCTCTAATTAGTCATTTCAATTAAAAATAGTAAATTAGAAATAATTAGAATGAAAAAGTATTAAATTATTAAGCAACCAAATTATTTGAAATGTTTTATTTATTAATTTAAAGTATTTTTTAATTAAAAAATTTGTTAAAATTGCTAAGTTGAATCTTAAAATCTATAAAAAATTTTTGATTAATTTTCTTTAGGTAAGAAATATTTAAAAGTATTTCTATTAAATTTAAATTATAAATTCTAAAACTTAAAGCAATAGATAGATAGATAGATAGATAGATAGATAGATAGATAGATAGATAGATTATATAGATAGATAGATAGATAGATTTATTAATTTTATTTACTTTTTGGTCAAACTAAGCTTGAAAATTTCTAATTACAATATGATGTTTATTTTTAGTAATTAAAAATAATTTAAATGGGAAAAATATAAAAAATTGGCAACCAAGGTGGGACTCGAACCCACAACCTTCAGATTAGAAGTCTGCTGCGCTACCATTGCGCCACTCGGCTTTTTCCAACAAATTACTCTATTTGCAAGAATACCTTGCTTACTTTCTATTTATTTTATCAGAAAGGAAAAAGATTTTATAATTGATAAAAGATATATTTAAAATATAGAAATTGAAATTGTATATCTAAAGATATAAATATAGATAATTCATTTGAAGTTAAAATCTTCAACAAAATTAAAGTAGGTTGAAATAATAAGTTATTTTATCAAAAAAAGAAAAATCAAAACTAAAATAAAATATTTCTTTATTTATATTTTTTAGAATAAAATGATTTGATATATGAAGTTTAATTTTATTAAACACAAAAAAAATTTTCATTGATATAAAAATAAAAAAATGGCAACCAAGGTGGGACTCGAACCCACAACCTTCAGATTAGAAGTCTGCTGCGCTACCATTGCGCCACTCGGCTTTTCACGGACTAAATAAGTTTTGCAAAAAAAAAAATTTGTTTTTTTTAATATCAAATAAAAAAGAATATTGATTAAATAGAAAAAGTAAAAAGAAAATATTCTGCCTTACTTTAATAAAAATATCAATTATTATTATTATTATTTTAATTTCTGAATTAATAGGTTTTCTTGTTCTTGTAAGATAAAAAAATATTAAAATTATAGAATATGAGTTCAGTTGAACTACGTATAAAGAATTATCACTACTTACCTCATGAGAGTATTAAGCTTAAATATATTTTATTTATTGCATAAGTGAAGGCTTATATTTTTCAAATTAAGTAGATGGTTAGTAGAATCAGGCATAAACTAAAATAATGAATTAATATTAGCAAAATGCTGAAATTTACAAATTTAATAGGTAAAATCTTTTAAAATAGTGAATTAAGCAGATAAAAATAATTATAAACAAATTAATTGCCATTTAAAATTAGGAACTAAAAGGACTCCTCTCAAGTTAAGAGCTCATTAGCTCCTTCTGAAAACTAAGAAAATGGATTGGATTATATAATCTATAAAGATTAAGTAAGCAAATATATTAGCTGCAAGTACCCAGCTATGCCTGATAATGAAGCGGAAAAAATAATCAAACCTCCTACTGAGTAAAATATTAATACATATTTTCAATTAAATCATGAATTTGAAAATTTAAACAAAAAGGGATAAATATAAATACAGCTTAAAGTAATGCTCATATCCTAGGAATCTTACAACAAGAGACATTATAGGTGCTGTACCTGGTACTCTTAAGAGCAAGGTTGTGCAAAATTTTGAAAAACATCATATGATGAATGATCAAAGTAATAAAATATTAGATTAATTTCATTTATTTACATTATGTAAAAGAAACATTAAATATCCAATATTTGATTGAATACATTGATTTAGAAGTATTAAAAAATTAACTTTTGGTTTTTGTGAGTTTATTAAAATTTATTTACTTTGGCTGAATACCATTCATTCATTTAATTACATATTTAATAATAATAAATATTTTTTTAAATGATAATCTAAGGCAAATAAATAAATAGTTAGCAAGACCAAAATCTTAAAGATGTAATTATTCTAATTAGATAAAATTATAAAATTGACTTTTTCTAAATGAAATAATTTCATAGGACTATGAATAAAATGATTATTATAGCTCTCCTTAAAGAAATGAAAATTCTTAATAATATAATAGTATTAATAGCAAAACTGATATCACTCCAGATAAAGAGTAAATTTATTTTTCAGCTCAAAATTTATATTAATTTTGAAACTAATTAAATAGTTCGTATCCTTACAAATATGGAAAGAAGTAATTATTTTATTTTAATTTTAGCAACAAAAATATTAAAAAATTCAATATAAATAAATCTAGTATTTAATACATTATGATTTGTAAATCAATTTAGGTATGTTTTCAATGAAGATTTTAATAAAAGGAAGGCTTATGATAAATCTTATATTCAGGAAATAAACTAAAAGCTTCCTGATAAAATTATACATTCTCCTGATTTAAAAAAGCAAAACGAGGATCTTGAAAATAATTTCAAGCAATATCACTCCAAGAATGAATCAAAAACGTTAGAATCAGAAAGTAGAAAATAATTTATTAAAAGATTCTTTTTTAAAATTTCTTAAAACAAAAAGCAAATTTGTAATATAGAATCAATGAAAGGTAGAATAACAGTCCTCCATAGAAACCATACTATGAGTAAACAAATAATGTAATAATATAATTTATTTAATTAATTTAAATTAAAGCAATAAAAATAAAGAAGAAATGAGTAGAAATCAATATTTAAATAATGGCTACTAAAATGAAAATCAGTAAGAGTTAAACTAGATTTAAAAAAGCAAATACGAAAATGTGAATTTTTTGATGTAATTAAATAGTTTTTTATATTAATTTGTTAATTTTAAAGTTATCTGAAGATGAAATCTAAAAACTGATTAATGAATATCAAAAAGGTTATACTTCAAAGCTAGTTAATTAATACTAGGCCAAAAAATATGATATCATCAATTTTTATAATAGGGAAGATTGGAGAAATAACAAAAATCCAAACTATGTCAAAATAAAAAGCTTTCCTAGAACTAATGTATTTACTTTCTTAGAAAATGGTGATGTGAATTTCAATTCTGCAGAAAAAAGAGTTGAAAATAGAAATAAATTCACTCCTTAAAAGTTTTATTCAGATTAAAAGCAAAGACCTTATTTAGAAGAGGACTATATTAACAATCATATGAATATAGAGAACGATAAACTTCCAAAAATAATGAATACCAATAAATCATATGACAGTCAATAGCTAAATAAGCATCAAAGAAATCTAAGTGCAGCACATAATAAATATGAAAATATAAGTAACTATAGTAGTAATCAATACGAAAACTATAATTTAAATGATAAAAAAGATATTTTAGATTACCAACTCAACTTATAAAATAATTAAAAAAATGAAATTATGGAATCAGATAAATATCAGTAACCAAGTGCTTTATTATCAAAAAAAAGAAGTATATCAGTTAACAACGCTTCATATAAATATCCAGGTAATATAAAAAACATTTAAATTTATTTAAAATTATTATATTCTAATAATGAATTAGATGACTTCCATCAAAGAAGACAATATGAAGATTTATTAGCAGCAAAAGGAGCTTATACTTTAAATTAGAAATAAAGCAATAATTATTAGTCAAGAAGACCTTATTGAAGAAAAATAACATAAAAACATGCAAATTTTCCCTTTTATACTATAAATAACTAAAAATTGTAATAAATAAATAATTTGTTTCTATTAATGTAAAAAAATTAAAATTTTTGATGTAAAATTATATTTAAAAAAGTTTTGCAGACATCCTAAAAATATTTCATTTATTTAGCTTTTTAAAAATATGAAAAGAACATAAAATAAATAATCTTTGCTTTTAAAAAGAAAAAAAGAAAAAAGTAATTTTATGATGGGATTAATAAAATAAAATCCTAAAAAATACAATTAATAATAGGTAATAATAAGTAAATATAACGATTAATTCAACATCAAAAATATTACACTTTATTTATAAAAAAAGATAATATCTCACCTCATCTGCCTTTTTAAAAAAATATTGCGTAAAATATTTAGCTCACCTTAATTTTCTTACAAATGAATGGTTATAAAAATGCTTTTGAGTTTTTACATTTTTATACAAATTTAAAAAAAGAGATGAATTAGAATTCATCAGAATATATTTGAAATATTTTGGGAAGATAAATAGTAATTCGAATCTTTATTTTTACTAAATTATGAATAAATTAAAAACAAAAACTTTTGATTGATTGATTTAAAAATGCAAAATATATTGTCAATTCTTTAAGATTTTTAAAAATAAAGCTAATTCCTTTAAATAAAGAAAATCAAAGAGAAATACTTTCTAAGCTCCGTCAATGATACTATTTTGAAATACTCAGATGACTGGTAAACAGAAAGTACTTACTAGGATATAGAGTAAGGATAATAAACAGAGAATGAAATAGAGATAACTTCATTGTTTATGGATTTCAATAAATATTTTATGAATTTATTTTAGAAACTGATTCGTTAAAATTAAACTCTAAAGATGTTAATAACAAACTTATTAAGAATCTAATAAAAATCTATTTTTGATTAAAATACAGAAGAAAGATATCAATCTGAAATAAATCGCTTTAATCAATCCCTAGAGGAAAATGAGCTTTTACAAAAATATCCTGAAAATTATTAAACTTCTGATAAGTTGCAAGATATCATTAACAATTATCAAAATTTAATTTATATATTGCTTGAATAAGAAAGTGTTTAGATATTATTTAAAAATCCACTTAATATAGACTTTAATATATATAAATTGATATAATTAGAAACTCTCATTTTAGGGTACACTTATTTTAATGCAAATTGCACTTCACGTCTTCTTCTTGAGAAATAAAACTATTTTGATACAAAAATAAAATGGCTATTAGAATATGAATAGTATTCAATTTTTGTCAATGATTTAAGATTGGAAATAGGAATTAGTTCATATGGAAAGTGTGATTAAAATGATAGCATAAGAAAAAATATTAAATTACCTGAGATTTAAGCAAACTATATTACTTTATTTGTAGATGTTGATGGTTCTATAGTTTATTAAATTGCTATTGATTTTGCTTTTTCAGAAAAATTTGACATTAAATAAAGATTAAAAGTTCTCATATATTCAAATGCAGATTATCTAGGAAAAGAATTTTATTGTTCACTAAATAATCTTAAATAAATACCTAGTATCTTAGATGATGCCTACAGCTTTATAAATTCTCCTTTTGATACGAACGAAGATATAATTGAGTTATTTTTTGAAGACTAATATATTCTTATGCTTTCAGCATTATAAATAAAAAAAGTTAATTCTGTCTTGCATAATTCAATTTAATAAATTCTATCTGATTTATTAATAAATTGATTAATAATATATAAATTATTTTCAATAAATTTAAACTTGTTATGATAATTCTTTGTAAAAATGTTTTTTTTTACTTGAACTTTACAAAACATGTTATTTTTCTAAAAAAATTTTTGTTTAAAATATTAATTAAATTCTTGATTGTTTCTTGACAAATATTAAATTATGTAAAAAGAAAAAATAAATGAGTAAATTTAGTACAAATTATCTTTTTAAAAATATTTTTATTGAATTTAAAACTCAATTTTCTTTTAGTTTTTATTAAATGAAAAATAATTTAAAAATTTAAAATAAAAAAACTCTTAAATAAATAAAGCAATCTTTCAATTGATTTATTTTATTATTTCATTATTTTAACAAAGCATTCAATTACATTAAAACCTTATTAATATTTTATATTTTGATTTGAAATGCTTAATTTTTTAATTATATGATTTTAATTTCAAATTTAAAATTATTTTATTATTTAATTACTAACTAAAGATATAATTAATCCTACTTAAGCAGTTAATTAAAAAATCTATAAATTATGATTTTGTAGAAGAAATTCATATCAAAAATTTCGATTTTAAGAACTGAAAGAAAAAATTATAGAAAAATATTTGATTTGAATTTATTTTAATAACTTTAAAACTTTCTCATCATTTCTCTAATTTTGTACATGTGATTAATACTTTATCTAAAGAATAAAATATTATTTAAATTTTTATAATGAGACTTAAATAAAGCAAAAAGATTATTGAATTATTATGTATTAGCATTTTATAATTGTATAAATTGTTCATAATTTTTATAATATTTTCTTTTTGAATATTATTAAAAAATTCTAATAAATGTGGTTAAGGCATGACTAAGTTTTTTGATTTCTAATCAGTTTTTATAAATATTGTAAATATATTATTTAAAAAATATATCTTAATTTCAACTAATCAAATAGATTTATTCAATAGAAAATATAGAACTAAATTCATAAAAAAAATGAATTCATTTAATAGTGACAACTTGCTTTAAGAGTTAGTAAATGACATATAAAACAAATAATGCTTTGATTGCGGTGCTTATGAAAATACTTAAACATCTTTGAATAATGGAATTTTCTTGTGCTTGAAATGCAGTTAACTTCATAGAGGATTTGGAATAAAAATATCATAAATAAAATCAATAGAAACAGATGAATGGAACGAATATAGTTTGAGCTTTTTAAAATTAGGAGGAAATTAATAATTTAAATAATTCTTGGATAGTTACTAATTTCCTCCTGAAGTGACTATTTTTTAGAAATATAGATCAGTTGCTGCCGTTTTTTATAGAAAGAATGTAAGCAATTACCAAACATAACATTTATTTATTTCTGCATCTATAAAAATTATAATTATTTAAAGAACTTTCAATGTGTTTTTAAGAATATTATAATAAAAATTGAGCAAAAGTTTAAATTTTTATTGTTAAATTTATAACAGCTAAAGCATAAAGTGGAAAATGTAGGCGAAACATTTAACGAAGAACCTCCTTCTCCAGAAGAAGGTATTAAAATACTAGACTTGATGCAATTTTAAGAGATATAACCAGGTATATTTTTTGTAAATATAATTCGCAGATAACTTTTAAATTAGCTTGAATTATTATAGCAGCAACTTACTTAGCAATTTTCATAAATTAATTAAATGTTTTTAATAGTTTTAGATCCAAGGGAAATTCTACTTCAGCAAGATTAAGATGATATGGAAAAAGTTAAAAACTTTTTCGTGAGTGCTTTCAGCAAAGCAGAAGAAGGAGTAAAAAATATTTCTAAGAAAATTGAAGAGACTGATTTTAAAAAAGAAATAAAAGAACTTGGGACAAAGGTTAGTGAAAAGTCGTCATAGTTTTCATAAAGTGTTTAGGTGAGCAATTAATTAAATTTTCAAAAATCAATCTTAATAATTTTTAATAGGAAAACGTGAAAATAGCAGCAGAAAAATCCAAAGTAGCAGCTGAAAAAACTAAAGTTGTGGCAAATCAAACATTTAGTGAAATATCAGTAAAGCTTAAATAAAATGGTTGATTTAATAATAAACTTTATTATATATATGAATGAAACAGGAGAAATCAAAAGTTACATATGAAAAGGCCAAAGAAGCTACTTCAGAAGGAATAGATTCTCTTAAAAAGGTAATTTTATTTTTTAAAAATTAGTTTATTTTAATCTAATTTTATAAAGAATCTAACTAGTGCTTGGATGTTTTTGAAGAAAAAGGCTTCTAAAAATGAAGATGGTTAATAGTAAACTTAATTAATTCTATTTTAAGTTTATTTATTTATTTTTTATTCTAAAAGAAAAAGTAATAATCTAAATGCTGATGACGATAAGCTTACTATGGATGAAAAATATGAGAAACAATGAAAAATTTAATTAAAAATAGATATTTAGAAAAAATATTATTTATTTACCAATAAAAACTTAATTAAGTAAATTAAAATAATTAAGAATAAATTAATATTTAAATAGTAAGTTAATTGAGTAGTAGAAACAGCTTATCTATTGTAATATTAATTCTTAGATATATTAACTGTCAACATAAATAAAGTATAAATAAAAAACATTTAATTTAATCAACTAAAATTAATATATTTATTTATGCATATACATTTTACATTTTTTATATATTACAAAAAGTTAATTTTTGATACATATTTAGTTCGAAAACAAACATTTACTTTATTTATTTATTAATAAGTTTAAAATTTTTAGTTTTTTCAATTTGAAAAAAAATAGTTTATCTAAAATAAGCATTTTTAAAAATTCTTCTAAATTTAAGATGATTAGTTTATGTTTATCTTGTAGTATTTTTAATCTTTTTAGTAATTTAATTTATTATTTAACATTTTGGAATTATATTTAATTTATAAATAATTGCCATAAAATCTAAAACAATTTTATTCAAAATCTTATAAAAGAATCATTGTGTGTGTCATCTTTTTTTAAATAGAAATTATATTTTGGATATAAAGTGATACTTTTTTAATAATCTATACAATTAAAAATCATACATATACTATATACTTTAATTTTAAATTAATTGCATTATTTGCAGCTGACCATATAACTAAATCTATGATTAATTATTAATGGTTTTATTTATTTATGATATGATAAGATGCGATTAATTTTCTCTTTTAAAATGAATATTTTCATAAAAGCTACATTTTAAATATTTTAAAAATATTAATTATTCTAATTGCTTAATTTAATATAAATATATAAACCATTTAATCAGATTAAATAATTTTAAATGAGTTCTTTACTTTTAAACTTTATTTTTTAATAGATTTATCATACATAGTCTGTATGATATCAGTTAATGAATATTTTTTATTCACTAAACTAATTATGTGAAAAAGTTAACATATGCATATATGTATATGTGAGTGCATGTGTGTATGAATGAATGAATGAATGAATGAATGTATTATGTATGATTAGCTAATTAAACTTTTGTATATAGAAAAATTATAATAGAGATAACTTTGTGATTGATCAAAAGAATATGTTTAACTAATTAATTATTATAATGAAGTATTTATTTGAAGTTTTTTATTATTTTAGTATTTTTCAAAATTTGTTAGTAATGCGACTATTTCCACTACTATAATTATGATTGTGGATTATTTATATATTATTATTATTGTTATTATTTTAATTGTTATTATTATTAGTATTATTGTTAAGCCCATTATTTTCAAAATTGTTTATGAAAGACCATCCATTCACATGATTGTCAGTTGCCATACCTAAAGGGGTCATGGTCATCATGAAATTAGGCGTGCCACTATTTTTGCTATCAACAATAGGTTTTATGTATGGTGGAGGAGGTTTCAGTTTTCTAATAAAAAATAAATTATTGATTATAAAAAACTCTCAAATCTAAATTAAAACAAACCTTTATATTGCATGAGTCCAATTAAATCCATTAAAGAAAGGATGTTTTTTTATTTCTTCAAAATCGTTCTTGCCAAAGCCAAGTCTCTTTTGAGGATTTTTAACAAGAAGCTGTATTTGTTATAAAAAAAAAATTAATCAAATTTTGTAATTAAAATAACTTTTTATTTACTCTAGAAATTAGATTTCTTGCATTGTCTGAGACGTAACTTGGGAACCTTATTTCTTAAAATTCTATATTGTGGCAGATTTCGTCTCTTTTTATAGTTAGTTAGTTGGTTGGTAAATTATTTTAATCAACAAAATGTAAAGTAAAAAATAAAATTTTACTTAGAATCACTAAAGAATGGAGGAGATCCTGTCAGCATTTCGTAAAGTAAAACACCTAAATGGTAGTAATCAACTGCTTTTCCATGACCACACCTTTTAAGCATTTCTGGAGCTAGATATGCCAATGAACCACAGAAAGAGTGAGTTGAGTAATGATCATAAACACCGTCTTTAGATAAACCGAAATCTGTTAACATAGCATGACCTTCACCATCGATAACAATATTCTCTGGCTTAAGATCCCTGTAAATAATATCATGTTTATGAAGATGCTTTATTGCTAGCATAATTTCTGACAAATATATACGAGCTCTTTGTTCGCTGAATCTGTAAATTAATTTTTAAATTAAATTAAGCACAAATTTATTGATGCAAATTTTAAAAATTATTTATCAACCATTAAAAAAAAATGTTTACCTTTTATCTCTTTAAAGAGCGTGACTTAAATCACCACCTGGCATGTATTCCATAATCAAGAAAAGATCTTTACTTGTTTGGAAAGCATACATGAGTTTGACTATGAATGGGTGACTCATTATGCTTAAAACGTTTCTTTCTGTCATTGCGTATTTCGTTAAGTTTTATCCTAAAACTTTAGATTTGTGGAGCATTTTCATTGCATAATATTGGTCTGATCCTTTTTTTTCAACAAGATATACTTCTCCAAATGAGCCTCTACCTATTTAATTTACTATTCTAAAATCTTAAGGTCCAACTTTTTAACTTTGCATTTCATATGCTTAATTTAATTATTAGTTTTGCTATTACTGCTACATTTGTTATTGTTATGATAACTGCTGCTATTAATTTGGTTTGCTTAGCTGAGAAGAATCTTAGCTTTGTATTTTATGGTGCTTTTAAGTAGGAGATAGAGTTTACTCATGATTGATGTATTAATTATTAGTATATTATCCTGAATTTGTTATAGTCTCATTTGTTGAAACATTTGTATTTATATTGTTGTTAGCATTATTTGGCACGTTATTCTAGCCTCCTTGGTTATTATTATAATTACCACTGCTTGTGTTACTAGATTTATCTTTTCTTGGTGAGTTACTAAACATTTTCATTACACTTTCGTTTGGGAAATCGTGAATTATAACTCTCCAAGGCTATTAATTACTTTATTAACCATAGAGATTAGATCCATTGTTATTTATTTGAGAGTCTGTGAGCTAGTTCTAAGAACTTAGAGAGGATTCTTAGCTTGATATGCTTTAGGTGTATGCCTTATTTGGTGAACCTTCTAATCCGTACATTGTTCCTCCACTTTTAGAGTTAGAGTTTGAATTTCTGTTGTTAGTACTACTGCTCATTACACCGCTGTTTGAGTATTATTTAGTCACCTCGAAGGATCTCTTTTAATTATCTGTATGTTGGTTGACTTATTTTTCCTATGGGTTAGATTAAACAGAATTAGAGTGATGTAACCCTCCTTAGGCTTGCTTTTCTCCTCCGCCCTTGTTTGAGTTATTCATACTTGCCTATCCATAATTAGATGAGAGGGTCAACTTTTAGCTATAAAAGCCACTTAGAGCAGATTAACTTAATATCTGCTCATATGTAGTAGTACCTCTTTGCTAATAATGTGTACCTTTATTCTAAGAGAATTAGTTTGGCGTAGTATTAAAGTTAGAATTAGATGTATTTGAAATAATCTGATTTTAAGAAGTAGTATCCTCTGAAAGATGATTTACTGTATGTCTTTTCTTCCCTTTCTAAGAGTTATATTCACTATTTTCATTATTAGTATTATTTGAATTGTTGTTATTAGTAGTGTTATTGTTATTATTGCTATTATTCATATACATTTAATTTGCATATCCATTATCTTTTTTTAGTTCTACAAATACATTAATAATGTCAGTATTTTTAGTGCACTCAATAGCAAGTTTGTTTTCTACATTTTTTAAATTTACATCTATATTTTTGCATAATAACAGCAAGCGAACACATTAAGCACTATTATTTTTGCATGCAAAATGAAGAGCTGTATTTTGATTGAGATCCTATCTGTTTATTTCTGCCCCTGCCTTTATACAAATATCAACTATCTCATCGAACCCCCTTTTAAATAAAAAGTAATACTTACATATTTTTTAAATAAAAAAGCCAGTAAAAATACTAAATTTTCGATTTTTTAATTTTTCATTTACTTTTATTAATTTTAAGTAGATTTTTACAAATCGTAATCACATCATTTCTTTGAAATTTAATTGATTAAAAACATATAGAATTAATTAAAGTCCTTTTCTTGTAAATGTAGTTAAAAAAATTTGCTGTCAAAACAAATACCAAAGAAAAACAGCAAAATAAAATTTAAATTAACCAAGTGAATTAATTGAAAGCTTTCAAAATATATATATGTAAGCTTCAAAAATAGTAAAATAAAGTTTTTTATCAGGTTACGTTGAAAATTTAAAAACGAAAATTTACTTTTCTGCAGCAATCATAAGTGCAGTTTGTTCTAGATTGTTAGTAATATTTACATCTGCGTCATGAGAAATCAATAAATTTAAAATACTTGCATTTCCATTGTAAGCAGCATAATGAATACTTGACCACTAGTTTTAATCTTTAAAATCAGTATCAGCTCTTAAGTCAGCTCTTTCATGTTGAAGTAGCTATTCAATAATAGAAAAGCTGTTTTACCTGACACTCTAAATCATTTTTATATTATTTTCTTTCTTAGAATTCCACCAACCTTACCAAGCATTTTTGTGGCGTTTTTTTAACTTATCAAAGTATTCCTAGTTATTGGTTTTCTAGAATGTGTCAATTTTATCTATTTGTCTAATGTCATACACTTGGCCTTTTAACAAAAAATAAATTTTTTAATTTTAAATAATTCTATTTTACGTTTTAAACAAATAAAATAAATGAAGATTTTATCAAAAATTAATTAAATCTTTTTTTATTTATTGATTAATATTTTTATTGATATTTTTTATGTTTGTTAAAATAGAAGAAAGTAAGTATTTTCTTATTGACTCTATCTAATTTACCACAATCCTTATAAAAAAAATATTGGTCCAGTTATATACTAAAAATATCATATTCTATTTGGTCTGTGATCAAAAAAACCAGTTGAATTTTTTATAAAAAGTAAGTGATAGACTTTTATACAAAAGTATTTTCTTCTTTTTTTATTTTCCTCTTCTCTTAAATTTATTTGTTAATACAAATCTAAATATAATATTTATAAAGTTTGTTTACCTGTATCTTAATCTCTTATTAAAAACATTTCAGATAAATCCTTCTAAGGTTGAACATTTTTACGAACTGGACTCACTCTACTGTTTCCATCTGTTTCAAAATTATTCTATTTACTTGTATTTTAAGTGATATTTGCATCGTTATTAGTGTTATTGCTAAATGGTGTGATGTTGTTATTACCCTATGGATAGGTTTTTTTGGGTGTTTATGATTTCCTAACCAATCCTAAGTCATTTAAATTATTGCTGTGAGGCTGGTTTTGCTTAATAGCCAACGTGCTTTGAGAATTTCTTGAGGGGCTTTTATTTTGATATTGGTTTTAACTAGATGGGTTGCTATTATTGCTATTATTGTTAGCAGTATTTATTTTAGTATTTATATTATTAGACTAAATATTTTCTGAATTCTGAGTGTAACTCATTGTATTATATTGAGTTGCTCCAAATTTCGGACCTATTGGACCAGATTAAACAGGGTTTAGATTGACTGTATTTTGCACTGATGCATCTTTGTCCTTTAAATTATATTTATAAGGAGAACGAGTCTTGTATGAGTTTGCTGCATTAGAGTTCTAATAAAAATTTTAAGAAGTCAAATTAGTTAAGAATTCGCTTGGCTCTGTTTTAGGAGAGAGAACTCTTTAGCTGTATTGCATCCCAAACTAAGGATTATTTTAATTATGCTAAGAATGGGCTGTTCCATATCTCAATGCTGCACTATCGTACCGCAATTATCCAGTGTATTTTGAATAAATATTGCTGTTATTGCTCATAATATTTCCTTAATTAAGATTATTAAGCTACTATTATTGATTCATCAAACTGACGTTCGTTTAAATTTCAGGTGTAATCATTTGCTATTACACTTATTATTGTTACTGCTAATTGCTGTTCTAATTAAAATTTCCTTTTAATATTTTAAAATAAAATTTACAAAAATATTTATCATGTAAAATTCTATTTTTAATCAAAATTATTTTCAATCACTTAAACATTTAAACGAATTTCAAGAAAGATAAAAAACTAGAATCAAATGTTATCTAATTTCTATTTCAAAAAAAAACAAACCACTTTTTCTTATTTCTAGTTCTAAAACTAATGAATTTTTTTTGAAGATTCATAGAAAATAAATCAATAAATATAATTTAACTAAAAAAATGTTCTTTTTTGGTTTGTATAGCATTACAAATGAAATTCTATAATTTGCAATTTTCATTATCTTCATATTTCAATATACCCATAAAATTATTAGGTAGTATATGTCAAAAAATATTAGTTGTGCATCAAATAATTTGCTTCACCTTGATAATAAATAATCTATTTAGCTACTCAATTTTTTAGAGTCTTCATCTTAAAATTATTTAAATTAATTAATTGAAATGGCTCATCCTGCTTTCCGCTTAATTGAATTATTGTAAGAATACACTTATTATCATTTTCTTCAAATTCGTTTTATTTAATGTATTTATTGATTTATTTATATTTATATATATGTATGTGTTTATATACCTTGTGGAGTAGAAGAAGATTCATTGCTAGCGTTTTAAGGAATAGATGGAATATTAACGTTGTTTTAATTTGCTTTTGTAGATAAAGCTGTTGCAGATATTAGTCCATTTTGATACTGATTATATTGACTTTGATACGTATTAATTTGCTAAACATTTGGCTGCTGGTTCTGCTATTGTTAAACTTACTAATTAATTGATTAATCTTTAGGCCCTGGTTTAAGCGGGGTTTCGCTTTTTGAGCTTTTATTTAACTTTACTTTGAGCTGGTTAGGCTACTTCTTTAAATGAGAATTATCTTAAACCTTTTCTTGATTTGCATTGATGTTGTTTTGAGAAGAAATTGGTCTATACGTATTTGAAACTCTATAGTTTTACATAAACAAATCGCTCTTGCCAAGTTAGCTGTTATTTGTTAGTACAGTAGTTTGCGAACTGCCCGTTTGTAAGCTTTACATGTTTTGATCCTCGTATTCTATGGTATTTTGGTTCTCAATTGTATTTTGCTGCTAATATTTATTTGGAGCAGGCTGCTAACTTGTTTAACCTAAACTAATTTGCTGCTGTTGAGTTTGCTAAGCAATGTTTTATTGTTTTTACTGCTGATTCCACTAAGAAAAAGCAGAATTCGCGGTTTAAGAAAATTGCTGCTCTACATTGGAAGAGGGAACATTAGTGGAGTTGTTTCCTCTATACTGATACTAATAATTACCCTATTGAGTAGAAGAATTACGTTACACTCCAGGGTATGTTCCGCTGTTACCTGTTTGATAGGTTTGCTACTAATTATTATTTAAATTGCTTGAATATTTTTGTGATGTCTTATTTGTGGGATTAAGGCCATTCGACTACTTTTTCGTCTCTCCATTCGCTCCAGTCGTTAATCTAGGAGTATAGTCGATTCCACCCTTTACTTTACTCATAGTTTTTAATGTCTTCACGCTACTGCGGTACTATCACTATATCTATATCTCTAAAAATAATATTTAGCTTGTATACTTTTCTTTATCTCTTCTTATTTTTTCGATGCTTTCTTTCTTCCAATCTATCTATCTATCTCTCTGCTTATCTAAATCAATATATAGATAGTATATATATATGTATGTATACTCCACTTAATTATTGACTGATTTATTAATTAATTTATTGATTAATATTTAATTTATCGATTGATAAATCAATAAGCTATTTATTTCTTTATTAAATTTCACTTATTTAATTAATTTCTTTTTCTTTAAGTCAAAATTTACTTTTTCAAATTGTATTAAAAAAAATTCTTTAATACCTTCATTTTTATTTCAAAATTATTATAGTTGTCTGTCTGTCTGCCTATCAGTCTGACTGAATTCCCTACATTATTCACATTCATATATATTTACTTACCACTTTTTTTAATATTTATATAAAGAAATTATGTCAAGCCAAATCAAAGTTAGTTAGTTATTTATTTATACCTATTTATTTTCTTACTAATCCTTTGATCAAACTTGAAATTATTTATGTTTCCCTTTAAAATCAGCAATAACTTTTACTTTTTGATAAGGACTAAAAACATATATTAATAAATTAACAATCTTGTGATTTTTTATCAATACAACAAACTATTAATTAATATTCCAGTATATTTTATTGAAAATAGTCAATGAGATATTTTCAAAATTATTAAAAAAAAAGAAACAAAAAAATTTTACTAATAAAAATAATTGTTAATATTTTCAGTCTCAAATAATTAATTAATATTTAATTTTCAAATTTCTTTTTAAATTTAATCAATACTGAATACTAAACTCAATTAATTTATTTTTACTGAGAAAAAAAAAATAATTCATTACTGACTTATAATTTTTACTAACCTAACTAAGGATAATTTAAATATTAATTCTACAACTATTCAAAAAACAATTTAAAATATTCAAAGTCTCAATTTTTATTTTTTGGTTAATATTTTAAATTCTAATTTGAATTCCTCATTGATGTAAAAATTTTGAACATTTTTTAACTTTTGTTCTACTTAATTTTAATTTAAACTCATAAAAATGTGTTTTGATGTTTTAAGTTAATTATTTTTTTATTAAAGCTGACTGAGTAAATAAATCATAATTAAATTTTAAATAAAATAACTTTAATTATTGTTTTTAAATTAATAAAAATAATATGTTTAAATCATTTCATCTACTTTAAAAAAATAAATTTTTAATTAATTATTTTGAAGATATTTTAAATGAGCTTTTTTTTAATATTTAATTTAAATAAAGACATTCACTTTAAATTAATACTAAGGGAAATTTCACATTTAATAGCTATTTTATATATTACTAACTAATATTGAGTTTGTTTTAAAATAAAAGTTAATATAAAATAAATTTTTTCAAATTCTATCTAAAAATATTTTTTCTTAAAGTGTATTATATCTAAATTAGCTATTTTACCTCATATAAAAAAATAATAATTGAATATATTTGATTTTTAGTATTTATATAATCTGATTTTTATTTATTTATTAATTTATTTTTAAATTGTGGAGAAAATCAATCAAAAATAAAATTTTTTTGACTAATTTTTTTCACTCAAAATTCTAAAAAATAATTGCAACATAATATAAAATGATTAAGTTGTTATAATTTTATTCAAAAGTGTTATTTATTACAATTGAGTTTTATTTTTGATATTTTATAATTATTTACAAGCTTTAATATTATTTTTTAATGATTTTTTAAAATTTTATGTAATTTAAATAAAAAATGGCTTAATTTATTTTAAATGATACAAAGTAAATAAAAATAGTTAGTAATGAATTCTTTTAAATTCATTATTTAAACGCTAATAATATTAAATAAAATATAAAATCGAATGATATTAATAATGGATAATAAGCAAAAATAATTATATAGCTAAACCCATCCTTATCGTAATTTAGAGGATATGAAAATGAAACAAATGCAAAATTGTTAACACCTCTTAAATCCATCCTAGCTTAGGAATTTTCTTTAGCTTTGTCTTCGTTTTCATAAAAGTTTACATAGCATTTCTAGGATTAAGTGAGTTTTTCATAACTCAAATTAAAATCTAAACATGCCCAACTTGGTATTTTTACTTAGCTAAAATTATAAGGCTGACATCCTTTAAGTTTTCCACTATTTACTGATGACCTACTACGATAGTAGTTAACTTAAGTGTTCGTAATTACCCTTTATCCTAGATAAAACATACTTATTAATTTAAATACTAAAATTATCTATCAATTAATACTTTTATTAAATGCAATTGCTCGAGGAGCAACATCGTAGCTGCTTTAATCTCTTACTGGTTTTTCACAACTATCAGTCAACAATAAAAAAATATTAGAATGTTTTAATTTAAAATAATAAATAAATAAACAAATGAAAGAATTACTTATAATAGGTTCCGTTTGTGATAAATTTGTATGGATATGGTTCATCTCCAAGCTAATTTGTATTTTGATTTGATTAACAAGCATATCCAAGCATATTTTAGTCTTTATATTTAAAGTTAACATACAAAATCGAATATGCTTCACTACCTTAAAGATTTTTTGTAAGCTTTCCTGAAATTGAGCAATCGTTAAATGATTCAAATGTCATAGATTAAAGAGGATAAAATATGACAAAGTACATACAAAGAAATATTACTATGCCTCCAATAAAAAATAAGCCATGAGCTGTGCTCTTTGCTATGAGAGCAAATACATTATTATCAGTGTCTAAAAGATAGGCGAATACTATTCCATTTATAATAAGAAGAATTACGAAAATATAAAAGTAAGACCAAAGATCAGACATTAGAGGCAGAGCCTAAAGACTAAATGTAATAATTATTCCACTAACTAAAGCTAGGGATGCAGATATTACTCCTATTTTAGATACTTACATAATTAACTCTCTTTTGTTATCTTATTTTTAAGATATTTATTTTTTATTAATTTTTTTCTAACAATCAATATTACTAAACCAGATTAACCGAATAGCTTGAGTTATAACTAAGAGCTCAATATAAATATAATCTAAAATCTGTTTTTAATTAAATTGAAAACGGTCTTTAAAATGACAAACTATCCTTAATTTTTAAAAATTTTTTTGATCTTGTGATATAGGATACTTACTTACTCATGTGATGCGGTAAGTTAATAAAATTAGAGCCTAAAATATTCAAATTATTAAAATTTTTCTAACAAATTAATAGATATATTGTTTAATACTCTTAATCAATCATTTGTTTAAAGTAACATTTTTCTTATGATTTTTGAGGTATGAAATTACTTTTTAGGTTAAAATTATTATTTTTTATCTTATGTAAAATATTATGAAAACATTCAATGCTAATTTATTCAAAAAAAAAATAATGATTATTTGAAATGCTATTAAAAATATTTGGTTTTCATTAATTAATTATTTGTCTATAAAAAAATTAACAGATTAAATAATTTAGCACAGCAAATATAAACAAAAATTTTATGTATTACTATTATTGTTATTAATTTAATATATCATGAATAATGTTTAATCAAAATCGATAATATTATATATAGTAAAGGCAAAAAATTAAGAGACAAATCAAATTCTAAAGCTTTGAAAATTCTATGATGAATGACCTTGAAAAAGGCAGTACCCTAGGGTACTGTACATACATACATACATACATACATACATACATATATAATTAAAAGACATTAATATTTTTTAAAAAGCTATTAAAAGCTTTTTTTTATAACTAAAATGTATTTGGTACCTAATAAAGAAAGTAAGCAAAAGTGATATAATATTTAACTTTAAATTCAATATAAAACGTACTTAATATATACTAAAAGACTTACTTTTATTAGTAATAATAAATAATCTTCTATAAGCAAAAGTACTAAAAATATTTTGGTTCAATTAACGCTAAGTTGAAAATATGAAAATAGTTCATTCATAATGCCTATTAAATACACAATTTCTAATCAACTTACATAGTTCGTAATACGCAGAATCTAAAGATAACAAAAAGGGAAAAAGAGCATAAATTATTATACTAAAAAGCATATTTTTATCATAGTAAAGAGGGGACTAAAATGATACAAAAGCAAAATTATTCACACTTCTTAAATCTCTTCTTTCTTATGAATTTTCATAAGCTTTTTATTAGTTTTCATAAAAGTTAACATAGCAGTCCTAAGGTTTAGTTAACTATTCATGACTTAAATTATAATCAACACAAGCCCAACTTGGTAATTTTACTTAGCTAAAATCATAGGGTAGGCATCCTTTAGCTTTAGCTTAATTTGTCCTACTTCTACTACGACTATAGAAATTTTCTACTTTATTCAAAATTTCCCTTTATCCTTTTAATAATAGAAATATATATTATTCGATTTAAATTAATATTTTTAAATTATACTTTTAGATGTTCCCACTCTTTAAGTAGGTTATTCGTAACTCTTGTCATTTTTAATAGGATTTTCACAACTTTAAAAAAGATTGTAATTAAATATTTTTTATGAAAAAAAGTAAGCTAACTTACTTGTAATATGAATTTTTTTTTATAAATTAATAAGGATATGGCGTTTAATGATAAGGCTTTGAGTAGTTATTAGACTGACAAGCGTATCCTAACATATTTTAGCCCTTGTATCTAAAGTTAGTATATAAAATCGAATATGATTCACTACCTTAAAGATTTTTAGTTAGCTTTCCTTAAACTTAGCAATCAGTGAAAGATTCAAAAGTTATAGACTAAAGGGGATATATAAAAAAGCAATAAAAGATTAAAAATATAACTATTCCAGTTATGAATATGGACATGTGAAACAAAATTTTTATAAAATAAGAACAATCATCATTTTCCACATCACAAAGTTAATAAAATATTATATTATTAAGTATCAACATGAGCACAAATATGTAAAAGTAAGACCATAAAATAGAGATTTATGGTAGGCTTGAAAGACTCGCTGCAATAATAATTGCACTTAGCAAGGTAACACCGCTTGTTATCAAGCTAAATTTATTTAGATTCATTGTTTTACTTAATCTATACTCTATACTGTATTATTAATATCTTATAATTTATTTTTTAGTATCAAAGAGTAGATAAAATTTATTAAATACTATTTAGTAATTAACAAACAAATTAATTAATTATTGTTGTTGCAAATTATCTTAAATTACAAAACGAAAAAACAGCTAAGTAAATTAATTTACTATTAAAAATGAATATATTAATCTAATTCATCATTCATTTAATTGAAGATATCTTTTTATTGACTGATATTTAATACAGCAAAAATTTTATTTATGAAATAAATATTCAGGGTAGTAATTTTATTTATTTTTGTATTTTTTATTTAATTTTGTTTAATTTTAATCAAGAATAAAAATAAATAGAAAATAACATTTTAAATTCATTTTTAATTTCTATTTTTTGATATGCTTTGCTTGAATAGTAAATTAATTTACTATTAAAAATGAATATATTAATATAATTCATCATTCATTTAATTGAAGATATCTTTTTTTTGACTGATATTTAATACAGCAAAAATTTTGTTTATGAAATATTATTCGTGGCAGTAATTTTATTTATTTTTGTATTTTTTATTTAATTTTAATCAAGCATAAAATAAATTGAAAATAACTTTTTAAATTAATTTTTAATTACCATTTTTGATATTCTCTGCTTGAATAGCATATTAAATTCCTCAAAGTATTTACATACGAACTACTTTACTCTAAATATAATTCAATTTTTTTTGTTTCATAATAATATTTTTAATGTAGGTCGCACTTTCGAAAATGAATTTCTTCTAATTTGAAGATTAAATATAAAAAATAGCTATTATATTTTGATTTAGACAATTGTGAAGAGTGTTTTAAAGACAAAAAATTAATTTACATCTTAAAAGTTAATCTAAAAATAATAAAGCTAAAATAAAATGATTGAAGAAATACTATATTGAAGTAATGTAACATAATATATTATAATATAATTAATTAATATGATTCATTTTAGATTGAGCATAGATCTTCTTTAAATAACCTAAATATTATATTTAATTAAATAGATGTGGGCTTAATCAATGAAAGATAGAAAAAAATTAATTCAAAATCTGATTTGATGATTAAAAAATCAAGCTGTTATTTGGAGGGTGTTTTCCAAAATACCACAAGTGTTGTTTGGAGCTAACAAGAAGAATCCTTGTTATCCCCATGAAGCACCCCAAGAGTTCTTTATTATCCAGTTTCCTTAGCTATCATAACCTACGGCTAACACAGCATGGTTTAGGTTTAACTATTAAGGATTGCAATTATTGTAAACACCAGATGTGTACTAATATAAACTTGTAGCATCAATTGAAACTGAAACAGGTGCTAAATTCAGTGCAGCTTACAATGCCTAAGTGTTCTAGCCGATTTAAACGAATGATATGGGTTTATATCCATTATTAGTACTACTGACTTTGCAAGTTCCCCAAACTCCTGTGTAAGGATAGGATGATTCACTTTCCATTCCTATTTTAGAAGCATAGAGGAGAGCCTGATAAAAAGAACCTCCATTACAGCCATGTGAGTAGTAACCATTTGCTTAAACAACACAATCTACAAGTTGTTATTCTGAAAAACTTGAGAGAACGTGGCTCTTGATGTAGTGAAAAGATTCCATAGAACCAGTAGCTGAGAATGCCCAGCAAGCACCACAATCTCCTTGATTCTTTACAGGAGATACTGCTCCCTTAGTTCTCCAGTCAACTGAAGCTGCAACAGTAGAACTTGAAGTAGTAAGGCTCGTATTGCTAGAAGAAGATTGTTGTGTAGATGAAGAGGAGGAGGATGATAAAGGCTATGAGGAATTTGCTTGAGAGTTGCTCATGAGAATTTTATTGACAAACTCTTCCTGAGTCATATCAGAGAACTAATTAAGTCCTTATTAGTAAGTGTTAGCTGTATTTGCATTGTGTTCTTTTATTTTTTAGAAATTCTCTAAGAAGACTGTCTGTCTGTATTATTTTTGAGCTTCGTTTAAGAATACTCTTGGATTGCTTATTCTCCATTGATTATAGTTAGTTAGTGCTTCTAATGAGTTATTGTTTGTTGATTATGCTAAAGAGGAGCATATTAATAATGCGATAAATGCAGTAAAAGTTAATCTAGATGACATTTTTTGTTTTTTTGTTTTTATTATTAATTACTATTTATTTTTTTTAATTAATTTTTATAAAATGATTACTGAGATATTCAACACACAGATTTATATCTTGTAAATTAAAATAACCTACATTGAAAATAAATATTGATTTTCATAATCTTTTAATTTACTTTGAAAATAAAATTTAAAATAATATGCAAATAAGAGTTAAAGAACCTACAAATTTTCATTCAATAGCTATGCTCATACAAATTATATATTAAAAGAATAATATAAGAAGCTTTTTATAAGGTGTATAACATTTTATTTTACTTTTTTATGTAGCTATTGATTTAAAGAAGTTTTTAAATATTAATTTAAAGCAAATAATCTATTTTTAAAGTTTCCAGAATATATTGACTTATTCATTTAATATTTAAAAAGAAACTTTACAATATTCACTCTCAGTAGATTTTATAATCAAATTACAGATCACAATAATATGATTTTAATAAAAAACATTTATTTTAAGGTATTTAGTTTTAAAAATTTGAATCCAAAGAATCAAATAAAGAAATAGATAAAATATCTGAATAGCCTATTTGTCTGTCTATCTTAATTTGTATTTAAAAAGTATCGAATATCTATCCATAAATTCAAGAGTATCAAAAAAGATATATTAGATTTGATGATTAAATAAATAAATAAATATTGAACATATTCACAATATCAATATTTAATTTCAAAAAATTAATAGATTTTTATTGATTCATTTAAAAGCAAAATAAATATCAATTATATATTATTGGTTTGGCTTAGAAAAGGGTTTTTTAAATAACAGTTACTATTTCTTACTTAATTAAGCTATGCATTTTATTTTTAAATTGTGAAAAGTACAATAAAATTTTTAATTTTCTTTGCATTTTGTGATTTATATAATACGAAAAGTACTATTTATAGCAATTAAAAATAGATAAATATGAATAAAAATTTAAATCAAATAATTAGTTTCTGATTGAATTTGTTCAATTATTTAAATAAAAAATATGATAAAAATCTATATGCATTTCTAAATTAAAACCAAACAAATCATAATTTAATTTTTACAATATTAAAAGTTTTCTTAATTAATTTATTTTTCTTATCATAATTGAATATAAATCCTTAATTTTTTAATATATTATTCTAAATTAAATAATTAAAAAATAATTTTTTAATTATTGTTTTATGTTTTATGAAAAATAATTGAAATTTATGTTTGCTATAATTCAATAAAATAAATATGATAATTGTAAGAAAAATTACACTTAATTACAATAAAACCTGTCAAAGTAGACGATATTATAAACTGACTGCTCATAAAAAATAGACAAAAGTGTTTTTTTATCCTAAATTTTATTTTTTCTATATTATTTTGGGGTTAATTTCTTTAACTTATTTTAAATTTTTAAAATATGTATAATCATAAAAATAATATTTATTTTAATATTAATTTAAAAAAAAAACAATTTAATTAGTGCAAAACAGTTATTAATCTTATTTTAACACACATTTTATAAATTGAAATATTTTAATAGGGTAAAAATTTAGTTTTCACATACATATTGAAATTCAAAATAATATTCAAATTTAAAATATTTTCTAAAAGTTAAATCTGTATTACAATACACACTATCTTATGTTTATAAACATAATAATAATAATAATTTTTTATCTATTTTTTATTTATTTTTTTGGTCATGCAGTTATTTATTATGGGTTATCCAAGATACCACAAGTATTATTTGGAGCAAGCAAAAAGTATCCTTATTATCCCCATGAAGCACCCCAAGAGTTCTTTACTATCCAGTTTCCTTGGCTATCATAGCCGACTGCTAGCACTGCATGATTTAGATTTATGGATGAAGGATTACAATTATTGTAAACACCAGATGTGTACAAATATAAATTTGTAGCATCCATAGCAATAGATACTGGAGCTGCATTTAGTGCAGTTTACAATGCCAAAGTGTTCTACCCTACTGAACCGAATGCTACAGGCTTATATCCGTTGTTAGTACCACTAACTTAGCAGGTTCCCCATATAGCAGTGTATGGATACTAAGATTCCGTTTTCATACCTACTTTTGAAGCATAGAGTAAAGCTTGATAATAAGAACCTCCATTACAGCCATGTGAGTAGTAACCATTCTATTAAATAGCACAATCTACAAGTTATTATTCAGAAAAGCTTGAGAGAACTTTGTTCTTGATGAAGTTAAAAGACTCCATAGCACCTGTAGATGAGAATGCCCAGCAAGAACCACAGTTTCCTTGATTCTTTACTGGAGTGACTGCTCCCTTAGTTCTCCAGTCAACTGAAGCAGCGATAGGAGAAGCTGTAGCAGTGAGATTTTAGTTATTTGATGAAGATTGTGGTGCTGATAAGGATTATGAAGAGTCTGCTTGAGAGTTGCTCATAAGAATTTTTTGGACAAACTCTTCTTGGGTCATATCAGAGAACTAATTCAGTCCTTATTAGTAAGTGTTAGCTTAATTTGCATTGTGTTCTTTAATTTTTTAGAAGTTTTCTAAGAAGACTGACTATCTGTACTATTTTTCAGCATCATTAATGTAGATTCTTAGGTTGTTGTTTTTCCATTAGTTATATGCAGTAAGAGCTTCTAATTAATGATTAGGATTGGTTTATTGAGCTAAGGAAGAGCAAATCAATAGTGCTACCAAAGCAAGAGAAATAAATTTATTGTTCATATATTTTTTTTATTGTTAGTTTTTTTTTGTATTTTGTTTTATATTTTAAAATTATAAAATGATTGCTGTTTTTATTTTAATATTTAAATTAAACGCTAATTCAAAGAATAATTTAAAAATTAAATTCATAGCATTTATATTTATCGAGCTATTGTATAAAATAAAAAAGATTTATTAAATATTCATAGATGTTAAAAACATTTTAGATATTTGTAAAAATTATAAGGGATATTTATAAGATTTATAAAGTGTTTTTGTATATATAATAAAAATATTTTTTAAAAGAAGTTAAAATAGAAGTAACGACAATATAATAATCTATAAGATATCATTTAAATTTTTGTCTTCTTAATTGAAATTTAAACGTTGAAGGCTAATTGCTAAAAAAAAATATTTAATGATACTAAAATTATATTAACTTAATTAATATATTTTAAAAAAGAAACGCTAGATTAAGATTAACCAATATAATTTATTCAATTAAAAAATGCAATATTAAAACAGTTTTAAATATAAAGTTATATTTTTAATGCTTCTACATCTTGTAAGTTGAAAATTAGAAATAGAAAGGTTAATTGCAACTAGATTTTCTATTTTAATTAAAATTTAATATTCCAGAGTGCAAGCAAACTCTTTTCAAGAATAGAAATTAAATAGGATTATTATAAATATATTTTTCTTAATTAACATTCAAATATTGAATTCGTTAACGTATTTATTTTTAGCATTCTAGTATCTTAAGAAAAATCATTTAACCAAAATTATATTCAAATTATTTTATTCACATACTTATAAAAGTATAATTTTAAGTCACAAAATATTAATTATAATAAAAAAAAACATGTATTTTGTTATTTAAAAATTTAACTCTTTTTATATTTTATTTACAATGTGCATCATTTTTTCTAAATTAATGGTTATCAAATGCTTGATTTTTGAGACATAGAATAGAATGTAGTTTATTAATTCATTTAAATGATATAATCTGATAAATCCAAAAATATTGATTTTATAAATTTAAACTGAATAATTTAAATCAATCGGGTAGGGAGCTAGGTAGGTAGGTTGATAATAATATTGCCTATTGAATCTATTTGATTATTGAAAATCTATTTACTAATTTGTATGATTTATTCATTTTCATTTAAAATAAATGCTTCACTCTTCTATTATTTTCTAAAATTCTAAATAATGCTTGACCATAATTTATATTATAAAATATGTTTGTTTATCTTGATAACTTTAAAATAATTATTTTATTATTAACAAAAGCTTTTGTCTTTATTTGATTTGATTTAGATTGATCGATTTGCTTCCAAAAGTTGGTCTTCGTTTTTGTTTTTCTAAAATAATTTTTAATTAAGAATTTATTTATTTTTTTGTAATTTTTTAGAAGTAAAAAGTTTAAAGTAAAATATAATTTAACATTCAAATATAAAATTAATTTAAATTTTTGATAACTCAGTTAAATTTAAAAATTGAAGATATCTGTAAATTAAATATCAGATTATTTTACCAAAATTTTAACAAAGAGTTTGAAAAAATGATTAATATTAAATATTATTTTTAGTTTTATTTTATTACTACCCAAACTATCAAATTGTAATTTATTGTAATTAATATATATTTTTATTCCATATAAAAAGATAATGAATGAAATAATATATAAATTGTTAAACAGTTAATTTTTGATGAAGCTTTATTAAAAATTAGAGATGGAAACCAAGGAAATAAGGTATTTTATTTTAATATATGAAAAATAATATATTTTAAGATATTATTATTTTTTTAATTTTCATCTTTAATTATTGATGTGTCTCATATACCATTATTAAGTCGTTAATTTTTTAGAAAGTAAAGTTAAAAATTAGTAATGATAATTAAATAATATTATATTATATTTTTTATTAAACTTCTATAAAAAAATAAATTATTTTTTACATATATTTAAATAATTTGAATAAACATTTAATTTTATTTTTTTAAAAATCTATTAACTTTAATCCATTTTTAACTAAATAAAATAATTTTATTTTATAAATCAAAATAATTTTAATTACATGCTTTTAATTTTAATTAATTAATTAAATTATGAAATAAAATAGGGAAAAAGTAAGTAAGTAAGTAAGACTAAAGAATTAAATATCATCAAATTTTAAAGTAATATAACATATGTAATATAAATTTCATTTTAAACAACAAAGAAATAGATTAAGCTTAAAAATTATAATAAATAACATAGCCATCTATAGAAGTATTTATTTTGAATTTTAATTTAAACTCAATCAGAAATAGTGTAATAGGAATTATGTTTTTCTAAAAATGATTTAATAGTGAATCATTATTTTTGCTAATCAAGCAGTTATATGAAGTGGATCATCTAATATACCACAAGTGTTGTTAGGAGCTAGCAAGAAGTAACCTGATTATCCCCACTAAGTACCCCAGGAGTTCTTTACTATCCAGTTTCCTTAGGTGTCATAGCCTACAGCTAATACTGCGTGATTTAATTGGATATTTGAGGGATTGCAATTATTATAAATACCTGAAGAGTACATAGACAAATTAGTAGCATCAATTGCAACTGATACAGGTGAAGCATTTATTGCAGTTTATAATGCCAAGGTAGTTGAACTAATAAACGAGAAAGAAACTGGTTTGTATCCATTACTAGTTCCACTCACTTTGCAGCTACCTTAGTATCCAATATAAGGGTATGCTGATTCTGTTTTCATACCTACTTTTGAAGCATATTGCAATGCTTGCTAGTATGAACCACCATTGCAGCCATAAGAGACGTAGCCATTGTTTGTAGTAACACAGTCAACAAGCTGCTATTCAGAAAAGCTAGTAAGAACATGATTTTTAATGAAGTTAAAAGATTCCATAACACCAGTAGCAGAGAAAGCCCAGCAAGATCCACAATTTCCTTGATTTTTTACAGGTGTAAGTGCTCCCTTAGTTCTCCAGTCGAAAGAAGCTGCAATTGAAGTGCTAGATGTGCTTGAAGAAGATACTGATAGCTTCTAAGATGAACTCTTGATGGAGTGGTTAGTGAGAATCTTTTAAGCAAATTCTTCTTAAGTCATATCAGAGAACTAATTAAGTCCTAATTTGTAAGTATGAGAAGTGTTTGAGTTATGATCTTAAACCTTTTAAAAGTTTTCTAAGAAGACAGTTTATCTGAATAACTTTTCATCATCATTAATGAAAACTTTAGGGTTAGTTTTTATCCATTCAATATATTAATTTAGAGCCTCAATCTATGGGTTATTTTGTTATGCCAAAGAAGAGCTCAACAACAAAGCTAGCAAAGCAGTGAAAATTATTTTAGAATTCATTATTAATTTTTTTTAAATTTACTTATTGTTTTTATTTTGTTTAAATTATTATAAAATGATGGTTAATAGGAGCAACTTTTAAATAACGTAGAGTTTAAACGTAAATTAAAATTTGGTATTACCTTATTGGAATTTAAAAATTATTCGAATTCATAGTAAGCCAAATAAATATTTGACAAACTAGAAGACCCAAATAAAATCAGTATTAGAGCTATCATATAAAATATTAATAGTAATATTTTAAAATATATTATTCTAACAAATAATTTTTTTATATTGTTTAAAATGAATGAATGAATGAATTAAATCTTGTGTTTGTGTTAAAAAATTCTACTTTAATGTTTGTTGTAGATTGATTTATTTAAATAAAGCTTGAATTCTATTTTGAGTAACGAAACTAGAAACTAACTGACTAACTAAACTAGATTATTTAAAAAATATTTGAATGAATTTAAAATTACACGCTTCCTAGTGTATAATCTAAAAAGTAAATCAAATGGTGGTTTAAAAGTATAATTTTATTACAAAATCTAAAGCAACATTTTTGGTATTTATATGAAATTGTTTTATTTTGAAATATTTAAAGTTTTTATAAATTTAAAGACATTTAAATAAATAAAGATTTAGTTAATTAATTAATAATATTGTCTATTTTAAGAACAGTTTGAAAACCCCGAACAATTATTTAATTTAATAAATTTTAAAAGAAGGATTTAAATTATTAATTGGGGGTAGGAAAAAAATTAATTGATTGTAATAAATACTATTCAACATATTTGAAATTTGAAATAGAAATAGTACTATATTAACTCTAGAAAATTAAGGAAATTAATAGATTATTTTACTAAGTTGTTAATTAAATTAAAAACTTAACAACTAATAATTATTTAAATGTCATTTATTAGTCCATTCATGGATTTATTTTTTAAATAAAAATTTATTTAATTGCATGATATTAAAATAGTTAAGAGTTTGTTTGCTTTTTCAAAATAAATTAACTTTAAAATAAATGGAAAAAAATTTTTAAATTTATTTAAGAAAGAAATCCAAAACATGAACATTATTTCTTAAATATCTCTTAAAAGACTTTTTAGCACTTAATAAATTCATTTTAAATAAATAAATTAATTTTCTTTTTTTTAATTTTAAGTATTTTGTTTAAAAATTGATTACAACTTATTTATTTATTTGCATTTATTTAAATTTTTTGCATCAAATTAAACCTAACAGACAATTAATTTTGTAAACTAAAAAGATGACTCATCCAATAAAACTCAATTAAATCTAAAAATTTAATTTTTCATTTTTAAAATAAATACAAAAAAAATATACTTATCTTATAATTCAAAAACCAGCGCTTTATTTTTAAGCAAAGAAGGTCTGGAATGAAGTAGTAATAAAATTATTCAAACATCCTTAATGAAATAAATTTAAAATTGCAATTTTTAATTTAGGTGCACAAATATAGTCCAACAAAACGAAATCCAAATTGGATTGAAGAAAAATAATTTATTTTTTTGAGTATTTGAATTAAAATAATTAATTAATTATTGTGATTGTCTAAATTTTATCTGCTTAAGTATATAAAATAATAATTTAAATATTAAATAATTTATAATAAATTTATAATTTTAAAAAAGTTAGACTACATTCAAAATATTTAAGGATAATTTATAACATTTATAATAAATATATTGACTAAATATAATTAGTTTCTTGCATTATAAATGAAGAAGATAGCCAAATTATGTTTAAATCTTAAGAACATTTAACTATCAATATTGACTGGTTATTTTATTTGTATTTATATGGTTGAAGGCTAATTTTTCTGTTTCTTAAAATTAATTATACTATAATAATATTTTTGATTAAAAGGCTTAAATTTAAACTAAATTAATTCAAATAAAATAATTTATTTTTATTGATAATATAAATTTTTGATAAAAATGAAATTATTCTTATTATCTAAATATTTCTACTATTTTACTATCTAAGATTCAAACAAATTGCTGGTATAATATATTCATTTATTGAATCAAACATAGTAAATATAAGCAATTTAAAATATCAATTAATCAAAATATTTAAGGATAATTTATTACATTTATAATAAATATATTGACTAAATATAATTATTTTCTTGTATTGTAAATGAAGAAGATAGCCAAATTATTTTAAATCTTAAGAATGTTTAACTATTAATATTGTTGGTTATTTTAATTGTATTTATATAGTTGTAGGCAAATTTTTCTGTTTTTTAAAATTAATAATACTATAATAATATTTTTAATTAAAAAGCTTAATTTTAAACTAAATTAATTCAAATAAAATTATTTATTTTTATTGATAATTTATGAATTTTTGATACAAATGAAATTATTCTTATTATCTAAATATTTCTACTATTTTACTATCTAAGATTCAAACAAATTACTGGTAGAATATGTTCTTTTATTGAATCAAACATAGTAAATATAAACTATTTGAAAATATTAATTTATTATCAAAATAATCAGAGTTTATGAATTATATTAACTAAATATAAAAAAATAAAATAGTTTAAGAGTTGTCTGATATTTTTACTGCGCTACAAAAATATCAACTGCTCAATTAAATAAACAATAATTTAAACTTTTTTATTTAGTAATTATTAATCTTAGATGCTCATTTTTTTACCATATTTTTTTAAAAAGGTAAAATCAAATTAATGAAGTAAAAATGCAAAAGATTAAGAGACTTAGCTAATTAGACCCATTTATAGATTACATTAGTATCAAAGCTTTTCAAAATTCTCCACACTTATTAGATAAAAATAACTTAAATTAATTTATTATGCTATTTGATGCTTTATACTTTATCATATTTTAGTCTCAAAAGCTTAAGTAGATAGATCTTTGTTTTAAGTAATAATAATTAATTACATTTAGATTTTATGAAAAATTAAGTATGTTTGCTATTTTTAAAATAAATTTAATAGTCTCTTAGACGTTTGTCCTTAGTTTTTTTAGTCATAGAATATTAAAAATAATTTATAGCTAGAATCTTTTTCTCTAGATCTTGTGTAAAATTGTTTAAAATTAACTAAAATTTACATCTTTTTTTCCAAAATAGAAATTGTAAAAGCAAATAGAATTTACTTTCCAAGTTTTTTAACTCTTTTAGTAAAAACTCTGATTTGAAATAAATATCCTTAAAATTTAGGTAAATAAATAAGAAAGTATTAACTAGAAATTAATAAATATTTTATTTTTTAATATTCAGGGATTGCAATTTTAGTAATTAAGTATTAGAAGATTGCTTTTTGTAGTTAAAAAAATACATTCATCTTGAGAAGCTCAATATTTAAATGTAAAATGATTCTAAATATAAATAAATATCTCATAAAATTAAATAGAATAGAAAACTAAGTTGACTATTAGGTCGTCAGAAATATTAAAAATTATATTTCATCTCAAAACCTAATCAATTTAAGTATCAAATTCCAGTCTAGAAACCATGATAATTTCTAAAACAATAAGCTATTGACTCTAATGCCTATTTTAGAAAAATCTAAGAATTTATAGAATCTCAAAATAGAATTTAGGTTTTAATTAGAATACATTAGTTTGAAATATCATTTATTTTAACTGTAAAAAGTTAGATGAATTTAAGCAACGAAGCTGGCGTTTTCTTCAAGATTTTTAAGAATTCCTTAAACATACAAAAAATTCACATAAATTTGAAGTAAATAATATAAATAGATATTAAAAATTAAATTTAAATTGATAAAAAAGTAAAAACTAGATCTAAAAAGAAGGGGCAATATAAATTTTCCATAGTTTCTCCTACCTTAAAAACCTAAAATCTTTAACTTTATTAATGAAGTATTTTTATTTTTATTTAACTAATTTTAAAAATCTTTGATAAATAAAAAGTGATAACAATATAAAAGATTCTCTTGATCATTTAAGTTATTCAGTAGCTCCGCTTTAATAACTCCAAGACTTAGATGTCAATTTATAGTATATTTTTAAATTAAAATTTTAAGACCATTTAATTTACTTTAAATTTAGAAATTGTAATTTAGGATGCCATGAATAGAAAAATTGTGTGAGAAAAATGACACAACTCTAATAAATTTAGCTGTTTAACTTAAATATTAAGTGAGTTAATTTCAGAATTTAACCTTTATAAGACATTTTTATATTAAATCCAGAGATAATTAGGTTTTCACTCAAGAATAAGAAAAGCTGATTGTATAATATTTGATGTATTGGCAAAATAGTAAATCATCCAAGCAAATTTTATATTTTTAATTCAAACTCAAGTAAACATTTCTCTTTAAAAAATATTATTTTATATTCTTTCTTATCAACTTAAAAAAGTTGTGAGCAAATTAAGTCAATATAATAATAAGAATTCCTTTTAAATAAAAATCACCATACCTTGCTATTGTATATAGCTTATAGTAAATATGTTAACCCTTACATAATATTTAGTAACAAATACAGTTTGGCTGATTTATACTATTGAATTAATAAGATAAAGTTGAAATTTTTAATTTTATCTTTTATATGTTTTATGATAAATCAAATTATGTTGAATATTTTTAATTAAAAAATAATGAACAGATCAGTAAATTTTTGATGAATAAAAGCTAATATTTATGAATAAAAATTAATTTTTTTATTTAAAGATTAAAATCAAAAAGTTTTAATTTTATTAATTACTTTAATTTAATTGTATAACATACAAAAATAAATATTCAAATATTAATCTTAAATAGAATGTGGAAAGGGATTAAAATATGTACTTAACTTATACAAAAAATTAATTTTTTTAAATTATCAGAATTGTAATTTTTAGTAAAGTATTTGATAATAGTAAGAGTAAATAAATAAATAAGAATTATAAATATATAAACAAATGTGTTATATTTTAAAGATAATTTATTATATAAACTGTATGCGTTGTATAGAGTTTAAATCATTACTAAGTTTACTAAGACTAATTCATACTTGAAACGGAAGACCTAATTTTATTTGCTATATATTATCTTAATTCTGGATTTTCTAAATATTCGTGGAGAGTTGAAAAAGCAGCTTTTAAATTAGACATAATATGTTAGTATTTTATGTGATTTTAATAAAATTAAAAAGTTACTTCTATTCACAAGATCAACAACTTCTTTATTACCTAATGCATTCGCTAAATTTGAAGCCACTAAGTCTTTGCAAGTATCAGAACTTCCAAAAGAAACTAGAAGATCTTAAAGCAATTTTCTAGTTTAGGGGTTTTATAGTTGTTATATTATTATCATTTTTAATTTTTGAAAAATAAAATCATCATAAAAAACTGATGTTTTCAGAACTTGTTTTATAAGAATAGGTGTATTATTTTTAACATCTTTAATATCATAAATTCTAATTAGACCTTTAACAGTATTATGTCTTATAGAAGGCTTTTCACATAAATTAACAATCAAGCCTTAGAGATTATCTTGGATCATTGTATTTTTATAAACTTGTTACCTTATTATCATTCCTAGCCAGCTTGTACTTTGCTAATATATTATATTGTTTTATTCTTTCATTAATTCTTATAGCTTTTGATACTCTAAGTAAGATTTATAAGAACCAAAAGATAATAATCCACTAAATATCAAAAACGTTACTCTTTTAAGCCATTTAAAAGTCCAGTTTAGTGTATTTGTGTGTTTTTGTAAGTTGTATGATGCCAAATTTAAAATTAGCTTAAATTTATTTGGAGATTATGTTATCAAAAATAAAAATGCTGATTGTCTCTCAAAAAAGTTATATCTATTTGGATTATCAGTAGAAATGTGCTTATGATTGACTATTCTAACAGCGTTAGTCAATAAATACTTTTAGTACTATGAATGCTCCAAATACTATCGGTTTAATGTTTGAAGAGCCTTTTTTATTACTTAACTAAAACTCATATTTGTATTTGTAATATTTTAATGAATGTATTTAATAATAATAAAATAGTGTAAAGAATTACAAACATACATACAAACAACTTATATATAAATTTATAAATCAAAAATAAACCCTTCTACATTTTTCTAAAACCTTCTTCTTTAAATCTATATCATAAAATAATAGCCAATTTATTCTATTAACTATTTATTGTTGTATGGATATTAAAATTTAATAATTTAATTTTAAAACAAATATTTGATACCAAAAACTTTAAACTATTTAAAATCTATTCATTTTTAATATATTTTCTCAAATTAAAGGATATTCAAATGAGTAATTCTACTACAATATGATTTCTCTAAATATTTCAATCATTTTTTGTACTTAATACCTTTCTTTAATGAATTAATTAGATTTTTTATTTCCATAATTACAACCTATTTAAAAATATTTATTTTGCTTTTTTAAATGATAAAATTTGCTTGATAAATAAATAGATAGATAGTTTTAGTAATATATATTATAAATATTTAATAATAAATATTATATGAAGAGATAAATTAATTAATCAATTAAAGTTGAAATGAAAAAGAAATTTAATCTGCTAAGAACATTTTTTTGTTTTCTTAACAATACTTTTATCGTTTACCTTAATAATGAAATAACAAACTATGACTTAAAAAAATTATAATTAAGAAATATTCTTGGATATTTCTTGTAAAAAAACATAATTAATAATTCATTCCATGAAGCTTACTTGTGAAATTAATTCATAAAAGTAATTTTATTATAGAGTAATTTTGTTTAAAATTGTTTCTGCACATATTATGAATATGAAAAACTATAGGCGAGATTAAGCTCTTTATATTTTTTATAAATGTAAAAATTTGATTCAGACTGTTTTTTCATTTATTTTAGCATTTTTAGTTTAAAATTTTTAATTAATTTTGAGATTAAATCATTATAAACTTGATGAAATTCTATTATTTTTTATAAAGGTTTTCTTTCTGTTAGCTAAATTTTTAGTAATTTAAATGTTAACCATTTTAAAAAGACCTAGGTTGTATGCAGCTTATGCTAGTTTAAATTTAAGAGTTTAAACATTTCTCTTGGTAGCAGACGACACTGCAAAAATAGAAAATCCATTTTACTAAGCAAATTATTCTTATTAATCATTTAAATATATTCTACTACTTTCAACTAGAAATTATTCAATATCTTCAGTAGTAATTTATGAAAGATACTGTAAATTATTTATATTTTTTTGAATTACAATAGACATGTTAGACAAATCACATTTACTGGCAATCAAAAATTTTAAAGACGACTTTAATTTTGATGAATATTAATTATACTATTTAATACTAATTTCAAATGAGTCTTGGTTATTAACGTCAAATAATAATAGATAAATATGGAATTAAATGTTAAATTCGCTCTCTTCTTTCAAGTATTAATGGTTGCTATTTTCATAAAATATTACAGTGACTTATTCATTCTAAATCATTACTTCTGAGCAATTTTTTAAATATCTCTCCATATAATCATATCCTTCATGCAAGCAATACTCAGAAAGTTTTGAAATTAATTAGCTTTTTCCAGATTTAGGGCTTCCATCAACTAGAACATTAATTATTTTTTTTTTAATTTGAATCATTTGAGAAATTTTCAATAATATTTTAAATATCAAAAACACCTAAAAATTAAGTTCTGTTAAACTTAACTTAACCAATAATAATTCTTTTTATGTTTATCCTTTATTTCAGAGCAAATAACCAAATATTTTTTTAGAAAAAAGCTGATTGATATTCCAGATTAAAAATTATGTTTTTCAATTTATAATTAAAAAAATTCTATTAACAAAAAAGTAAAAATTTATATTTATATTTTTCTTGTAGTTTTTTGAATTATATCTAAATTATTTTTTCAGTTTTTGAAATCTTATAATTTCTTATAGAAACAAATATTAAAATGATCTGATGATTTATAATATCAAAGTAGTTAAATTCATTTAATCTACAAGAATTTTTGAAAACGATATTAGTAGTAGCAACATCAATAAACCAATTAAATATTCATCAGATTATCTTTGAATTTATTTAAAATAAATACGCATGTTTTATTTTTTAAACTTCTACTCAAGTTCAACAAGATACGAAGGAATGATAGTTTTTATTATTAAATTGGATATTCTTCAAAAGCATAACATTCATTCTTTCTTTCTAGAAAAAATAGAAAGATACATGCACTCTTTTTATTGGTTTTTAAATTTAGAGTTATAATAACAATATTTTTTTTGCTTTTTATTAGCTAAATCATTTACAAAGTATACAAAAATATGAGTGAACAAAAGAACGATAGCAATTAATAAAAATAAACAAATAGCTCAATTTAAAATTAAAACAGTAAAAGCTACTACAATACAGAACATGTTTAGGATTATATGAGAATGAAATTCTATTAATTTAAAGCTCAAAATGCATTAATGGATAACTTTTAATTGCTTTTTTTAAAGAAATATGATAAACTATTAACAGAAGAAGAAAAAACAATAAGAAAAAAATGCGATTATTTGATTTAAACCACATCAACTGTTGCAAATTTTGGCTCATTCTTTTTTATTCTATCTAATCTTAGCGTAACATAAGAGATAAGATTCAATCCAATTCGCGACTTTAAAGTTCTTGTTGGTGGAGTAGCATTGATGTTTGCTTTAAGAGGAGCTGGAATATTATATATGTGGTCTTAATGTGAAAATATGTATTTTAGAATCTATCCTAAAATAAATCTAGATGAGCAAGTGGATTTTTATGCTGAAAATATAAATAATAATTTCAAAATATTTTTATATAGATATTTTTTCTGATGTATTTATTTATTTACATATTTATGTTTGGAGTATATCTTCAAACACCAATAAAATCAATAAGGTTCTTTGCTTATTTGAGCTAGTTAAAAGTTAAAGTTAAAAAAGTAATGTAAATCAAATAAAACTCAACTATTCGTCTATATACAAACCAAATAAATATACATTTTCAAAAATAAATATTTATATAATTAATTCAATTTTTATATTATTCATTCATTAAAACAAACTTGTTTATATCAACTTTATTCTTCGTTAGTATTTGATGCTTTTTGCTAATCCTCCCCTTTTATTTTTCTGATCTTCTCCTCAATTACTTTTCTTTCAGTTCTCATATAAGTTTGTTTTATCAAAAATGCAGCGTAATCCTTTAAATCAAACCCGAAATTTAAGTAATATTAAGGTTCCTATTCAATCTTCTTGTAAAGTAAGTAGTGATTTACAGTATCTTTTTTTAAAAAATTATAAATAAACGAATAATAATGACAAGATAAATATTTTACTATCCATATAATCTATAAGCATATTAGGCTCGTATTTTGAGGGTATATCTAATTCAAAATCGTATTCTTATATCTACTGCTGATTTTATTAATTATAATCCTAGTAGTCTATCATTTAGCCATCCCCATTCGCTTAATCTTATCCTTGATATTCCATAATTTACTACACTTTTGCTAAATATTATAATAAATAAATAATCAACTTTATTCAATTTATGTCTAAAACATAATATTTAATTAGCTTTTTACATCAAAAAAAGCAAACAAATAAACAAATAAAGAAAAGCTTATCTTAATTTTATAATTTATCAAAAATATGCCTTCTGAATGATAAAAATAATTTATTTAGTTAAAATTTTAAATATTTCAAATACATGTAAAACTTTTTACAAACTAACTATAAATAGATTTTTTTTTACTAATTTTATTTTATTTAATGCAAATAGATAATAATAACTAATAAAAGTTTACTATTAAAAACATTTAAAAAATGAGTAATTTAAGTGTTAGAGTTTAACAAATAAGCTTTTAAAATAAATAAAATATTTTTAATTATTAAGAATTCAATTAATCAAGATAAAGTCTAAAAACTTCACTCTAATTTATTATTTAAAATTCAATTCATATATTATAAAGATGTGTTTTTAAAATCATTTAAAAAAAACACAAAAAACAAACAAATATATCATATATTCCCTATTCTATATATACTTATATACCTAAAAAAATTTAATAAACATAAAAACCAATAAAGCAGCTGAATAAAAGTCCATTTTTTTTCATAAATCGGCTTTAACTTATAGTTTTGTTTGTTTGTTTGTATTTTCTATTTTTAATAATTTTAAATGAATTTTATTTGAACTTGAGTGTTTAATAAATAATTTATATTTCATTAGAATGAGCACAAATAATTAATTTTTAATTTTATTCAAATTAAAAGTTAGCTATAAATTTAGAACTGGAACTCAGCTCAAATGTATTTTTTTATTAAATTAAAGTGAGTATTATTCTAATTATAATTTGATTATACGGGCATTTAATCTAGATTTAATATTTATATAAACTTTAATAATCTAACTAGGAAATAGAAGTTGAATATAATTTTTATAAATATGTATTTAAATTGAAAAAAATTAATAATATCAGTGAATCAATCAATCAATCTCTTATTCCACAAATAAGATCTATTATATCATATATGTTAAGAGTATTGCTGATAAAAATTTATTTAAACTTCTTGAAGCTAATATATTCATCAATTAAATTGATAACTCCGCTTTCTTCAAATTTTTCAATGAGATATTCGTAAACACTTTTTTGATAATCTTATTTCTTTTCATCAACTTATTAGCAAAGCAGTTTTATAATTCTTTTGAATTCTTCTTTTTCTAGCTCTTGTTATTTGTTTTCTTTGAAGAACTTTATTTTTTTTTCAGTAAATAAATAATAATATTATTTAAGTTAATTTAAAAATAAACAAAATTCATTACTTTTTCTAAAAATTTGATTGTCTCTGATATTGCTGAATCTTTATGTATTAGGATCCTATAAAATGCAATTATTTATTCCAAAGAAACGTAGCTAAATTCTTTATCAGGGTCTAACCCAAGAGCTAAGAGTATTCTTTGAGTTATTTACTTTTTATTTTGATAGAGAATTTCAAAGCTTTATACGAAAACTCCTAAATAAATCTATTATTAATCTATTTTTTAAAAATAAATATAATAAATATATTTGCATTTTTCCAAAAAATACTCTTAAAAATGTTGGCTTTTGACTCATCAACTAATTCTAAAATCTTTAGTTTGTTTTACTTCTAGGGTGACTCTCCTTCAAGCATAAGTCCATTTTATCTGTGTTTTTCACTTATTCTAACAAGCTTATTATACATTTCTATAATTACTGTTAGCTTCTTAGATTTTGACTGCTAGTTCATTCTCACTGCTTGAATCGAGGATCTATGTTTCTACTTTTTTAATATTTTTTTTGGAATAAAATTATGAGCTTTTTTTTAATTTTTTTCATCCATCAATAATAATTGATCGAATTTAACTCAAAATTTAATTAATTACATTTCTATCTGCTCCTTCCTCTTCATTCATTTATATTTTATCAATTTACACAATTTTTAGATTTGGGTTGTGGTTCTTTAAAATGGAGTTTTTTGGAGAAACTTGCTCACTCATAAATTGGTTTTTTTGAGAGTTTAAGGAGGTATTAGAATCTCTTTGCTTCCATCTGGAGAATATATTTCTATGGATTTGGTTATTTTTTTGTTCTATTTTTTACTCTAGGTTGTATAAATTGACCATTCTGTTGTATTAGTCCATTTCAAACAATAGCTTATTCCCATATTTTTAAGATTTTTTTATCTTTTCTTGTTTGTTTTCAATATTTCCGTACGGATTGTTAAAAAAGGGTGATCTGTTATTTGCTATTTCCCTGGTATCTTCCTCCATAGAAGAAGACACATAGTTGTTATTTTATAATTATGTACTAGCAAACTCATTTCTTTCTTTAGAATTGTGAACAGAGTCGCAAAGACTCTAATAAATGTATTTATCTTATTAAACTTTTTACACACATACACTTTCTATACTATTAGCATCTTGTTTAACTGGCTCTTTTACTAAATAAAGTGGTACTCTGTGTCTTGAATCAGGAGAGTACATTTGATCTGTTTGAGGTGGACGTGGATATTTATAATTTTTAAAACCCACTGTTTTTAAATGGTAAAACTATTGAGGATTTTATATCAGATTCTATACATGTATTTTTACTTTGCTTTTAGTTTATATTGAAGTGGGATCGAGAATTTAGTCATCTATTTCAGCAACAGAATTAAATTTATTCGTGCTTGCTGGACTTTTAAAAAAATTATTGCCTGTGTAGTTTAATTTAAAGTTCTTTTGAGAGCTTTAACTACTCTAAATATTTCTTTTTTTTAAGTGGTTATTGCTATTTAAGTTAATTTTGCTTTATTCATGAGATCTTTCAATTTTATTAGTTTGAAATCCATTTGTTTATTTATTAAAATTACTAATTGTTATAAAATTTAAGTCTGATCCACTTTGAATTTGCAGTTAATCATCTTTATGGTCTCTCTGTTACTTCAGTGATGACTTAAAAACCCTTCGAATATTTTCTCCAGCAGTTTTAACAAGCTGTAAATATATATAAATATAATTAATTCAATTACAGATAATTCAAGCATAAATACAAACGATTTATTTTAAGTCCTTTTTTAACAATTGTATAACTTAAAAAATTATTTCATGTTAGTTTTTTGGTAGAAATAAAAAAAATTTTTTATGCTAGCTGCAATAATTGCAAATGTAAAATTTACTCGATATCTAGGCTCAGCTCTTTGACTGCCTTCTTAAGATTAAGGAGGCATAGCGGGTGTTTTATCTAATTAAATTCCTTTTTTTATTCTAAAATGAGTAGCCGTTGTTGAGAAATAGTTTTTATGCTCAAATTCTGAAATCTCATGAATTTTTTGAGTTAAATTTTAGAGAGCATCAAATGTATAATTTTTATATGAAGAGGGAGATTTTGGTGTTTATAACTAAAGATGATTTTTAGCATTCATTTTATATTAAATATTATAGATATTGTTTGTTTATTGTCTGTATTTATTTTAGCAAATAGTATGAATTATAAAACACCAAATAGTTTATTTTTGCTTTTGAATAAATTAAAAATAATATCTCAATCCTTTTTTTTTGAAAGATTTTACTGCTTTTCCAATTAACTAAATTAGTTAAACTAAAAAAATTATTAAAAAAATCAGCTAATTATAACAAAATTCAGCTAATATCCAGCAACTGTGCTCACTTTTTATCCAATAATTCATAAATTTAGTATAAATAATTTGTTTAATAAAAATTTCATTATGAGTTGTAGAAACAAATTAACTTGTTAAAATGTAAAACAAGTCAATTTAAACCATTAAAAATGTTAGAATATGAATGAAATGTGCTTTAAATTAATTATAAAAATTATTTGCTAAAAAAAAATTTAAATTAAAACAAAAATAATTATTTTGAATGATAGAAACTAACAATTAAGTATGAAACAGAGAATAAATAAATTAATTTAACTAGCTCAAACAATATTTTAAAAAGATGATTTTTATTTTAATTCTTTTTTTCTTTCGATGATTCTCTTTCTTTCTTTAAATGTAACATCAAGAAGTTTAGCCCCTGTAACATTTTCTGTTATTAAAAAAATGATTATAATGCTTAATTTTGATTTAATTTACCTGTAGGATTTTATAGTGGCTTGTCTTACTGTATTCCTAAATTGTAATAATTTTATAAATTAAATATCAATATCAAATAAGCGATATTTAAGAAAATTATTTATATATGTATATTTATTCATGATTAAATACTTATTAAATTCATTGGATTGTTTTGCAACTCTGGTGGTAAAGAGTTTTTCAAATCTTATTTTGCCCTTAAAATACTTTCTGTGATTTCTCTTGTTAAAGCAATAGACTTTTCATTTAAAAATAGATAATAATAATTTAATAATTGTTCACAAATTTTTTGTTAAAAAATTATAAAAATTGATAATGCTTCACTTGTTATTCTGTCTTTCTCATGATATCTACTATTTCGGCTGGTTTTTCATTTTATGGGGCTAATAATTTAAGAATTACTTTAAAGTAATTGTATCCCATTCCTATTTATCTGCCAAAATTTCTACATGCTATTGGTAGCTAATTTCCAAGTCTAAACGAAATAAATGTTGCATAAGCAGTTCCTGGAAGAGTAATTATTAATAAATTAGTAATCCAACCCATTCTAAAAAAATTATCTATCTTTTATTGGCCTTTCTTTGTAAAAAATATGTTTAGATGTGCTAAAAATATAAATTTTAATGGTTATAAAATTATTAAAATATTCGCTTATTATAATTTTTTATAGAAAATTCAAAAATATTCTCTACAACTTCGTCAAGTTTTATAAGGTTGATCGATTCATAGATGGATTTTAAATATTATTTAGATTTTCAGTTCAATCTTCATCAGATAAATTTTAATAGACAATAAATAATTAAGTATTATTTTATAAGACAATAAAATTAAATTGAGAACTAAAAGGCCTATTTAGTCATGAAAAACTCATAGAGTGTTTGTTTTAAGTGTTTGTAGATTTAAAATTTAATTTGATAATAATCAATATTTTTGTTACTTTAATCAAATTCGATACTATCTTTTGTAAAGTTATCAAATGTACATTTGAAGTTACAAAACACATTTCTTAATAATATAATTATAATTACAAAATACTCCTTGTTATTTTTCAAATCATCTTATGAAGAATAGGATTCAAGGATAATATCTGATCAATATAATTTAAAATTTATTAAATAAAAATAGAACTTTAATCTTTTGGAATGCATGTAAAAATTAATATGTAAATAATAGATAGTTAAAATGAATTAATTTAATCTCCAAAAAACTATGTTAATAAATTAGAAACAATAAAAGAACATTACTTCATTAGGATTTAATTCAAAAATAATACAGTCAATCAGTCAGTATTTGCAATTTATACAGAATTTTACAGGAGGAGGAGAAGAAAATAAATATGACCCGCAATTTATAGTTTTTATATTAAATATTTTAAAGTAATAAACAAATTCGCTAAAAGAAATCAATTATTCAATCAATCAAAAAAACAAAAAAACAAATAAAAAGAAATTAATAAATAAATAAATATAAAACAATCGATTTAACAAAATAATTAGCAAATAATTTCAAAAATAAAGAAAGAGACAATTAAGCTGCTAGGCATTGAAAAACACGCAGAAATAATAAATAAATAAGATTACTTCAATAAGAAGCTATTAAAAGCAAAAAAAAAATATATATATATCTTATAAAATAAATTGTATTAAACATAAATAAATAAAAGATAATAAATTAATTAATTGATTAATTATATTTGTTAATTTCAACTTACCAAAGCAGCAGGCAAATAATTAAACAACATAACAAAAAATTTAAGAAAACCCAAAAACAAACAAACAAACATACACATAGGCAACAAAGAAAAAAAAAGAAAGGAGGTGATTGAAGAAAAAAGATAAATAAAATCGATATAGCAAAATGGAATGGGAATGTAAAGAAATTGATAAATACATAGTTCTTAATAAGCCAATAGGCAAAGGAAATCAAGCAACTGTTTACGAATCATACAGAAAAGATAACTTGTAAATAGTTGCAGCAAAAGTTTTTGATTTAACTTAGAATGGTTAAACAAATTAAGCTAGAAACCTTTAAAGATAGGTTAAGATTCTTACAACATTAAAGCATCCATATATTTTAGAGTGCTTTGACATTAAACAAACCCAAAAGAATGTAAATACTTTTTTTATACTTTAGTTATAACTCAAATAATATTGTCAATTTACCAAATAATTTATCTGTTATAATCTCAGAGTAAAAAAAATGTGATAAATAAAAGCTCATAGATATCAAATATAAGCCTAATCAAATAAATTATGCATTCAATTTTTGAGAAGCTAATCGTTTTTGAGATAAAAAATCATATTAATATGTTTTTAAATGAAATATTTTACTAATGAATTAACCAACTATTTATTTTTAATACGATTAGTAATACTTCTTCTTAGAGTATTGTGATGGAGGTGATTTAGAAAAATATTTAAAAGAGAAGCAATTTATTACTGAATCTGAATGCCTAGATCTGTTTAAGCAAATAGTCTCTGCATTTCAAATGTTGGAAAAGAAAAATATAGTTCACAGAGACTTAAAACCTGCTAATATACTACTCAAAAATGGATAGTTGAAGATAGCAGATTTTGGTTTCGCTAAAGAAATATAAGATGATGTATAAAATACTATTGTAGGATCTCCTATTTTTATGTGTCCACAGGCTCTTGATGGAACAGGACATTACGATTTAAAAAAGGGAGATGTTTGGAGTGCTGGTGTTTGTCTTTACCTGATGCTTTATGGAATATATCCTTTTTATGCTAGCAATGTTCAAAATCTCATTTAGACACTCAAACAATAACAGTTAGTTTTCAGAGACGACCTCTACAAAAGGTCAGATGCAGTAAAAGATTTGCTTTCTCACATGCTTGAAAAAGAAGAATCTAAAAGGTACACTTGGGACTAAGTAATATTATAAAATTTTTAATTAAAATTGTAAATTGAATCAAGTAATCAAATGGTTTATTTGATAAAAAGCTTGCTGCTATCTTTCTTAAAATTAAATTTTTTATTATTGTTAAATTTGATATAACTTTTGATTGATGGATATCTTTTATTGTTATTATTTTTTAGGAATTTTTAATTAAAATTAAAATAAATCTTTCTTTTTTCTTTCCAATCTATATGTATGTCTTAATTTATTTTTTATCATAAAACCTGCATTCTACAAAAAATTTCCATATTAAACAGTATGTAAGCGTTTTTATATTATTTTTAATAGGTTGCTTCTCATAAATGCTTAAACGCAGGATCACATTATTAAAACAATCCTTTGCTGGGTAGCTTGGAGATGAACCAAGTTTCAGGAATATCGTCGTTTAATAGTGACTATAAGAATGTTGAGCTGAAACAGTAAAATGAATAGAAAAGCTCATCAATTGAAAATCCATAGACACCTAGCTAATAGTAGAATTAGAACAATGTTTCAATTTATAAAAGAAGAGATAATACAAATCAATTGAAATAAATACATTTACTATTTAGATTACTCACTTAATTTGCACTTACATATAGAATTATATGGAAAGGATTTTTTTAGTTAATTGTAGCATAGTAGTAAGGAAATATATACTTTAAAACTGATTCTATTGTAAATGCTATTTTCCTCTTAATGAACTCACTATTACTCAAAGAACACAAATTTTTAAGGGAATTAATATAAAATCCCAAACAATTCATAGCCTTTAGGATACAAAGAAATAAATTAGAAAATATAAACGAAGACGATCTGACTTATTATTTTAATTCAGAAATATACAAGAGTTTCATGTAAAATATTACCATCAACTTCCAGCAAGACACATAAGTATCCATAATGAATTATTCAGAAATGTTTTAAGCTTAGCTAGTTGCAGCAGGCTTCCTAAATGTCATCACTGAAGACAAATGTAATGAATACATAGAATGCTCCTTAAATATTATAAATCAAAACATTTAATAAATGTCTCAAGATGCCTTAAATTAAGAAAACAAAACATATATTACTTTATTGTTGTATCTTTTCTTCCTTCAAAAAAACGAAAAGAGATTGTAGTCTTTTACTAATCCACTTGAACACTATTAAAAGTTGTAAAAATACATGGAAGATATTAATTTCACAAGTAAGCAATAAATATATGATCAAATACAACATTACATTGCTACTGATTTAGCTCAAGGAATGGATGAAGAAGATGATGACGAAGATAACGAAGACGAAGATGAACAACTAGCTCAGTTAATTAACAAATATACATGAATACTAGAATTTCCCTTCTAAAAATAATTTCTTCTCCTAAAAACTATTTCAAAATAAATCAAAACACTAAACAAATTAATTATACTTTTATTCACTAAATTTCGATTCTTTTCAAAAAAATATTTTATATTAAGAATTAAAAATTTAGCTTACAACTAAATATATTAAATTCTGTTGCATAAATCATTTTTTTCTTTTACAATTTAAATATGTCTTAAATCGTATATCCTATAACTAAAATACATTATAATTGTTGATTCTCTAAATAAAATAACAACTTTATTTTTAAATAAATTTGAATTAAAATTATTAATTTAATATATTAAATGCAAGATACTTTTCTTTAGATTTTAAAGAAAAAATAATTACAGTGACTTTGCATTAATTTTTTTTTTAATCAAATAAATAAATTACATTTTAGTTTTTAATTTTTCAAAAATATATTAAATTTAATTTTTTAAAGAATATAATTCAAGCCTTAAATATATTAGTAAAATAATATGATTTAATTGATAATACAAAAAAAAAATATATATATTTATATTAATATAATAGTATTTCAAGTTAAAAAAAATATTTTAGTTTAGTAAAGTTTATATTATAATATAAATTATCAATCTTGAGTTTAACTATGTTCATGTTCAGATTAATTTTGTTCATCTTTTTTTTCTTCTTCGATTGGTTAAACATTACTTGCATTTAGTTGTGTTATGAGACTTTTTAAGGAATTCTAAGAGGAATTGCTAATATCACTAGCATTTTGAATTGGCTCCACATTTAATAAGTTCAATTAATTAAGCTGATTGTTTTAGGCTTAGGCTAGTTAAAAAGTAGATTCACTGCTACTTCCTTCAAAGTTTATGGTCTAGTTACTAGAGAGGGTTTCTGAATTGGCTTACTGTTATATTTAGGCAATTTATGTATTAGCCTATCCCGAGGAGACTTAAGGAGCTACAATGTTATCTGGCAATTAAGAGCTATTTAGACTTTAAAGGGAATTAAAAGCTTCATTTGATCTTTAAATATCAGTAGATGTCATTTAGGTAATTTGTGCCTAGGCTTGGTGGAAAAACTAGAGTAAAGGTGAAATATTTACCTTTGTTGCATCAAGACCATTAATTTGTTAATTAATATTATTCCAGATTTCAATCAATTCAGAATATTTTTGCTAATTCTCATTGGACTAGTCACCTTGAGCTTATTAGCTTTTCTTACCCTCTTAAGATTAATCTATTTTTTTTTTTTACTTTTACAGATGTTCTTATTTAATTTATTTAATAATTTATTCAAAATTTGGTTGCTCTTCAGCGAGTATTTATTCTCTGTAGGCGCGATTCTAAATTATTTTTTTAAAAATCTATTCTTTAGTCAAGCTAGCCATTGTTTTGCTTATTGAATCGTTAATATTATTATTTATTCATAAATTATTTATTATATTATATTTGTTAGTTAAAATCACTTTAATTTTTTTGTTTTGTAGCTTAATTAATGAATTTTTTTGTTTTAAGTAGAAAAAAAAAGTTTATAATTCCTTTTACTTATTTTTTTACCATCTATATTTAAAAAAAATATATTAATAATTAATTTTATTTATTCTTCTACTTTATTGTTTTATTAATTAATAAATGAAAAATGTCTCTTTTAAAGTATTATAATTGTTAATGCTTATATAAAGTATTAGTTATATAATAAAGATTTTAATATTTAAGTATTATTAAATTTATTAGTTTTTACAATTTTTTATAAAACTTTACATATATAGTAAAAGATTTTATTAAACATAAACGCCATTTTCAATATATTTTTATAATTCATGATTTTTTTGAGAAAATAAATAATGATACAAGTTTAAATTAACATATTTTAATATTGATTTAGTTGCCTTTTATAATACAAATTATTATTAGAGCTAATAGAGACTAACTAACATAAAATTGATTAAATTTTTAATATAGAATAACAATAAAAATTTTTCTTAATAGCTATTTAGATGAATTATTTTTATAATTTAAAATATCTATTTTCTTTCTGTGTTTTAGTTTAATAAATGTAAATTTTTTTGTGTTTTTACACCATTAAATTCTAATATTTAAGTCAAAGAAACATATTTAATTTTTGAGATATTTCAATAACTCAATATCTAATAGAAAAACGATTGCCTTTTAAAAAAAATTTGGTAAACTAGACTTTTTAGGTTTTTTCTGTAAATTGCTTTATGAAGATATACAATATTAATTAATCCTTATTAAATTACATTTTTTAGTATTTTATATTTTTTATTTAAAATATCAAAGTTGCTGAATTATTATTATATTAAATAACATAACAGTATAGATAAGTATTTATACACACATTAAATACAAATAAATCATTCTTATAGTATTTTTCAAACAAATTATTTTTATTGATTAAATAAAATGTGCTTCATTGATAGAATGCATCACTTATATTTTGTTTCCTGTCTTTCTTTTTATTCTATTTTTTAAATGCTTTCATCGATTTTTGATGGTTTATGTGTTTATTTTTTATCTGCAATTATTTGTGTTAAATCTTTATTTTAGGTTAATTTATTTGTGTTTATAATCCATGTTTGATAACTTGCACTATCCTCTCCAGTTATTAGTATACACCCATTTAGCCTTCTTTAATACGTAAATGCTAATTATAAGAGAGAGTAGCCGCTGAGTAGTTAGGAAAATTCAAAAAGATTGCTCAATGAAATTACTTTCTCCAATCGGTTAAACCAAATATCCATTATTGAACTTGATATATTCCATAGTACTTTCTCCAATATATTTTAGATTATGCCACTATATCTTAGCATGAGCTTTACTATGGTAGCTCAGTTAAAAATCTCCATAATAGCTAGTAAATAGGTTTGAGAAGGACTCAAAAAGAGGGTTGCTAAAGTATAATTTCTTTTTGAGTGGAAATCAATAAATTTCCAATAATAATCATAATAATATTAATAAAGCTTTATCATTTTAGAGTATCATGATTTTAGAACAACTTTTATTCAAATAATAGTTGTTATTATAAGCAAAAATCTATATATCTCTTTGAATTTTAAGAATGAATGAGTTTAATCTAAATCTTCAAACTCCCAATCTTCCTCTTCGTCTATAATTTCTTATGATACTTTATTCTTTCTTTAGACTTAAATACTTAAATATTAATTAAAAATCTTAATTTTCTTTAAATTCTTCTTAATTTCTTTCTTTTTTTATATGTTGACTTGCTTTAAAATCATTATCTTTATTACTTAATTTATAAGATTATCTTTGTTAGTTTAGAAAGCTTAGCAACTCAAGTAGAATTTAAGAATTAATTAGAATAATATATTATTACTAAGAAGATAAAAATAATAATTAAGGAAGAAATTTAAAGAAGATAATAAAGAGATCATAAGAGAGAAATTATAGAAAACTCTTTACATAATGAATTAAAAATTAATATATAATTAATTCATGAGATTTTTCTTAATAATTTTTTCTTAAAAATTATATTTCTATTAAGTTTTATTTATTTTTTCCTAATTTATTTTGAATAAAAAATAAAAGAAATGTTTTATCATTCAAAATCTAAAGAAAAATAAAAATATAAGAGAAAAATAAAAGTAAACAAAAGAATTATCAGAATCTAGGAATACAATCTTCTTCTTCTCAAGACTTGAGTCAACGATTTGCAGAATAAAATTTTATAAAAATAATAAATATAAAATTTTATCGAGTGAGTTTTTTTTTTAATTGGATTCGAATCAAAATTAAAAAAAACTATTTGACTCTATTCAACTCTATAGTTTTGAAATTTTATTTTAAATTATTAAATCTAAGATATTTTTCTTTGGATTTTAAAGAAAAAATAATTAAAGTGACTTTACTCTATTTTATATTTTAATCAAATAAATAAACTTATATTTTGGTTTTTAATTTTCAAATATATATTAGATTTAATAGTTAATTGAAAAAAGAAATTCTTAAGGCTTAAATAGCAATAATTAGAAAATGATAATTTTTATGAGATAATTTACAATCGGAGCGTTTATGGGCCAATAGGTAGAGAAAAAAAAATCTACCTATAGCCTGTTCTTCCGCCCTCCAAACATTTCGCCTGGATGGCAATTTTTAAAACACTATATTAAAAAAGAACTTTTTATGGAAAAACAAGATTTTAAATTAATTCAATTTTTAAAAAGCAAAAAATAAGGTACATGCTGTTCTTTCAATTATTACAAAAATAATTTCAAAAAAAAAATGGCAGATAGACAAACGAATAAATCAGTAAATTATTTTCAACAAATTAAATTTTAATTAAATAAATTGTGCAAGATTACAGTTAAATTAAATCCAAAAAAAAAGTAATCTTGTTTGAGAAAAAAAAGTATTAAATAAAATAAAATAATTCAAATTTTGTTTATTTTTTAGATTTATTCTGTATGTATTATTTTTACATGTCACCAATATATTTGTGATAATTAAAAATAAAAAAAATTTAAATCAATTTCTATTATCTGCTTTTAAATTATTCTTGGAGCTTAAAAACAATTTTAAAACATTTTCCTTTTATCATAATTGTTTTTTGAATGAAACAAAATCTAAAAAATTATTCTATTCGCTTTAATAAGCAGCAAATATCTTTTTATTTATGTTATAATTTATCAATCAAAAATAAATATAATATGTAAATTAGAATAAAGAAATTTAATATGATTAAAATAAATCAAGATATTTAACAATTTTAAATAAAATAAATCTAATATGACTAAATAAAATAAATTTAATATGATTAAATAAAATGAATTTAATATTATTAAGTCAAGAAATTTATTATGATTAAATAAAATAAATTTAATATGATTAAGTAATGATTAAGTCAAGAAAATTACTATGATTATTTTAAATAAATAAAGAAATACATATTATTAAGTAAAGAAAATTTAATATGATTGAGTAAAAGAAATTTAATATAATTAAAATAAATAAAGAAATTTAAAATAATTAAAGTAAATAAAGAAATTTAATATAATTAAAAAAAATTAAGAAATTTATTATGAACTTATATCTTATTTAAAAAAAAATTTAAGACTGGTAAAGTGGGCAATTAATTAGTTGTAGGAGTGGTCTTAATTAAAGAATATTTAAGGTTGTAAGACCATTTTTAAATTTATCACCTTGAATTAAATATAATTAATTTCAAATTTCAAATTAGAGTACTTATCTCAAATATAATAAACTAAAATAATCCCAAGTTTTCTAATTTTTTAATGAATTTTCAATTAATAATCGTCAATTTGTTAAGGTCAAAGAGAAGCTAATTTAACTTAATTTTTATCTTAAGTTAAATTTGAATTAATTTTGATATGTTTATCTTTTCAAATACTAATTAGCTTTAAGTTTATTTAAATAAAAGCAAAATTAATTTCAATAGAAATATTAGAATTTTAAGTTTTTTTAAGAAGATTTTTTCTTATTTATTTTCTAACTTGGTTTTATAAGTTAAATAAATTTTTACGAAAGTAGCTAGTTCTTTTCGTAATTTAAAAAATTTGCTTATCATAAAGATAAATAAATTTTATAAACGTGATTAAGTATTACTACTTAATTGCATGACAAATGAATACAGTTTTAGCTAGTATCATTTTTAAAAAATATTAATATATAAGAAATACCTGATTGATTATTATATCTAATCCAAATAAAAAATTAACTTTTAAACTTCAAATTATTAGATAATTTTTTATAGAATAAAAGAATAAGATATAATTAATTTAGTTAAACCTTTGATGAATAATAATATGCAAATCAAAAAAGTAGGAAATTATTATATATTTACTTCTAAGGAAAATATACTTGGCTCAGGAACTCAAGCAACAGTTTATTTAGCGAAAAGATCGACTGATGAGCTCACAGTAGCAGCAAAAATTTTTGATATGACACAAAATTTTTCAGAGAAAGATTAGGAAAGCATAAAAAGATAGCTAGATATTTTATTTACAACAAAGCATCCCTATATATTAGAATGCTATGATTTTATTCAAACTAAGCACAATGTAAATGAGTTATTCACTTAATAATTTATTCAGATTAAGCATTTTTGCAATGTTTTTTGCATTTCTACAAAAAATTCATTTAAAGACTGAATGATTAATTTGATCTTTTACTTATTTTAATAGATTTATTTATTTAGTGAATATTGCAATGGAGGAGATTTGTAATAATATATTGAAAGCCGTCCTTACATATCAGAGGCAGAATGTCTTGATTTGTTTAAGCAAATTGTTTCAGCTTTGCAGGTGCTTGATAAAAATAATATAGCACATAGAGATTTAAAGCCTGCAAATATCTTATTGAATAAAGGTTAAGTAAAAATAGCAGATTTTGGGTATGCTAAGCGTATTTAAACTGGAAATATTAAAAACACTTATGTTGGATCTCCAATATTTATGTCTCCATAAGCTTTAAATGGTGGAAATTACGATTTGAAAAAAGCTGATGTCTGGAGTGCAGGTGTTTGCTTGTATTACATGCTTTTTAAAAAATATCCTTTTGAATCATAAAAGGAGGATTTAGAAGAGTTGAAGTAAGTTGTTTGGCAGGCTTAGCTGACTTTTCCAGAAAATTAAAAGCGTTCGAAATTAGTAAAAGAACTGCTTTTAAAAATGCTCGAAAAAGATGAGGAAAAGCGTTTTGATTGGAATTAAGTAAGATTTTATTAATAAAAATTTGTTTCTTTCTTTATTTGCAGATTTTAAGATATAAATAAATACTGTTTGTTAATAATAGATATTTATAAAAAAATTTCTATTTAACAATACTTTATTATTTATTAATTTTAGTAATTTAAATTTGTATTATATATATATATATATATATATATATATTTATGTTAAAAATTAAAAAAGGTTGCTAATAATGAATGCTTAAATTACAATAGTTCTATAAATTAAAATCCTTTACTCAGGAGCTCAGAGCTGAATTAAGTTTGTGGGATTAGTTCTTATAACTAGAATTTAAAAGACTAGGCTCTCGTTACAGATAAACCTGTAATCCCTACTAATTAGCAAACTATTTAGAAGCACTTTAGTGACTCTGAATTGGATAGTACTTCAAAATAGTTTTCATAGCAAAGAGAAAAATAGAAAGGATTGATTTTAGTTCACAATTTACTAGTTTTCCTCTCTATATTCCCTTAAAAGTATTAAGACATATGGAGACAGATTAAGATTTTTCACGATTAATCAATATTGGATTAGCTAGGAGAAACACCTAAGAAATCTTTGATCTTACTTATGTGCACTCATTTCATATGTTCTAGGATGCAAATGCAGGATTTAATATTAAGATCATAGATAATGATTTAATAACATGTTAATCGTATAAAACCAATTTATACTCCTCTATTACCAGAATATTTTTAACAAGAAAATTATAAAAGTTTTATATAAAATTTGAGAAGCTAGAATCAATTAATAGATTAAATCTCTGTACAGACAAAACCAGAGTTAATAGAAATTTTAAAAAAGATAGGATTTAATTAATCTTTTGAGAACATAGAAAAAAATGTATAAAATATTATTGAATTAGCTATTTTCAATTTGATAGATTACATTGAACCTGTATGTAAGCAAGCTGTCTTGGCTAATAATAAAATTATTTTGAGCTTATTCTCAAATCTACTCACTCTCATGTTCTACTAAGAAAAAATACAAAATAACTAATTTGATTTTGACACTTATGATCAACTAATTTAAAAGCTTGAAAATCTAAACTTTGCTTCGTTAAATGAGCTCTATAAATAAATTTGTGAATATTAAAAACATTTCAAATAGTAGAACGAAGAAGATGACGATGATGATAAATGATTTAATTCATAATAAAAAAATTATTTTACAATCATAAAATGTTTTTATAAATTTATTTTTTAATTTATTGCTTTTTTTTAAGTTTAATTTTAAAAACTAAAAATTTGTCTTTTTAAAATTATTAAATATTCATTTTTAATATTTAATTTAGCAGAAATTTAAATATTCAAAATATCGTTGAAATTTAACTTAATTTTATTTAAAAATTGTAATTTCTTTAGATATTTAACCATTTTTTAAAAATATTGAAGATCGATTTTCAAATAAAAGTATCTATAAATTTAAAAATTGTAATTAAATTAATTTTAATTTAAAAGAAAATGCTTTTAAATTTAATTTCGCTTCAGTTTCAGCAAGCAATAAACAAACAAACAAAAAAGAAAGCAATCAAGTTAAAATATTATTTTTTAAAAATAATTAAGGATTTGCTATTTATTTTTGTAATTTAATTCATAAATTTAAAAGCAAATGTATTTAGGTAAAGTAAATACTAAATTCAATTTCATTAGGAAATAATTGTATTTAAGAAATCAAAAAAATTATAAACAGTTTATGAATCAATCAATGAATAATATTGTTAATAAAAAATTAAGACCTTGTTTAATTTCATAATTAATTTGAAGGAAAGGGATATTGACAACAAATAAAAATTAGTCAAATAACTAGAAATATTAGAAATTATATAAAGATAAATAATTAATCAATCATTCATATATAATTAAGTAAGTAGAGGCTAAAGAAATTAAAATAGCTTACCATAACATAATATAATATATTATTTATTTGAATTAACATTTTATTCTTTGTGATGGACACGCATGTCATAGATTGTATTCTAAAGCAAAATAATGCGTTTCAGCCAAATTTCAGTAAAAATACTTTAGCTTGCTTATTTATTTATTCGTTCTTTTTTAGAAAAAGCATTTCAACAATTTAATATTTCAAAGCATTATAAAAATGAGTGCTTTTGATGGTATTATCTTCAATTTAAATATTGTTTTAAGCATTTTTATTAAATTTATAAACTTATTTTTAGATGCCAGAGAAGCACAGGAATCGAGCTCAGAAATAAATGAAAGTTTAGAAAGCGATTAAGAAGCATACAGTAAAAATTATTTGTCAGTTGATAATCTAAGATTTATAAAACTTAAGAAATAAAAATTTGATAAAATTAAGTTAAATGATTAATAAAAATAGGTGTAAATGTTACTAAAATAAATACTCTAAGTTCTTCCATAGATTTCTCTTTATAGTCATCTTATAATTGTAAGATTATTTTAAAAAGAAATCAAAATATTTGGCATAATCAAAATATTTAGAAACAAACAGATTAGATAATTAAATATAATTCGAAGAATTTGAGCTTGATGAATCCTTGAGCAATGAAATTTCTGATATTTTTACAAGCAACAACAGCTAAATTAGTTAGAAAAATAAAGTGAAATAAGCTAGTATAGCTCCTGCAGGAGGAGTTATCTTGATTGAAGAATAAAATTAAATTATAGAAGATTAATATAAAGATACTCAAAATACCAAACAGAATTCAGTATAAGTTAATCAAAAGCAATTTATGAAAAAGAGCAGTATTTAAGATGGAGTTCAAGAATAAGATAAGGAAGGTATAAAAGTTGATCCTGCTATTGAGAATATTCAGCTTAAAAAGGAAATAGAGAGTTTAAACTTCACTTTAAAACAATAAGAAAAAGAGAATTTCTACCTTCATCAAAATATTAAAACTCTGGTAATATAAACGATATTTTAGAAAATTTAGTATAAATCCGTTAATAAAAAATGCTTGATTTTTGAATTAAATATTTAATCGAAGAACTTTTTATGGATATTGCATTCTTATTTGAAGCTTAAGCTCATTTGTTGATTTTAAATCTTTAAAATTTAATGATTATTTATTTTTAAGTCATTTAGAGCCCTATAAATTAAAACAATAAATAAATTATCTATTTAAACAAATTTCTTTTGCTAATTTAAGTTATTCATATCAAAAAATTTGATTTTTAATTTAATTTATTTAATTTTAATGTTTAACAGAAAGAAGAATTGTATGGACAAAAGTTAAATGCACAAAAGAAACCAGCTTATGAAGATTAAAATCATTTTTTTTAAATTAATTCAAATCCAATTAAAAATTAGAATTCATTCAATAAAGCCAATGAAAATTCTTCCTTGAAAAATTCTGCTGAAAAAAAATAATTAAATTTACAATAAAAACACGATCAAGAAGCTGCTTCTTCCACATAAATTAATATGTTAAATGAGTAAATGCATGTACTTCGAAACGAGGTAAATATTAATTTTTTAAATAAAAACTTATTTATTCGTTACTATAAAGATGAGTACAATGAAAGAAATGTATCTTGCTAAGCTCAAAGAGTAGACATTTTTAGTCGAGACCTTAACTAAAAAGCTTGGTGAAAAAGGTATCTATCTATCTATCAATCAAAAATTAATATTTAGCAATTTCAATAATTTTCAATAAATAAAATCTATGATAATTGATGGGATTTCGATTAAAAACTTTTTAGACATTTTTTAATTAAAATATTTTAAGCTTTTAAAGGAAATTTAATTAAAACTTGAATAAATAGGATTGTTGCTGATATAAAACAAATTCATTTATCAAAAAACTGGTTAATCTTTTAATTTAAATAATTTTTACTAACTAAAGTAAATGAGTAATCATTTTGTTGTTTGTTGATGAAAAAAACAAAATTAAATTAATTTTTATCTTGAGTTAACCTAAATATTATTCAGAATTAATCAAATTTTAATGGATAAAATATATTTCGAGCAACATAAAATTTTTTTTTAATTAAATTGAGAATTAATTTTATTTGTTTATTTTATCAAAAAATTAATTTTAATAGATTATTTATTAATAATATAGATGAATTCATACAAAAAATGAAAAATAGCTACATTAATAGCCTAAATTAATCTAAGAATTCATAACTAATTTAGTCATAGATTTATTAGAATTCAGCAAATTAATAGCAGTAAAGTTCTCATTTATTGCAAGAAAGTTGCATTTCGGAATTAAATAAACCAATGTCTATACAACAAAGCATAATATCTCAATAACACTGCTTGTAGTAATAGCAGTAAGGATAATTGTAACAACACTTCAATAATACTTTTGATTAGGTGAAGCTTTCACAAGAATTTGAGCAATTAAGAAGAGATATTAAGTTTTCAACGATTGGAAATATAAGTCCTTTTTTGAGAGATGAAAAAGTGGGAGGATTAAGAGAAGATCTTTTAAGCACAACTTCTAATCTATAGCAAGGACCGAATAGCAGCTCAAATAATAGCAATTATTGTAATTAAAGCACTAATAATTATAGCAAAAATCAGATTTAATAATAATCTCCTTTCAACTAAAGCAAGTACCACAATCTTTCTCACATATCTAACTTATCTAACAGAGGGTATTCAAATGAGTTTAATCCTAATAACAGCATTAACGGAAATATTGCCTAGCATAATTCATCATAGATCCAATAGTAAAACTAAGGAAGCAGCAGTAACATTACGGTTGTAAACCAAACAGGAATGAACTGTAATAATAGCACAACTACTCACATGACATCTACTTCGATTAATTCTAACAATGTAAATATGAACAGTAATATAAACAACAGTCATCCTGGTAGAAACAAAGGAGATCTATTAAATTAAAAGAGAAATTCATCATTCACTAACTCCTCAGCTAATGCATCAAACAATTTGAATTAGTCTTTATTACATTAAACACAAAATACAAACAATCAGAATGCAAACAATTCAATACTACAATTTACACCTGTATCAAATAAACATTTAAATTAATCCAATTCAGGCAGTTAATAAAATAATCCTACAATGGCATCTCAAAATACTCAGACTTAAATGTAGTAAACTTCAAAGTAGCAATAAATTACTTTAGATTTTAGATTGACTTTCAATTAAAATGAATTATTCAATGCAGCTTAGACTTAATAATAGTAATTTGCTATTTTATCATCTCAAGATACATAAAATACTTCAAATCATCATAACATTGATCCTTACATTCAAGATGTTGAGGATTCAAATTAATCACACCACTTTGCAAATAGGTAAACTCAGTTAGCTTCTCAAATCTGCTCTCAATAAAAATAAAATCCTTAATTACTTTAAAATAACAGTAATCATTAAAGAAACTCACTTTAAAATAATGATAATTTACTATCTATTTTAATAGATCCTGAAAACCAAACAAACGATTAGAAACCCAAAGCAAATTCCAATGAAGTATACATTTATAATGCAAATTACCCCAAACACATTATTGAGGCAGATAATAAATCAAGGGATAATAATAATTTAAGCAATTGCAGCAATAACTTTCCTCTATCAACAAAAGTTTAAAACACAAATAATAGTCTTGCCAACAAGAGCCTGAAAGAATAACTAATGAACCAACAAATTCTTTAATAAAAGAAACAATAAATTTTGTAAAATTAGCAGTAATAAACTTATTAAAATTTAATTGTAAAGAGCAATAATCAAGATCTGCTAAAGAACCTAAAGAAATAATCTGGTACAAATTAAAATTAAAACCAACAACACTCGCAATAAAATCAAAGTTCACCAAAAAAACAATAATCGAGATCTTATCACATATCTTCAAATTAGAATTAAAATTCAAGCAATAGTAAAGCTCAATAAAATTGTTTATAATAATAAATATAAAATGCAGCAAATCCATAGATTTAATATTAAGAGTATATCCCTAAACTTAATAATAATTATAATTAAATGAACAGTCAAAATTCCACTAAAAATCGTAAACAAAACAGCACTATAGTTTAAGGGTTAAATTCTTGTGTTAGTAATCTATAAGATAACACTATTCCTAGCAGTACAATGAGTTAAAATAGCAATTTTTCCAATAATTTACCTATTTTTAGAAGTATTAATAACGATTAATAGAATCATAACTCAAGCTGCAACAGTAATTAGAATGGTTATAACCCAAATAACAACAGTTTTAAATTCCTTAATGGTAAAAACAATATTAATAATAATATCACATCATAAAACAACTCTTCTACAACCTCAAATAATGTAAATTAATCTTAAGTAGAAAAGAAGAGATTCTTACAAACTACATAGATATCTTCTTCCCATAATAATCAACCTGCATCTAATAAATTTTCTATGATTGCAAGTCCAGGTAAATATAGTAACAGTAATTCTGAATAAAAGTAGCTATTTTTAAGAACTTAATAAATTTATCCTACATCTTCAAGTAATAACAACAATAATAACAATACTAGTAGCAGCTAGCAAAGGTAGAAAAGTTTAGCAATTCCCTCTTAGTTGAGTGTTAATCATACTAATTAATCTTAGCAAAGTTCTTTAAAAGTACCAATGAGTGCAGGAGGAGCTAGAAAAAATAATTCTCTAAGCATAAATAGCTAAAATACTTGCAATAATACTAACCTAATACCCACAAACTTCAATGCAACTACTGCTCATAGCACAACATCCTCTCATAGTAGTGCATATTAAAAAGGACTTTAAGATTTGTTTAAATTTAACTAAAATGATAAGTAAAAAAAGTTAAATGACTTCTTTAGCAAGACTCTCTAAGTGAGACCTGGTGAGCTGAAAAGCTTAAATGAGAATCTTGGAAGCTATTCAAATTCTAAAAATGCAGCTAAACTTGTTTAGCAAATGGAATTCTCTTCTTTGGATGATGTTGAGATTTAGCTGGATGATTTGTAAATATTGAGCAATTAAATAAAAGAGGTGTTGCAAAACGATCCACTCAAAAAAAATACAGAAGAAAGAATTCAAAAAGGTAATTAATTAAATAATGGTCTGCGTCAAAGTGGTGGTTTAAATTCTTAAACTCAGCAGTAACAACAGTAATTACAAAACAACAACAACAACAATAGAAGTTAATCTGAAAATCATAACTACTAAAATCTATAGCAATAATTTTAATTGCATCAATAGTTAAATAACTGCCTAAATTCTTAAATAGTTAACGCCTAATCATAATATACAACAAATCCAAATAAAAAGATACCAGTTAAATCTCATGAGTATACCTAAAATATACAAAATTGTCCTGAAGATCAATAAGGTTAATTATAGCTAAATAATTATGTTGCATCAAATACTACAAACCAGAGAGTAAGACCTCCAAAAAATAACAATTTTATTTTCAACGAAAATAATAAATCTATACCATATCCAATTGCATAAAATCCAAGTGGAGCCTCAACTACCTCTTCAGCTACTTAGCACTCTAGAAATTTCAGTGCTAATAATGTTAACAATAACAATAATAATAGCAATTTGAAAAACTCTAACTATAAAATCCATAGGAAGCATCTAACCCTTTTAAACACTGATGATATAAGCTCTAAAAACTAAGGAAATTACGCTTAAAGTGAAATTAGCACATAAAAAGCTGCTTTTAGTGATATTCATAATTTCCATAATAATAACCAAAATCAGTATCACTAGCTATATTGATTCATTCGTTTGATCGATAAGTTGTTTATAATTTTTAAATAAAAATATCTTAACATTAAACCACAAACAAATTTTAAGCATAGATCTATCTATCTAAAAAAATCTATGAATCTCTTAATTTTCTAAGTCTTTTTAAAATAATTACAAACTGATTTTAGTATTTACTGATATATTTTTCTAAATAATATTCACACAAATAATAAAGAAGAATAATTTGATTAAATTAACTCTATTCTATTTAAAAACTTTATTATAAAATATAATTAACAAACAAACAAATAAACATATATACTTATGTAAGTAGTTTATAAAAATAAATATCTAAATTTTATTGTAAATTTCTGTCTGTCTGGTTATTATGTATATATATAATATATTAAAAATTATTATGAATTTTATACTTTAGTTCTTTAGTTAATTAAATCTAAGTTATTACTATGCATACTTATTCGAATTTTATTTACCTATCCTCTTCATATTTACTTATTTTTACTCAATAAAAACTATTTTTAAAGATTGATTACCTTATTTAGTTATCCCTAAAGTTATTTGAAACACAAATCTGCACATAAAATATAATTATAATTACCAAAATTTAAATAAATATCTCTCAATCAACAGAAGCCAATATAGATAACTAAGAAAATTTACTTATAAAAAAAGTAGCTAATCATTTAAATAAAAGAGATCATTTGTATAATTCAAAATAATTTTAAAAAGTAAAAACATTGTTAAAAGTTTTATATTTAGATTGCAGTAAACTATAATCATTACATTCTTTTATTTTATATTTATTAGATAAATAAATGATTTTATTTAAGATAGAAAACAACAATTATTCGTATTTAATTTTTTAAAAGCATTTTTAACTACTTAAATTAGTTTATATAAAACTTAGTTTTATTTATTAAATAAATAAATGATTTTATTTTAGTAAGAAAACAGCTTTTTATTCGAGTTATTATTTAATTCAATTATAAAAATTTAATATAAACAGAATACTTAAAACAAATTTTGAGATTTTAATTGGATTGAAAAAGAAGTTTTAAATTGGGTGAGAAAATAAATAAATAAATTACTATAACTTGAAAAAAATAGAACCTCAAAAAGGCAATAACTTATTTAGGTAATTAATACTAAATTATTACTTTAAACTATTGATAACTCTATGATAGATAAATAAATATACAATTCATAAATAAAAAATTCAGGATTTTTTTAATTAGAATCCTCTTACAATAAATTGATTTTATTTTTTATATGGAATACTAACATTTAAATTATTATTTTTTTAATCTTCTAAGCTTTTTTCATGAGTAAACTTAGAACTTTAAGGTCTACCTTTTTTGCAAATATTATTACCAATGAAAAGGTTCCTTCGGGACGTAAAAGTTTGGATAGATTTTTCTTCTTCTTATTAGAATTCTTGTTCTTTGCTATTTAATTCCTAAGAATAGTTATTGTTCATCTAACTATTTGTGAGTAAGTGATTTTCACTAACTTGAATTTAATTAGCATGCTGATTTATTAAGAAAGGTAAACTTGTCAAATCTTTGCTACTTAAGTAGTTTTATTTGTCATTGTCTTATAGCAAGAAATTGAGTGACTATTCTAATTATTATTTTTCTGTTTTGATCTTTTTTTAAGTTTCGATTTTTTGTTAAATTAATATGTTTTAAAGAGGAGTTTATTAACGCTTGAAACTATTACTAATATAAAGCATTTTAGTTTAATTTAGTTATGGGTGAGAGTTCAATCCGAGCATTTAAGGAGATGATTAAGAACATAAAGAATTTTCATAATAATTTAATGGCGATTAAGAATTTCTTGAAATATTTAGTTTAGGAGAGGATTAAATTCTTTACTGAGCTAAGGAATTGCCCTGCTATTGCTACTAGAATTTTTGGTTTAGACTTCTAGAGTGAATTGCAAAGAATGAATCCTTTTTATTTAGATTCTGATGCTGCTAATTATTCTATTTATTGGAGCTTTAATCTGAGGCTTGAAATTATTACTATTAAAAATTATTTAATTCTACTTTTTATTTTTTTGAATTTGAATTTTCTTGCTGATGGAAGAAAACATTTGTTAGAGGGCTAGGCTCTGATAAAATAGGGCTTTGTAGTGGAGAGATTGTATTTTTATAACTTGTCTTAGGTGATGATGGAGAAACTGGGTATTTTATATTTACTTTTTAGTAGTGCTCGTTAGAATAAAGATAATTGTTATAAGGCTCTCTTTATTTCATGAAAGCTTTAAAATCAGGAACAAAATCTAATTCCTAGCTAGGTGAATCATATTTTTTTTAAATATTTTCTTTAGTAAGTTTAAATACTTTGACATGAACAGCATTCATCTTGCAGTTAAATTACTTACAAATCTTAAATAAGAAGTCTTTTTAAATGAAAGCTGTAATTTTTAAATCTTCTACTTTTTATATTTGCTTTTAATATCTAAGAAATTAAAATTTGCTTTTGCTAAATTTTATCAATCTTTACTTGGTTAAAACCAACTTTACAAGCTTATTATGTTAATTAATATTATCAACATAAAATTTCTTCCAAGTGAAAAATGCTATTATCAATGTTGAATAAATTTTAATGGATAAACGATTTATATACTTTTTACTTTTGCATTAAAGATAAATAAAACCAAAAGTCTTAATGTATTAAGGACAAGTTAAATTAAAAACAAAAACTTCATCTGAGTATAATTTATTTAAGCTTGTGCCAAATTACCTGCAATTAATTTCTTAAAAAATATATTTTACTTATAATTTTTCATCTTAAATCCATAGAATAATTTATAATATATTCAATAAAATTAGAAATATAATAATTAATTTGTTAATAATATAAATGATAAAGAAGATTGCTATGTGTTGCTTTTTAATTTTAAAAGTATTAATACCAAAAATAATTTTGCGTTAAGCTACGATTTTTTAAATAATATAATGAGTAGAGAAGATTGAATAACTATTAAAACATTCACCCTTCAACGAAGTAATTGGATGGATATTAAGTAAGTATAAGTAATAGCAAATAGTGATAGTATTAAATTTTTTAAATTATTAGAAAATATCTCCTGAAATTAATTGAGCAAGTATTGTTAAAAGCATTAGAGAGATAATTTAAGATAATAAAAAATACTGATTTATTTTTAGAAACCAGCATAGTGGAATAATTTAAAACAAGTTTAGGCCAAATCTCTTAATTATAACAAAAGTAAAGCTAATAAAAATGATTAAGTGCAGCTATCATGATCAAAACGAAGGCAATTACGTATGTTTCAGTGCTCTCTGCAAAGATAGGTTCAAGACTTTGTGTCTTCAATGCATAGGATAAGATATGCATAAAATTCATCAATACTGTTAGTTGAAGGAGCTATTCGAGAAAATTAATGCATAGAAGATTCTTAAAAAAATGAAAAATGAGGAGATTTTGTAGGAGATTACTAATGCAGGTAATAACATTTGTGATAGGATTTAAGAAGAGATAAACAAATTGCTAGAATTAAAATAATAGCTTTAAAAAAGCATTTAATTGATAGTCAGTCATTTCACTGTGCATTTAGATTTAGATACAGGGATGGAGCATGATGATCCCGCTTCAAAATGTACTAATAATGAAGAAGTTGAGACATACCTTTAAAGCATCATTGATTTTCAAAGCTATTCTTTAGATTTTTAAATAGACTCCAAACAAAATTTTTTAGGAGTTTAGTTAAATAGCATAAAAAATTTATTCTCTTCAGAAAGGTTTCAGTTCTACAAGTATCCACTTGAAAATTTAAAAGAAAGGATTTCCGAAGTTAGAAAATATTGCAATTAAATAAATCAATCCCAGAGCGAATTTGAGATAAGCCTGAGAAAAAAGTCTGCAGCTGCCAAGTGTTCATCAAGTACTTGCATAAATTCTAAAGACGCCAGTAATTGTAATGGCCATAAATCACACGAGAAGAGTTAAAATAACTCTGGTAAAAAACTAAATCAGTTAAATAGTACTGATCAGAATCTATACAATAATAAAACAAGGAAGATGAGCATGCTTTTAAAAGATTCTTTATTTAAAAATGGTCACTTACAGAATTCGACTTGTAAAGAAGCAATTCTAAAAGTGTATGATAATCTTAATTTTTAAGTATTGCTTGAGGATTTTATGAAGGAGCTAGAGTCAAATTCTTTGGAATAAGTAAAATTACTTGTATTCTAAGATAAATAGACAATTTCAAGCTAGGATATCAATAAAATCTTGAAAAAAATACAACTAAGAAGCCAAAATTTGATTGCTTTCAAACTCTAAGCTAATACAAAAGTGCTCAAAATGTTTGATAATGAGAAGATTTCAAACTGGCTCAATAAAAACTATTAAAAAACCTTGCAAGCTTTTGATTTAAGTCTTGTCTTTACCAAAGTTAATGAATATGAAAACTACTTGAATATTTTATAATAATTAAATCTTTAAAACCTTTAAGAAATTCACTTAAATTATATTCTAAGCTCAATTCCAAAATATGAAAGCTTATTTTAGAAGCACCATAATTTAACAAATATAAACTTAGATATATTATACTCTCTTCCTTCACAAGTTGAAGAGTTTTTCGAAGCATTCTTTTACAATTAAATAAAATCGCTAAAAATAACTTCACTTTATCTTAACTTCAATATAAAAAATGGATAGAAAGGAATCGAATATCTCTCTTCATTTTCTCTTGACTGTTCTTTTCTATAATACCTTAGTCATTTCCTAAGTTTATAGAAAGATACTTTAAAGGTATTCCAAATCTCAGAAAACGTGAGATTCAACTCCTCCTTACCCCTCGAGTCTTCGGTTTTTGTTGATCAATTAAATATTCCTCAATTGAAAAGTCTGAGAGTTTCTTTTAACTTGATTGGGGAAGAAGATGCAAAGAGTCTTCTGTAATAAATTGAAAAAAATTTTCCATAAATTTAAGAATGTCATTTATTCTAAGAGTTTGATTAATTATTTTAAAGTTCAATTTCAAAAAAGATGCTTAGCTATTAAAAAAATAAAATGATTCAAGTATTAGCGATATTAAAATGGAAGCTAATTCATTATCCAACAGAAATAATAATAGACATATTAAATATTGTCTATAACTAATAAAAAATATTTGAATTGGATAACAATTTGAATTAAGTAGGTGTTATTTCAGGAAAGCAACAAAATACTAATTATGCAAGTTAGAATGAATGAAATAGATTCTGACTTAATTTTTTGAAATAAATATTTTTAATTTCAAATAAAATTTGGTAAATTATTTTATTCTTACTTATAAACATAAATTAAGGAATTATAATTGCATCTTAGGTTTTTCATTTATTTTTTTTGTAAAATGTAATGAATAAATTAAGTAAATTAGAAAGTTTATCATTTTAAAAAATAGTTGATTAGATAATTTAGAATATTTTATGAATTCGTCTATCACATTTTTATTTACTTCTTTTGTTTTTTTCCTTTAAACAGTGTTTATTTAATTATTTTTTTTAACATAGAAGGAGTTTATATTTTTTTGATAATAAGTGTTTTAATTTTTTGATAAAGAAGCAAATTGTTTGTTTTTGATAAAGAAAGGTTTTCCTTTTTGATAAAAAAAATTATTTATTTGTTATTTTTAAATGTGACAAAATCTTTAAATTTTTTGCTTTCATTTTGATTTAATGAAATTGAAATAGAATCTTAAAAACCTTTATTTATTTAGCAAACAGATCAATTTCAATCCAAATATTTTTAAAATCATCTCGAAAAAGTATTACCAATAAATATTAAGATTGAAAATCCTATTTTTTTTATAAAATAGATTTATTTTTTTAATATGAAAGCTATTAATTTCTACAAACACATTCAAACAGATATTAATTATGTATTTTTAAATCGAATTATATCTCAAAAAAAGGAGGGTAAATTAAATTTTTTGAGATATCAAGTTTATAAATAAAAAACAAATCAAATTGCTCTGAAAAAAAACTCTCGCAGACTAAAGGCAAAGCCCTTAACTATACTTCTAAAATTATTTGTTAAATATTAGAATAAGAATTATATACAAAAATTATTTCGGTATTTTCAGCAGAAGCTATTCTTTAAATTTAAAACTACCTACTTTTGCTTTTGAGTAGCATTTGTATTAAAATCAAACAAAAAAACAATAGGTTTTTGATGAAACAATTATAATTTCTGAAAATATCCTTTTTAATGCTATTTGCAAGAATTTAAAATCAGCATTCCTTACAAAAAAAAAGATAACAAGATACTTCATTCAGATTGTTAAAAAAATAGGGAAAAAATTTTTGATAAACAAATGAATAGAAGTCAATACTTTATCTTTTTATTAAGAGATTTAATGCAAAATTAATACTAAATCGATTGATATAATGAAGAGAAGAAAAGTGAGAAGATAAGAGTTGTCTAATAAATATTTAATGAGCTCTTAATGAGAGAAAAAAATTAATAAAATTAATCAATAAACAAAAAGTAAAAAAATATAATATTTCTCAAGGGAAGAAAGCAAGAGAAAGCAAAGCATCTTACTTAATACATTAAAGCAAAACGAAGCAATAATCAATTAAAAAACATTAAGAAATAATAAATAATAAAATTTGTATAGGATTAATCCCGCATAAAATATTATAAAAAGAGGAAGCAAAAAATAAATAAATAAACAAGCAAAAAACAAAATAAAGCAATAAAGTAAAGAAAGAAAGAATCTTATCAAATACAACAAAAAGCTAGTCTCCTAATAAATATTTATATATATATATATATTATAGTAAGATTAACAAAGTTTGCTTGCAACTAAAGAAAAAGGATATAAATAGAGAAAATTAATTAAGCATTCCTTTAAGCGAAGAAATTTAGAATAAACCTCTAGTAGCCAGCCAGCCATATTTATACTAAAAGAATATCATATTTTTGAACCAAAGATCATTTAGAGATATGCAAACCAACTATTTCGTATATTAAAAATAGGAAGATGATTAACCTGAAAATCTTCCATTGCTTCCTTTGCAATCCAAATTTTCAGTCACTAGTCAAATGAATCCCGTAAAGGGTCTTGAAATGAAGAGATTGATTTCTGTTAATCAAGACGGTGCTGCCGAACCTTACATAGACTTGGGAAATTAAACCTATATTAGCAACTATTTCAATAATGGTCTTACTAACTAATCTTCATTTGTTCTTGATTTCAATAACTAACAAAGCTACCTCCCAAATTATAACAATCAAACTAGCATGATAAATGATATGCTTCTCTAAAATAACTAGAGTTTCATGGATAGTGGCATTTAAGGCCAGCTTAACAACGCTATCCAATAAAATTAAAGTAAATATCTTGTTTACTCTTTTAACTTTTTGATATTCAAATATCTATTGCCACCAAAATTTTACTCAATCATAAATTCGTTTTAGCTTTACAAAAAAGTTTAAAAGCCATGCTTTTTTATCGATTTGTCTTGATTAATACAATAAAGTTTGTAAGTAGAGTTCATTAATGAATTAATTTTGAGTTTAGCAAATGATTTTTTTAGGAAACAAATCTTCTATTACTTATTTATATCTTTATTTAAATTTAATACAATTAGGATAAAACCAGAACTACTATCCCTAATAGCAATCATAAAACTTCTTTGTGAACACAAATGTAGGAGGAGGAAACAATCATTAAAATTCAAACAATTTAAATCAACAAGTACTCTCTAACCAATAGAACTAAAATACAAATCTCATCTTTAAGAATCCTGAGTAATTCAGCAACTATGTTCAACCAAGCAACGGCAACAATAATTTGAAATTCTAAAATTAGAATATCATTAGTAATGGATCAAATAATAACAATAACATTAATTAATATAGCAATAACCAGATGAGCAATTACAACTTCTAAGGTTAACTATAAAATAAGCAACTTTAATAGCATGGAAATGTATATCAGGAAATTCAAGAAAAGAAAGAAGAAATAGAACAAGATGGTCAAAACATCGGATACGATCAATTCCAAGTTCCTAAAGCATACTATTAATAGCATTTATAAGCACCAAACTAAAATCTTATTAACTTCCACATATAATAAAACCATTAAGATTATATAGATAGAAATGAGGCAGAGTACATTCCTGAGCATAAATCTCACCACGGTGATGATGATGAATCTAGAAATTTTTCATAAAATAACAATGAAAATGAAGAAAGATATTAGGACGATGAAGATGACTATCGTGATAATATGGACAGTCATACCCGTCACAAAACAGAATGGCCTTCTCGTCCTAAAGGATAAACTAAATATCAATAATGCCGTCACAGAAATATATTCAAAAATTTTGGTAATATCTTCCGTAAATTTGTCAATTTCCACAATCACTTTACTGAGAAGGCTCTTTCTAATCTTGATAATAACCAAGAATCTCTTAAGGCTTTCCAACGTTGGCTCAAAAAAGAAATTCGTCTTGAAAATAAAAAAGATTTCATTGAAGGATGGACTATTTGGAAAGACGAAGATCTCTAAATAAGGTAATTCAAAATCATCCTTAAAGAGCTCTCTAGAGATTTCTTCTAAGACTACATCTTAATTTACTTACTCAATAGTAAACTTTAAGATTTGGAAATCCACTTGAGATCAATTGGTCCCTGTCTTGCTGCTATTAACTAGCCCAGTATTCTTTACAAGTTTAGACCTATATGATCTAAAAGTGATATGACTCTATCAATCTTCCTAATTATTGATTTATTAATCAATATTTATCTATCTAATTGAAATTAAGCGTATGTAAATTAATTTTAAATTTAAGAATATATACAGTTATCATATGTATCATAGATCAATCTATCAATATATTAAAGAGTTGTACAAAAAATGAAATAAATCGCCAATTTAACTACTTATAAAGATCTAATTCATTTCCATTTTATTTATAAGCCTTTGAAAGTATATATGTATGTATATCTCTCTAATATATAAGCTAATCAAAAGAAATACTTCTTCTGAACTGCTTTAGTATTTAGTTTATTAATGAAGAAAAAAAATTTTATTTTATTTAATTTTAATTATTTACAAAATATAGTACAAATTTTTGTTTTTTAAAAATTTATTGAAAATTTAGAATCATCAAAAAAAAAATAATTATTCGGTATTCATTAAAAAAGTGATATTCCGTCTGACCCTAGTAAAAACTTACAAAAATACAAATAATATTTAAAATTAAAACAATAAATTCTAGAATAATTATTTAGGTATTAATTTTGTTTTTCACTTTTTTTTGCTTATAATATTATACTACTTTTTGATAAAACTTTAACATATATTCAATCTAATAATTATTTCTTAATTATTTTAAGCAAATATTCTTTCATAGCTTTTAGTAAATTTTAGCTTAAGATTGTTTTAAGGGATTTTTAATATCTTTTCAATTACAACATTTTTCACAAAGATCATACTGACATAAAGAGCAGTGCCATGTATATTCTAAATCAACTTTTTGACAATTATCACAGCCAGCTCCATATATGTATTTTCTTTAACTACTATTAGTAAACAAAAGCTCATGGCAATGCTAAGGGAATTTTTTGAATTTTTCACTGCAACTTAAGCAAATATCATTATTACATTCAGAGCAGTACCAGGCATATTTTATAATTCTTTAATTGCAAATATTACATGAATTAATTCCTTAATTTCTTTATGAACTATCAGTTAATTTTAATTAATGAATATCTAAAGGAAAATTTCTCATGATGTTATTCATAAAAATATTTTTGTTTACGATATTTTATTCAGTTCTTTGAAAAAAAATTTAATCTTTTTCACTGCATGTTTAACACATATCATATTTACATTAATTGCAATGCCATGATACATTTATATGATTATCATCACAAATATCACACTATGTATATCCTTTATACTTTCTTTAAGGTATGGTTGTCAGTTTAAGTTCATGCATATGTTAAGGAAATTTATTTTTTGAACTACAAATCTAGCAAATATCATATTTACATTACTAGCAATGCCATGAAAATAAAATGTCTTTCTTTCCACAAGCACTGCAAAATGCAGCACTTTTATTATTTCCTTAGCAAACACTTGTTAATATTAGAGGGTGATCATGTAAATTAAATTTTATACTTTCGCTTTTAAAATAATAATCTATATTATTTATTAGGGCTATTCCTTCATTTTAATATTCCTCTTTCAAATTATTAAAGCTTTTTTAATTGCTATCACATATTCTTTAAAGATCGTTTAAACTTTAGAGTAAATTATTATTTTCATTTTTTAAAATATTTAATTCTTATTTGTACTCTTCTATAAGTTAAGTTGATATTTGTGAACTCAATTCTATTGTGTCTTATGGGCTTTAAGTTTCAGTATTATTTAAAGTGATTTGTTCTTAAAGATATTTGATTTCAAAAGGGTTTTTAAAAATAAAAGCTAATTATTTATTTATTTAATTTAATGTATCTATACTAAGTTCTTATTTTTTATGAAACTCCCTTAGATCTTAAAACAAATTTTCTACTTAATTGTTTTCATTCTAACTTTTGATAAATTTTTGCAATTTTTCAGAAACATTTTATTATTGAGATTTTTGATCTAACTCTTCTTTAAGAAGATTAGTTAGCTATTCGAATTGTGCAGCTTATTTATAACCTAAATAAAATTTCTACAAAATATTATCAACTCTAAAATTTAAAAATCTTTTTTCCAGATTTTCTACTTCGTAATCAAATGTGGATCTAAGTTTTTTAAACATTTCAGAGATTCTGGATAATTATTCTTAAGATTCTAAATCTTAGACTATTTAAAGAATTTCATCTTAATCATTATCAGTTTTCGTAAGAGGCCAATAAGGAAGAATAACATTATCATGATTTAAGATTTAATTTATATCAAATATGTGGAATTTACCTTCTATCTTATTTAAGCATAAGCTGCAAATTAATTTGCAATCATTCATTTCAGAGTTTATTTTGAGAAAACTCACATTTTAATTCTTGTGCTTAAAGCATTTCTTTTAAATTACTTATGAATATGCTATTTCCATGTTTTACTTTTTAATTCACTTTTTTAATCAAGTAATTTGTTTATTTATAATTTCGATATTAGCTATCCTTGTATTTATTTTTAAAGAAGACTAAATAATAAACCTAAAATTAAGCAATATTAAAATAATTGAATTGAATTATTGAGAAGATATCTTCTATTTTTCATAAATTTTATTAAAGATCCAAAATCTCCATCGCTGATTCACAAAATAGATACTTTCTACTAATTAAAATAAGATCTAAAGATTTTGTAATGGTTTTGTACAAAATAAAATACTTTTAATTACTTATTCACGTGTTTATTTATAATATACTTATCTAATTAATTAAATTTTTAATCTTAAGCTTAATTTAAACAAGAGCATTATTTTATTTTTTAAAATTTGCATAAAATGTATTTTTAAAACATTAATTATAATTTAAAAATAATATTTTTTTTTGTTCTGGCACTTCTAATAAATAAATTACAAAGTATAAGAATATGATGACTAATATTTTTCTTAATTTACTAATTTAAAATTTTTTTGATTTTTAAAATGAAATTTAATTCTTACATAATAACTCAAATTGAATAATTCTTAATTTGAATAAAATATGATAAATTTTATTTTTTTAAGTTTAAAATTTTATTTATTGCTTTATTTCGATAATAATATTTAATAAAAATATTAATATGCTCATAAATATAAAACATTTGAAAATTGCAATTACTAAATAAGTAATATTGTTAACACTATTAAAACTTTATTTAAAATATTGTAATAAATAAGAAAAATAATTTATTTAAATATTTATTTTTTGCTGTAAATTATTAAAGTGATTTGTTGTTTTTACTTAAAAACAAAATTTTATTTTTTACTTGAATAATTAATCGAAATTTATCTAATCTTATTTTTATTATTCAAAGTAGATTTAAATTTTATTGATGCTTTTTAGATATTTTATGATACTTTTTTCTATAAATAAATAAATAATACTTTTCAAGAATTCTATCAATTCTATTGTGGTTTTATTCAAAATTTCATTGAAAACTTCTTCAAAACATTAAACCAAAATCCTTAATGAATTTATATATAAATAGTTCAAATGAGAAATAAAATTAGAATTTTAAATGAATTTTCTTATTTAATTATTTTATATGAAAATGCAAATATTTAGATAAAAAATAATTTAAATTTTCAAAGAATTATTTAAAATAATATTTTTATAGGATTTAAATAAAAATTACTGAACTTTTACTGAAAAATAATAAAAGATGTTTTTTGAAAGAATATCTATTGAATTCTATTTAATAATTTTTTAAATATTCTAAATAGAATTTATTAAAAATTTCTTTTTCTGCTTTTATAATCAAAATGTTTATTTAATGTTTTTGTTTATTCTAACTTTCTTTATTGAATTCAACCTAAAAATTTTTGATATTTTTGTTGGATCAATAGCATTTTTTTATATACTGATCAGTGAGAGAGAAAATTTAAAATAGACTCGATACCAAAATCAAATACTTTAAAATAACAAATCAATAAATAAAATAAATTACTTACATAATTTAAATTTCTATAAATTATTGTTCCAGCTAGTTAGTGTAAGAGTGATGGCAAAAAGTACTGATGCCAGCTAATATAGTAACTGCTTTTTAAGAAAATGGGAGGAGAAGAACTTTCTCTAAAGTTAAAAACAACAAACAAATAATAATAATGAGATGAAAGATAGAATTAATTAACTAGTATCAAGAATCTATCTTTAAAAATAATTATATGTACATACATTATTCACATTATATTAATAGGTTGTAAGCCAAATAAAGTATATTTTGTTTTGTTTAGTTTTCTTTGTTATTTTAATTTATTTTTGATTAAAATATAATCATTATTATAGTAATTATTTATTAATTCATCAAAAAATCAAAGAATAATAGATCCATTTCATAGATAAAATTATATAACCCCTTGTTGCGATTTTTAAGATAGTTTTAAGCTCAAAGAATATACTAGATTAGTTAGATTGAATTTAAATTTGTTTAAGAATTTGTTAGATGAGTGTTCAAGTTGCTGTTAGAGTCAGACCTTTTAATAATAGAGAAATTGAATTAGGATCTGAATTATGTGTTGCTATGGAAGGCACCAAAACTACTTTAATACATTTTGAAGATTCAAAAAAAAACAGAGATTTCTTCTTCGACTTTTCTTTTTGGAGTCATTCCGGATTTGAATAAGATGAAACAGGCCTAGTAAGCATTAATAAAGCATTTTAAAGTTTTTTAAAATTTGGAAATGAGAGATGAAATACAAATAAAATAGAAAAATTGTTTAGCAATTAGTAAAAATAGATAAAAAATATTTATAAATTATGTTTATCATCTCATAAGCAATTATGTTTAGTTTTTCAAAGAGAGAGAATATTATTTTAGAAAATATTTGAGCAACTTTTACTTCAAAATTTATTTAAAGATAATTTTTATAACATCTGAAAGTATTGATCATTTTATGTAAAATATTAAAAAAGTGTAAAGCTGTTGATTAGAAATATTGCGACTAACGTAAAGTTTATGATTTAGTTGGTGCTTAAATGCTTGATAATGCATGGGAAGGTTATCATTGTTGTCTCTTGGCTTATGGATAGACAGGAGCTGGAAAAAGTTACTCAATGGTAGGATACAAACCAAATAGAGGTATTGTACCAATTGCATGCGAAGAAATATTTAAAAGAATAAGCGCAAATAATATACCTTCAACTGAATATGAAGTTTGCGTTTCGATGCTTGAAATATATAATGAAAAAGTGCAAGATCTTCTTATTCCTTGTAACAAGAGACCTCAAGGTGGTCTACGTATAAGAGAAAATAAAACAATAGGTTTTTATGTTGAACATTTAACAAAATATCCAGTTAAAAGTTATGAAGCAATAGAATAGAGGATGGAAGAGGGTTCAAAAAATCGTACTATAGCTTCAACTTAAATGAATGCTTCTTCATCAAGGTAATTTTAATTTAATATAAGAAAATAAATGATATTTTAAGCAACGCCAAACTAAATAACGAAAAAATCCAAATATTGCTAAAGAAAATAAATTGATAAAACAAGTAAAAAATGTATTTTACTTAAAAATAGAGCTCACACTATTATCACCGTAGAATTTAGAAAAAGAGAAATGGTAAATGATAAGAGAATTGAAAAATTTTCCATGATAAATTTAGTTGATTTGGCAGGTAGTGAAAAAGTGGGTAAAACAGGTGCAACAGGAGATCGTCTCAAAGAAGGTAAGATATAATTTTTTTAAAAATGTTTGTTTGTTTGTTTGTTTTAAGGGTTATAAATATTTTTAATAGCTGGTTAAATAAATAAGAGTTTACACATACTTGGTTTGGTCATTTCAACATTAGCAGAACTGGAAAGTGGTAAAAAAAATATAAAAGTCCCCTATAGAGATTCTTGCTTAACTAAGATTTTATGTAATGCACTGGGTGGTAATAGCAAAACTCTAATGATTTGCGCAATTTCTCCATCCAATGATAATTATGATGAAACTCTTTCTACTTTAAGATATGCTGATCAGGCAAAGAAGATCAAAAACAAAGCTATTATAAACGAGAGCGCTGTTGATAAACTTATTAGAGAGCTCACACAAGAGAATTAGAAACTCAAGAGCACTATCTAAGAACTTAGAAACAAGATGTGTAAAAAATTATATTTTTAATTAATAAATTATTTTTTTTAAGCCTTGATTTATAATTTTTTAAAAATATTGACTCATCTCAATCTTAAGATTCTAAATCCAAATTATAAAAGAAATTTTTAAATAAAAAAAAAAGAACAACAGAAAATATTAATTTAAAAATTTAAATTGAAACTTTGATTAAATAAATAAATTGAAATCTTATTTTAATAGTACAAAACCCAAACAATTTGAGTGCAAAGGAGGTTGAAGAACTTGAAGATGAGTTACAAGCTATGGACGAACTTATGAATGATATGAAAATTACTCATCAGTAAAGAGTAGAGGAATATGAAAAAGAAGAACACGAGTAAGAAGAAAATGAAGATGATATCATAGAACAAAAAATTCACTTAACTAATCTAAATGAAGATCCAGTTCTTAATAATAAAATAAAATTCTCTTTAGACAAAGAATATATTTATGTTGGTCGTAAGAATGCAACACCTCTACCAGATATTGTGCTTGGTAGTATGGGAATCAAAGAAAAGCATGCTATTTTTATTAAATCTATTGATAAATTATATTTAGTACCTTATGAGGTAAACAAATAAATAAATAAAAAATAATATCTAATTTATTATTTATTTATTTAATATAAAGGAAAGCTGTAGTGAATACATTCATCTGAATGGTGAGAGAGTTAATCAATAAATAGAACTATACCATATGGATAGAATTGTTTTTGGTACTAATTCTACATTTTTAGTTATAATTCCTAATGGAAAGTAGAGAGAAGGAGATGTTCTACCAAAAGAAATAGATTGGGAATTTGCTTAAGAAGAGATTTCAAAAAAATCAGATAAATTGATAAATAAGAATGCATAAAATAAAGAGTTAGAGCTAAGAGAAGAAAGTATTTATTTGTTTAGTTTAAATAATTAATTCTACTATTTTGATAATAAAAGCATTAATTTATTATAATTTTTCATATTAATTTATATTTAGCTATCAGGAAATTGAAGGAGTTTGAGTAGTAAAGACTTTAAGAAAAAGAAGAAAATGAAGTAAAGATCAACGAATAAAAACTGATTTATGAATAGAAACTTGTTGAGTTGGAGGGAAAAATGAAAGAAGTATTTTTTTTTAGTTTTTAAATCTTGAATGATTTTTTTATTTATTTTTGTTCAAATTTTATGACAAAAGGAATCAGAAAAGCAAAAATTGGAAAAAGAAAAACTCGAAGCTGAGAGATAATGGAATGAAATAGTATAAAAGCTTGAGGCTGAAAGAATCCAAAAGGAACTTGAAAGAGAGAAATAAAAATAAACCTTACAAGCTGAAGAATAAATGCGTTTATATAAGATAAGATCAAAGTAGTCTCTCGAATAAAAATTATAGAGAGCATTGCCAAAGATTTATGAGGTTGGATTTATTTCTAAAGAGCTTAAAAGAGATATCATCTTTTCTCCTAAGATTCTTTATACCTATGCTGATTAATGCGAAATAAATACTATGAAAGAGAGAAGCAAAATGCCTAAGATTCAGATTTTAGTAATATCATTTTCATGTGTGTTAAAAATAATTCTCAAGAATATTTAAAAAATAAAATAGGTTTAAAATAATGAAGAAGGAAGTGAATACGTCTGGGATCTAGAAAAATTTTAGAATAGGTACTACATAATTAAAGGTCTTCTTGATCGTTATTTCGAAACCAATTAAATACCTGTAATTTTTACTCTTAAAAATTCCCATTTTAAGTAAGAATAATAAAAATAGGATCTTTAATAAAACGAAGACCCTTTCTGGGATCCTCCTGAACCTTTTTTGATAGGGTAAGGGTTTTTAAAGCTTTTAGGACTAGCTTATGGTTTAGATAGTTAGACATAAATTACTTTAGTAGGTGATAACGGTTAATGTGGATATCTGAATGTTGGATTCATTCCATGTAATGAAACAGGAGATGTGCTATATGATGACGAAAATAACGAAGGAATGGCTATAGAAGACCCAAATGATCTTCTTAATCAGAGATTGGACTTTAAGCTTTTCATCAAGGATGGATCTCTTCCTTAAAACTTTTGCACAGACACATTTGTAGAATATAGTTTACTTGCATCCGAAAATTATATGGCAAAATACAAAACAAAAAAAGTAATTTATTTTAAAAGCTAATCTAATAATTTTAAAATTAAATAAATAAATAGATTGAAGGAAAGAATCCTAGCCCAAATTACAACTATTCAGTGCAGCATACTTACACTAATATTTAACAAAACGTTATTAAGTATCTCAGTAATAATACTTTGTAGTTTAAGGTATTTGGCTTTGATGATGCTAGAATTGAAAAAATGAAAAGATCTTAGCAAAATAGAAAGAACATCATGAATTAAAAAAGAATGATTCCTGTTGAAGAATAAATGGAAAAGTAAAAAAGAGGTAAATTAATTTTGTTTTGAATCTTATATTTTAATTTATAAAATTTTATTAAAAAATAGATTAGAAGGCTTAATAATAGTAAAATAATTTCTAAGAAGGAAAACCTCAGATACTTAAGATAGAAAATAAATTTTAGCCTCAAAAGGTAACTGAATACAAACCTACTTTAAAGTAAGACTCTTATTCCTCTGCTAACACTTCTCTTTCAGGTTCTAAGATAAATTAAGAATCTCCAGAAAAATAATAAAGTCATTCATATCAACCAAGTAAAAATATGTATCCATCATCTAATGAAAAAGATAAATATAGTGAAGATTCATAAAATAGCAGTCCCGTGAAAAAAATAAATTAAAACCCTCCTCTTTCAGCACGTTACAACAACGATAGAACAAACACTGAACCAAATGAAAGAATAAATTCTTTTTAACCATAATAAGAAGGAAAACCCAATAACTAAAACAGTAAGGTCAATTCGATAGAAATTAAATATCTTATTTATATTTTTAAATAGATGAAACAAAAAGAAGGAACTCCTAGGATGACTCTTCGATTTCTAAAAAGTAAAAAAATGAAAGTAAAGCTAATAAAGGCAAAAAAGGGAAAGACTAAAATTGCAGTAAATTTTATTTCAGATGTTTTAAAATTATCAATTAATATTATTTATCATAAATAGATATTTTTTGAGGGAATTATGGCTGGTGTGTATTTTTGAAGTAATAAATATCATTTGATGTGAATGAAAAAAAATATTTAGAAAATATAAATATAAAACGATTTCTGTAATAAAGTAATAACTAAAATAATTTATTAAACTATAATAATTAATCTTAAAATATCTTAACAACAATAATAATATAAAAATAAACCAATCTAAAAATAAACTAATCAAAAATAAAATAAAATTAATCAATCAAAAATTAAATAATTATTTTGCATCTATTTCTTTTATATTTTATTCTTTATTTTATTTTTAAAATATTTTTCTAATTTTAATTTAAAAAATTAGCTAAAACTTCTATTTTCAAAAACGAGAATATTCAAAAAATTAAATAAAAGATATTACTTGTGAACAATTTATAAATATTTTATTAATTTATTATAATTAATAGAGATATTAAAGGACATTTATAGTATTATCACATATATATTTCATTCTTATTTTCTTTGTATTATTTTTCAAGCCACAAATAACTAAAAATAATAAAGAATGAAGCTTTTATTTTATTTTATTTTATTTTATTTTATTTTATAATTATAAAAAGTAAATATTTAAAAAAGTAACTCCACAAAAATGTTTATTTCATCAATGTTTATATTTTTAACAATCTAATAGTAAAATTAAATTTTAAAGTTCTTATCTGTTAAATCAAATATTAAGTAAATTTTATAAATTACTTTTAAATTTAACTTAGTTCATTAAATTATTTAAAAATATTCATATAAACTTAACATTAAATAATATTACTATTTTAATATATTTTGTAAATTTATGCGTTTGCTTATTAAAGCAGAAGAGATATTTATAATAAAATGATTAATATTTTTCTTTCTGATATTCCTAACATTATTTTTTATATTGTAAATAACCTTAAAAAAAATTAAGATTTAATAGCTTTGATGAAAAATGTTATTAAATTATATTAAATTGTTTATTTTTTATAATTCCAAAATTAATATGGACAAAAATGAGTAAAAAAAGCTTGGATATCTTTTTAAACCTATGTCAAATAAAAAAAACAAAATATTTTGAATATTTTTTAATTTTAACTTTTAAATTTTTAAATATTTTTTAATTGAAATAAAATAAATTCTATTATTAGGTTTTTTAAAATCAATTAGTATCGAATGTTCCATAAGAGATTATAAAATTAAGATTTAAAAACTTTGATGAAAAATGTTATTAAATCATATTAAATTGTTTATTTTTTATAATTCCAAAATTAATATGGACAAAAATGAGTAAAAAAAGCTTTGATATCTTTTTAAACCTATTTCAAATAAAAAAAAACAAAATTCTTTAAATATTTTTTAATTTTAACTATTAAATTTTTGTATATTTTTTAATTGAAAAAAAATAAAGTCTATTATTAGGTTTTTTAAAATCATTAGTATCGAATGTTCCATAAGAGTTTTCGTTATTGAATCTATTAAGAAATAAATGGATATTAAAATATCTAAACTTGATTAATAATAAAACTTTATTATTTATAATAATAATAATTAATTTAATAAAATATATTTTATATAAAATTAAATGAATAATTTAAGAACAAAAAAAAATATGTAACCTAAACCACAAACAATTCATTATATTTTTCTACTAGTAAAATTTTGTGATTAATAAGAAAAATAAATTTGAGTGAACTAGTAAAAATTTTAATCTTCATTAAATGAATCTAACCATCGATAATATATATACCAATCGTTTGTAAAGGAATAGTAAAATGTATTGAGTTTTTCCTTATTTTTAGGTTAAGACTCACACCTACTTTACCCAACTTTATTTATTTGATATTAGTAAATTGAATAAGTTATTTAATATTTTTAAATAATATTGAATATTCAATAAATTTTAGAAGCTAATTAAAAGAAAGTAAAAAGTAGAAATTTTATTAGATAGATAGATAGCACTAAGTATTAATTGAATTACTTTATTTCGATTAAATAATAGGGGGCTTTGGCTAAAGCGTTGAAAATAACTAAAATATTTTTTTAAAGGAAAAAACTCACGTTGCTATGATTAACAATTTAAAAAAAATGACTAGCCATTAGGTCTAAACAAATCTTCCTCCTATAACAAAAGGAGTAAATCCAAATATGAATACTAATCAAAAATAAAATCCATTTGATACTTTAAATTTTGAGATGCCTATCAGCCAAAATTCTACTAAAAATTCTGCTTCGATTTCATAAAATTAGAATAGATCCTAAGACATTCAGAAATAAGTTAAACCCGTTGTATAATAGACGCAGTAAGCAAACGGCTTCTCGAACAAAAACAGTCAAAAGAAAGACTCTATTAATATTTCTAAGGTAAAAAATGAAGTCAACAATCTACCTGGTAAGTACAATATTTAGAGCTAAGAATTTCAAAGGGATGATGAAAATCAGCTTTCTCCTCAATTAAACAGAGATCATCAAGCATTCGCAGAAATAAGACAAAATATGGATTCGAATTTTTAAGAAAATAATATTAAAGAGATTTATTCAAAAGATAAATAAGTGAAATAACCGTTTATTCCTTACAAATACCGCAAAAGCAGCAACCCCTCTGTTAATGCTAGCAACTTTGACTAAAATAATTTTTATTATAATACAAAAGGCTATTTACAAAGTGAAAATAACAGTTATGCTACAGATTGTATTGTTAATTATTCAGATGATGGAGAGATTTCAAAAGAAGAATATAGAGATCCCATTTTAAATGTTTAAAAACACAGAAAGGAATTTGGTATTAATATTGCTTAAAAAATGAATAGGTTCTATAATATTAAGGCTCTAACTAATAAAAGTTAACAACTGTAGTTAGCATTTGATAATGCAAATAACCTTTTTATTGTCGATCAGAGAGATGATAATTATCTTTCTTAAACTGTCATGAATCTGAATATGGACATGAGCACAAGAAAGCACCAATCTTAAGATATTCTTTAACAAATTATCTAAGAAAAAAGAAATTCAATCGCCTAAGGTGAAGGCCTTTGTCATAGCATAACTACTAATGGGAAAGAGTCTCTTCTTAGTTAATTATCAAAAAAATCTTAACTTAAAACTTAAATGTAAATGAATACCTAAGGCAGCTTCATGAAACCAAAATATATGCTTTATCATAACTCAAATTCTAATTAGATCTCACCAAAAAGTAATCTAAACGCATAAATTATCAACTCACCAATTAGTATTAGCAGCAATAGTAACAATTAAAATGTAAATTATCCTAAAAATTACAATGCTGGATTTTCAACTTCTGTGTTTAAAACTAACATAAATCATTTTGGGATGCCAAAAAATAGCAATAATTTCTAAAACACTCCTTCACCACCTTCGTAATTTGATAAATTCGCATTTAAGAAACCAGAAATTCCACTAGTGAATACAAGAAAGGCCTTATTCAAATATACAAATAATAATAAGAAGCTAGTCAAATCAAATACAGAAGGAAATTTCTCAAGTTCCTAAAACTATAAAAGTTAGTCACAGTATTCTCATGAAAATCTAAAGACAAATACAGACGCAGGATACTTTTAAAAATTGAATGACTTGTTTCATAATTAGCAACTGAGCGCATGCCAGTAATTTAATTAACCTTAAATTATGACAGCTAAGAATCAGTTAAAGTAGCAGCCATAAAAGATTGACTTATTTTCAAAAAGTTGTCTTTAAACTTAAAATAAACCTTATTTTGAATAAGATATTAATCTGTCAGAGAGTTTAAAGACTTGGAAAGTTAAGCAATTTAATGATGATTTTAATAAAATATCAAAAGAATTGAAAAAATCATACTACAGAGGCTAGCTTAATAACAAATTTGATAGTAAAAATTAGACAGCATACTTCACGACTAATGGAATGTATGGATTTTTTTGCTCTAAAAATGAAGAAGTTGCAAGAGATTCAGGTTAAGATAATTAAGAAAAATCTAAAATTGAAGAAGAAAAAAGAGAAGGTTCTTAAAATTAAAGATAGCAAACACAAGATAAGAATATTGATAGTGAAATTAATTAGGTAAACAGCTTCTAAACTGAAATTTAATCTTCTAAGACGCCAAGAAAATAAAATTATAACAATTTGAAAGAGCTAGTTTTGTAAAAAGAAGAAGTCAAGTAGTAGTAAAATGTTTAGCCAAATGAAGTTGAAGTGTAAAATGAAGAATAATAAGTTGTTAGATAAAATGAATTTGCTGTAGAAACTGAACCTACTAAAAAAAATGATGATATCCAATAAGAATCTTAAGGCTAAGCTGATAGTTTGAAAATTAATTTAAAAAAAAATAACTTAGAAGTAGTGAAAAAGGATATGAGCAATATCAAAACTAATTTTAATAAGAACATCTAAGATTTTATGATTGGAAACATCAAGCAAAACAATCAAAAGTAAGCAAATGAAAAGAAAGGAAGTAATACTGCTAGAGAAATATACTAAAATACATCTGAAGATGACGAAATAACAGGATGGATCAGCAGAAAAAAGTCAGATACTTTATTTTAGCATAGACCCAGCTTTTCTTCATACCATTAATCTAAAACAAGCATATAATTTAGAAAAAACATCAACGCAAGCAATACTAATTCAATCACCTATAACAGCTAACAAGAATCGTATAAAAATATATTTGGTTCAAACTTTAAAATAACCTCTCCTAAAAGTTAAAATGGAGCTAATAGCTTTTAATCTATTCCAAAAAGTAATTAAAGCAACAATAACATCTAAAATAGTTAGCATTCAATTGGTGCAAGCTCTAATAATTAGACAAGAGAATAAAATAATCATCACAAAGATCCTAACTTAATTTCTAAAATTACAGAACATGGTGAGTCATAAGATTACTCTTTGGATAACAGTAACTTTATTTAGAATAGGATGGCAGGATTTATTACAAGAGATAAAAATGATGATGATGAAGATCTTAAAAACTATCTGCATTTGCAAAATATTATACCATCTTAAATAAAATGAACAAATAAATCATTGGATAATAAAAAAATTTTTAGTAAAATTATTTAATACAATAGTATGTATAGAAAAATTGATATATTTTGATAACCTTAAATTGTATATATTTATTTGTATATTTATTTTACACATTTTTGACCAATTAAAATTTTTGTTATTGCTAATTTAAAATGTTGATCAAAACTTGCAAAAATATATTTTACTAGTAATAATTAGACAAGGTATAAATTAAAAATAAAAATTTAATTGTCATAGATGATTGTTTGCTTTTCAAAATTGACAATACTGACAAAAATTTTTTGATTAAATTATTATTATATATATATATATGTATAGTACCAGAGGGTACTGCCTTTTTCAAGGCTATACACTGAAATTTTAGATAATATAATAAGCTATTTATTAACATACCAATAAAATATGGTATTCATAAATATTTTAATAGTAATAAATCTATCTATATTTTAGATTAAATTATCATATCACAAAATATATATAATAAAACAAACTATTTTCTATTATTCAAATATTTAATATTTATTCTTCTTTTTTCACCACATATCTATCTATCTATCTATCTATCTATCTATCTATCTATCTATCTATCATAATAGCATTTATATTTTAAAGAAAACTAATCTTTTTGATTAAAGACACTTTTTTTTTAATTTCATATCTAATAATTATTCGATTTACTTATTACTTTTATTGTAAATTAAAAATTTTATTTAAAATAAATAAATAAAAAAAATATTAGTAAATAAAAAAAGAAAAAGAAAAATAAATCAAATAAAAAGCTAATAAACAAATAAAAGAGTTTTATTGTTTTAAATTCATTTTTTTTTAAGTAAAAATTTTTTTATCCAAAATAATTAAGTTGAATTTACTCAAGATAAATTCTCAATTTTAAGAGATTAGGGTGATTTACTAAAGCAGAACCTAAGTCTGATGCATCTTAATCATCAATTAAATTCTATCTTTTTAAATATTGAAGAAAAAATACATAATTAATTAGTAATTAGAAGTAAAATCTAAACAAAACATATGAAATAATAAGAAATGAAAATAAAAATAGTAAAATAAAATGCTGAAAATAAAATAAATTAATAAAGATAGAAGAAAAAAAAATACAAGTACAGTAAAAAAAAAAAGAAGTGTAAATCAAAAAGAAAGCTAATAAAAAATTTAAAAGTTCCATATTGTTTTAAATTCATTTTTATAATTATTATTGCAATCCAAAGCAAATAAATTGAATTTACCCAAGATAAAGTGTCAAATTTTAGAGATGAGAGCAATTTACTAAAGCAGAACCTAAGCCTGATGCACCTAATGCACCAATTTCATTGTTGCTTTTTAAATATCGAAGAAAAAAAATAGATATTAATTAGTTTTTTAGAAGTAAAAAAAATGTATAAAAATATAAAATAATATCAAATGAATTAATGATAAAAAAAAGAGTGTTGAAAATAAAAAAATTAATTAAATTAAGAAAGGTAGAAGAAAAAAAAAACACAAGTAAAAAAAAAAGAAATAGAAAAGTAAATCAAATAAAAAGCTAATAAACAATTTAAAAAGGCTATATTATTTTAAATTCATTTTCATAAGTAAAAATATCTTAATCCTAAACAAATAAATTGTTTTTACATAAGATCAAGTGTCAAATTTGAGAGATTAGTGCAATTTGCTAAAGCAGAAATTAAGCTTGATACACCTTAATCACCAATTAAATTGTATCTTTTTAAATATTGAAGAAAAAATATTTAATTAATTAGTTATTTAGAATTAAAAATGAATAAAAAATATGAAATAACAAGATATGAAAATAAAAATAATAAAAGAAAATATTGAAAATTAAAAAAATAAATTAAATTAAGATAGATAGATAGATAGATAGATAGATAGATAGATAGATAGAAAGAAGAAGAAGAAGAAGGTAAAATAAAATAGAAACTGAAAATTAAATCAAATAAAAAGTTAATAAACAAATTAAATGAGCTTTATTATTTTAAATTCATTTTTATAAATAAAAATATCATACATAATCCAAAACAAATAAACTGTTTTTACCTAAGATCAAGTAATAAATTTAAGAGATTAGTGCAATTTGATAAACCAGAATCTAATTCTGATGCACCTATTGCACCTATTTTATTGAATCTTTTTAAATATTGAAGAAAAAATATTTAATTAGTTAATTATTTAGAAGTAAAAAATGAATAAAAATATTAAATAATAAGAAAGAAAATAAAAATAATAAAAGGAAGTGTTGGAAATAAAAAATAATTTTAATTAAGAAAGATAGAAGAAAAAAATAACACAAGTAAAATAAAAAAAGGAAAAGTGAATCAAATAAAAACTAATAAACAAATTAAAAAAGTTAAATTATTTTAAATTCATTTTTTTATAACTAAAAATACCACAATACAAAACAAATAAACCGAATTTACTCTAGATAAAGTAACAAATTTGAGAGATTAGTGCAATTTGCTAAAGCAGAACCTAAGCCCGATGTTCCTTAACCACATATTATATTGTCACTGTTTAAATATTGAATAAAAAAGTCAAAGAGAAAAATCAGTACCGAAGACTTGGAGACCCTTTAAGAATCTGAGAGTTTCTTCATCGGACTACAAGTAATTAAATATGCATAATGAATTTTTATTAAAGTTAAAATTAAGTTAATTTAACTAAAAAAAACATTTTTATAATAAATGAATTAAGGTGATAATTTCTATTTGAAAAATATTATTTTAAAAATATAGAAAATATTAATAATAATTATAATATTTATAAATTAAATATACGTCAAGTTAATACAGAGAATCTAATGAGTTTAAAATGAAGAGTTTAAAAACTTTTTATATTAATAAAAATATAAATTTAAAGTATATTGATAAAAAATAAATAATTACTTCTTCTAATTTGTTGTAATATGAAATTCATAAAGCCATTTTTTTTTTTCTTCAAAAATGTTGAATATTAATTAAATCAAATTGAATAAATTATAAGTGGATAAAAAGAACAAATAATTTATATGAATTTATAAATTTGCTATTAGTAAGAGAAATCACAAAAAAGATAGTGTAACATTCATTATTAAATCCTAATGCTTGCATTTGATATATGTACTTAAAAATATAGTATTAATTATAGATATAAAAGATAAAGACAATGTGAACTCACTAGAATAAAATAAATTTTTGATGGTTTTACGCCTATTTTTGTACTTCAGAAAATTTAGCTAAATTTAAAATTTTTGATGTAAAAAAATTATTTATTTTTGAAATTATAATAAATTAAATTATTAATTTTAATTCTATTTTTTTAAATATAAAAATCTATTTCATAATAAGCGACATCCAAACGACGAAATTTTTGAATGACATCTTGCTATACTAAATATCAATTAAATCCCCAATAATAAATTTTATTTTTTAATATAATAAAATGTGAAAACTTATTTTTTTTCCTTTCAAATAATTTTAAATTATTTAAATATAATAATTTGAGAAGGTAGTAAACTAAAATTTTTAAAATATATCATAATTTAAGAAATAAATAATTTTTATTTATTGTTTGTTCCATCTAGTTTTATAGTTTTATGAAGAATATCTGAAACTTAATTAATTTATAATTAATTCTATTCCAAGATAATGATTTTTGAAGGAATTAAGTGAATTAAATTGATTAAAATCATTAATTTTGTAGAAGGAAATCATTTTAATGTTTAATTTCATCTATTTCATCTTTCAAAGGCTTATTTAAAGTTTCTGGTAAAAAAAAAGTGGGAATTACAGCAAAACTACCGATGACACCAAAAGAAACAAGAGGAGAAATCCCTAAGTTTTTACTCCAAGTTATAACAAAAGAAGATAAAATACTACCTGAAATACCAACTCCTCTTATGAAGCCAACACCTAAACTGCGTACTGTAGTTGGGTATAATTCAGGGAAGTAGGAGCCCACTACAACAAAGTAAGAAGTAATAGAAATCCTAGAAAGAAAATAAAGGAGTATTTAGATGAATTTCTAATAACAAGTACCTTCTTTACATGATTCAGATATTGGAAAAGCAATAAAGAGCAAACAAAATAAGCTACTTAAAAATTAAAATAGTAATAGAGAAGGCTTCCTTTTACATGCATTTAAAACTTTAGCTAAGAATAAAAATGATAGTAATTCAGCTGAAAATCCTATGGTAGCATTAATATAAATATTAAAACCAAAATATGAAACAGAAAACTATGCTCCATAGTTAAAGAATACCATCAAAAATCTCTAAAAAGAACATAAAATTGTCACCCATCTTGTTGATTTGTATTTGAATAAAGTTAGATAAGAATAAACTTGTTTCTTGTTAATCAATGAATATTTACTAAAGTCAATTTATTCTTAAGATATAGTGAATTTTTCGGAGTTTTTATTTTTTTGATTTCTACTTAAAATAGCGTTTAAACAGTCAACTAATTTCTACTTGTCTTTATTTAGATAAAATCTAGGACTCTCAATTATGTAAAAATTTGTAATTTATAAAAGAAACATAGAAATAAGCAGCCAATATCTTATTAAAATAACCCAATTATTATCAAATAGATAGCCTATTAAATTTATAACTCCTTAACTTAAAGAATAGCCCAGCAGTAGAAAACCAGTAGTTACTTTTCTAAATTTACCAATAGATTACTCGCTCATAATGATAAATGCTATAGTGGTAGAAGGATAAATTCCAAATCCACATAGAAATTACCCTACCAGAACCATAGCTACATTTTCAGAAAATGCTAAAATAGCTGACCCAATACATCCGAACATCCAAGAAAGTATCATAGGGATTCTTCTTCCTTTTAAATCGCTCAAAAAGCTAAAAAGAAATTATCCAAAAAAAGAGCCTACAAAAACGAAACTTAAACTTAAATTTTTTAGATATTCACGATCACAATACAGCTAGAATTTTAAACTTAGAGTCTGATTACTTTCTGGTGAAATTAAGAAGCCTCCTTAATTGCAGGCATATTCTTGCTTGCATTTTTAACCATCTTGGCATATAAAAATAGGATCTTCGAAATAATATGGTCCCCCAACAAAGACAAATGACCCAAAAATTCCTTAAGCAAGTAAAATAAAAAATAAAATAGTTTAATATCTTCCTTTAGGATTGACGTATTCCAAGCATTGATCCATATCCAAATTATCGTCAATGCTCTTTTTCTCTAATTCTGATTGGTCATCTTAGTTTTCTATTTACTAATTATCAATCATTCTCATAAATTCTAATCTGATTTTATCTCTAAAATATTATAAACATTCAATTATATAATCAATAATTTAAATTGATATTTTCAAAAAAAAAGGATACTTAAATGAAAGTTATTCCTAAAAATCAAGATAAAAAAGATTAATAAAATTATAAATGTGTAAGCAATTTAATAAATCAAATATTTAATGTAAATGATTTAAATAAGTAAAAAGTGAATAAAAGCATATTTATTTTTAAATAACACTATTAAATCTATTCATTTTTACTAAAAATCAAGTTCAAAAGTATCCTCTTAATATTTATTTCCATTAAAAAAAATAGATTAACCAAGTTTTAAATATAAAAATATCTAATAAACATTAAAGCAGATTAGATTGAAATAAGTTTATTAAATGTATATTTAAAAGGTAAAGGATACTTTAATATGATGAAAAACAAAAATAAATTAAATTAAAAATTTAATTTGTAAAATTAAAATCATTCTTTTTAACTTTAGAAAATAATTAAATCAAACAAACTTTAAATAATTTAGTAATTTAAAAAATTAAATTAGTTTTAAATTTAAATAATAAAAACTAATTTAAGCTCACAGACAAATTATCTAAATACGAACGATTTGATAAAGAAATCTAATTTTAAAATTAAAAAAGAAAAAATGATTTAAAAAAATTAAACAAAAGTATTCAAAAAATTAAATTTAAATAATTTTAAATAAAAAATAAGAAAAAATTAATAAAAACAGAAAAAGAAATAAATAAGTTACGTTAAATTTAATTTTAAAGATTAAAATAAATTTAAATTTAAAAAAAGAGAAAAAGATTAATAAAAATCATCAAGTAAACAAACAAACAATTAATTAAGCTACATATCTTAATATTTAATAATTTTAATAATAAAAAAAATGAATTAAATTATTTAAATTAAAAAATGAATGATATTATTTATTAGTTACTAACTATTAAGAGGAAGTTTGTTATATATAATCAACCAATTGTAAATAAAAATACTATTATATAAAGGAGATAGAGGATATGTACGTACTTAATAAAATGAGAAATAAATAATTTAATTTGCTTGCCGAGAGAAACGATTCAATTTATAAATCTATAAATTTATTTGCTAACTTAAATGTACAGTTATTAGTAGATTATTCATTATTTTTAGAGACTGACAATATGTTTGTTCATTTTTCTCATTCAATATTAATTATGATAATTTTGAGCTAATTAAAATATTATTATTAGCTTTAAAAGCTGACTAATTTTAGATTGGCAAAGCTTTTCTATTTTTGATTACTTATTTAAATATTTTGAATTTGAGAAAAAACTATTTGAATTTATTTCTTAGTTGAATATTTAAAATAAATTTTTTTTCTTCGATTATTTTAGGTTTCAATCTTTTCTGATCAATTTATTTGTTTCTCAGTGGCATAAGCATAGAGGGTTATATATTAAGTTAGTTTAATTATTTATAAAACTCGATTGGGAGAGGTTATTTAAAAAGTTAATGTTAATTATTATTGTGTGGTTATTATATTGCTTGTTTTCTACATTATTTATTTAAAATTAAAGGTAGACTCTAGATAGCATAGTTATTATTTATTAATGGTTATTTATTTTTGGATGGATGGATGGATGGATTGATGTTGCTTCAATTGCTTTTTAATAAATTATACTTATTTATTTACTTACTAATTTTAGAATAAATGATAATATTAATTTGATATTTTTTAATGAGAATTAATTACTAAAATATTGTATTATATTTTTAACAATTATTTAATTTAGGTTATGTTGATAGATATTAATTTGCTAATATTCAATCTATTTAAGAAGTTAATTATTCAATAGGACTTAATTAATTAAAGCAACCCTAATTTGTGATTAATTTTAATATATTTAGAGATTTATAAAGTAGTTCAATCACTGTTGTTTGCAAGGGAGGAGTTCTTTTCGAATTGAGGAACACCTAAGCTTTTTAATTCTGCTTATATATTTTCATGTTAGATTACCTAAATAAGCTCGTCTACATTACACTTTTGTAATTTATCTATGCTTATTTCCTTGGCCTAGTAGTTATCAAAAAATATCATTAAAATTCAAGAAAAAATTCAGTAAAAAGTCAAATTTACCTTTAACAGACGGATTAATCCCTTTACATTATTTTTATAGTCATGATTTAGTTCTACTTATACAGATTTTATTTTTCTTTCTATTTAAACACATAAATCCTAAGCTTATGCCTTTTCTAAACCATAATTTTCTTTGAGAAGTTCATTGATTTTCTTGCAGATCTTTTTTCTAAGTTGCTAATCTCTTAATTTCTTAGGGTCTTCTGCTTCTTTTTCTTAACCTACCACTAGGTCTCCATTTAACTTTGTATGACTTGTAATTTGTTTGTTTAATTGAGTGTTTGAATGAATGCTCTTTTCATCTTCTACTTCGTTTTATATGACACAGTCTATTTATATTTATTATAAAAAATCTGTTAGAGAAAAAATTTAATGAAAAAAATAAATATTTTTACTTCCATTTATTTACACTTTTTTCTTGAATATTAATTCCTTTATTTCAGAGCCTAAAGTTTCAGTCAAAATTTTATCTCTAATATGCTCTACAACAACTTCTAGTTTTTATTTAATTTCTGGCATAAAGTCTTCGCTCTAAATAAAGTACATCCAAAAGAAAATTTAACACATTTTAAAAAATAAATTTAATAAAATTTACATGCTTGTATTAAGTAACTAATTAAAGATGCTATACAAATAACTTGCCTACTTTTGTATTGAAAAATTCCATTGTAGGGATGTTAAGACTAAAGTAAGCATCACTCAAATGATCAAGGTCTTTAATCTCACTGAGTTTAAATATGTTTGAACTTTTTTAATTTTAAAATATTTCTAAAATGGCTTCAAGACTTTGTTATAATTCTGTTGCATCTTGAGGATTTGTATTGTAAGATTTGATTTAATTTGTTTTGAGTTTCTTTTTAGGTGAATCAATAATTTCATTTTAATTAGCTGCTTCAGTAGGAATTTAAATATTTAAGTTATTGTTATTTGCAGCTGCAGATCCATTTTTTTAAGCTACACTACGCTTGTTTCTTTTATTTGTTGACTAAGATTGGCCATTTTAAGCGCTCTTTTATTAATTATTTTAGCCATTTTATGACTGTAAATTGCTGTCTGATGACTAATTCTGATTGTTGCTACTGCTATTATGTGCATTGCTATTATTTGTGTATATATCTCTTTTGTCTTCAGCAAACCCATTTCTTGGAGATCCATTTGCACTAGCTGCGCTCTTTTTAGTTGCCTTTTCTAAATTCATTTCTTAATGATCTTCTTCCAATTCTTTTTATTCAGATTCCTATTATAATAATTAATTAATTAAATTTATGAATTATTTCTACTTTTTTAGTAAATAAAAATTGAATAATCATTAATAAATAAATAAATATATAGGCTCTCATCCTATATAAAAAAGTAGCCAATTATTAAAATATTTATTTATTTATTTTTGTTTTTTTGCTTGATTTTTTATTTGCTTGCTGGAAAATTTGAATTTTTTGCTTGATTGTGTTTACATTAATGTGATTGCTTGAGGATTTTTCCATGGAATTTTCATTCTTGTTGAATTAAGCAAGCTGCTCTGTGCTGTTCATTTCCTTTTCATGTATTGGATTACTAAGTAAATGACTAGGCTCTGTATCTACTAGCTCTTCTATGCCAAATTCTGGGTTAATGGTTACATTGTTGTTACTTGAATTTTTATTCATATTTTATGAATTCCTACGAGTTTACTTTTCACTTATTTTTTATTATTTCTTGCCTTGTGTAGAACGGGTATTTATTGTTGCCAATTCTTTCTCTGAAGCTGCTAATGAGGGTTCACCAGCATTTTCAGGAACTAATTTGTCATTTCCTCCATTTTTGCTTTCAGATTCTGCTGATGCTTTTGTACTGCTTTTGCTAGTTGGTTTTACGCCCTTTTTAGGGGTCTTTTTACCTGTTGATGTCGTAGAAACTGTTTTATCTTTATTATTTTAAATAAATGTTAATAAATAAAGCAACTAGAATTCAATTTGAGCGTTAAAAATATTGATTTAACTAGTCAAGTTGCAAAAAAATAGTTTTTTTCAAAAGCTATTTAGAACTTAATATGGTATTTCAATATGGATTAAACTCAAAATAATCAGTCCTTCTTGGTTTAAATAGATAAGTAAACAAACTATAACTTTAAAATTTATTTATAATTTTTCTATTATGTCTAAAATTCTTTTTTTTAGCTTGTTAATTATTAATGCAAGTAAACTGATTGATAGATAGATAGACGACTGATTAAATTTAAGGTAAAATATTTTTTTAATGTACTTAAGCTAATTTCATTACTGAGTTTGTTTGTCACTGCTCCTTTCTTTGCCTTTTTAGAATTCTTTGCTGCGCTTTCTGATGAAGATTAATTATCATCGTCTTCTTCTTCCTCCTTTAAATAAAGAATACGGTTAGCTAATGCAATTTGGCAAAATGCGCTTATGGAAGGATAAATGCCTAAACATAAATCCAAATCTAATAATTCTATGTAAAATTACCATTTGATATTTTCTCTCCATGCTTTTGCGCTCGTCTAATTTTATTTAAAAATATTAATGAGTTTATTCTGGTTAACAAAAGATATATCATCAAAAGATTAAAGACTATATTATGTGCTGCTTGGCAAAATCAATTAATTGGTAAAAAATTCGAGATTTGTATGAAATTTTGCGAAGAGTGGCATAATAACAAAAATAAATGGCGTCTTTTGTGCCTTTTTATCTAACTTTAATAAGATCTACTTGAAAATTAGCTAGAAGACTATAGGATGGGTTCAAAAAAGGGTATTGCCGCTGAAAAAAATAATTTAAATTTGAAGATAATACAGAAGAGAATAATTAGTAAATTTTTACCTTCGTAACTGCTTTTGCCCTCACTGATCCTTAATCCGATATCTACTGCCTATTTTAGCTTTTTATTTCTTTCATTCACGTTTTTTATGTACTAGCTATAATTCTCTTTGAAGTCATGGACCTAATCTAGCTTGATAGTGGCACTGTTTACGTCCCACAAGTTAAAAAATTATTTAAAAACATTAGCTTGCAAATTTGTAAAAAAGGAAAAAGAAGCAGGTTCGCTAAAAGGTAAAATAATTACTGTGTGTTTTCGCCGAGGAAATTTACTACTACATCTGTGGTCCCTACTTGTGATATCTATTAAATATAAAGTGAATAAGTGAATTGTTTCACATTTATTTAAATTCTGCTTATTATTCTGCACGCATATATCCATTCATCCATATATACAGATTGGGCAGAAAAGAATTTTGATCTTCTATCCCCCATCTGAAAATATGAGTGGTTGCAATGAATCTTGCTAGCTAATCTTTAAAGTGCTAATAAAATGAAAGTGCGATTAATTACGCATGATGGCCACCATGGATAACCTTTGAGTTTTGCCCATACTACTTGGTTCTTTTTGAACTGCTTGCTTGCCATTCTTAATTTTGCTTTTTTTCTTTTTTCCTTAATTGACTTTTTTCAATGTTAGATCTCTTTCTTTCTTTGTTTCTGTCTGTCTCTCTTTCTTTGTTTGTTTGTTTCTTTAATTGTTTGTTTGTCTTTATATTTTTCTTATCTTAATGCAGAAATTACCTTTGAAATCCCTAGTAATTAATGTTATTTTTTGTATTCAAGAAATTTTCTCTTTGTTTATTCTTTACTATTTTTACTAATTAATTGATTAATTGTGAATATTTCCCTTTGATTTATAATAATAATTATTATTATTATTGTTATAGTTTCTTTCCTTTTTCTATTCATACTAATCCTCATCTTCCTATATACACATAAATATATTTATTTATTTTTTTTTTGCTCGTTTATTATTCAATTTTTAAGTTTCCTTTCGCTCCTTTCTCTTTTTAATCAAAAATCTAATCTATCATTTTCTTTTAAAGCCATGCAATAATTTAATTTGCTAACAATGATAATTAGAATAAGTTCGCATTCATCTTTTAATTAATTATTTCATACATTTTTACACTCCTTTCTAATACTCTCTATCCGTATCCAACTATTGCTTCTTTGATATATCTCTATTAATTTAACAATGGATTTTAATTATATATTCATCATTTTGCTCTATCTATTTAATGCCAAACAATATATCTAATCTTTCATTTAAATTTTCAGCTTAAATATACTTGAAAGTTTCTCCATTCATAATTTATTGATTATTATTAATTTCCAGTGATTATTTTCCTTCTACAAACTCCACTAACGTATCCAATTTAATTAATAATTGCAAAAATAAATTAACTCTTTTCTTAAGTTAAGCTCTAATACAAGAACAAATCTTTTGACATTTTTATTACTTTGTTTTTTTTTCAAAAAAGATAAACATTTAAAACTCATTTTATTATAAAAAAGCTTATTATTTTTTCCATAGCAATTATAAAGCACTTTCAACCAAATTTTAAAATTGGATTTTTTAACATTTTAATTTTCTAATTTAATCTTAAATATTTTTGTATAATTTGCCCATTATTATTTTCATATTTAATTATTAATCAGATAATCTTTTAGTCAGTCACCTTTTTTTAACTATTTTATTATAAAATAATATTTTTAAATTATTAAAAAAATTTTACTTTAAAATTAATTTTTATAAAACAATTAAATAAGCTTTTTAAGAAATATTAATTTGATTAGTGATAATTGTTGGAAATATCTTAGATTTGTAATAAAAGATTATATTATTTATATTTTTAATATTGATCACTCTGTGTTATGTTAAATTTTATCTGTTAAATGCTAAAATAAATGACTGTGCTTTTATTGTTATATTTACTCTGAATAAAATATGCGTTTTCATTTTTTTAAGTTTATTTTGACATGAATTAAATTTCTATAGCTACTTCAAAGATTGAAAACTTATTTTTTGATAATTTTGAAGCTAATTTTAATTGTTTTATTAGAATTTTTCCTAAGTTTGTGTAGTAATTAGGACATCTCTGATTACATAATGAATAATTGTATCTTAAATGCCAATCAGTTATCTAATTAGAATAAATATAAAAATTACCTTGCATACGCAACTGAAGACATGTGTAAAAACCAGTAAGTTATTACAAGAATAATTTTATAAGCATCTATGAGCCATAATGTTGAAAAGATACTAAGGATTAAGAAAAAAAGATAAAATTTAATTGTTTGAAATAATTCTGTACAATTTAATTCAAAATTAATTAATTTATTTGCAATTATAATAATAATTAGAATCTAATACTTTTTATCTTTTTTTATTTCTAAGATGAATTAATCTTATTATATCATTCATTTATTTGCTTACTTAGTATTTTCATTTATACTTTCACGATTTTTACTAATATATTAGGATAACTAACAACACATTTTTTTATTTTTGTTTCTTCTAGTTATTATAATAAATGCATTAAATAGTAGGTAGGCATTTCCTTATTATTCTGAATTTAATTCTTTATTTTATAATGACTTTACTATCAAATAGGAAATTCTAAATAAACTATTTTAATCTTTTATATTTATTTTCTACAACTCAGCTAACTATAAATATTCAATTTTTCTTATTTAGATTTATTTTTTTATTCCAAATCAATTAATATCTTTGTTGAATTCTTTTTAGTTTTAATTTAAATTATTTCTTTTTTGCTGTATTGCAAAAAATGTATTTAAGTTGATAGAATAAAATTATTCTTTTAATTAAATCTTTAAAAAAAATTATTTAGTCTTCTATTTAATTTTTGTGATAGTATAATATGATGTACTTAATAAAAATTATGAAAATATGCAATTATTACCATTTAATGAATTTATGCATAGAAAAACCTGCAAACTCTCTCAATTAGACAGAGCGGTTAGTATGGAATCCTAAAAAATATAGTTTTTCTTATTTAAGTGAAACTAAAACATTTTTATGAGTGTTAGAGCCAAAATTTGTTTTTTTTATCAGCTTTTCTTCTATCTCTATAATTTGAAGGATTGATCAGAACAAAATTCACAAATTTAAAGTAAATTCAGATATAGTATCATTCGAATAATTAATAACAATCCCTATCTCATTTGTATTGTCAATTATTTTCATCAACCAATTTAAAATCTTCAAAAGAAATATCATTTATTGAAGCTATTTTAATATTAATATGTGTTAGACATTTCTCACTTTTTGATAAATTATTTTTTTGTCTAATTTTAGATTTGGGGGATTTGTTTTCTCTGCAGTCTTTGCTTTAATATATCAAATATTGATAGAATACGGAAAATAATTATTTTCATATTTTATCATGCAAGCTCTTTCATAGAGCAGCTGATTCAGTTGGAGGAAATACCTAATTATTGTTTGGCATACATTTTTGAATGGACATAGTCTAAAAAATAAAGAAATAACTCCATAAAACTCGTTTTTGGGTGAATAAATTCAATGTAATTGCAATTTTTTCTCATGAAAATTAATAATAACTATAATAATAAGCAAAGATCGCAAATAGGCAAGGGAATAAGAAGAAATTAATAAAGCTGTAAAAAATTAAACCAAAAATAACTGTAATAATATGTTACTAAAGGTATTAAGATGTACCTCAAGTCATGGTAGTGTACGAGTAGCGAGATTTGGTCTCAATTTTGTTGCTCAGTTTAAAGTAGTCAGTTTAAGAAATATTTAATATAAATTTTCTTTATTTTTTACTTGTTTTAGTTAGTGAAAATAAATCAGTATTTAATATCGATGTAACTATCATGTTTGATTGAAAGGCAAGGAAGGACACTCTGTATTATTTTTTATGTGCATATTAATCTAGCAGCTATAATCAAACTCTTGTTGGATTTCTCCTTAGTCTTCTTTCATTAATCATTCACTTATTTCTTTGTTCTTTTATTTGCTATTTTGTTATTTATTCGATTCTCTTTGTTTTTAGCTTTGTCTTATTACAAAATTGAAAGTAATTTAAAATAATTAATTATCTTCAAATTCAAATAAAATCTATTATAAAACTTTTCAGTCTGCTTTAATTTCTTTATATCTTTTAATTTTAATTAAAAATTGGCTATCTAATTTAAAATAAATAGTTGCTAATCTTTATATTAACAGCCTTTACTATTAATTATCATTGAAATATTAATAAAAATTATTTTTATTTTTAAAGTTTTAATGAAAAATAAATATAATAGATTCTTTTATTTTTTTTAATTGAATTACATAAAGATAAATCTAAAAAGTCTATTAAGAAAATGTTTTTTATTACATAAATTGTCAATAATTAAACATATAATTGATAAAAACAATAGTTTTTGAAACTTAATAAAAATTATTGAATGTAATGAATCTTTTCTCTTTTAAGCTATAATATTAATAAATCTTAATATTTATTTTTTGGAAATTTCAAAAAATAATTTTATTAATTTTTAAAATCTTAAGAATAAATTAAATATGAAATTTAATTAAAATTTCATTATCCTATTTATTTAAACTAATTCATTTAATTTATTTATTCACCAAGCAATAAATTAGATTTATTCTTGTAATTCTAATATGTTATTTGTTAATCTTTAAATATTTTCATTATAACATCAATTATTTTAAAATAAATAAATATAACAATATATATATATTTTTTGAATATTTAATCACTAAATATTTTTTATTAAAATAAGATTTATAAAATTTTAAAAAAAACTAAAAATAAGTTTTTAGTAAAAGGAATATTGTTAAGAACATTTATAATAATATATATTTGATAAAACTAATTTTATGATTTGGGATAAATAATTGTTTAATTAGAGTTATTTTATAAATGAAAAAAATATAATATGTGATTTTTTGATAGTTGAAGTTTTTAATTAATAGACATTATTTATCCAGTGGTATCTATCTCTAAATTATAATACTTTTATGTTTATAAAAAGTTTACCCTCACCAAAGAAATAGCAAAGTGATTATATTAACTTCAAATTAAATTATCAAAAATATAGATTGATTTAGTCAATTTTCAACTTTATTATGAAAAAAGTGACAAAATATAAAAGTTTTCCAGAGTTTTTTTTTAGCTGTAATTCTTAAAATTCATCAAATTCTTATAGTGATTATATCAAATGCCATTATGATGCATAACTCATACACGAAAAGAGCTATTTTAAGTCAGATTTAAACACAGAATTGTATGGAATTCAGATGATTGTATTTGTAATTGAGGATTCAAATTAAAATTAATGCCATATTTGGAATGAATAAAAAGCTGTTTTAATGAATGCAGAAAAAATTTCATTTAGATTTAATCATTTGATAGTCTTAATTAATCTCAAAAGAGCTGCATCTCTTAATGAAGACATGTTTAATTTTTTGATTGATAATATTTATTTGTGCTTTTTCTAATTGCTTCAAAGATTAAAAAAGAAAGGCATTTATTCTATCGAATTAAATAATGTACTTAAGAATATGTTAATGTAAAAAAAGGGATTACGTTACTGTGAAAAACTTATTTAATTCATATTTTTTAAATCAAACTAGAATCCGTTTATTTATTTGAGCGCTTTTACAGATAATTTAATTGTTTATTCTCATGATTAAAATGTCCAAACTGAAATTTAATTAGTTTTGCTTGATAAAACAGACTATTTTGATAACTTTATTCATTCAAAATAAAAATGTTTTTAACTACAATTCGTTAACCTGCAACAATACACATAATACCTAGAATAGAAGAAATAAAATGAAAATGTACTATCAGTAGATCACATTAGATTTCTGTTTATGAAGGAGTTAACAGGAAAGATAAAATCTTTAAATTTTCAAGATTCTTCAGAACAAGAGTCAGATTAACTATTCTGGTTTTAAATGGATAATTATTCGGAATAGTTACTCTAAGTAATAGCTGCTTTAAATAATACATCTTACTCTGAGAAATTCCTTTAAAAAATGACAATCTGCATCAATATTAACCATAGAGATATCAAGAATTTGTTTAAATATAGTAATGAACATAATAAAATTTAACAAATTTGTAAAGAAATTTATTAACATGCATTAGAAATGATATGCAGTTCAGATTCTTGAATAACAAACTAGCTAGCAAGCTAGATTACTTAATTAACTGCACATTCAAATATTATTATTAAAAATATAAATAATCATGCATTAATTTCTAATTCATAAAATATGAACTTATAAACAAATAATAAACAAACACTAAAACTATAAATAAACATACCATACAACAACTTACCTATATATATATATTTTTAAATAAAGCATTAAAATAAAAATACTAATTAAATAGATTTTCTAAAGCAAAAAAACTAATAAAATTAAATTTTACTTTTTATTATAATATTAGATTAACTAATATTTTAAATAAATAAAACATAATTATTTTAAATAAACAATAAACAATAAATGTTTATCAGTTAGTTTTGATATATAATATATCATTTATAAATAAGGCATTAATTTTTGTTTTAAAAAATAAATACTCTAATTTCTCATACATTAAGACCAAATCACTAGTAATTAAACAATCAATCAGTGCTATTTTTAACCATATTTTAAAGAAAAATTTTTATAGTTAGCCTTAATTAATTCATGAGAAATTATACTAATTAGAAATAACATATTTACTTCTTTTATAAAATGAATTAAGATATTATTTGAAAAATTTGAATTAAAGAAAATATTTTAAATTACTAATATTTAATTAAAAAAAGTTAAACTTTTGAAAAATAAAAATTTAAGAACTTATTTTTATGATTATTATTTCAACAAAGAAATTTTAAACAACTATATGAAAGAGTTTGTTTGATATTTATTAAATTTCTAAGAAATTCTTAACTTTAATAAAGATATGATGTATCTATAATTTTTATATATTCTAGATTTCTAATGTTAGGAATTAATTAATTAAAGTAAATAAATATCTATTAAATTACATGAATTCATTTATTTAAATATAATATATAAAATTTACAAAAATTAATTAGACCCTATTCTGCGAAACGGCTTTAAAATATTTCTTTTTAAGACAATTAATTAATAGATTAGCAAATATATTTAGGATATAGAATCATGACTGCTTTTACTAACGTTGATGAAAAAGGTTTACTTTAAAAGTAGATTATTAAGGATGGAATTGGAGATTGCCCAGAAAAATACAGAGAAGTTTATGGTAAATAAATTTAATTTATAAATACTTAATTCTAAAATATTTTTTTATTTTGAAGTTTATTTTGTTCTCAGAAATGAAAGAGGTGATTTAATCACTGGTACAGAATCACAACCCTACAAAGTAGTCATGGGACGTGGAGATTCATTCTAGTTTATGGAATAACTTCTTTTGACTATGAAATTAGGAGAAAGAATTTTAGCAAAAATTGATAAATAGCTAGTAAAGGATGATAAAAAGTTATCTAAATTAGTGAACAATGAAGAAATGAATTTAGAATTAGAAATAGAAATCGTAAGATTAATGAACTACAGAAACAGTTTATGGGAATTGGAAAGCGATGACAGAGAAGCCTTAGTTCAAACAATTAAAAACTAAGGAAATGAATTTATCAAAAACAAAGAATATTAAAATGCTACATACAAGTATGAGTCAGGATTAAAAACAATAAAAAATGATTAAAATTCTGTTTTCGATGAAGTCTAATAGTCTTTACTAAATAACTTATCTTTAGCATATCTTAAAAATAATCAATTTGCTGAATGTATTGAAACTGCCACTGAAGCCCTTAAAAGCTAGCCCTCAAATGTTAAACTTTTATACAGAAGAGCATAAGCCTATTCTGGCACTCAAGAATACGAAAAAGCTAAGTCAGATTTGAAAGAAGGTTTGAAGCTTGATCCTAATAATGCTGAGTTGCAAAAAGAATTAAACGCTTTAATTAACAAGGAAAAGATTTAAATTGAAAAAGAAAAAAAAGTCTATGCTAACATGTTTAAATGATAGAATATAAAATGCAATTATTATATTAGTTATGCTAATAGATAATAATTTTTATCTATCTGTCTAATATCTATATCAGTTTTCAAAAATGTAAAAATTTAACTTACTGTTTCTAGATGTAAATTATCTACGCCCACAAACATATTCTACAATATAACAACTAATAATTATTATTATCATATTTATTATTAATTAATTAAAGTATTAAATAAATTGATTTTTATAATTTATTAAATAATAAGAAGCTATTTTTGTAGCTTAAGTAGAAAACATAATATTTATAATTTATTCATTAATTTTTTAAATACAAATTTTATGTGCTGTTAATTGTTTATGAATTGATTTATTAAATTTATTAAGATGAGGTAAAATAAAAAATATTTTTTTTTTAATTTTCATTTAATAAATAAAAATAAAATATGCAATTAAATTAATGTTTTTAGTTTGGAATAAAGACTTTATTTGAGAAATAAGTTTAAGAAAATCTTTAATAAATTGATGAATTCGATTTTATTTATATTAATTAAAATTTGTAGTTATTTATGAATGTATTGCTTTATATTTTTAAATTAATAATTTCTTAATACAAAAAAAATATATTTAATTTTGAATCAATTTTAGTTCATCTTTAATTAATTCATTAATTAAAATTTTTATTTAATAATGAATGACTTTCTTTTTTTTTTGAAATTATCTCAGATAAATTTTAAAAATGAAATTAATTTTTTAAATTTACAAATAACACATGATAATAAATATACATTTAAAATAATATATTTAATTTTGATAATGCATTTTATTTATGGAAATGCATTTATATTATAATATTTATAAACATTTGAGGAATAAATTTTTTAGATATTTAACTGTCATTATAAAGATATTTTTGATCAATTCATTTATTTGGCTAAAAATCATTTTTATTAAAATTAAATAAATAAATAGATGTTTTTAATTAAAAGACATCATTCAAGCTTAAAGTTATTTTTTATGTCTATAGTTTTGTTAACTGATTAAAATACTGATACATGCCTTTCGAAAGGTATAGATGCTTTAGAGAAATCTTCAGAGACCATTGAAGAGTTATGCTTGTCTCTTTCATTTATATCTTCAAAATATATAGGTTATTATCCAAACTTTCTCTTAATTTTTTAGTCAATGATATATTTACTTTGCGAATTTTCATCTTCATTATTGATTTTTTCTATGTTATCTTCATTAGATTAAATTGCAAGAGGTACTTGTATAAATGTTTTGGAAGTAACTGATTTAATTTGTTAGTTTAAGTTTTAGTTATTTATACTATTGTAAAACTTACTTTTTTCTCTATCAATAGGGATATTTTGATAAGAACTTTATGATTACTGATAAGAATGAACTGTTTATCTTGTTTTTAACGGTTATTCAGGCTCAAGAAGACGAAGGTCTTTATAAATAACTAGCTCTGTTTTTATTTAGTTATTTCCGAATTGCGAATAAAGTATCTTTTCGTATGGGCCTATTTTCTTTAGAATGTATTTAGCTACTATGATTCCAATTTTCAAGGCATCTTGAGTTGAATTTAATTTGTTAAATTAAATACTTTGAGCTGGTTCTCTAATATTGAATGAACTATTTATCTAAGGTTTTAAGCCTTTTTAATGTCTAATTTCATCAATAGGAACATTAATTTATTTTATATCCGGTGTAAATTGCTAAGAAATTCTTTTTTTCAAAATGTATTAATAAGGGTTTTTTTAATTATCATTCAAAGTATTTTAGTTGGAAAATTATTACTATTATTAGTTCTGGTTATTATGATCATTTTAATTTTAATGTGTTGTCTAAATCATTTACATAGCCTTTTGTAATAATTATTCTGAGCTTAGTTTGTTGCATTCTTCTATTTTACAAATAGAAGATTATATATCGTCACACTCATTGATGATAATTAGTTTTAGCTGATTAGGATCTTTAGGTGAATTTTCTTTTGAGTTATTGACCGAAGAGCTATAGCTATCTCTTTTACCAATTTGCAATTCTTTTAAATTTATATGATGGTTAATTGCTTATTTGTTAGGAGATAGCATTATATTCCCTTAGCTCTTATTGTAGTGTTTTGGGATAGAAGTATTTTATTACATATTTAATTACTCTTAATAAAGCTCCTAGTAAGAAGGTAGTTGGTCTTGAATGGAAATACTGTTTTAAACATTATCCTCTTCCTTTAAAAGATCTTACATCGATTAGAAAAATATACTTATTTAAGATTTATTCTTGCAGTATGTTAAGGAATTAAATAAAATATTAAAAAGCATAAGAGAAAGTCTTTCTTTATCTTAATACAGGCTCTTATTTGAGTGATTTTCAAGATTTTTATCTGAGATTAAAACCTTAATAGACTTCTTTTCTATTAACGGCTAGCATATGTGAAGGATTCCTTTAATTAAATCTAAAATTTATGTATTAAGAAGTTGATATTTGAAACTCCTATTTTAAAAAAGAAAACTCTACAAGATGTTGTAATTTTGTGTTAAAGACTAGACTTAATACAAATAAAATTCAGATTTCTAAGTATGCCTCAAAGCATTAATAAATTAACTCATTTTTTCCGAATCATTTTGTTATTAATTAGTATTTTCTTGTTTATTTTTTTCTAATTCACTTGGAGATTTATTTAATGTTAAAAATATTGATGGCTTTTTCCCTTTTTCTATTAAAGTAGGAGACTACTGCTCGCTTTTGATATATTTATTTGGAGTAATTGTTATTTAAGAATTAATTGAGTTTCTAGATCCTATACTAAACAGTTATATATTTGCTCTACTCACTTTAGTTTATGAATCCTCTTCATTATCACTAGCTTGCTAATGTTTGTCCAAGTTATTACTTAAAAATCTAACTAAACTTAATTTTTACTTCCCTTTTCTAACAGGAAGTAAAGAAAGTCTATTATTTATAGATAAATTTGCATTTCCAGATTACAAATTGTGATGATAAGTAAAACTTCTCTTACTTTTTTTAGAAGAAGAAGTTCCTGGAGAACCTATACTTTGTTAATTTTATTAAGGCAGCCTTATATTAATGGGGTAAAGTCTTTTATTTTAATTACTCTGTTCTGGTGAAAGAGATGAACTTTACTTTAATTATTTCTTTTATTTCACTGTTTATTGAGCTTTGTTTTCCACAGCTAATTCTTCTTCATTCATAAAATGCAAATCTTCATTTTATATCTTTTGAGACAGATTTTCAATTTCATTTGGTGAATTCAAACCTGAATTATCTCCACAAGATTACTAAATTTAAGAGCGTTATTTTTTACTTAAAAAATTAGTATTTTCATTTAAATTATTGTATTTTAATTCGTTTAGGAAAGCTTTTTACTCTTTTTCTTATTCTTTTTAATTACATGCGTTATTCGCTTCTAATTATATACTTGTTTCAGCACTTTCAAATCTGTTTAGTTCAATTTTTTTTTAAGATTAATGTTATTTTTTTAGAGTTAATGTAAATTTCTTATCATCGACTATATTATTGTTTGGATCAGCAATTTAACTTCCAGCAATATCCGTGTTTATAAAATAATTAGAAACTGGAACATATTGTGGAGATTACTATAGGTATTTTAAATGATTATTTTAGTGTTGATTTGTATTTTGGTTATTTTAATAGCTTGAGTTTAAATTAATACTTTCTGTGTAAACATCTATTTTAGCTTAGTTTTTATTAAATTTTGAATTTTCGTTAGAGTCAAAGACACTTATGCCTACTTCACTATTTTCTTAACTTCTTAAATGTTAGCCAATCATAGCATTTTTATACTGCTAAGCAAACGTACCATAAGTTTATTCTTAATGAGCATAAGTATTCTTTTTCAGTTTGTAAAATGGTAATTTCAAATGCGAATAGGCAAACTTTTACTCTGCTAATGACTTTTTAGTAAGATCTTCCTATTTAACAAGATAGTGATTTAAGAAAAACTGCATCACTATATTTTTATCTTTAAGATTATTGAATTGTTATTTGAAGCTTTGGTCTTCAATACAAATCACAACATAATCATCTATCAATTTATAGCTCCAAATTCGGATGTTAACTTTTTTACTAACCCCATCATCTTACTTAATTTCTCCTTAAAAGCATGAATAAATAGCCCTGGTATTAAAATTATTTTATGTATATTATGGATGAGCAGTATCAAAACTGTTAAAGTTGTTATTTTCACTATTGTTAATTAAATATCCAACTGATTTAATTTCGTTTCCGCTCTTTATTTAAATATTAGATTACATACTTGTAAGTTTTTTAGTGTTTAATTATTTTAGTTCTAAGTTTTTTCCACTGTTTTTTTTACTTATGCTTCTCCTAAAATTTTTATTCAACAATGGAAATGGAGAATTTACAGCTGTCTGATTTGAAATATTTTAAATGGTTCCAGATTTTTGATATTAATTGGCTTAAAACTCATAATTCTACTAATAACTCGAATTGCTTTTCTTTCTTATATTAAATTTCTACTGGTAATTATCCTATCTGATTATTATTTCTTTACAAATGAACTTCAAATTAAGTTAAGAGTTTGTCGCTATTAAGCGCTTCGTTGCTTGATCAAACTCTGTATTAGAAAATAATGGACTGACTTCTACTTTATCAATATAGCAATTTTCAAGAAACAATTTAAAATTTTCTTCATTGCTTACACCTAAATTTTTGTTGGCTTCACAATTGCTTGAAAAAAAATTCAATCTTCCCATAGCTCTATTAAATTTAGAAGTGATTATATTCTATGGAATCATTTTATCTATAGTTTCTTTATGAACTTATCCCTTTTTTATATCAAGAAAAGCTTGGGCTGACTTTTTTTCATTATAATATAATAAGGTGCTCACAATCATTATAGTTGCTATGCAGGAAATTATTTGTAGAATCAACTCTTATGTTCCTAAAATATGGTAAATACCAAAGGCCTACAATACAACATAAAAAAATAAGCATAAAATGATCCTTAGTCTGTATGAAATAACACATTTAGACAAAGTCATAAAAGCTAAACACAAGCTAAGACCTCTCAATTAGCTAAAATATGATAAGCTCTACCAATCATCCTAATAATTAACTTAGCTAGAACTCTACATGTGAATTGTGTAGAATTTTTATATGAAGTATTCAAAGAATCCTTAGAGAATAAATAAACAAAAAAGTAAAGGAGCATGAATTTACTTAGCAATATTATATCTTAAATAGTAGAGCACACAAAGCAGAATGTAAATTACAGAAATTGAAGAACTAATTATAATAAACTATACAGAAATGAAATAGCTATCTTTGCTGTAATAAATTGTTATCTAAATCAAATGCCAAAAGAGAGCTATAAATGCTATTATCTTTCCTCTTTTTTTAAATTTGCTGAACAAAAAAACCTAATATTCATCATTTAAATATTAATCATTGATCCTTAGTGAGTATTTATTGATTTTCTAATTGTAGAATTTATCATTTTTCTTTCGCTATTTCATTCCTCGCAATAAGTTATTTATTATCTTTCTATCTATCTATCTGCCTATGTATTTATTTTTTTATTTCCAACCAAGATTAATTATTTTACAGATCTACTGGATTATAATTTTTCAAATAATTAAATCTATTAGTTTTTTACTTTATTTTTTCCTCTCTTCTATTATTTTGTAATTAAAGCATTGCCTAGAGTGTAATTTTTTTTGTTTAACATTATTAAGTTAGTTATGTTAAAAATTTGTTTATCCCTCGCATCTAATTTACTTCAATTTAAAAGTAACAAATATTTATATTTTTTAATTCTTTGATTTGCAAAAGGTAAATTAAAGTAAAGTAAACCCCATCAAAATTAAACAATATCAAAGATAAAATAATATTGTTGTTTTTAACAGTAACAAATTTTAATTGTCTAATTAATCACACTATTGTTCATAAACAAATATGCAATATAAATTTTGCATTTCAAGACATATTATTTTAATAAGTTTTCATATTTTAAAATTATTTAATTAATAACTCTATTTATTATATATGATCTAGCTTGAATACACTAAATATAATATTTTTTTGTTATTTACATTAAATTAAAAAAATTATTGATTCAAATTTTTAATTTAATTTAATTTTTTTTCGTTTTATTTTTAAAAAATATTTTTTATTCAATTTTTATTAATTTTCTTTCTTTAATTTATCACTCCAAAATTAATCATTTTTTTACAATTTAAAATAATATATTAAAAATATAATGAATGTACTTACATATTTACATATTATATCCAAAATTTAGAAGTAATAATTTTAAATAATATAATTTTTGAATGACTTAAGCAAAAACAAGCGTTGATGTATGTAAATATTTTGCAATCTTAACATTATAAAAAAATATTTAAAAAAATAAATTGAAAATGAAAGAATGATTCATTTATTTATCTATTCTTAAGGTGTATCTTGATAGAACTAAGAATTTAAATGTTAAAGAAATATTATTTATAATCAATTAAATTAATTATTAATTTTTGTTATTTTTTATCAAAAATCAACATAAATATTCTAATATATGATTTTACAAGGATACTAAGGAAAATATATCTTAAAAAATAAAATTCTTGGCTAAGGTGGATTTAGTTAAGTATTTTAAGGCAAAATTTGCTAAGATGATGAAGCGCGCAATTTTGTGGCCATAAAAAAAGTTAGCAAAACAACATTAGGTAGAAATTAAAAATTATTACTTTTATTATTATTATTTTTTAAGAAGCATCTTATTTTTTAAAATATGTAGATGGACAGGAGAATAAAAATTATGAAAAGGAACTTGAAATAAGTTAGAAAATATTTGAAATAGAAAGAAACGATCCTTGTCAATACATTATGAATATAATAGATTTCTGCTAGCTTGATGAATCTTATTATATTATTACAGAGTATTATGAAAGTGGAGATTTCTTGACTTTCTTAAACTAAAATTTTGAGTATTTTACTTTAGACATAGTGCTAGACATATTGATATAGATAGTGAAAGCTATTAACTATCTCCATAAACATAATATTACCCACAGAGATCTTAAGCCTGAAAATATCTTGATTTCTAAATAATAAAATATGTATTTCGTAAAAGTAGCAGATTTTGGGTCTGCTACTGTGAGTGATTTCAGCTCATTGTCAGGAACTCCTAATTATATGGCACCAGAAATATTTTATAACAAAATTCTAACCAATTCTATAGATATTTGGAGCTTTGGGTGCCTAGCTTATGAGATTTTAACTAAGTAGCAATTCTTCTGTGGAAAAAATGCTTAATAAGTAGTAAGACAAATAATATAATATGATGAGTGTTTATATAAAAATTAAAATTAAAATGATTAATACTTTTAAATTCACTAACTCATACAAAAATACTGTTTATAGCCTGATCCAGAAAAAAGATAAACAGCTTAGTTTATTATAGATGAGCTCTCTTAGCTCAGACAAACTCACTAATAAGAGTTAAAAACATATGATTTTGAAATTATAAATAGTTAAGAGGTAGTTTTTTAGTTTGAAGAAACATAAAATGGCAACTTAGAGTAATCTAACAAATAATCTGTATTTAATATGAAAAAATCATAGCAAAATAATGATTTTAATTTTTCAAAATCAAAATTTGAATAATATAGAAACATGAACGAAATTCAATAACTTTAAAACTCTCTAGAAAATAGTATTGTTATTAATGATGATAAAAATAACTTTTAAGATTAATAGGAAATAAAAGCTGAGGCCTGCTAAGATGATTCTTAACTTTAAACAGAAAATCTCTCATTATCTATGGATGATGACAGTTAGATTTATGAGGATTAAGCAAACTAGGAAATATAATTAGAAAATGGAGATAATAATGCTTCAGGTTAAAAAGAAAGAATGCTTGATTATGAGCATAATAGTAATAAAAATATTGAAATTTAATAACTTTCATATAATAAATGTCATGAAGATTCTGATTACCTAAATTAAAATTTAGATGAAACATAAGAAACAACTTAGAAACTCACTTAAGACTAAAAACTCAAGCTACATAAGGTAAATGAATGCAGTAAATAGAAGGATGACTATAAATTTCTATTAGATGCATGGATAAATGAAAGTTAAAATAAAGACAAACATATACTGTCAAATAACAATTCAATAAATGGAGAGAATTCCTTTAATGAAACAAGCTAAATAGCCATCGAATCAAGTACATAAGAAAAAGAATTGATTAAATCTTAAAATAATGAAATAAGTAATAAAAAAGAGAGAAGTTAACAAAAATAATAAAAAGATTTAATCTTTAATTCAATTAAATTGTAATTTTTGCCCAAATTTTCTATGAATTAATAATTATCAGATAAGGGTTTAAAATAAATCTAGAAATTTCTGCTTCCTCATCAAAAATTTATCTAAATTCCTTTTTTTTATAACAAACCAATAAGTGCTTTATAATAGAAAAATAAATAAAATCTAGAACCTTCTGATAAATTAAAAATAAGTTTTCTGCTCTATCCATGTTTATTAGGAGGTATTAGTGTATTGCTAAATAAATATATTTGAGCAAGCTAAACTAAATTTAATGTAAAATAATTATCAAATAACTTATTAACTTTGTGTAAAATAAAAGATATATCTTAAGCTCTTATTAATTAACACCCTTAAAAAAATATTTTCTACAATTTTAAGACATATTTTTAAAAATATTATGGGGAAAAAAAAATGAATTTAACATCCATATAATTATAAATTACCTTATGTTTTAAAAATTAAAGCATTAAGAAGATAAATTGAATGCTGATTAAAATAAATGCTTAATTATAATAATATTTCTATTATTTTAAATATAAATAAGATTTATGCTTAGAGGTCAAATTATGTAAAATTTATATATGTAAAACATAACAATCAAAGCAATAATTTTTAATATTTGAAATAATTAAGTTGTTAAATTTATTTAAAAACAAACATTCATTTTTATAATTAAAAATAAAATTATTATTAATAGGTTATGAAATAAAATATTTCTGAATTATTTTTAGAAATGACATTAAAGATCTTTTTATATATATATACTAAGAAATTCTTATGTCTTATTAATTTGAACTCAGTAAAAATTTTAATAAAATTCATAGAATGAAATTTGAAATGTGAAGCTCTTTTTAATAAATTAATGATTAATTATTATATCAAAAATTTTATTAAGAATATACCATTCTATTAATAATTACAATATCACTGTTATTTATTCTTAAATATTCTAATAACTTTGTATGATATTTAAAATTTTTAATTTGATTTTTCGATTATCATAATCAAATAATAAATTAATTAATTAGATTAGTAAGTAATATTATAATACCAATTACCATTGATAAAAAATGCAATAATAAATATAAAATATAATTGGTAAATAAGAATATAAAGTTCTTGGTCTTATAAGCTAAGGATTGAGTAAGCAGACTTACCTTGTAGAGGGAGAAAAATCGAAAGAAAGGTTTTCTATGAAAGTGTTTAGAGAATAAAACGCTGACTCAAGTAAGTTTAATTTTAGATTCTTTATATGATGACTAAAAATTATTATTTTCTAATATTTAAAAGCTCAATCTAAAATATATTACGAAAAAGAGATCAAATTCATTAACGACTGCATTAATTAGAAAATCTAACATCATGAAAATATTCTAAATTTTATTGACTTTATACCAAAACCAGAATCAAATGAGAATTTTCTTATTTAAGAATATTGTGAAGCAGGTAGCCTGTTTAATTATATTCTAAACTAAAAAAGTATGGCTCAAATCATCCAAATCTAGATTTGTCTGTAAATTGCAAAAGGGTTGCAATGGCTCCACTCTTAAGATATAATACACAGAGATCTTAAACCTGATAGTATACTTTTTACTAAAAGAAATGGAAATCATGTGTTTAAAATTACAGATTTTGGATATAGTTGTATTGGTTAAAACCAGCTACAATCTATAATAGGGACTATTAATTACATAGCTCCTGAAATTTTAAGCTAGTAATCTTACAGCAAAACAGTCGATATATGGGCGCTTGGTTTGACTATGTATGAAATAGCATATAGAAAGTAGCTTTTTCAATAAAAAACAGTGTAGCAAACGGCCTAAATGATTTTATCATTTAAATGTCTAGATGATCATGGACATAGTTAAAATGATCTTTTTTAGGTAATAAAAGAATGCTTAAATCCTGACACCGAAGCTCGTATCAAAATAGATTAAGTGGTAGAAATTTTACAGAGAATGTACGAAAATTAAATTCTATTAGCAAAATAGAAAAATGTACAAATGAGAGATAGTCAGGTGGACGATATCAGTGAATTTAATTCATAGTTTAGCTAATACAAAAATGAAATTGATAATTAGAATAATTTAGAATAAGAATCGAAAATAATTAATCACCAAATAACTATTTAAGAATTTTAATAGTTTATTAAAAAATTCGGTTTTGCGATAGAAGTTTCTCCATAATAAAAGGGATTTTTAAAAAAATTGTTATAAAGTAAAATAGCTCCTTTTAAAATGAATGTTGATCATTTTTCATTAGTTTGTAATGATAAATAAAAGTTTTATTGCAATCTTTTTCACTTTATAACATGTGGGAAGCTTTTAGGGTGTCTTTAATAGCACTATAGGATATCTGGATAGTTATTCTAAGAAAATTATGCTGATTCTTTCTAGGAATGGGTAATGAAACTAATTGAAGAGTCATCAGAAGTAGATAAAAGCATTAAAAAAGACTAATTTAAAACTTTATACTTGGCTCTATCTCAAATAGCAAATGTTAGAGATATTTATTTCAGATTAAATACCTATCTTAATTGGCTCGAAGATGATTCATATTTGCAGTAATCAATTAAGCTAGCTGAAATTATGTACGAAAGAATGTAACAGTAAGAATCGAAGAATTTCCTGCCTGCTACTTAAATTTAAATAATCAAATAAGATTATACAAGTGGACTTATACTAAGTTGTTAAGGTGGATTATATGATTGCTTTATCTTTGAAGAAGGTCACTAATAGACAATTATAATGCAAGCTGCTTATTTAAATGCTATTCAATGTATTGAGTGGCAATCTTAATAACAACAAAAAGAAATTTAAGATCTCATTTTCAAGTTTAAGAAGACTATCATAAATTAAGGAATCTTAAAAGAAACTAAATTACTTTATGACAGATTTAAAAAGAGAACGATTGAATTTATTGATAAGTAAGAAAAGGATAATAATGATTAAATTTATTATTGATTTACCCTAGTTTAACATTCATGAATTATTGAAAATAAATATATTTTGACTTCTTCTTGTCTAAAAATTTAGCAAATTATTACTTTTTGTTTGATATTTTTATGTCTAGTTTAATAAGCTTACTATTTAGTCAGATATTTATCATTTGAAAACTTTTTTATTGCTTGAGATAATTAATTATCAATTTAAATAACTTTATTAGATTTTCATACTATTTAATCAAATACGCATATAAAGCATGAATGAAAATATCTTTCTTTAATAATTACGTAAAATAAAAAAAGCATTTACTAAATGTTTTATTGATTTTATTGAAAAATTATAAAAAATCATTTAAATTATTACAGCGTATTGAAAAAGGCAAATGAAATTATTTTTTTTCAGTAATTATATCTATAATTTTGATTCATTAAGAAAAACTGCTTATAAATAATTTTTAATAACAACAATAAAGTCAACCAATCAATAATGATTAAGTTATCTAATAAATAAAAAATATAAAAACATATTTAATATTTAAATGTATTTAATTATTGATAGTAAATCAAAGAAATACTTTATTTTATTTAAGAATATTTTTTTTTAATTTTTTCTATATTACAAATTTAAACAATTTCCTAAATATTTAACTAAAGAAAATTTTAATACTCGAATTAATTTTGGGTAGAGATTAGAATATCTTTTTTGATTAGAGTTTTTTTCAATAAAATAATGTGAAAAATGTTTAGGATATTTAAAACATTATTAGAAGAATCTAGAATCTCTTAATTTGATAACAAGAAAATTTTAAAAATATATAAAATTCAAGCTGATTCCAAATTAAAGTAGTTGATTAGAATATCTTTATGATTAGAGTTTCTTACTGTACAATAATTTGAAGAATATTTAATCATGTTTATATTAGAATATATAGTCAAATCTGAATTAAAATTCCATTTTTTTCAGAATGATAAAAAAATTGATTAAAAAACTGAATAAATTTTTTTTTTTTTATTGTTTGAAAGAAAATATCTTAGTAAAAAATAATAAATTTTATTAATTTAATGCGAATTCATTTATTTTATAATATATCCTATTTTTTTATTGAGAGATAATTTTGTTCAGTTAATTAAACAAATAAAGTGTTTGTCTTTAAAGAACTGCATCTATATTTTATTTTCAATTTCAGACAAATAAAATGATATTTTGAATTCAACAATATTAGTAAGAATATCTATCTATCTACCTATTTTTTTTGTTAATTACAATAAAATAAAAAATAAAATTAAAAGTCATTCCTAATTAAATTAGATATCATTTGATTAGATAAACAATATTAGTAAGAATATCTATCTATCTCTCTACCTATCTTTTTTTGTTAATTACAATAAAATAAAAAAATAAATTCCTAATTAAATTAAATATGATTTGATTAGATATATTTAGTATCTTTTTTGATTAGAGTTTATACACAAAAAATTATTTGAAAACCATTTAGAATATTTAAAATAATTAGATTAGGCAGAAGATGTTTAGAATATCTATTTTTTATTAAATAATAAAACAAAAAAGAAAAATATTAAAAAAAAACCTGATTCTAAATTATGAATAAAGAAGTTAACATTCTTTTACTAAGAGGCTATTCTAATATAGAGCTAATAGGTTAAGGGGCCATTAGTTAAGTATTTAAAGCAACAAAAGAAAATAAAATTTTTGCAGTAAAGATTCTGACTAGCAAGACAATAGGTATTTTTTATTTACTAAAATAAATTTATGAATAATTCAAGTATTTTATTTTATTTAAATAGGTGGAAATTAAAACCGTTATTGGAAAAATGAGATAGAAATAATTACTTAATTGTAAAAAAATTTAAAAGCTTCTCCATGCCCATACATTACCTAAATATATGATGTATTTTAAGAAAATGAATCCGCATTTATAGTCAATGAATACTGCGATTAAGGAGATTTGTACAACTTTATTTAAAAGTGCCATCAACATTTAAATCATTTTTCACTTGCTATCATGATGAAGCAACTAATAGAAGGTATAATATACCTTCATGAAAGGAAAATCATACACAGAGATCTTAAACCAGAAAATATTTTGGTAGCTTACTAGGATAATGTTTATGTCCTTAAGATTACAGATTTCGGAATCTCCTCTCAAGATGAGCTTACTAAATCTTAAGTAGGAACTGTTAACTATATGGCTCCTGAAATCATTAGAAGTTAATAATATGATAAATCAGTAGATATTTGGAGCTTTGGATGTATAGCCTATGAAATAATTACTAACGAGTAGCTATTTTAGGCTTAAAGTCAATTCGAAGTTGCAAGAAAAATAATAAATTTTCAATATTAATCCAAACACTTTATTAATTAAGATCTTTTTGAGATCATCGAGTAATGTTTGCAAGTTGACTAAAATAAAAGAATTACCTCAGACGCTATTTTAGATAAGCTTAACAATATAATCAATAAATATATGTAAATACCTCAATAAATAGATGAGGAAAATAGAAGTTAGAGTATTGAAGAATATTCAGATGATGATAATAATAGCGAAGGTGATGCATTCAAAAGCTAAATTGATAATAGATAATAAAGAAACCAATCTATTAACCAAACCTAACAAAGCATTAAACCAAATAATCTGCAATCAAATATTACTTCTATATGTCCTGAAGAAGCTATAGAAGATTTAAAATCATCAGTAAAATCTATTAGATTGCAGCAAAAGGAAGAAAATATTTTATCATTGCTAAAATAAATTAACATATAAGATAAATAATTAGAAAAAGGAACTTATTATTATATTCTGTACTAAAATGAGCTGTAAAATACTGACAAATAGATATTGTAAATATTTATTTTCTTAATCTACACCTTAATAGAAGGCGGTTTGGTTAACCTTAAAGAATTTAGTAGTGGTCTCAACTTAACTCAAAGCAGCGAAGAAATTGAACTATAAAAATTACTAAATTTTTGTTTGGTAAACTGTATATTCTAGGAGAATTAAACTTAAAATAGATTTTAATATCTTATCAAAGATTTGCTAAGAAAAAAAGTTCTATAATAGGCATTTTAGAATATTTGTAAAAAAAAGTCAGAATAAATTTTAGAGCTCTTTAAAAAATAGGATTAAATAAGTTATGAAACCTTTAAGAAAAACTTAACAGAGTTAATTCCACGTTCTAAAATTAGTTAATGCTTCTATTCTGTAATCAATAACAAGACTTTTTAAATTTGTGGAGTATTTTCATTTACAATACTAAGTTTTTATTTGATTTATAAGTACTACCCTAAAAATGTTAATTAGAAATTTCTTGGTTTCAAAAATAACGAGTAATTGCAAAACAATTAATAAAGTTAACGTTGAGTTTATGTAATAAAATAAATAAATATCTTTTATATATTTTCCCATTTTTTTATTGTTTTTTTAAAAAAAAAAACAAGATTAATATTTTTTATTTAAATTTAATTAAAATTTTTTTTGTGTTTTCACTAACTATACTTTGATTAATAACAACGTGTTTATTAAATAAATTTCTTTCTAAATATTAATTGACGCATAAAAAAATATACTAAACTCAAATAAATATTCTAATTTTTTGAGATATTTTGTAAAAAGTTTTAAAAAAATATTTTAATTTTATCTTCATATTTATAAAATATAAATAAATCTCTTAAACTAAAACTAATTTTTTTAAAAGTACATTTTAAAATATTATTAAACCATTTCATAAATAATCTAAATTTGATAAATATCTTTATATTTTTAATAAACAGATTAGATATTCTGAATGTATATATGGTTTTACTATTAAATATTAACATGTATAATAGATTCTTATTATTATTCAATTTAAAAAAGAAAATGGTATTAATTAGAATATTTAATAATCAGTCAATCAATCAATTAAATTATTTAGTTATTTATTTATTATTAGATTTGAAATAAAGAAAGAAAGATATATTTTGTAATTTAATTAGAAAAAAATTTATTGATAAGCAATAAAAAATGAGTGTTTATCCACATTTAAAAGGTTATTAAATAATTAACGAAATAGGGCAGGGAGCATTTGCCAGAGTTTATATAGGAATGAATTGTAATGGCAAGGAATTCGTAGCGATAAAATAAATTAGCAGTGAAAGAATAGGTAATATTAATTAAGCAATTAATCAACTTTTGTAAATCATTTTTTAATATGAAAAACAAAATGAGATGGTCAAAAAAATAGGTACTTGTAGAAAGAATTAGAAACAATACAATTATTGATTAAAGAATCACAGTATCCTGATTATAGTCGCTTTTTAACAAAATTTTACAGTTTTTAATCAGTTAATAACTGTTATTACATAATTAGTGAATTGTGTGAATATGGAGATCTTTGTTCACACTTATTTAATTTTTATGATTAATATACATTTGAGATTAAATTAGAATTCTTAGTTGAAATAATATCAGGCATTGAAGCTCTTCATAAAATGGGTATCTCTCATAGAGATATCAAAACAGATAATATCCTTATCGCTTTAGATAAATAAACTTAACATTATTATCTTAAGATAACAGATTTTGGTATTTCATCTTTGAAAATGGAGAATTTGTAGTCGAAAGTAGGCACAGTTGTATACATGGCTCCTGAAATTTTAAACTCAGCAAATTATGATTACAAAGTAGATATTTGGAGCTTTGGAATAATAGCATTTGAGATTATGAAAAATGAGCTTTACTTTCCATATGATGGTGATGCTAACACAATAAATTAAATTAGGAAACACACTAAATATCAGAGAGGATTAATAGATAATTTAGAAATAGAAAACATCTTAGAATTATGTCTCCAAAAAGACCCTAAATAAAGACCTGAGGCATCTTTAATTAAACAAAGATTAATGAAACTTTAGATAGATATGTTCCATAAAAAAATGCCTAAGGATTAGATGAATAACTATCAGCAACCATAATAATATCAATAGTAAGATATTTAATAATAGAGCAAATAGTATTAACCCTCTGAATGGCAAAGTTAGTAATAATAACAGCAAGAACAACTTTTTGAAAATTATTAATAATAAATAAAAAAAATAACTTCTAGTCTTTTAGGTCTTTCTGCTTAAAATCTAGCCAAAGATTAGAATTCTGTTCTTTCATATTTAACTTAGTATAAGTATAATGAAGAATAAATAAATAATTAAAATGAATCTCATGTTAACTAAGATGAGTTAGAAAAAGCTAAAAATTAGATGAATAAAACAAACTTAAAAAACAGAAATTAAGAAAACAAATCTCACTTAAATGGTAGCTCATAACAAAAATAATAGAGTCAATAGTCAGCATAATCATCAAATACTAATTCTTAAAATAGCAATCAAAAATAAATTGACTAAATTGAATCCATTAATAATTAAGATAATGATAAAAGTCTATCTAAAAACTCACAATCTCAAAACTTTTAATAGTTAAATTAATCGAGTTAGCCAATTTTAAACTAAAGGAAAACAAATAATAATACTAAAATAAATATGACATCCCATCTAAGCTATAATTAAGACTAATAAAGTTAAAAAAATGATAAATGCTTATAATATTTGACTATTTTTTTGGTCTTTATTTTGATTTGTTTATCCTACAATATTTTTATAAAGTGATGGTTTTTTTAACTAATTTTTTAATCAATTTATTAATTTGATATTTTTTTAATGTTTTTTTATGAATAATTAAAAATTTATTTTTGTTATAAAAAAAATTATTTTTTGTTTCTTTTTAAAGTTAATTTAAAAATAATATCAATCGCCATATTTAAAAGTTATTCTGTTCAGTTCTAATCTGAATATTTTTATTTATTTATTTATTGAATATCATTTTGATTGCTAAAAATAAAATAAATTATAACAATATGTAAATTTCTTAAAATATTTTCAGATTTATTTTAATAAACTTTAAATCACTTTATTTTTTTTTAAGCAGTTTTTTTAATTTTGTTTTTATTAGATGTATAGTGTTGGCTAAATTATTTTTGGTAAAATAGATTAGATAATTCTTTTATCAGCTTTTAAATATTTTTTAGATTGTTAAGTTTATTATTGAAAATATTAAAAAAATAATAATTAACCAAACTAAAATATTCTTTCTTTAATTATTTTTTAATTAAGAAAATATATTATGAAATATATTTAATTTATAATTCATATAAAAGCATTAATTACCTCTGAAAATAATCTAGAAGTAAAAAAGCAATAACATATTTTATACTTCTAATTAAATAAATATCAAAAATAGTTGCTCAATATATTTAAATCAAAATTTTAAATTAATATATTTATTTAATTCTATTAATATCTTAACTTAATATTATCTAATATACAAAATTGCTTCAATGAAATGATATTTAAGCTGCAAAACACAGCTAGTAAAAAGTTTGATTTATAAAATAGCAATTAAAGTAAAAGGACTTAACTCATTTAAAGAAAAGACTCTTTATAAATAATTAGTAATCCCTAAAAGAAAAAAAATAAAGCTTTTAATATATTTACAAAAAATTCGATATTTTTATGATATGATTTCATATAGGTATAAGTTTTTACTTTTAATTCTAAAATGTCTAAATTAAAAATATTATTTTAACTCAATTTTCAAAAACATATTTTTAAAATTGAACTAAAACGAGATATCAAAAAAATAAATATACTATTATTTATTTATCTTAATTTCATAGATAGATAGATACCTTAAATTTTATTAATAAATTAAGTAGATCTTTTAAAGTTTAATTTATATTTTGTTTTTTGTTCATTTTTTAAGAATTCCTATTTTATAATTCTCTCTAAATTTGCGTGCTCCTTCTGTATGTTTATTAATAGAATTAAATTTTTCTGTGGCATCTTTTCCAGCATATGGATGAATGGAATCAGGTCTTCCAGGATGGATAAACTAGTATTCTGTAAGGTCATAAACATTTTAATCTAAAACTACCCATAAATCTTGCATCTTATTGTGTTTTTAGACTTCCTCTAAAGTAAACTCCTAATATTCAGCTTTTAAAAATCTAACTTTTCTCTTAAAGTATTCGCTTTAAGGTTTTTTTTCTATATTTCCAACTATTTTGCCTTGCTATTTCAAAATTAAAAACAAACTCTCATTGAATTACTTTACTTACTCTTCTCTATTAATCTATCCTATGTTTTTTAACAAGAATTCTTTATAATTAGACTATAACGATAATAACTCAGTAACATCATAAACAGTATCATCAATTATAAAATAACAGCTTTTTTCATCTGAGTGGTCTAGTAAATCTTCCCAAGTAACAATATTTTAGTTAGAATTCATTTCAAATGTAATCTTATTTTATATATTTCTTATTTTGATTAAAGTAATTTTACCCTTAAAAATTAAAATTTTACTATCAGATTTATCTAAACTAATTTTTCAATAATTCTAAGATATTATTTGAGCTAAAACAATTAATTAAAATGTTTATAATTACATTTATAATTTAATAAAATTTAAGTATAAAATCCATCTATTTTAACATAAGAATTCTATTTTACTCAGTTTGATAATATAACAATGTAGATATAACAATAAAATTATTTATCAAGAAATAGATTTCTTTTAAAATTATACTTCATCATTTTTATTACTAAAAATTTTTGAGAACAACTACCATGACAAATAAATAAGTAAAACTTTAACTACTATCTAATATAAAATAAACTCTTTTTATAGCTTTAAAAGTTTGACTTTAAACTTTGCTATAATTGAATTTTATATTCAAATTGGCAATAAATCATATATACTCTAATTGTCATTGCTTTAATACTACTGCTCATATATTTGTATTGAGTTTTTTTGAATAACTCTTTGCCTTGGTTAAATAAAAAATGTTATAAAAATTTAATAAAATAAATAAATTTTCCAATTACCTTGACTAAAAGTTTACATCAATCTGATAGTTTTCTGATCTTCCTTCATAATCAGCTGATATATTAAATTATTTTGGTTAAATCATTTAATCTTAATTGTGATCCTTTTTTTAGATTATTTTCAAAACTAAAATATTAATAAAAAATTTACAATTTAATAGCTAATAATATTAAGATTTGCTTCTAATTTTCTCATGTCTTGAGCATATTCTTCACTATTTAATCCCATCTCTTAACATATTTGAATTAAACATTTAAGACCTATTATATTTTGAATATTTGCTAAATTATTTTATTTAAATAAAAACTATCTTATTTTACATTCAATGTTTTAAGGGTCATTTTCATAGATTTCTTGATATATTTAAAGAGTCAGCTTATTCAACCCCATTTTTTTATAGCAAAAAGCCACCATAAATTTCCATTTAGCTTCTTTTGGCTGTATTTATATTGCCTTTTCAAATATTTATGAAGCCTTTTCATATAACTCTTATTTTATAAAATATAAACCTAGCCATTCTATTGTTTCAATTTTATAAGAACAACATTTAAATGATTCACTGTAATAAGTAAATGCTTGTAATTCATTATTTTCCTATTATATTAAATAAAATTTTTATATTTCGATAATAAAAGTAAGTTTAATAACATTACCCTTGCATATATGCTACCAACAATTGCAAGAATATTAGCCTCTGTAGGTATTTAAGTAAGTAATATTTGATACCATTTCAATGCTTAATTTGATTATCCCATCAATTCATAAATGTTTGCCACTTGATAAATGATTTCAGGTGTAGAAATGATAGTCAATAATTTTTCTAATACCTTATAAAAATAAATAAACATTTAAATTATCAGTCAAATAAAAAAATACCAATAAAGCTTCATTAGGCATATTTAGCTTTTTATTCACAAGAGCTAAGTTGTAAAGAGCCTCAGCGCATTAGGCATCATATCTGAGGGCATCTAAATATAATAGCTTAGATCTTTAAAATTCATTTTTAACAAAAAAGCAGTTTCCTCTATTGACCAAAGCCTTAGGATTAAATCTATCAAAATCTATAGCTAAATCAGCATATTACTCAGCATTTTTAAAATTCTTTTCTAAGAAATAAAGAAAAGAAATGTTATTAGAGACTCTTCCCACAATAATTTTATCTCTTTTTTCAAACTATTTGAGTGTTTCTATTGAATTAACAATATCTTTGGTTTCTAGATAAGCAAGTGATTTGCATATTTCTATTTCTGTTTAAGCCTCATAAAAATAAGAATCCTTTAAAGCTTCAATTACCCAATTATACCCATCTATAATATTGTCTAGAATAATTGGTGCTATAAATTTAGCACTCCTTATTATTATTTCTACAGCTTATTTTTTTTTCTCTTTTATATACTCTCTTAAAGGATCATTTAAAGCTATTCCTTGAATTATTTCTTCTTGTTCATTTTAATTGTAACCCGGTATTTCAATATTTATCATACAAGAAAAACAGTCTTTTATTCCTTATTTATCACCCAACTCAAAAAGGCAAAGAATTAAATTAAATGCAGTTTAGAAGTCTGGTTTTTCATTCATAATAGTTTCAAAGTCTTTTATGGCTTCCTAATTTTTATATTATTGATTATTTTTTTTAATCTTAAAAATTATTCATTTCAAATCTTTTTTATTTTTAAATAGCAAGTTTTCATTTAATTTTTATTAATAGAAAATTACATTATCAATAAATTACTATCAATTAAATATACAGCTAAAATAATAAAATTTTAGTTTTACTTCATATTTTCCTTGTTTTATATTAGCAATACCGATATTTTTAAGTATTTATAAACGCATACTTGTATATTTAGAATCTCTAAACGTCATATGATAAGCTCTTTTATACATTTTAATAGCATCTTTGTATTACTATAACTAAAAGTAAATATTGCCCATGTTAACTTCCAGATTTTATGCTATTGGATGATGTTTATATTTTTTTACTATTTAAGTATATTACTTAAGAGCTTCTTAATAGAAACCATTAGCTTAAAGTTAAATTGCTAAGTTATATGGAACATCATACTATTGCAAGTCAATTTCTTCATAATAGTTGTTAACTTTCTCTTTCTGAATTTTCAGTTTATTACTTTGCTCAACTGCTTACTTTGCAATTTCTAGTGCTTCACCTAAATCACCTTTAAATTTAGCCAAAGCAGAATTTTCTAATAATTATTTTATTTCTATTTCCTTTCTTTTAATTTAAGCTTAAGGAGATTAATCAATTAATTTATCAATTTTTGGTTGATTCTAATAAAACTTTTGATTAGTTCTAAAAACTGGCTTAGTTGAAGACATTGTATCCTAAAAAGCGCATCTAAAACTTGAAGAACCTGTATTTCTTCTTGACTAGAGTTTTTTTTGTCCTGACAGCGGAGTCTAATTTAAATTATAAATAATTATTTTTAACAATTTATATTTAATAAAAAACCATTTCTTTAGTCAATATAGTTAATGTGATATTAATAAAAAGTGAAAAAATCAATTTATCAAGTTAATTATTTAATAAATCAAATAAAAATCATTACTTTTATCTTTGTATCCTCAAAATTATATATAGATGTATTGACTTTTTATTGCGTGCTTTGATGTGTATTAAATGACTAGGCTGTGGTATTCATCTATTCAATATTATTTAAATAAATTTTAATATTTTATAATTAATTGTTTTATTGAACTTTTAATTGAAATTAGTTGCTTCAGATAAGTCTTTTCTATTTACAAATGGTCGGTTTTCTACTTTTAATTATCTAAACTTAATGAATTATTTATTCTTCTTAATGATATATAAATTATTGACATTATTTTAATTTATTTTAATTTGAGTATAAATATTTTAATAGAAAAATAGCATAATATAGAAAACAGATTTTATTAGTTCTCTCTCAACAGTAAATTAAAAAAATAATTAGTTTCCATCAAAAGTAAAAAATAAATTCTCAATTTTCTTTATAATTATACATTGAATTTTAAACTTGTCTGTAAAATATTTTTTTAATTTTCTAATAATTAATTCAAAGAAATTTTAAGAAAAGTAAAATTTTATTTTATTTAATTTCATCAAACTTTTTCACACTTTTTAAGTTTAACATTTTTATTTTAGAAATAGAATTTTTAATTTTTAAATTCTAATAATAATTAATTCAAAGAAGGTTTAAGAAAGTAGATTTTTATTTTATTTAACTTCATCAAACTTGTTCACATTTTTTTAATTTACCATTTTTATTTTTGAAACAGAATTTTTAATTTTTAAATTCTAATAATAATTAATTCAAAGAAGGTTTAAGAAAGTAGACTTTTATTTTATTTAACTTCATCAAACTTGTTCACATTTTTTTAATTTACTTTTTTGTTATTTTTATTTTTGAAATTGAATTTTTAATTTAAAAAAATAATTTTAAAAATAGAAATTAGATAAAATTAATAAATTAATTAAAGTTGTTTAGAAAGGAGTTTATTTTATTTTTTTAATTTCAGATAAATTATTTGGTATTTTGTTTGAGATTTTATTAATTATTTTAAAAATAAAAATAATTTAGAAGAAATCTTAAAATATGTTTTTTAATCAATGAAAAAAAATAATTATTTTTAGGTAATTATTACTAGTGAAAATATTTAAGGAGTTTAACACTATAAATATAATTTAAATCTATTTATATTTGCATGCTTATTAAAAATTTATATATAGTAATAATTATAGAGTCTTAATAAATTATTATGCGCTAATACTATAGTAATTTATTAGAAAAATTTAAGTGACAAAGTTTCAGATTAATAATTAGATTAAGTAGAAATAGTTGCTAATTTGTTTTTTGATTGATTTATTTAAACAGATATTATCGAAAAATCAAAAGATTAAAACATTTAATTCCTTATGAATAAGATTACTGTAACTTAAAAGGGTGTTCAATTGCAATAAGAGCTTAAGGAGAATTTAGGCAATGTAATTACTCCTAGAATTGTATTAGAAAAATAAGAATCTCCTAAAGGATATAGATTATTATTGAATTTATCTCAAGATAATTTAAAAGATTCGATTAAACTGTAAAATACAAACAGAAGTAATATGTCTACATTTAGAACTACAAAAACAACTAGGGCTTCAAGTCTCTAGACTACACGATCTTGTTTTACAGAAGAAGCGAATGCACATTCTCCACGAGTAAGGGAGATGAGAAACCAGAGTTTATTATCTAGGATTAAAGCAAAAGAAAGAAAGATTGAATACAGTGTTAAATAAAATTTATGCAATTATACCAACCCAAATGAGATGAATTCCATTTTAAACAGAATTAATATGAGTACTTTGTCCACAAAAAATATATTAACTAGCAGCTAAATGGTAATAGAGCAGTAAAAATAAAATCTTATTGAAAACATGTAAAGATAGTAGGAAAGAATTTATAAAAAGTATGTCCTAAATACAAATAAATAAGAACTTCTATAGAGCAAGCAACAAGAAAAATATTAACAATAAATGATTCAAAAATAATAAGTTATAGTTGAAGATAAAGCTAGAGATAAATTTTGGTAAAACTGGCAGAGTATGCAAAGTGTTTTAAAATAAAGAACAGCTTAATTTAATATAGATAAAGAAAGAGGAATGGAAAGGTTAGAATAATTTTGCAAACACAGATATTTAAAATCCTTCCTCAATCTTCCAAAGTGTGCTAAAAACTATGATAAAAATTATGAAGAATACAAATAATTATGAAAAAGGGAACTTTTAAAATCAAGTAAAACACTAATTCTGCTTAAATTAATTTTTTTATATTTAAGAGAAGCATACAATTAATATATATTTTGGAAGAATCAATTAAATAAATAAGTGATTTATAATATATCAATAAAATATAAATATAAAATTATATAGCAAATATTAGACTAGTCGTTTAGTTCAATTTTTAGTATTTATTTCAATAAAGTATTAATAAAATTTTATTCATTCTTTGTTTGTTTGTTCTTAAATAATTATTAAAAAAGTATTTTGATTTTCTTTGATCATTTATTTATTTATTGAATTTGTAAGAAAAAACTCGTTTTTGTTTAACTAAAAAAAAGACTTTGCTATATATTTACTTATTACATTATTTTTATTGTATTTATTAAATTAAATATTTTGGATTAATCAATGGATAAAATTAAAAATTTTCAATTACAGAAGCATTAATTTGTGGAATTAACAATATTTAAACAAAATCCTTTTTTATTAATAAAATTATGCACTTAGAATTTATTATTAAGATTTTGGTATCAAAATTAGCTTAAAATTTTTCATAGAACCAAAAATTATTTACTTATTTATGGAATAAGTAAGCAAGGAAGAAAGAAAGAAACAAAAAAACAATAAAAAGAGTTTGCAATATTTCTTAAATGATGTATTTATAATTTATTTTCAAGATTGTAGATTTGATCAAACAAATTAATATTTACCATCATATATAATTTAATCATAAACTGTAAATTAATTTGAAATTAGTAAGTATAAGCCCTAGAATCTAATGGAAAACATGTCAATTTTATTTTTCATAAATCACTTTTGGGTTTTGACACAATTTTTTCTTCTTTTGTAAAGATTAAAGTCTTAATTAAATCCTTTGTTGATTAGATTTATAAATAGTAAGAAAATATTGAAAGACATATTTTTTAACTATGATAAATAACATGCTGCTAGACTTTGGTTTGGATACTTCTTCTATATTTTATGGTATCTTTAAAGTTTTTTTTTAATAAATTAAAGATTGATTTCTATTAAAATTTAAGAATAAATTACCAGACACAAAAGTTTATTAGAAATTTAATAAATTTACACTCATTAGTGGTAATTAAAAATATGGACACACCTAGTAATTAATATTAACTCAAAATTAACTTTGTTGAAGATAATATTGGTAATAAGATATACTAAAGCACACAAGAGTAATAAGCATAAGATCAAACTCCAAGTACCTATCGTAGAAGAGATGGATAGAATTTCTTGATACCTCGCACTTCAATCAAGATGATGAATTAATCATAAAAGAGATTTAGCAAAATTACTGCAGGTTTATCTTATTTAACTATTTCAAATGTGTTTGACCATGCATTTAAAATAGTAAGTATTCATTTAAATATTTCACTAGCTTATTTTTGGTATTTTAAATATATAATTTATTGTTTTAAATATGTAGAATATTGTTTAATACATAAACTCTTAAGATAAAAAGATCTCTGAAATAAGATTCTTGAAGAAGCACTTATAAAACTGCAATTTTTTCTAAAATTATGCCATACCTTTAGGTGATGATGTCTTCGAATAATGCATTCAAAAATTACAAATTAAAACTCTTTAGCCCAATACTTATTTAATTTAAAAAGGTAATAAATATTCTATCATAACTTTAAAAAGTTTGAATTATTAAAATTTTACTTAAATTTTGAATATTCCTATCCAAATTTAATAAGTAGAAGTTATTAATAAACAAACAATTTTTATTCACAAAATCATAAAATGATTTATCCTTTTTATATTTAAAGGTGATCAAGTAGAAAATCTTTACATTTTGCTTATCGGTTCTGCTTTAAAGACTCAGTAGAAGTTATAAAAATCAGAAAATATAATATTATAATCCGAATAAGATTAATTTACTCCATCAAATTATAATTTCTCTTCAATGAATTCTTGCTTTTAAATTCATAATGCAGCTTTACAAGTGTCTCCTAAAAGTTAATTTTTGTATGATGTAAATTCAGCTTTATCCAGTCAGAGTAATTTTAACCAAAATAAAGGAAATAAAGATGCAAAAATAGAACCTATCACTAGTCTCTTTGAATAGTAATTTTTGCAAAGAAGTGATTCAACTCATTATATATATAATACAGAGGAATGTGTGTATGCCTATATAAATTCTTCAACTTTTGCTCAAATCATTAAAAATAGTAAAAACAGTGAACTCATATAGAATTTAAACGAAATTAGGAGGTCTTAATTTTTATCCGATTGGCCTGTGATTAAGCTAAAATCTATAATTAATTAAAGTACAATCAAGAGTTATCAAAGAAATCAATACGTTTACAAGTAAGGTGATTAATCCTCATTTTGGTAAATTATTTTTTAAAATAAAATTATTAGATGCTGAAAGAATTTGAAATTTTACATAAAAATAAACAATATCAAAACTTAATGCCTGTATTCTAAGTTAAGCTACTGACTTCATTATAGCATTTGTATCATAAAATAAAAACATTACTAATATGATATAATAATTAATATGTTCTATTAAATTATTTATTAATTTATATAAATTCTTTTTAAAATATTTTAATGAATTCAGCCAAATATATTGAAGCTACTTTTGCTGCAGTTAAAATGCAGCAAGCATGATAAAAATATATTTTAATTTAATTTAAAAAAAATAAAATTTAGGTATTTGATTTTAGATGGAGAATTCGAATATGAGAAAGAATTTTCTATAAATAATGAAATTAATGACATACAAAAAGCTTGTTTAGATAAAGTAGCTCATGAGTTTAAAAAATAGAACATAGTGACTGATGAAAGTTAGAAAGGTAAAGGGTTTCTAAGAGTATCTCTATTATAATAAGGAGAACTATTTGGGTTAGAAGATTTAATTCCGAAAGATCTCAGAAGATATAATTTAAAATGCATTTCTAATGTTGGAACAGTTAGATAAATTAACGAATAATTGTTTTATAAACTTATAAGCAAAAGTAGTGAAGAAAGCTAAAAGTTATAGAATTTAGCTAACCAAAAACTAGCTTGGCTTCAAAAAGCAACAGAAGAAAAAATGCCAATAAATAAGAAAATATTTAACACAATTTTAGATAGCAAAAGGAATAGAACAATTTAGTTGATTAAATAGTAAGAAGAATACAAAGAAAAAGAAATGTAAAACATAGCTAAAATGGTTATGCAAGCAGAAACAAATATTAATAATGATTAGAGAAATAGAAATAGAAGCAATTTGGCTAATAATCCAAGTTTTGGTTTTAAAAATACAAATAATCATGAAACACAAAGGGATGTACTTGGCTTGGCAGAAAATACAATTGAAAACTAAATAAAAGACTCAATAAATAAAAAAGTGTCTTTATAAAAGGATAAAAAAAGAATTCATTAATTAATTAACTAAATATAATCACCAATCAAATTAATTTAACCAGAAAATAAAATCACTTTTTTATAACCTACTGATGATGAAGAAAGCAGAAAAAATAAAATACAAAAAGAATTAAGCTAAGAAAGAAAAAAAATGATTGAAGCAAAAGAAGACCTCCTTTCTTAATATAGAGTCAGTATTGATAAATATGTCTCAGAAAATAATTAGAAGCTATAGTAATAATTTTAATTAATTAATTGCTAAATTTCAAATTAGGAATTATTAATTTGATCTAATAAATTATATTTATGTATTTAAATCATTTGTTAAATTTTTTATTGATTTAATTAATTAGCAAAAAGATTGAGTTCAAGAAGCTAGGAGCTAATTATTATATGAAATCACATTAATAGGGAAGTGAAGATCATTCAGGCTAAAAATAATATTAAAAAATAAATGAAAAAGATTCTTTGACACCAATAAGATGCTAAATAAAAAAACAACTTAATTGTTTAGGTGAAGATTAGAGCTAAAAAAAAGATTTTAACTCCAGACTAGCAAGTAGATAAGCTTCGAGTATTTTGGGAGATTAACATTCAAAGTCAATAAATTAATTATAATTAAGTTTAAAAAGCTCTCTAGCTAGCTTAGAAAATAGCAACCAACCAATAAACACAATCAAACCTTTGATAATTCCTAATTTGTAATTAAAAAATTATGGATTGGGTTCCTAAAGTCCGATACTAATATAAACAGCAAGAAGTTTCTCTTAAAATTAAGCTTAAAATTAAAACTATACTAATGAAAGCTCTTATTCTGAGCAGAGCTCTCCTTTGCTAAGTTTTCAAAATAAATTATTTATTCCTCAAAACACTAAAAAAATTATATTTAAACAAAATTCATAAAATACGCCTAACTCAACAATTCTTGAAAAGTATAGCATGTCAACATAATCCTCGTTCTTTAAAAAAGGAAACGAGCTATTTGAGTAAATTATGACAGCCAGAAATCACTAAAGTTCATCTAGGCAAGCTTATAGAAGCAGCTCCTAATATAAAGCGAGTGATGGAATTGGAGATTCTTTTTAATTAAATATATAACCCCAAAAACAAAATATCCATAATGATAATCAAATAATAAAACATATTAAATAAAAAATGAGCTAAAATCATAAAAGATCCTCAAGTTTAATTCACTGATCACTTATATTTAATTAATTATAAGTTTAATTTATTTATCTTTAAGTTTACTAAAATTAAGAATAGTATTAGAACTTTCAATACTTTAAACTGTTTATTTGCCATTTTTTTATATGAAAACTATATCTAATTTTAATATATCAATCACCCATAATATTTTATACAAAAACTTGGATAAATTAAGAACAAAAATTTGATATAAAATTCAATTAAATAAAATAAAGGTTTCATTTTTTTAAAAACCAATTTTAAGAAAAAAAATGACTAAGGAGTGAGGTCTTTCTTAAAGAGAATTTACAGTATATTATAATATATTTAAAATATTGTAATGTTTATATATTCAATCCGATTAGTATTTTGCAAGCACATACTATTTATGAATAAAGGTTGCATACAACCATATATATAATAATAAATATATATATTTTTACTTATTAATAACTTAATAAAATTATGTAAATAGAAATATGATTTTATTTTTTTATATTTTAGAGATTATTTATCTAAAAAAGATCAGTAAAAAATAAAATTAAAGAAAGGTTGTCTATAAAATGAATTAATTATAGTATACAAAGAAATTTACTTTCTATATTGTTTAATCGAAAATAAGATTGAAGGATAAAAATTAATTGCTTTGATAAAATTTTTTAAAAGAAAACATCAGAAATTTTTACACTTTTATAAAGAGAGGTAGGTAGATATTTATAGATAGATAGATACAAAGATATTAAATACAAATATCCTAATTTTTTATTTATTTATTTATTTATTTATTTATTTATTTTACTTTTAATTTAATTATACTTTATCAGATATTTTAGAATTCTAAATTTTAGTTTTTCTTAATTGATTCAAAACCTCCATCAACATTTAAGTGGTTTGTGTATCCGTACTTTTTCAAAAGAGAACTTGCTATCATAGATCTAGCTCCAGACTTGCAATAAATGTATATGGGCTTGTCTTTTGGTAAAGCTTCGTTATTAGAATTATCCTTTAAAATTTGTTCAAGCTATCCTAAAGGAATATTATGGGCACCTTTAATGTAGCCATGAGAAAGTTCTGGGGCATTTCTGACATCAACAAAGTGCATTTCCTTAGTTAGATTTTCTTGTTAGACAACAGTGATTTCGTCTTTATGTTTGTGTGCTGTTTAGAATGCTTCGAAACCACCTTCTAAACAACCTAAAACATTGTCATAGCCAATACGAGCTAAACGAATGATAGATTCCTTTTCTTTTCCGTTTTCAGCAACTATGAAGAATTTTGTTTCGGGCTTGAATAAAGTACCTACCCAAATAGCAAATGTGATGGATAGAGATACATTAACTGATCCTGGAATGAAACCCTTTTCAAATGCTTTAGGAGCACGGGTATCGATAATAGTGCTTTCTGGAACCTTAGCAACTTCTGAAAGGAATTTGGTAGCTGGGATGAAATTTAAATTTTTGCTTACAACCTCTTCTACTGGGAGAGCACATGATTTATTTTAAGCTACATCATGGAAGAAGTATTGAGGAGGAGCGGGTAAATCAGAACTTAAGAGAGTTACAAATTAATCACGTTCTATTTCTTATAAGGCATAATTTGTTTTCAATTAGTTTTCTAAGGTATCAAATGTTCCATCTGAAATCTTCTTTCCGCAAGGACTACCTGCACCATGGCCAGGATAAACAATAACTTTAGGATCAAGTTTCATAATTTTATTTCTTAAGGAATCGTACATCCAACCAGCAAGATCTTCCTTTGTAATTTCACCACTTTTTACTGCTAAATCTGGACGACCAACTTCTCCCAAAAAGAGAGTATCACCTGTAAAAACTGCATGTTATCTTTCTCCGTCTAAAAGTAAATAGCAAGAACTTTCTTAGGTATGACCAGGAGTATGAAGAACCTCAATGTTAACTTTACCAATAGGTATTTTTTCTCCATCGGTTGCGAGATGGAAGTCAAAGGAAGCTTTAGCTGTTGGTCCATAAACTATTTTAGCTCCAGTCTTTTTAGCAAGATCAACATGACCACTGATAAAGTCAGCGTGGAAATGGGTGAGTAGAATATATTTAATAGTTGCTCCTCTTTTTTTAGCATATTCTATGTAAGGTTCTGTTTCTCTTAAAGGGTCAATGACTATTGCCTCTTTCTCGCTTTCGATGTAGTAAGCCATTTCAGCTAAACAGCTAGTAAATAGCTATGCAATATGGTAATTTTCGCTTTCATCAATATGTAATTTAGCTTCTGGCATCTTTGCTTAGATTCCTGCTTACAATTCTGATCTGGAATTAGAGCACCCCATTTTATTACTTATTTGTATTATCTACTTTTATAATGATTTTTATGATATAAATTTCAAAAGATAATTAATCTCTCTTTTTATGCTTTAAATTTGTTTTAATTTTTGTTAATTTTTTTATTCAACCAATTTGCAGATTATTTAAAGTTGCACGTTTTTCTGGAACCAAAGATTTTATATCAAAAAGCAATTATTGCTTAGTTAAAATGACTTAACCAAAATCGTCATATCTAGCAAAGAAATTTTCCTAAATGAGTCACCTTAAATTCTTCTAAAGAAAATAATACATAAATTTAATAAATTATAATTTTTTTTAATTTATGCTAGCTAGTCTTTATTAATAGCAAAAATTCAGTTATTAAGAACAATCTCAAAAATTTATCTCTCAACTAAAATTATTGCATTCATTATTTTTATTTTTTAAAGCTAAAAATAATTTATACTTTGTTTTTTGAAAAGTTAATCTAAAAAAAATGAATTTAATTCATTTTTCAATAATTGAAAGAATATACAATATAATTAGAAATGAAATAAAACTACATTGAGACTTATCTAAACTGAGTACCTATGGCATAACAAATTTTACCAAGATATATACTATTTATTAACCAGTTTATAGATGGATTTTATAATGAAAAAGTTAAATTTGATATAAAAAGTTTGACCATTTTTAACAAGTTCTAATTAATAAGGATGGCATGCTTTACTTTTATAAATAATTTTGAATAAAAACGTAAATAAAATTGTAACTATGTTAGCTCCCATTCATTATTCTAGATAAATATTTAAAAAAGCAATTATACTGGAAAAATTACAAATAATTGATTAAATTGAATAAATCTTAAATAAATTTAATTTAAATAAAAAATTTAATTTTATTTTGATAAAAAGATATTTCATTTAAGAGTTAATGTCAATTTATTATTTTTAAAAATAATTAATTTTTTTTTATTTCTTAAAATTAAAGATTTAATTTATGTAAAAATCTATTTTTGATTTAATATCATCTTATCTTGCAACAATTTTAAAGGAGAAATCAAATTTAAAAATAGATAGAAATTATAAAAATTTTATAATTTATTAATTCTATTAACTCAAAGAAAGACTGCCCGCCCACCCTTAATTAGTTTAACTAAGAAGTTTTTATAACATTCCATAAATCTAAGATAATACTGAATTGTTTTTTTTATAATCTTTGATTATTATGGCGGCCACCTAACTAATTCCATTTATTATTATAAAAATTTAAACAAAAAATATTTATATTGCATTATTAATTGAATTAAATGAGCTTAGATTGTATTTAACCAAATTTTTTACTTTAATTTAAGACAAGTGGTTTCTAAAAAAGAAATTAACGGACTAATCTATTTTAATTTATTCATTCATTCTTTATTATTAATTCTAGTTTCTTCAAGCTATTAATTTTTTTTTTCTATTAAAAAAACACAAATCTCCACTAAGAAGTATGGAGATTTTAAAGGAGCTACTACTAATTATTTCTTAGCGTAAATTTATTTTATCAGCAGAAAATATTCAATAATTTTCTGTCAGAATTTTTTATGAGAATTACAAGCAAATTAATAATCTTTTTCTATTTTGAGATTTTTTTGATAAGTCATCAACAGCATTTCAAAATAGGAAGAGATAATTCCTGGTAATAGAAAAATAGATCACTTTTTTTTGATTTTTCAAGGAAAATTCATCAGAGACTTATCAGTATATGTTATAACTGTTTTATAGTACTTAATAAAAATATTGTACCTAATTAGCATATTATTAACTATTATTAATTATAATTCTGATCAAATTTTGCAGCAGAATTACTTATAAGAGAGAAAGCTCATATGCAAGTAAAATGATAATTTTTGCCACTAATTTGTACGATCTTTTTCACTTCTGAAATAAAGTAAATACTTTTTAATTGTTGATAAATAGAACTAAGGATAAAAAAGTACAGGTGTAATTTAGTCTAAAATCTTAAAAGATAATTAAAAAAATTTGAACACGCTGTAAAATCAAATCAATCAAAAGCAATTTTTTAAAAGAAGTCTCTTACTTGCTTATTTTTTATAAGCTGAAATTTTGCTTGATTTAACATAAAAGCGCGTACTGATTAAATGGATTACGAGATTTTAAAATATGAAATGACTACCTAATTATTTAAATTAAGTAATTTGGTGATTAATTATATCCTTTGTGCTAATATTAGATAATACCTACCAATGTCTGTGATTAGATACTATCAAATCACTTTTTTATAGAGGAAAAAGGTAGCTGATAAGGCTTTATAAAATTTCATTGGGAAATTATTAAATGTTAAAAATCTTAGAAATCAGAATGAAAAAGATATCAAATCAAAGGCAAAAAATGTATTGATTTTATTAAATTACGCAATCCATCAGTTCAAAGTAATTAATTTCCAAAATTTGATGCTAAATTAAACTAATTTACTAAGAAGGAAATAAAATAAAAGCTAAGAGGAAAATGCGCTCCAGAAGACTTTAATAACATATTTTTAGTATTATTTTAAAATAGATGACATAAACAGGTTTCAAATATTAAAAATATTTGGCAAACAAATTTAAATAAAGATTAGCTTGTGTGCGTTCGTTCTTCTCATTAGATCACCAGGGTTTATTAAAAAAAAAAAAGAAAAAATATGAGATAGATAGATACAGAAATTAATTTGATTTAAATACTTGAATATATAAAGTTAATATTTTGTGAAAGAAAAATTTAATTAAATTTGATAAAAGCAAAAATACCCAAAAAACAGCCTAGTTAGTAGTAATAAAGCTCAGAATTTGATCATTAATTAATTAATCTCGAACTCTTAATACTTGAAAATAAATATAAATAATATATATTTATTTAAATCGAAATCTTATTGTCCCAAACAAAAAACTCGAATCAACTAAAAATTAATAAATTACATTTAAAATATAATGGGAAATATTAATCTTTGCAGAGGAAACGATTAACGCTTCAATAGATAGAAAAAGAATGCTAAGGCCTAGCAATTCTCCAACAAACTTGTTTAAGAGGTTGAGTTAGACTAAGAGAATGTTATTATTTAACTCTATAGTGGCTATTGCGCCATGGATTAGAGTGATGTGACTGTCAATGTTAGCGATGAGTTAATAAGTCGCTGCAGCAACGAATAAGAAGTCATGTTATTTTCGCGTGCAGGAGAGGAGTTAAAAAAAGAAACAGCAGAATATATTACTAAACATAAGCAACTTCATCATAAGTTACCTTTTTACACTCATGCTGGTGATCTTTCCGTTTCTAATGTTATACATTGCACTTTGAGTGAAAATAAGAGAATCATTGGAGATTCATAAATATAACAAACTTTTGTTGAATGTTTATAAATTGCTGACGAAGAACTTGAAGCTTCCAGCATTTCTTTCCCAATGATCGGCTTAAGAAACTACTCCTTGAATAGAATTTCTAGAATTATGGTTCGTTCTATTAGTACATATTTAAAGAAAAATAAACGTAACCGCAGTCACTAACACTTATAAATGATAAAAATTATTGGTTTTGATACAAAAATGCTATTAGCTTACATGAATACTCTATAAGATACCTTTTAAGATATTGTAAAGACCTTCTGCGAACCTCGTAAATCAAACGAAGACTACTAGTTTGATGATGAGTAGGAAAGACCTAATCTTAGTCTTGATGATCGTGAATATTACCTGCCTAGCTTTAAAACTGAAAATTCAGGTGTTCTCCACTACAGAAGATCTAAAGACATCTATATGGATGATTGATTAATTGAACTTATTTATTTTGATTCGAATAGCATTTTACTGAATTACATTTTTTTTAATTTAACCTTAAAATACCATAAATCTATCCCTTCAATAAATATTAAAGTTAAGCTCTCACTCACTCATTTCAATATAATAAGTAAAGAAACTCTCTAAATTATTATACTAAAGTAAAATCTTAAAAAACCATTATTAATTGATATAGAATACCCACATCTAGTCTTATAGCTATTATGATCTTTCTTTCTTTCTAATTCTATTTGAGTCTCCTTTAAAACACGTTGCAAATTAATAGTAATTTACCTAAAACATTCACATGAAAAATCAAAAAATCTCAAAAATCTTTAAAACTTTGATTTTTATTGTCGTAGAATAAAATTTAAAATATAAATAAATTATTGAATGAAGAAATAGCTATTTTTGGTAACTGTTTCTCTTAATTTAAATTCTAACACGAAAACACGATAGAAATAGTAAGGAAAAAACGCTTTTTCTAGTTTTAGAAGCAAAAGATAATTGAAATTTTTTAATTATTCAAGTCACCTAATAAAAAATAAGTGTTTTAGTCGATGAAATTCAAATTGATAAATAAATTTCATTCAAGGAACCTTAAATAATTCTATAAGATTCTAACAAATTGATCTTATTTAAAAAGTGTAAAAAGCAAAAAGTTAATTTATTTTTGCTTTCACAATTACTGTAATATTAATAGCATGAACGCTGAACTAATTAATTAATTACCAACTCAAGCTACACTTACTGGTTATTTAATAACTGCCAAATGCCGCAACATACGTCTTATTGATTTAATTAACTAGAACTTCAGAATAAAAAGCAAAGGAACCTTCTTCATTTAATAGCAGAGTTTTAAAATAACTTAAAACTAATCAATTAATAAAACGTAACAAATATAAAAAATTGATAAAAAATAAAATAATCATCATTTATTCTTTCCCTACCTATTACTTACTTAAAAAAACTAACAAATAAATCATTAACAGATTTTATTGTAAAAATTTAGTTTTTTAAAAAACACCTTTCTTCCCTTTAATTATTAACATGCAAAGTAATTTACTAAAATTTATATCTACAGATACATTATTTTATTTATTTTTGTTTATATATTATTCTTAATGTATATCAGTATAACAAAGTACTTTAATATTTAAATTCAAAATTCAATCCCGCACATATTTTAAATAGACATTTTATGTATAAATTCATTCAAACATATAATTCTTGAATAGTAGGATTCGATAATTTGACAGACAATTCAAATTTATCATCCAAAAAATAAAAAATATCTTTTTTTATTTAATATTCTTATTTTGCTTGCTGCTTATATTATAATTTGGTTTATGAAGTCTGATTAATATTTACAATTTTTACTATTTGTAGAGAATTTGCATGTAGATTTCAAACAATTTTCTGAATTTTAAATCCGATTAATTTTGTTTGTTTGTTTAACATGAGAAAAAATAAATAAAGTTTTTAATAGCTCGCATCAATCTAAAATTTGAATTTAAGGCGATTATTTAATGAAACAGGAGTAAATTAAAATATTGTGAAGTTTTGTTCTAAGTATTTTGATAAAAATCAAAATAAGTGGCCAAAATCCGTTTAAAATATTAATTTCCTTTATCTATAAACTAATCTTATTGATTTAATTACATTGATTTCTCGATCAAAAGAAACATTTATTTCATTTATCTCTTTAATAAATAGATGCGCACTAAAATCCGAATCTGACATCATAAGTACTAATACAACATTATTATTGATGTATTACTATTTTTTCACTTTCGACAATCGCTTTATCATCCATTTTTATCCTTGCAATTCAAAGGATTAAGATAAAATGTAAAATGGTTAATTAGCAGGGTTACTTGATCTTATTAATATTTAACTATTTTCTTAATCAAGATAAGCAATTTAAATCCACTAGATTAATTGAAATTTATGTACATTTTTAATTCTTAAATACTTTTATCATCCTTTAATTTAGATCTTTAATTTTCTCTGAGAGCCAAATTGTATTTCAAAAAGTTTTTTTCATAAATCAAGCTTCGTCAAAAGTACACTTAAAAGACCTATCAAGTGACTTCAAATGTTTTTTAAGAGACATCTTTTAAATTTATCTTTCAATTTCTATTACATTTTATAAATTAAGAATATACTTTTTGAATAGAATTCTATTGAAAAATGAATTAAATAAAATGTGAGGATATGGTATAAATGATTAAGACAAGCATGAATCTTTTCTTTTTCATAAAAAATGATATTTAGTTAAGCACATAATTTCATATTTTTAAATCTTAAATATACAGTAAGCTTTTTAGTATTGAGAATTAAAATTATCTTTATTTAGATATAAAATTATCAACTTTTTTACTATGTAATAAAAGTCTATTCTATATATAAATATTTGGAAATTTAGTTTACTTATAAAACTTTTTAATCGAAGATTATACACAACTTAAGCTTTAAAATGCTTATTCTAGTATTAATTTTAAAATATTCTCAAGCCATAGAAAATAAGAACAAAACACTAATTTAAAATATATATATAAACTTCTTATATTAAAGAAAAAAATAATTTTGGCTTTTGATTTGCATTCTTAATCACATTTTTTAGTTATTCATGAGTTTATTTCCTTTAATTTATATTAGAAAAAATTTAATAAAAAAATATGTTTGTTAACAATACCTTGTTTTTTAATGTAGTTCTAATGATTTAAAATAATATGTAAATTATTAAAAATATTATCTAGATATTGAAAATAGATTTCTCTCCTTATTCTACTTTTTGTTTTTTAAAATTGATTTTCTACTATTCATAATCAACTTAATCCTTCTCTTTCTTCCTTTTTTAGTTCAAATTAATTTTCTAGTTTTCAACTTTAGATTTTTTTAGTCCTTTCTAATTGCTATTTACTAAAACTTAAGAGTTCTCTCCTACATGATTTTTTAAATTAATTAATTATTAACGAGGCTCTTCAATTTTCTTGGTGTCATCTCTAATTTATTGAAAATTGCCAAATAAATTATTTTTATTTTCTAATGGTTCATTTTGGTTAATTTTTTAGTTATCAAAAGCTACTTGTATTAAATTATCATTTTACTTACTTTAATTACCAAAATTAAATTAATTTTCTATGTCAATATTGCCTTATTAATCATTTTGTTTGTACATATGTTAAAGATTGTTTTCTTATACAGTCTAATCAGAATTTTAACTTTAATTTTAAATTGAATTTTGAGAATATTGACAATTAATTTGATAAATAAGTTAATTTTTCTTTTCCTATTAACTTTCTTGTAGACTATAATTATTAATATTCTTACTATTATTCTCTTTTTCTTATTCTTCAATAGGAACTTATAAGTTTTACAAAGATTTCTCTTAGATTTTTACTTACTATTACTTCTCTTTCTCTAAATTATTATCAGTCTCCTCACTCTCTTCTTACTCTTTTTAGTAATCTTCTTTTTTCTTTTACAAAAATCTTAAGAATTCTTCTTCTTAATTCCATTACTCTATCGAATAAATGATCCAATTATCTTGAAGTACATTATAGAAAACAATATTTTGTATCCTGTAATTCATTTTTTTTAATATACATGCATAAGCTAGAGACTTTTTAATATAAGTAAATTTGCTTGATTATAAATTCTGAAGCTAATTGAAAATATTTACTTAAATAATTTATTGTTTAGAAATACTTAATTCAGACTCTCCTTAATAATAGATAAATTAAAATATATCACCTTTATCCTATTACTTAAAATTTAAATTATTAGAAAAATGTTTATTCAATCGCTTACTTCTAACTTAATTAATAAATAAATAATTTACTTTATCAAATGCTATTAAATCTATAACCCCATAAAAATTAGCATAATTTATTTTCTTTTTTATTTCAAACCTATTCTAATCATATTATTATTCTAGGACATTTAAAAATCTATCTATATTTAATGTTAAATCCTCATTATGAAATAAACTACTATCATCTCTGTATAAAGATCTCTTTATTCCTTAGGAAATTAAACTAAATTTACTGACATTATAAATGTCTTTGAGAATATTTTAGGTTTTCAATTCTTTATTTGAAAATTGTTAATAACTGTCAAAATATTTCTACCTATCAAAATCATCTGAAAAATAAGTTTCAGTTGCATGATGAATATCTCTATTTTAAATATTAAAGAAATTTTATTTTTATTTGATTAGAATAAATCATATTACTTATAATTTAGCTTATACTGTTTTAAAAATTTTTAAATTGATGAGTACATATCCGATAAATTCTCATTTTCAAATCTATTTAATTTCTTTTCGATTTTGTTAAAGTCTTTGAAATTGTCTATAAATGACTCAAGGCTGTCTAATTTTTGAAAATCTAATTAGTTGAAGAAATCTTTGTATCTATTATAAAAACTCTTTTAATATCCACTCCAACTTATTGTACGTAGTATTATTTTCTCTGCATCTTCATTTTAAATTGTCTAGCTTTACAAGAATTTTTCAACAACACTTCTATAAAGTAATCTAAATAAAAAATTAATTTAAATATAAGCTCTCCTTTTTAGAAAAATATAAAAAGATGAAATAATACGCAAAATTTATAAATATTTTGATGAGATACTATTTTTCATCAAAATATATCAGAAAATAAGTTTTATATATACACATAATCTTTAATTAAATTATGTTTATTTCTAAATATTAATTCGATAATAAATAGCGATGAATATTTTTTAAAATTGCTAAGTGCTTTATGAAAAATGAATTAAAAAATAATTTTCTTATCACTGGATTTTAGTATAAAAAATATTCATTCGATTACATATAAAAAGTTAGCTAAAATTTTATTTTGAAATAATTAAATAATCTTTACTGAAAATTAATTTATAAAATTTTACATTTCAAGATAGCAAATCAAATCTTATTAAAGAGCGTTTTATTTTATTTATTCATTGTCGAAAGTGACATGTTCCCCTCTTTAATATTTAAGAAGTTTTATTTTTTATAGAAAACTGTTCAGTACTTCATAGTCATTAATGTCAAAATTTTGTATGATATCAGCTATTTTATTTTTGATATCTAATGCTTCAATTGTTGATTTTTTTTAGGAAGGATTTTATAAATTTCTTTGTTAAACTTAGTTTTTTTATTTTGATTGGATTTAAGCAAAATCTTCTTTTTTTAAATCTTGATCTGATTAGTAATATTATTTATTAATTTCACTGAAAAACCTACATATCTTAACAATAAAAATTTTATTATAGTATGAAAATATTATCTAACTAAAATTTACATATTTTTCTTTATATTATAAGAAACAAAACTTTAGCTATTCCATAGCTCTAGTGCACGCTACATAGAATAATCTTCTACACTCATTTAACTTTTCTTAAATATTTTTTTCTACTTATAACTACTTGATGAAAGCTCCTGGAAAATTAAAATCATTAATTCCAATTATAAATACTACCTTCCATTCCAAACCCTTAGAAGAATGGATTGTGCTCAAAGTCAAGTGATTTTACTTCTCAGTAGATTCAAAATTATCAGAAGTGAAAAGATTATCTATATTTCTGGATATTAGGGAATAAGGAATTTTTTGGCCAAAAATATAATAATGCTATTCTAAATACTCCTAAAAGTGTAGTAATGGTTTTCTTGAAGGACTAAGTACTGCCAAATCACTCCACTAATACCCCTACTATATTAAACCTTTAAAAGTTGAAATTAAATCATACACTTATTTATTTTAATCTCCATAAAGGCTAATTTTAGGATAATAACATTCCTCTTCTTCTGTTATTTATAAAAAAAAGTTGAACATTTTTAAATTTAACTAAAGTAGTAAAAGATGATTAATTAATTAATTAATTAATTATGTAAAGAATTTGTATATTTAATTAACTTTAATATTTAAAATATGAACACAATTTAAATTAAAATAAAAACATGATTATTTTAATAATTTAGCTTTGTGAGCTTTACCATTTTTTAAGCTATCCATAGGCCTTGCAAGATGCTTCTAGTTTGCAAAAATTTAATTGCAAAATGATGTGATTTTTCTTGAACATCTAAAATTTACACTAAGGTGATATGTTTTTATTTCCTATTTTGAGATTTCTAGCACATCTTAGTTTATTTTGCTTTGAATAAATTCTAATTTAGAATCTCTAAAGCTGTAAATATTTTAAGCCTCATCTCCTATTTTAAATAAGAAATATTAAAACAATGCTAAAAAAAATAATTTTAGAAATTAGCTTAATTTAATAAGAAAGTAGAAGTAAAACAAACAATACCTATAACTATAATTTTGCATCCTGCTTTTTTGAAAAGAATTAGGATGTCATACTAGATTTGATTTACATCTTAAAACTCATCAAAAAAAAAGTATTTATATTTCTTTAAAACCTTTTCATTTCCTTCTCTTGTACTTAAGAATTGTTAAACTTTATATCCTAACTCTTTTATATCTAATTTAAAGTTATTATCTTTATCATTATCTTTTATATATTTGTTATAAATTTCAGCATTAAATTTATCTATATTCATCATTTTTACTTCTTCTGCATCTTACTATAACACTTGTTTTGCTTTTATTTTTAAGTTATTAGCAGCTTCAACATTAAAAGTACTTAGTAGTATTTATTTAGCACATATTCCTTATTCAATCAAATACTTGATTCGATAAATGAGTGTAGTTGTTTTACCTGAACCTGCACATGCTAAAATTCTTTGATCTTCATCGATTGAGGAATTAATTATTTTTTTTTATTCATCAGTTAATGCTATGTTTTCTTAACAGCTATTCTCATCTGAAACCTGTTATTCCATTTTTCAAATGTTTGCTTTTTCGATAGATAGATAATAATAACTTCTTTAATATTTGATTACTTATTTTTTTATTGTTATTAATTTATTTTCTTAAATGAGAGAATATCTAAAATTATAATAAGTTCCTTTATTATTAAAAGATATGTTAGTATATTCAGTTTCTGATTGTTCAAGTAATTTAATAATAAATAATAACCTTTATCTTATTAGCAAAGGTTATTATAATATTTACCATTCAATATTAATAGATATGTCAATTAATTCATCAACCAACCAACAAATTTATTCTTTTATTAAAAATTTTTTATTTATTTTTTTCTTCTTTAGGTCGAAACTTGTTTCAAGCCTTTTTTTATTTCTTTTAATTTTCTTTATCTTATAATATAATAGTAATTTTTTACTTAATATAAATATATTTCTTACACACAAAATAATAAAAAATGAGTATCGATAAAAGAAAAATTAAAACAAAAATGTTTTATTCAATTTTCTATTTCTTATTTTTTAACTAATATAAAAATTCATCAAATAATATCTGTCATCAACTTTTAGCTTCTTTTTTTTTAATTTATTTAATCCTTAGAATTTTTTTTACTTAAATCTGTTTTATTATGAGATTCATTACTATTAATTTACTTTCAAATTTTATTCGAAATTAATTCGTTTCTTTTATGATTCTTTTTTGTTAATTAAATAAGAAGATATTATTTAATACAAGCTAATATCTTAATTCTTAAAATTTTATTGAGTTTAAAAATAATTTAAAGTTTCTATTAATCCATAAAAACTGGATTTTACGAGTTGAAAAATGTTGGGTTGGGTTATAATTTCCCTTATCTATTATATTATAATTTATCATTCTTAATGTATATTAGTATATAAAAGTACTTTAGTATTTAAATTCAAAACTCAATCCCTCACTTATTTTAATTAGACATTTTATGCATAAATGCATTTAAACTTATAATTCTTAAATAGTAGGATTCGATTATTCGACAATTCAAATTTATCATCCAATAATAAAAAATATCTTTTTTTATTTAATTCTTGTTTAGCTTGTTGCCTATTATAATTTAGTATATAAAGTCTGATTAATATTTACAATTTTTACTACTTGTAGTGATTTTGCATGTAGATTTCAAACAATTTTCTGAATTTTAAATCCAATTCATTTTGTTTGTTTAATATGAGAAAAAACAAATAAAGTTTTTAATAGCTTGCATCAATCTAAAATTTGAATTTAAGGATTATTATTAAATGAGACAGGAGTAAATTAAAATATTGTGAAATTTTGTTCTAAGTATTTTGATGAAAATCAAAATAAGTGGTCAAAATCTGTTTAAAATATTAATTTCCTTTATCTATAAACTAATCTTATTGATTTAATTACATTGATTTCTTGATCAAAAGAAACATTTATTTCATTTATCTCTTTAATAAATAGATATACAATAAAATCCAAACCTGACATCATAAGTACTAATATAACATTATTATTGATGTATTACTATTTTTTTACTTTCAACAGTCGCTTTATCATTCATTTTTATCCTTACAATTCAACAGATTAAGATAAAATGTAAAATGGTTAATTAGCATGGTTACTTGATCTTATTAATATTTAACTATTTTCTTAATTAAGTTAAGCAATTTAAATCCACATGATTAATTGAAATTTATGTACATTTTTAATGCTTAAACATTTTTATCATCCTTTAATTTAGATCTTTAATTTTCTCTGAGAGCCAAATAGTATTTCAGATAATTTTTTTCATAAATCAAGCTTCATCAAAGGTACAATTAAAAGACCTATCAAGTGACTTCAAATGTTTTTTAAGAGACATCTTTTAAATTTGTCATTCAATTTCTATTACATTTTATAAATTTAGAATACATTTTTTGAATAAAATTCTATTGAAAAATGTATTAAATAAAATGTGAGGATATGGTATAAATGATTAAGACAAGCATGAATCTTTTTTTTTCCATAAAAAAATGATATTTAGTTAAGCAAATAATTTCATATTTTTAAATCTTAAATATACAGTAAGCTTTTTAAAATTGACAATTAAAATTAAAATTATCTTTACTTTGAAAGAAAAATATTAAATTTTTTACAATGTAACAATGTAATTAAGTCTATTTTATAAAAAATATATGGAAATTAAATTTAAATATAAAAAATTTTCAATCGAAGGTGATGCACAACTCTTAAACTTTAAAATGCTTATTTAAATATTAATTTTACAATATGCTGACAAATCATAGAAAATAAGAATTAAAACATTAATTTAACACAGAAATATATTAACTAATTTTATTAAAGAAAAAAATAATTTTGGCTTTTGATTTGTATTCTTAGCCACATTTTTTGATTCTTCATGAGTTTATTGCCTTTAATTTACATTAAACAAAATTAAATTAAAAATTTATTTGTTAAAAATAATTACCTTGTATTGTAATGAAGTTTAAAAGACTTAAATTAATATATAAATTATAAAAAATATAATCTAGACATTGATAGCTTTCTCTTTTAATTCTACTTTTTGTTTTTTTAAATTGATTTTCTACTATTCATATTCAACTTAATTCTTCTCTCTCTTCCTTTTTGAGTTTAAATTACTCATTTTGTTTTCAATTTAAGAGTTCTCATCTTCATGATTCTTTAAATTAAATAATAATTAACAAGGCTCTTCAATTTTCTTGGAGTTATCTCTATTTTATTGAATATTGCTAACTAAATTATTTTGATTTTCTAATGGCTCATTTTAGTTAATTTTTTAGTTATCTAAAGCTTTTTGTATTAAATTCTCATTTTAATCACTTTAATTACCATAAATTAATTAATTTTCGATCTCAACATTATCTTCTTAATCATTTTAATTGTACTTACATTAAAGATTATTTTCTTATACTGTCTAAACAGAATTTTAACTTAAATTTTAAGTTGAACTTCTAGAATATAGATTATTAAATTGATAAGGAAGTTAATTTTTCTATACCTATTAACTTTCTTATAGGTTATAATTATTAATTTTCTTACTATTATTCTCTTTTTCTTCTTTTTCATCTTCTTGTTCTTCTTCAATAGAAGTGTATAAGTTTTACAAAGTATTCTCCTAGATTTCTAATTCCTATTAATCTTCTTCTTCCTCTAAATTATCATCAGTCTCTTCTTACTCTTTTTAGTAATCTTCTTTTTTCTTTTACAAAAATCTTAAGAATTCTTCTTCTTAATTCCATTAATCTATCGAATAAGTGATCAAATCTTCATTAAGTACATTATAGAAAACAATATTTTTTATACTGTAACTTTTCTTTTTTAATATGTATGCATAAACTAGAGACTTTTTGATATAAATAAATTTGCTTGAATATAAATTATGAAGCTAATTGAAAATGTTTACTTGAATAATTTATTCTTTAGAAATGCTTAATTTAGACTTTCCTTAATGATAGATAAATTAAATTATATCACCTTTATCCTATTATAATTTATTTTAAAATTTATATTATAAAAAAAAAATTATTCATTCAATCACTCACTATATTAATAAATAAATAAATAATTTACTTTATCAAATGCTATTAAATCTATAACTCCATTTAAACTATCATATTCTACTTTCTTTTTTATTTCAAACCTATTCTTATCATATTTTAAATTGAGACTTTTTAAAAATCTATTGATATTTAATTTTAAATTCCAAGGTTAAAGTAATTCAATATCATCTCTGTACAATGATCTCCTTATTCCTTAGGAAATTAAATGGCATTTACTCACATTATAAACATCTTTGATAATATTTTCTGTTTTCTATGTTTTATCTGAAAATTTTAAATAACTGTCAACATATTTCTACTTATCCATAAAATCTTCAGGAAAATAATCCAACGAGTGACTCTCAGTTGCATGGCAAATATCTCTATTTTAAATATTAAAGATACTTTATTTATATTTGATTAAAATAAATCATATTACTCATATTTTAGTTTATTTTTTTCTAAAAATGATTTAATTTATGTACGCATTTCTTGTAAAATTTTAATTTCATTTTGATCAAATTGCTACTTGTTACTGTAATGATTGTTTAAACAGTTTATAAATTACTCCTGGCTGTTCAATATTTCTAAATCTATTAAACTTTTTTTGTTGAAGAATTCTATAAATTTATTATAAACAACCTTTGATTTTCCTTTCCAATTTATTGTACATAGTATTTTCTCAGCATCTTCATTTAAAATTTTCTAGCTTTATAAGTATTTTTCGGTAACACATCTATAAAGTAATCTAAATAAAAAATAAATGTAAATGTAAGTTCTCATTTTTATTATGATAAATATAAAAAGGTTGAATAACCAAATAAGATTAATTAAATATTTTTATATTTTTATTTATTAAGTGTTAAATGGCTGGTCTTGTAGAAAAAGCGCGGAATTTAAGTTTATATAAAAAGTAAGTTAGTATTTTATTTTGATATTATTAATTTATCTTTACTGAAAATTAATTTATTAAATTTTACATGTCAAGATAACAAATCAAATCTTATTAAAGAGCGTTTTATCTTATTTTTTAACTGTTGTAAGTGGCCTCTTTTCCTGTTTCTTTATTAACAAGTTATATTTTTTATAGAAAACTGTTCACTACTTCATAGTCATTAAAGTCAAAATTTTGTATGATATCAGCTATGTTGTTCTTGATATTTAATGGTTTAAAATTTGATTCTATTTTAGAAAAATAATTTAAATTTATTTTTTTAATTTAGATTTTACTTTTTGATTGGATTTAAGCTATATGTTCTCTTTTAAAATTTGTATCTTAGCATTCATATTATTCTTCATTAATTTCACTGAAAAATCTACATATCTTAATAATTAAAATATTATTATTGCATGTAAATATTATCTAAAGTTTACATATTTTCCTTTTTATTTTATGAAAGAAAAGCTTAATTATTCCTTAGCTCTAGTACAAGCTACGTAGAATAATCTTCTGCACTCGCTTAACTTTTCTTAAATTTCGTTTTCTTCTTATAAATAGTTGATGAAAACTCCTGGAAAATTTGAATCATTAATTCCGATTATAAATACTACTTTCCATTCTAAACCCTTAGAAGCATGAATCGTGCTCAAAGTCAAGTTCTTTTACTCCTCAGTAGCATCAGAATTATCACAAGTGAAAACATTATTCATATCTCTGAATCTTAAGGAATAGGGAATTATCTGTTATAAAGTAGAATTATGCTTTTCTAAAATTTCCTAAAAATGTATTAATGGTTTTCTTGTAGGACTAAGTATTGCCAAATCACTCCACTAATAGATATTTATTAAATTTTGAAGTTGTATAATTATATCATTTACTAACTCATCTGAATTTTTATAAAGTCTAATTTTAGGATAAAATTTCACTTAGTCCGCTATTTTTTTAAAAAATTTGAACATGTTTACATGTAGCTAAAGTATTAAAAGATTATTAATCATTTAATTATGTAAAGAATTTGTTTATTTAATTCGCTTTAATATTTAAAATATAAAAAAAATTTAAATTAAAATAATAAAATGATTTTTATTTATTTATTTAGTTTTGTGATCTATACCTTCTTTTAAGCTTTACATAGGTTTTGCAAAATGCTACGTGTTTGCAAAAATTTAATTGCAGAATTTTGTGATTTTGCTTGAACATCTAAAATTTATGCTAAGGTGATATGTTTTTATTTCCTATTATGAGATTTTTAGTATATCTTAATTTATTTTGCTTTGAATAAATTCTAATTTAGTATCTCTAAAGCTGTAAATATTTTAAGCCTCATCTCCTAGTTTAAATAAGATATTTATAAAAAATCCTAAAAAAATAATTTTAAAAATTAGGTTGATTTAATTAAATAAATAGTAGAAGTTAAACAAACAATACCTATAACAATAATTTTGCATCCTGCTTTTTTGAAAAGAATTAGGATGTCATACTAGATTTGATTTACATCTTAAAACTCATCAAAAAAAAAGTATTTATATTACTTTAAAACCTTTTATTCTCCTTCTATTGTACTTAAGTAATTTTTAACTTTATATCCAAATTCTTTTACATCTAATTTAAAGTTTTTATCATTATCTTTTATATAATTCTTATAAATATCAGCAGTAAATTTGTCTATGTTCATTATATTTTTTTCTTCTACTTCATCTTAATGTAACACTTGTTTTGCTTTTATTTTTAAGTTATTAGCAGCTTCAACATTAAAAGTACTCAGTAATATTTAGCTTGCAGGTATTCCTTATTTAATCAAATACTCGATTCGATAAATTAGTGTAGTTGTTTTACCTGAACCTGCGCATGCTAAAATTCTTTGATCTTCATCGATATTCGAATAAATTATTTTTTATTATTCATCAGTTAATGCTATGTTTTATTAAAAGCTATTGTTATCTGAAACTTTTTATTCCATTTTTCAACTATTTGCCCTTTCAAGATAACAATTTATTCTTATTATATTTAATTAATAACTTATTATTTATTTTTTATTATTTTTTTACTTAAATGAGAGACAGACAAAAATTATAATATTTTCCTTAATTATTAAAGATGTGTTTGCATATTCAATTACAAGATAATTCTAATAATTTAATTTAAAATAGTTGTCTTTGTCTTTTTAACAAACGATATTATAATATTTTCCTATAATTATTTAAGATATCTCTGTCAGTCAATTTATTAAAAATTTAATCTTTGATTAAATATCTTTTTGTTATTTTTTTCTTCTATCAAGTTCGAAACCTGTTTCAAAGCCTTTTTTTATTTTTTTTATTTTATTAAATAATATTAATTGTTTTACAAAGTAAATATTTCTAATTCACAATATAATTTTTAGAGAATAGTAAAAAAAGAAAAAGGAAAACAAAAATATTTTAATTTTATATCAAAAAAATGTTAAAATTATTACTGATCGATATTTTTAAAAAATTTCAAGTTATCTATAGATATATCGAATCAATCATCCTTATTAATTACTATTAATTTACTTTCAAATTTTATTGGAAACTCGTTTCTTTTATGATTTTTTTTAATTAACTAAATAAAAAGATAATATTTAATACAAGCTCATATCTTAGTTCTTAAAATTCTATTATTTTTAAATAGAATATAATTTTTCTATTAAATTTGATTTTGTTGATTTTAAAAGTTAGGTTTGCTTTTAAATTTTTTCATCTATCTTTAAAATTTTATTTTATTATTGATTATCAATAATTTTCTCATGCTAAATACTTGATTCATTTTTTCTAATAATTTATTTAAACTTGATTAAATTTTTTAGTTTTATATTTATCAACAACTTTTTCAATAGTATTTATAAATTATATGCTCAAATATCTAAAGGGATAGAAATTTACTAGCTTAGCAAAATGATTAATACATCTAAAAGATACCAAAAAAGCTTGGAGCTTAAACCTTCAAAAAAGAAGAGCTTGGTAGTAGCAAATCAATTCAAAGCTATTATTACTGTACTGAATAATTTCATAATCGATGGTTCTATAAAGACCTATCGATGTTAGTTATCAGAACAATAATGCATAATATTATCATTATTTTTTAAGTAAATTTGAATTATAAGTATATGCTTTATAATTTTACAAGATTTAAATCGTGAAAATTTGGCTTTAAAATTATTGCTAAAATACCTCTGTCAAATCTAAGTCTCTAAAACCTTAGAATTATTGAAAAGGCTAATGTAAATACAGTGTAGTACTTTTCTAATAAAATTTAAAATTGATAAACCTTATAATTTTATAAGAATGAGAACACAAACAAAAACAAAGGTAAATAAATAGTAAGTGACTTAACAAATAAATAAGCTAACAATTAAAGATTGATTAACATAAATTCATTCTATTTGATTATTAATCAAATATATTTTTAGTAACTGTAGAATAAATAATCAGAAAATTGGAGTTTCAATTAGATTACTTTAAAAAATTTTTGATAGAATATTTTTAAAAAATTAAAAAATAAAATTTGATAAATTCTTAAAATAAGAAAATAATTTTAATCGACTATAATCATATTACAAATAGGTAATTTAAAAAATGATAATATAAACTAATACATAAGTGCATTTAGTATTGAAATAAAATTTCTAATAATTAATTAAAACAAACATTTTTAGTTTAAATGTATTTCATTAAAATTATTTATTTTTGAAAAGCATAAATGTAAACCAAATGAGCGATAATAATATTAGAAGCTCTTTGCAAAATGTTATTTGAGTATGTTTAATATCATAATTTGGTTCAATTTTTATTTTCTTTTATATATCTTATTAAAACTCTTTTTGTAATTAGTGAATGGTTTCATTCGCTTTTCTTTTGCTGTTTAATTGTTTTAAATTACTGTTTTATATATTTTTTATATTCTAAAATCTTTAAATTTAATAATTTTAAGGGAAATTAATATTCTCAACATTAGTTTATTAGTGTATTTCTTCTAAACATTTTTATGTTACAATTTCTTTTTTCTCATTATTATATTCTATAATTTCACCTATAATTTTAATAGAATAAAATATTTTTAGTAAATAAAATTGTTCAAAAATATTTAAATTGTAAATTAAAACAAATTAGATCAAGATTAAGATTAAATTTCTTCATATAATATTTTAAATATATTTAAAAAAATTACCTTGTAATGGATGACTTTATAAGTTTTTAATTTCATCATTTTCATGAGAAGCTAAATGATAATTTTTCTTATTATATTGTTAATTCAAAAATTAAATGTCATTTTTTTAATGATAATTTGAATTATTAGCTATTTAAAGATTTTCAAATCCATTTTAATAGTTTTAAATTTAAAATGATTCCATATTTTAAAGTGTGAGTTATTTTGTATTTTAAAATTAATTTTAATTGTCTAAATTAGATATTATCTTATTGAAATTTTTTTACATTTAATTGTTTTCTATTAAATTCGTCATACCATTTCCAATATTTTCAGAGTTGCTTTTCTACAATTTTAGTTTGCTTCCATTTTGATTAAATTATTATAAATTTTATTTATTTTTAGAATTTTCCTAGTTAGTTTGAAATTCGCTTTTATCTATTTATTATTGTGTTTTATTAGACTAATTACTCAAATATAAGTTATTTTAACCACTCTAGCCATAGTTATCTTATTATTACTCTTTATATTCCACCTAAAATTGTTTACTTATCTCTGATTCATAAACATTAAACTAACTTTCAATTTTTAGACCAGATTATGATTATTATTTGTTTAAATTTACAGTATTCTATTTATTTTATAATTAGCTTTCAATAATATATTTTTCAACATTTTAGTCATTAAATTACTATTATGACTATGATTCTTACTCAGAGTTATCTTGTTTCATTTATGGTAAATCTTCATATTTTTATTATTGATTATTTATATACTAGTCATTAATAGAGCACTGGATAGACAAATTGCAATTTATAAAGTGTTCATAAGGTTATTTTTGATTATCTTCAAAATAAATACTGACTTTTTAATCTTTCATATCTTGCTCTTATTCTTTATTGTTTTCATATTCTTAATTATTTTTATGTGAGTCTGAGTGATTGAATAATTAACTAAATGTAATTTGATCATAAATTTAGTCACATATTTAATTTTTTTCACTTAAATTTTCTTTATAGATTTATTAATTTTGTTTTAAATGATCTTTGTTTTCAACATCATCTTGTGAATATCCTTTTTTACTTTCACTTTTAACTTCAATATCTCGTCTTTTACAGCCAATATTGCTTGTTTTCAATTATGATTCAGAGTCATATTATTAAATAAAATCAATTTCAGATAAGTTAATAGGATTAATTTATAACTGTGAGGTCTACATTATATCTAGCTCAGATGATAAGGAATCTTATTCAAATTAAATATCATCGTTATTTTAAATTTCTTCTTTTTCATGAGATGATTCAATAGATATTAAATCATTACAGTTGAAAAAACATTAATTTTATTCTCTATTATGAATTTTTTCATTTATTAATGGAATTGTATTGCCAATATCTCTCTCTTGACTATTTTAACCTATTTTTTAATTTAAACCAGTTTCATTATTAAGTTTTATTGGATTTAAGTTTGAACAGTTTTATAACTCATTGATGTTTTAATTTTATTGATTTATTATTTAGTTTTGATAATTAATTTTGTTAGAAAACTATTCAAGAAATAAATTAACATTTTAATTAACCTTTTCTTAATATTTTTATTCAAACAACTATTGCTGAATTTATCTTTCATTTTCCATTTCGTTTAATGTTCTTTTATCAAAATTTTTGCTATTATTTAAAAAGTCTAATTCCTAATCATCTTCGATTACAACATATTCAGGCTAAATCGCTTAGCTTAATTTAATTGGAGTTATATTTAAACTACTAGGTGATAGCGAAATATTTTAATTTTGCTTGTTTGAATAATTTGATTCAGTATCACTAAAATCTAAATTACTTACATTTTTTTAATGAATTTTTTAAGACTTTTATTCAGTTTGATAATCACTTTGATTTTAATCTAATTCACATTTATTTTCCAGTAACTAATTTATATTTTTCTGATTTGAACTTATAAATTAACTTCCTGACTCCAAAAATTCTAATTCATTTGATATTTTTTCTACAAAGTGCAATTTTTTGTACTCTGTCCCTAGTTTTTCATTAATTTTGTGCTCGCTTACTTCTATTAATTATTATATGCCATTGCATGAGTTATCTTTCTTCACATAATCTTGGAGCTGCTCAATATAATGCTATGTATTATAATTATCTCTAAATTCTTCGCTTTATATTTCTATACAATCTTAAGAGTCTTCCTAATCCTCTTCAATTAATATGTATTCATTTTAATCAATTGGTGGATCATTGGTAAAGCTTTAACTTTATTATTATTTTTCTATAATTTTATTTAAAGAAGTCTAAAAAAGGAAATCACAAAATTCATTTTCTTAATTCCAATTAGAGATATCATAAAATGAAGTATATCCTTGCAGGGGATTATAAAATGCAATTGAATTAATTTTTTCACCCTATTTTCTCATCAATGATGCATATGCTAAACACTAATTTAAACAAAAAAACATTAAATTTTATTTAATTATTTTTTTATGTGTTAAGCTCATAAATAAATATTACATAAATTAATGTTTTTAAAACAAAATAATTTAGCTCTTTTCATATTTTATTTCCTAAAATTTCTTAAATATATTTTTATTTACTATAAAAAAGAATAATTCATATTTACAAAAATAAATATGAATTTCTTAAAGTAAATATGAGTTATCCTTTTTTTAGTAAATATGCACCAAAATTTTTTTTGTATTAAAAATAATTCAAAACAAAAGATAACCTGTATAATGTATTCTTTTTGTACTTCATAGGATGAAGAGGATTTAATTTCAAAAATAGTATCATCTGCAATAAAATCTATTTCACCAATTAAGTTATCATCTTTTACCCTTTTTTTAACTTGTATCTTTTTAAAATTTTACTTTTTAAGAAAATCCAAAAACTTATCAATAATTAATTTTAAATCTATTGGATTAAATAGCTAGAAATCGTTTCTATAAAGACTTCTTCTTATTAAATTTACTAATTAGCCACATTTGCTGACATTGTAAATATCATATAAAATATCCATAGTTTAGTAATTTGGATTACAATATTTTTTATAGCTTTCTATATAAATGTGTTTGTCATCAAAATCTTCAGGAAAAAACTAAAGCACTCGATCATTCTTTCCTTCAATTAACAAATGGCTGACGTTGCTAATATTTATTTTAAAGAAATTGTTAAAATAAATGGCTAAATAATCATAGTATTATTTATTACCTGTAATTTAAATTATTTCTTGCCATAAATTTTTTTAATTCCTCATAGATATCTTTTAAAACTTTTATTTCTCTATCTTAAAGTTTAAAGGTTTGCTTACTCTTTTCGATATAAAACATATTAATTACATCTATGAATTCATCTGAATCCTCTATCTAATCAAATTGTAAATTCTTATTTTCAAAAAATTGCTTGTATTTAAAAACAATCTCTGCCCTTTAATTAGCCCAATTTATAGAAAAAAGGACTTTCTCTGCATCACTATAAGTATAGCCTTAGACAGAGTTATATTTTTCAGCAATTATTCTTTAAAATAATCTAATATTATTAATATTAATGAAATTATTACAAATTTAAAATATTAATTTACATATCAATATAAATCCCTAAATCCACCGAAAGTCTATTTTTTGCAATTTACTTTATATCAAAACTTGGCTTTTTATGAATATCTTCCTTGAGAAAAAATTTAATATCTTTTAAATATTTATCTATTTTCTCTAAATCATGATAATTGAATTCTTCAATAATTTTAGTTATTTAAGTCTAATTTTCCAAACCTTTATGCCTGCAATTTTCTTTTTTAAAAAACCAAAAATATGTAAAAGATAAAATAAATAAATGAGTATATACTATCAATCCTTATATATTAAGGTTACGTTTAATTATGATATAAAAATTTTTTTATGTTAAGAGTATTTTTTAGCTTTTGAAATAGGGAGGACAGACAATATTCTTAATTTATGAGGATTCACAGTATATGTTGTTGAAATTTCTTAGTTCAACCTATATGGTATGAACTAAATAATAGTTGAAGATTAAAAATAATTTTTTTTGTTTAATAATTTATAAATAACTTAATAATAAATAAAAATATGTTTGTTACCTTGGCCTTATATAGGTGCAAAATCTTCTTTTTTTATATTTTCATCTACTTTAAAATATTATTAATCAATCTCACTGAAAAATCTACAAACCTATTAAAAAAATGAAATTTTATTTATTTTAATAAGATGAAAAAATATTTTGTACTATAGGACATTTTTCTTATGGTTTCCTTTATAAAATAGAAAAATTAAGCTGATTAATAGCTCTTGTACACCCAACATAGAATAATCTCCTGCATTCTTCTAATTTTTATAGTTTAAATGTTCTCTAATTCATGAATTCTCCAGGAAAATGCTAATCATTTATCCCTATAAAAAATACTATTTTCCATTCTAATCCTTTTGCTTGGTGCAAAGTACTTAAAGTGAGCTTAGGTTCTGTATCATTGGGATCATCATCATTGATCGAGTAAAATTCTTTAATGCTCTAAGATCTGTAAATAAAAGGGATTTATCCATTAATTAACTCCTTGTTATTCTTTTCTAACTTTTCTTCAAAGAATCTTAATGGAAGATTTGTTGGACTTAGAATAGCTATTTCATTAAGTGAGTATGTTTCTTATAGATATTTAATTTAGTCAATTATGCTGTTAACTTAGTGTTCCCAATTTTTATATAGCTTAATCTATGGCTACTAGCTTTTTTAGTCTTTCAATAAAAAAAAGATGATAAATTTGATAAATATCTCTCTCTAAAAAAATAAGACAATAATTAATATTCTATTAAATGATAAGAATAATATAATGTTTTTAGAAAATAGTTGCAATCAAATCAGTATCTTATTATAGAGATAAAATAATAATTAAAAAAACATTAGTAAAGAAAAAAAGAAAGTGTTTAGATTAATTACAATTCTTTTATGTGTTGTATTTCATCTCTTTTTAAATCAAATATTTGGATTTAGCTATAATTTAGTTTGAAAACTCTGTTATAGGCTTAGAGCACCTATAGTTTAAAGATAGTTAGTATTCATGTATCTTTTTATTTGTTATTTTTAATACATCCTAATCAATTTATTTCTAAATCAGTTCCAATTTTGAGTCTCTGAATCCATAAATGTTTTAAGCATCATCACCTATTAATTTAATTGAAAATCATTTTAAGAGAAAAGTATTTAAATATGTTTGTGGATTTAATAGGAATAGTTATAGTTAGTTATCTATCATCTTTAAAAATACATTTTTAGCATAATTTATGTAGCAGAATATGATAAATTGCAGATATTATTGTAAAAGTAGAAGAAATAATTATTATTACCAATAACAGTAATGTTGCTACCTTTCTTTTTAAAAAGGATTAGAATATCATATTACAATTGATTTACATCCTAAAACTCATCAAAGAAAAAGTACTTATACTTTGACAATACTTATTATTCCCCTTCAGGCGTTTATAAGAACTGATAAAGCTTATTACAAAACTCCTTAACACTAGATTTTAAATCAGATTATTACTTTTAAGCACTCAAAATGAATTTTTAGTATATTTTAAAAGCCACTTTATCAATATTTCCTATTTCTATCCTGCAAGACTGGCATCCTATTATTTCTTTTGCCCTTTTTTTTAAGTTTTTTCCAGCATCAACATTATAAGTAGTGACTAAAATTTATTCTGGCTAAACTCCTTAGTCTATCAGATATTTTAATCTTATCACTAAAGTTGTTGTTTTACCAGAACCTGCACATGCTATAATTTTTTAATCTTCATTTAAATCTGATAAAATTACTTTTAATTATTCTTAGCTAGGCCTGATCTCACACTCCGATCCATTATAATCCTAATAATTAATTACTCTATATTTATTTTAGTTGTCCATTTTTGATAAGAACTTACTATTATTAGTAATTAAAATTATTTGATTTACCCTAATTAATAGTACCTATATTAGATTAATTTCAACCAATTAAATAGAAATATTTTCGGTATATATAACTAACTAAAGGAAAAAGATATATTTTATAAAATTAAGCAATTTGAATTTTATTTGATAAACCGCGGACTGTTTTGCGCAATAATAATAAAAGAGTTTGAAAGCAAAATAAATTTTAATTAAGATGATTGAAATTTAATTTTTAATTTGAAATTGCATTTAACTTAATATAGCTGTTAATCTTGAGATTAAATATTTATTTATTATTTGCCTACAAAAATTAATTTGAAATATATATAACTAAAATACAGAGCTAATAAAACACAATTAAAATTATTATTTTATTTTGTTGATAGATTTTAATAAAATAACAAAATATTTAACTTATATTATATTTATATGAATTTTAATTATTGTTAATATATGAATTTATAGTTGAAATTAAGAAATGAAAATTAATGGAATTTAATGTTTTTATTTCTAAATTCATCAAATAGTAATTCATTATTATTTTGCTTATTTAACTAAAAAAATTATTTACAAATAAATTGAATGCATTTAAAACATGTTATTGAATTGAATTTCATATTTAAGGATATTAAATTAAAAAAATAATTTAATAGTTAATACTTTATAATAAAATATACAAAGACAATAATTCATATGAAAAATGAGCTTATTATTTAATTAATTTGTTCATTTTTGATTTAACATTATTAATTTATAAGCACATTACTATTTTTTTTATGTAATTTCTTTTATAGATTAATTGCTAAAATACTCTCATCTCTTGAGCTAGCTTTATTAATTAGCATACATTCTGTTCAAAACATATTAATATGACTTTACTAACATTATTTTACATTCTAAATAGTTTATTAAAATTTATTTTGTCAAGTATTAAGGTAGGTATACATTTCTATTAGGATTTCAATTTATGTAAGAAGCTATTTAGTCAGTTATTTTAATTGAAAATAATTTCTTCAACTTTTTCGTCTGACCACGAAGGGTGAATTTTACCTTAGACTTCTTAATATTTGTTATAGTAAGAATATAAATTTTCATTTCCTTCATCTGTAACTTCAAAACTTTCTTCTCTTTTCATCATTTTCTTTTAGATGGTTTAAATATTTTTTCTCCTTTTTTTAATCGCTTTATAAACATTTTCAAAGATAGTATTAATAAACACATTAAAGACCAACATATATTTAGCAAATTAAATGTAGCTTTCTCTTGTAAAGAACCCATCTATTTACTCTGTTAGAAGATATGAAATGGTTACTACATACATCATAGCAATAGCAGCTATTCTTGTTGCTACAGTTACAATTTTATAGTTGTAAAAACTGTACATAGAATATTAATAAACTATAGCAAATCTATTTCCTATAAAGTGAAAAATCAGCCCTCCTAAGACATAAAACCAAGCTATAGGACAAATAAAGCTTATAATTATACCAAAAGTGTACTATTTATACAATATTACAACTCTCTTTTCGAGTGGAAAGTTTGGTCTCTGATAAAGGTTATTTAGTGCTTGCTAAAAATATTGCTTTTTACCTCTTTGTATTTTCCATTTCCTATATCTATGCAAAAGGTATTAAGGCCCTAAAAAAATTTCAAGTAAACTAAGACCACAAAAACCCTAATTTGTGAATTAAAATAATTTTTATATGATGATTTGCTAAATAATATGTTATTACAGAAATTAGTGTGACAATTCCATATACCTTAACATTGACTTTTTCGTAATCAACTTTATCCTCTTTAAAATTAATAGAGAAGTAAGTTAAAAAGATAGGAACAATTATGTAGAACTACAAGTGAAAGGCAAAGTTGCATACAACCATATAAATTGATTCTATATAGAGTGTTGGCTGTTTACTTTTTTGCAGAAGATATTTCATAAATATCCATACAAAGTTAGATATTACGAACAAGATTAATGAAATTAAATAATCTGTAACTTTTTGGGACAAAGTTTCATTTCTGGATTTTGAATTAAACTACCATTCATATAAAAACTAAGTCAATCTAGGCAATCCAATAAAGATAATTAATGTAAAAGCTATCAAAAGTACAGAAAGTTATCCTCTTTTTTAATTAAAAAATGAAAATAAATAAATCAAAAAAATATTTTTTAAAATTTAAACCAATCAAAAATAATTTTAACTTAGAAAAAACCAAATTCCTTCTAAAAAAGGGTGTAAGCAACACAAATTTATTATTGTAAAAATTCCTTCAATTTATAAAGGTAAAACTAAACAAGAAGAATTTTATTTACTTTTATTTGCCCAAGTATCCAATGTTTTACCAAATAATTTCTGATAACTCTGGAGCTTTCTCACATATTATCCTACGTGTTGTTTTTTCCTTTGATTAATCACAAAGTTGTTATTTAAGTTTATGGACAGTGGATAGGAAGTAGCTTTTGTTTAGGAGATTGTAGACTATGATTTAATCCTTTTCAGAGAGAAAAGTGATAATAATCTAACCACTGAAAACTGAACTTTCATCAGATAATTACTTAAGCTATGAGTAGTTAAATCTTAGCTTTTCGATCAACTTTTATTTTTTGGTTTACTTAGTACAACTATATATCTTTTAAAGTAGATCCATTCTTTGATTGACAAGTTTATGCTTTTCATAAGTATTATATATATTGGTTATGCAAGCAATTTTGACATTTAGGTTGTAAGTATTTTTAACAATCAATTGAAGATTCTTAACTATTTCTTCATCTGTATATAATTATGGTAAATATTTAATAAGTAGACTTTACTTCCTTAATTTAGTGAGCTATGTTTCTTGCTTTATTTTATTCATTTTTTTAAGAATTTATGGAGATTAATAGAAGAATATATTACTCACTTGTAATAAAAGTAATATAATAAACTTCAAATCTGCCAAATATATTTGTGTATCTTGATCACTATATCTCCTCAGTTAGACTTCACTGATTATACTTAATCTAAAGAGAGTGAGGCACTCAGGAAATTCTTATTCTTATGTTTACTTATCATGTTGCTTGCTATATTAAGTGCTGAATTCTTGTTAATTTTTATATTTATTTTTTATATTTGAGCATACTTTTTCTGTTTAGATTTAGAAGTATATTAAATAAATTAAGATGACTGCTAAGATAGTTGCTATAAAAAATTTATTTACTTAAAACAAATATGATAAACTTCCTCCGTATTTTTTGTTAATGCATGAATAGTTGAATTTAAAAAAAGTTAATTTTTTGTTATTAATCATTTTCCCGCAGCATTTACAAAATTATGATTCTATGTCATCTTAAATATTTTAATAATCCTATTATTATCTATCGCTATTTTAACTATCATTTATGCTTTACTCTCTCTTTTTGCTTTTATTTTCAATCTTTTTCTCTCCTAAAATATTTGCTTATTCATGTATCAGTGCTTCTTATATTGTTCCTGGGTATTTAAATGGATTAAAATCTGATCCGAATGATATTCTATCTGAACTATCAAAAAAGTCTTCTTAAACTCCTCTTCTTTCAAAGAAAGGAAATGATGGCTAAACATTCTTAACTGAGCTAGAAAACTCAGCTTTTAGTGTCTCTTTTAATAAATTTGAAACTCTTCTTTAAGGCTACTAAGGAGGCTACTAGGCTTAAAAAGGTAAATTATTATCTTATATTACATCTAATAATTCATTTTTGGATTCTTCTGTAAAGCAGCTGCTATCCATCAAAGATCACAAATAAATATATAAATAAATAATTAGACTGTATTATTTGATTTTTTTAGGTTAAAGTATATTGCTTAATATAAGATTCAACTATTTATAGAGAATTAATTTTATGTGTCAAAATACAATAATTAATGTATTAAATTTTAATTTGATGTAAAATTCATCTTTGAGTAAATCAAGTATTTTCTTACCTCCTGATCAGACATTTTTATAATAGAAGTTTTTTTGACTAATTTTAAACAAAATAAAAAGTACATCTATTTTATCAGATATATTTCAAATATTAATAACAGATAGATAGATTTCATAAAAATCAATATGAAACAATGAATTTTTGTTACAAATATTAATCAAAAGCTGAGCACTTCTTCTAAAAAAAACTGTTAAAAAATATGATAATTGCTAAATTGTTGAAATAAATAATTAAAATTGTTATTTAAATTTAAAAGGATTTAACTACGTGTCTTTTTATAAAGAATAGTTTAAAATAGCAAAATATTCATTCTTATAGCTTCCTATTTACAATATAAGAGGAAAGAATTTAATTCTAAAAATATTTCCAGATCAAAGAAACCCTTTGCTAGAGAGTTCTATGTAAATATCTTGTAAAAAAAAGTAAAAAAAAATACAAAATATTGTTTTTTGAGTTTCATTTAAATATTAAAGTTTTTAATAGATTAAAGCAAATTTTGTATATTAAAGAATTGATTTTTTAGATAAAGCATTTTTGAATTTATTAATAAATACTATTTTTACATAGCTTTTTTGCTTTTAAAAATTTTTTATGTATGTTTTAATAATAAAAATTCAAATTAACTTATGTATTTTTAAAATATTTAAAAAAATAATTTATTTTTAAATGCATTTATTTGCTTTATTTTGTTAAAACTTCATAAGAAATATTAATAATTATTGATTCATATTTGTTTTTTTAGAATTTTTAAGAGTTTTTAAATAAAATTAAAAAATAAATTTAAGTATTTAAATGCTAATTTTAGGATATTTAATTAATTATTCATTCTTACTTATTTAATTTGTTTTTTATTTAAATTGAATTTTATAAATAAGTAAATTGATAAACATTTTTAACTAAATTTTTGTTTGTGGAAGAATAAAAACATCTTAAAATTCAAAAGTGAAATTAAGGATTATTATCTTTATTGATGGAATTTTGTTAAAGTTTACTTTTATATAAAATAGATTTTAAATTACCTTATTTATTTCAGTAAAATTAAAGAAAAATATTACTCTAAATATACAATTTAAAAAAATTCTTTATCTGAAATCATTTTTACTTTTTTATGATTATAGAAAAATTTTTAATGTTTTCAAAACCAATTATTCATATATAACTGAACTCTTTAGTTTTTTGGCCACAATTAATTTTTAATCTGATTTTTTAATCAATCAAAAAAATTTCTTAAATTTTGTTCAGTAAATTATTTTTTTTGAGTGGTGAAAAAAGTTAAATTTATATTAACTTTTTCCTTTACTTAAAAAGTAAAAAATATACCTTAATATCATTGATATTATTTTTGAGAAAAGAGCTAAAGAGTTAATCTTACTTTTTTAATTATTATTACTATCATATTGTTATAAATTTAAATATTCATTCATTCATTCATTTTTTTTAAATGTGTGTTGAAAAATAAATTGTGTGATTAAAAAAACTAAATTGTTTTTTCAAAAAATACATATTTATGTGAGAATGCGTCAGGTAATAATTCAATTAATAAATATATATTCATTTATAAATACTAATAATTTTAAAATATCAAACAACCTTAAATAAGCATAAAACTAATTTAGCAAGAATATTTGTGCAGAAATTTGAAAAAAAAAGCAATTAAAAATACTATATTAATATTTTGCTTTATCAACTTTACAGTATTCTATAAAATTATTCTGCTATTTTGCTTTACGATTACATTATTTAATAAAATTTATAAGTTAATCTATAATTTGTATTACATTGAAAAAATAGCCTAGTTACTTTATGAAACTTTATCATAGATTGTTCAATAAACTTTTTTATATAATACTATAATTAAACTTTCTATTTTAATGGAATAAGTAAGAGAAAGTAGAGAGAAGTATTGCTCTATTTAAAAGTATTCAATAACTAATAGAGCTTTAATAAATTGTTTTTATAATCATAGTTTTAGAAGTATCTTATGTTTAATTTTTATTATTACAGTAAGCAAATGTGTTAAATACAAAAAAAATAATTAAAAAATATTAAGTGATAAACACAAATAAATCCATACAATATATATGTAATTTCTTTCATTCTATTTAATTCACTTTAAAACCTCATTAGATTATACAAAAGTTTTTTAACGTGCAATTTCTTTTCCCAAAAATTTGAGATAAAATTAATTTGAGAAAAATAGGGTGGTGAACTATCTTAATTAATGAAGATTAACAGTAATACATTCTATTTTTTATTTTTCACTACAAAAAATTTCAACTTAAATATAATATTTATTGTTCATTTTAAAGTTTTAAATATTCTTGATTATTTTAATGTTTTTATGAGATAAAAATATTTTAAATAAAGTAAGCATCCTTTTATAAAAGAGCTCTATTTTTCAAAAAAAAATTAATATTTTATGATTTCGATATTTATTCTTGAAATTTTTTTACATATTTTGCAGCTATAGCGTATTAGAGCATGAATTTAGTTTAAATTAAAAAAAGAATTGTTTCTTGTATTTTCTGACAAATGATACATGATTAAGCTTATATTATTTAAATTTGATATTAGTAAGGTCGAAAGCAGCTTTGAGCTGGTAATCAGTTGTCTAAAAAAATTAAAACTAAATATTTTGATGTGAAGGACAAAATATTTAATGGTTAATTAGCTAAAATATAATATTGTATTAATGTGTTATAAATTTTATTAGATTTTAAAGACATTTTTGAATTTGAAAATCTAACTTTCTTAAAATCAATATCCCTTCAGAAAAGTAACGCTGATCCATATATGATTTAACCTACCCTCTAATTCCAAATCTAATTTTTATAATAATTTTTTGTATGAGTTATAAATTTTACAAGTAAGTGATTGATTTGTATTTTTTTTAATTAAAGCTAACTTCTCCCACCCGTAGAATTAATTCTTTATAAATCAAGTTAAGTTTTTATTAAATTTAATTTATTTTTTAAAAATCATAGAAAGACTGTTAGTTAGATATTGAAATTTTAATTAAGAAACTTTAATGAACAAAATATTGATTAGAGTTGAAATATATTTTAAAATTACTGTAACAAAATCATATCTAAAATAAAAAGATTGTAACAAGTATAAGAATAGAATAATATTATCGTCAAATTAAATATAATATAATGATTATGATTAGTGTGTATAGTTTAGAAGTAGGAATTACAACATTTTTTATTTATATTTAATTATAAAAGTGTATAAATAAGAATAGAAAAATATTTTTGTAAAAGTAAATTTAAAAAAATCATAATGATTAGTTTGAATAATTTAGAAGTAGGATCACAAATATATATATATATATTTATATAAGTGTATAAAGTTACATCAACAGAATTTTTCTTCTAATTGATAATGACATAATTTATTATATTTTATTTATTTATTTATCATATTTATTGGATTTCTCCAATCATTTGAATATAATTATTCTTTTGTTAAATTTATATAATTTTTTTGTTTAAAAAGAGTTCTATTGAAGTTATCTGGTTTTTCTCGTTTATTTTGCTATATTGTTTCATAATAATAGAGGGAGAGAGAAAGAATTAGAGAAAGATCACACATATTTGTTTTCAAAGGTTTTGCATTTTTCTTCTTTTTTGGTAGAATTTTAACTTTTGTGATTAGCTTGGATTATCAATAGATTATAACAAAAATCTCACAACTTCTAAGTGAACTTCTTTATTCTAAACCTTACTATTCTCCAGCCAAATGGATTCGATATTTTAAAGAAAGTACCTGAGAAGCATCTTGAAGGAATCTTTCTCAATCATATGCATAGCTTTCATGTTCCATCTTTTTCCGTAAACTTTCAAGTTTTTCTTTAATAATTTGACTAATTAAGAATAGTTTTTTTTATTTGCCAGTTTACAGAATTCGTTCTATTTATCACAGTCTTTTTCATTCTCGATATATCTCTAGAAAGATTTTAAGATATTTTTCATAATATTTGAATTTTTAATAGCAAAGACATTTTCTTCAAGGTCAAATTGATTTGAGTTGTTAGAGCTACTTTATTTGTTATCTTATGTGCTGATCATTTCAGAATCTTCTTAATATTCGACTATCTCTATATCAGGCATTGAGCTAGTGTCAATGTTATCAAATAAATCTTCAGAATTGTTTTTGCTACTAGAAAAGTGTTGTTATTCTTCAAGATGCTACTTTTGATTATCATTAGCACAAGTCATTTTCTCGTCTTTTTATTATGAAATCCATACATCTTAGTTAGCAACTTTTTCAGCAATTTCAATCAAAAGGGCGATAGAGAAACTCTAGTTAAAAGCGCTCTTTAAGTTTTCACTCTTTTTTTCTGAGATTTAGAGAGAGGAGCGTTAATTGGTATTCATTTAGATATTTTTTGTAGAAATAGAGTTAATTGGTTTTTATAATTATTATTATTATTTTTTATTTAAATTTTATTATAAAACTTTATTAGGTTCAATCACATCTATTTAAATTTATAAAAATGATAGTGAGTTTTCACGAATTTTTTATTTATTTCAAATTATGGAATAGCAATTAAATTCAAAAATTAAAAACTGCAGGCTGATATATTTTTCAATAAAAACTTTTTGATTTATTTATAGTGATAATACAATTAATTAAGCCATAAAATCTTTCATCTATCCTCAATATTTAGAATTCTAATTATTATTTTTCATTTAAAATTCATGGAATCTAGCAAAATATTTAGATAACTTACACCAAGTCTGCTAATAATTTCTAAGCATGTTTACTGATACTAATTCCAAAAGAATAGAAGCACTGATAGATATTAAATTTAATAAATGATGGTTTGAAATTAAGTTACATAGAATTTTTAATCTAAAATAATAAACCAGTAAATTTTATTTTCAAGCTTTTCAATCAAGATTTTGCAAAAAGAACTTTTTTATTAAATGTAATACATACAAGACTTTTCAGAACTAGATTAAAGTATAAATAAATAGAACTCTTTTTTCTAAATTATAATAAGTTACAATTGCAAGCATACGTATGATATATAATTAATCATCATTTTTAAAATTATTTCAAAACATCCTTAAAGAGTTTGAGACATTTTATTCAACCAAAAATATTTTTTTTATTTTTCTTAGAATTGTGGTTGAATATTTTTTTTATAATAATTTTTCAAACATTTTAACAAAAATTATGTTTTCTAATTACTGAATAAAAATAGAAACATTACTTCTTTCAAAAACTCTACTTATGATTTCTAACATAGTTTAATTATTTATAAATTATAATATATTCACTTATGAAATAGTAATAGCTACACTTTTTAACTGAAAAATCATATTTTTTTTAATATTTTGTGCATGCACTTGAAAAATATTTATTTACTCTCATACATATTTGATTTTTTAAATAATTAATGGATTTTATTTATCATGTTATTTATTTATATCTTTTATGGTAATAGCTTTATTATTGAATTTATTTAAATTATTGCGACAAAATTTATGATACTTACCCAATCTAGCTAAAAACTGAATCTTACCTAAGATTAAATTTATAGCCGCTATTCCTGGCTATTCCTTTTTCTAAATTAATTAAAGACAGGAGTATTAGGAAATTCTGCATTTTCAAATAAAAAACTTTTATTTCAATATAAATATCACAAAAATTTTCATTTCATTGATTTTTCTAAAATATTTTTTTATTGGAATATATTTCATTAATAAAAACTGTTTATTTGCTAAAAAAATTACTTTACAAGAAAGAAATTTTTTTATATCATACTTTTTAGTTATTAACATTATTTCTAAAATAAACTAGCTTTAAATATAGAAATATATTATCAATAATTTTATTTTAATTAACATAAAGCACGTTACTAGAATGAAAAAAATACCGCTTTACTTTATTTTCCTGCTTAAAATATTAAACATACTTATTGATAAATAAATCAATTCATCAAATAGTCCTTATGCTTTCAATTAAAGCTTAACTCTAATATAAAATAAATACTTACTTAGTAAGGAAAGAAAGAAATATCTATCATATTTAGTAAGTTACTACAAAAAAATGTCCATTTAATGAAAAATAAAAATTTATATTAATCTAATTTATTTAAATTTTAATACAGTATTATTTTCATAATACTAACTAATTAGTCTAAAATTTATACCAGTAACTTATTTTTAAATAATAAATTCCCTTTTTTCTCATTTAATATTATAAAAATAGCTTATCATAAATGAATAGCAATTAATTATTTTAAAATATTTATCAATCTCTAGCTATTGATAGAATATGTAACTATCACAAAATTTGTTGATAAAATTCTAAAAGATTTATGTAGCAGCTTTATTTATAATTTTGTATCGTTAATAAGTTTTCATTATTATTATTTTAGTTAAAAATTATTAAGAATAAATCTCATGTAAAC